CCCTGACCCGGAGAGCAGTCGGCGACCGAATAATGGGCGTAGATGCAATCATTTGACGGCCATTCTCTTGAAATTAGCAGCTCTGCTGACTAGGGCCGTCAGACATTGATCGTCCGAACTGCTATACCTTGCATAGAAGTTCACCGACATAGTGTTGGGAGTCTGCGGGACAAACACAGCCGAGACCCCATGCCAGCGAGATATTCTGCATGGAAGAATCCCCGGCGATCAGCCACGAATCTGGGCCTTTTGCATATTGACAGGAGTCTCCGTGGCCGTCCAAGGTGGCGTTTCTTACACAGTCATTGCGACGTGGATATTCAACCACCACTCAGCACAATTCCCAGAAGACGCGAGACGTCGTCGCCCAGGGGTTGCATAGACCGGCGCGCCTTCCGAGCAGGCTTGGGGGAAGCAAATCTTGCTTGAGCAAACCGAGTTATTTAGGGGGTTAACTTGGGTTCGGACAGTTGACAGTCCTTCTAGCCGTGCCCAAAGTACCGACCCGCCGGTTCTGGGAAAGATGGAACTGCCGGCACAATCAATTCACACAAGACTTACTCGATCAAGGGCTATCCTTGGGTGCCGGCATCAAGAGCGACGTCGATTCTAGAAAGATGGTTGCCGTCAAGTGTGTACGTCGTTGATGGCAATGCGAAGGAGCCAATCAAAACACGCCGTAAGCGCCGTTATAACTTATTGCTGCGCTTGGCAAGTCATGGACTCTGACTCTCACTCTCATGGCCCAAGGCCCAACGTCCCAACATCCCCGGCAGGTTTGTAGCTGACAAGGATGTTCTCTACTTGCTCAAGCACCTGTACGGACGACCACCCGGTGAAACAAGAACAAAGAGCAGCTCAACAAGGGCGAGCAAAGTCAACGGGAAGGAACACCACTCTGCGAGAGCCAGATAAGGGCGTCATTCCGTTCAATCAACAGTATGAGATACCATGCTGCGCCGCAGCATGTTGATGGTGAGTTTCTGTGCAACCAACTATAAAAGGCAGCAGTCTGGCTGATGGCTTGAACAAGAAACACACGTTATACGGAATCTCGAAAGATGAAAGACACGAAGTAACGCTGTCAAGTATGATAGAAAACTTTCTGCCACAACGCTCTGTCAACAGTGTTCACTACACTTGACCACGTCAGACGTTGGTGTTTTGAGGCCAAATCCCAGGCTCCCTTGAAACCCTTTTAATTATATACGAATGTCTCCGTCATTTCTGTAGCTGTAGACAACTAACCTGGAAAGTCGAACGGTAGCTAGGACGAGGGCTGCGGAACAAGTCAAGTGAGATCAAAGGTCAAAGGTTCGGCCCCATCAGCAACACAGCTCTTGTATGATGTAGTTCTGACCCTTATTGACAGACAAGACGCCAAGACAAGGGTTGAATGACGAAGGCTTCTGTCATGTTGTTGTAATGTCATTATACAGGGGAAACTTCCACGCTACCATTGTGTGCAGTTGAGCACTCTGCAATGGCATGAGTAAGCGAAGCCCTAACCTGTAGGATGTTGACACGCAGTCTCGACGACGGAGGCTAGGCCGATGACGCTGTTCAGGGGGGCTCTCGGGTCTTCCCGTGCGAGTGGCCTGCAGAATACGGTACCGTCATGAGTGGAATTGCCTAGAATGCTTTCCATGTGTCACGGTGCATCGCGGCTCTTGAGAAGTCTGGTTGCACGTGAATGGATCTGCTCCTTGCAACAGGCTCGGTTCGAGTCGAGTCTCGCTGGCACGAGGTGGTCATGAGAAGCGAGAATGGACTGACAGCATCACGCCGAGCATGTTTGTCGATGAAAGGAATTGATCGGCTGATCCCCGCACCAGGATTCGGGGATCGGGACGATATTACAACTCCACTCAGCACATGGCAGACGGGACGGTAGCCGGCTCCGGGAAATCCCATGGCTCGGGACCGGCACATCCAATCAGACGCACAATGTTTCCATCAAAAGGCCGTTTCAGGATGGCTGTAGCCCGAAACTTTTTCACCAAACGGCGATCCGAGATACTCCTCGATCCGCTGCCCAGTGCGGTGGGACTGGCAGGCTGGACAACAGCGATGTGGCTTTTGCATCTGATCATGACGAGTCACGACTCACGACTCACGGGCCACGCACGACCACTGAGAGCCGTGTGCCGCCAGCAGCCACAGGTTGCAGTGACGTTTGATCTGCAAATGCTGTGCCCCCTCACCGGATTCCAACCTTTTGGCACACGGAAAGCCGCGGCCTTGCTGGGCTCTGGCCGCGCCGCGCCATGTTTGGCTCACGCGTGCCGACTCCTGAGGGCAGTGACTCAAAGGCCCTCTCCCAGACTTTGTTCGACAATTCTCTTCGCTCCCCAGGCGAAACCAGCTAGCACACAGCACGTGCCACCAACCGCCGGGCCAAGACAGAACAATGTTTGAGCATCAGCTGACCACGGTACAGCAAATATCCTCCGGGGTCCGTATCCGTACCTGGTCAGAGTGAGTGAGTGAGTGCCAGGGCCCAGGGATGTCTTTCAAAGGTTCTGCCAGACCGGGGCCCCTGCGACTGCTCGCCGGGGGTTGTGGTACACGATGTTCCGGCTGAGACGTTTGCACTATTCACGCAGAGTTTTATGCCTTGCTTGGTCTGCAAGCCCCGACCCTTGTCCACAATCTGTAACATCATATGGCATCTCTGAGCCATTTACTGCTATAAAGAGAGTGCCATCTGGCACTATCTCGCGGAGAAGAGGCCTTCTTCCATCGCCTCTCCACCAAAACAAACACACGGCAATACCTGGTACCAAAGACTAGTCCTGACGCACTTGGTTTTTGTCTTGATCAGTAGTCAACAAATATCTCCCGTCCGTCGTGCTTTTTTACAGTCCTGCACCGCAGCACCAAGGCAACCGTCGATTCGACCGTGATCTACAGACGTCTCGAAAGCAACGATGCCTTCCAATTGTTCCTTCCTCCCTCTTGCTCCCACCACGTCGGCTTCCTATCCCTCAGCACCGGCCAGCCGTACCTCTCGCGCCACGGCGGCGGATGTTGCCCCAGCTCCGGAGACGGCTCGTCGGCGATCTTCCAGCTCCAGCAGCGGTGGCTTCAGAGTCCTCAAGCTCGGCCCAGTGCATTGGGGCGAGCACCTCGACGATCACAAGGGAGACTTTTATGAAGCTACGACCGCGTAGGGGAGCAGAGCTGGCCTTTTCTTCTGCTTCTTCTTCTCCTTCTTCTTTTTCGGAGGGGTATGTTATCTTTGGCCTAGCCCCAGTCTAGTGGGCAGCGTCATCAAGGTCAGACATGGCATGGGGAAACACAAGTCTGTTTGTCATCGGTGCTACAAAAAGGCAGCACCATCAAGCACGGCGTGGACAGGGACAGGGTCTGGAAAAAAACAACAAAGGGTTCATCATGTACGGAGTTTTGAGACAGCGTGAACAGATAAGCAAGCAACCAATGAGACAATTCCTGGCCACAGCCTACAAGCCCGTCTGCTCCGTGTACTCCGTATGCACACATGGCTTTTCCCCTTGGCACTCGAGTCAAAGCGACTAGGCCCAACTAGCAGCGCCGACTTGCACCCTCGTGCAGTGATTGACTGGCTGGCATGGCACGCACGCACACTCTCTCCCATCTGCAACATCGACTGACTGCCCAGTGGCTTATCAAACAGGGAGGTTTGCTGTTCGCTGTTTGCTGCGCGAGACGCGGCGAGATTCTTGCCGCGGGCAACGGGACGCTGCGGCCAGATACACGGACACCTCTTTGTCCGGAGAAGACTCGGTGACGAACGAGCGCATGACGGACGACCAACAAGGCGGTCGGTGCGCTTTGTCGCCAAACAGCGCAGATCCCCATCTTGTCGCAAAGCATACTCCGTACAAGGTGGTCTACCACACGCAAAAAGTGTGACGCGGGCCACGTCCATTTTTTATTTAGTGTGACACGTCTTGATTGGCAAGACGCGAGCGAGATGAGTGAGGCCCGTCACGCAGCCGGGGGAGGGGGGCGGAGGATCCTCAGACATTTATTCTACAACCCAACTTGCTTACCGCCGGACCACGGAGCAGCCAGCAGTGCCAGTTGCTCCGTCTACTCCGTGGCGAGGCGAGCAAACGCAAGGGTGGCGCGTGTGACGTTGTGCTGTGCTCCTGGCACCGGGCCATCTCATCTCATCTCATCTGCCAAGGTGCAAGATTGCTCCGTACCAAGCGAGGGAAGCCCCACAGTCGGCCGGCCGTCGGTGACTTTTTTGTTCCCATCCATCTTTACTCGTCACAGACATTGTTGTCGTCTGCGTACGTACATGGTGTGTGCAGGGCAATGAAGCTTATTTGTGTCGCCTCGCGCGTGACGTGACGTGGCAGTGCATTTGTTTCTCAAGCACGCAGAGGGGAACCGACGAGGGCCTGGGGGTGCTTTTGGCGCCGGGCAGGCGGATAAGGTTATCGTTTGAGTGAGACATTGGAGTCGCACCGGCGTTCTGGACTGGATTCCTCTGGGGCTGTGCTGGGCTTTTTTGCCCCCAGGATCCCCCTTGGCTGTCTGAGATTGCAATGGGTGGCTGGTAGACTGGGCATCGCTGTGATATCATGTGGATGTGGACGTGGACTCGGCAGTTGGTGCCGCTCCACGTTGAGACGGCAGGGAGATTTGGGAGCGGCCGAGTGTCTGAGATGGCTGACTCGACTTCACCGAGTCGGTCAACTGGCGAGTTCACCACGTATGGGGTAACTAGTTGCAGGCTTGCCGCCTTTCTTGTTTGCTTCCTGTTCCCTTTATTTTTTCCTTGGCGCTGCCCGGCGTTTTTTGGACGTGACGAAGGGGACGGCAGACGTGGTCTGTCAAGTGTCCAGTGTCGAGTGTGTTTGCTCGGTAAGGGATGATGCAGGCATGACTGACTCCTCCGGGGTTCTGTCCAAAACCCCCCGAGCGTCACACTCTGTTTCTGTCTGCCGCGGGAGCCTGGGGTATCGTACGGAGCACGGCGGGCCTGCCTGGCCAGTGGTCACGACTCACCACCGAGCTACGTTGGCCTTGCCGCCGTCCCTCAAGACGGCCACTTGTCTGCCCTCGGGGTCGAGCTGCTTCACGATGCTGGCCCAGTCGATCTGCACGAGGCCGTCGCCGTCGTCGTTGCCGTCGCCGCCGCCATGTCCCTCCGCCGCCGCCGCCGCCGAAGCAGTCGACGTCCGGAACGGCTCCCACGCTCCGCCAGCCGCCGCCGAGACCCACAGACACGCGGTCCGTAGATATGGATCGGAGAGGAGGGACAGCACACCCGCCAGCGGGGGACGCGTGAATATGCTGTTCCCCCGCGCTGCGTGTCCCGCGGAGCTGTAGATCTTGACCGTCAGCTCGGCCAGGCCGCCGCTGACAATCATGTCCCGCACCAGCGGCACGATCCTCACGTCGATCCAGCCCCGCAGCTTCGAAATCCTCATCTCCAGGGACCGTATCCTGCCGAGTGCCCCCTGCAGCGCGAGCATCTCTTTCCTCCGGTGAATGGCCATGTCGTCGGTCTTGGTGGACCGGAGCCCGTCCCTGCTGTCCGACGCATCCTCCTCGGCCCGGTCATCCAGGTACGACCTTGTGTGAAGACCGTGCTCCAGTCTGAGATCCAGAACAAACTCGTTGCCTTCGTACAGGAGCGGCGCGGCGATGGCGTAGATGGCAGGATGGATGAGCAGTACCGAAAGCGGGTTTGTGCCGAAGCCGCCGCCGCTCTCGGGCGAGCCGCATGGACAGAGTGCAATCGGCTGCTGGTCTTGGATAAGGAGCGGGCCGAGGATGAGCGAGAGGATGTCGACGGGGAGATCAAGGAAGTGGAGAGACATGGACTCGGGCTGTCGCCGTGGCCATGATGTGGTCGTCGTCTGCTGCCTTGGCTGTGTTGCACGTTGAGGAACTGGACGGTCCCGTCCCGTCTGCTGACACCTGCCTGAGTCATTAGTCATCACTTGCTTGCCCCGAGTTGAGATTTGATTCCCTGAGCGCCGAAATGGCCCTGCAACGCGTGTCCACGACAAAATGACGGTCGTGTATTCTTGTGCCGTCAATAGATGCTGGAATACATGTCACGTCTTCAACACTTGAGCAGAATTTCAATCAGTATTTTCCATTCTACCAAGTCTATAATTCACAGGCCGCTCGTTCCTCGCACATCATCAGGCCATTCGGCCCTCATCGGCCCAGGGCACCCTCAAACTATGCAGCATCATCGCCCATCATGGATCCTCCCTACATCGAGTACCCAATGAAACAGGAAACTTTTCCTTTGCAGAACTTTTCAAGTGCCTTTGTTGTCTCCACTACTTTGAACTCCCCAGAACCGGAGAATGCGAAAATTAGAAAAAAATCCGGAAAATGAGGAAAATGATTTGTAAAAAGCCGTCCTCCGGCTCCCGAATGCCTCATCATCTTCGAGACCCAGTAGGTCGCTTCACAACCGGTGCGGTCCCCGTCCAATTCCTGTCCAGACAAAGGTGCCACCGCTCAGATACAACGCCTTGCACTTGTCCCCAAACGTAAGATCGTTTTCGTCACATCGCCCATTCAGCCCTTTCCAGCGCCAATGCTGAGCTAATACATTTATCGGGAAGACAAGTTCTTTGTAACAATGCGCTTGAGGGCAAGCTCCTGCTTTTTGAGGTCCTCGGCAGAGCTGTCGGCGATCTCAAGAGTGGCCATGGCCTCCGAGATGGTCTGCTCAATCTTCTCCTTCTGGCCACGCTTAAGCTTAAGAGAGAGTGCGGGGTCCGTGACAATCTCCTCAACTCGGCCAATATAGGACTCGAGTTGCTGCTTGGCCTCAAATCGCTTGCTGAAAGCCTCGTCGTTGCTCTTGAAGGCCTCAGCGTCAGAGATCATCTTCTCGATCTCGCCCGTGGAAAGTTTGCCGACAGAGTTGGCGATGGTGATGTTGGCACTGCGGCCAGAGGTCTTCTCAGTGGCGGTGACTTTCAGGATGCCATTGACATCGACCTCAAAGACACACTCCAGGACGGCCTCGCCAGCACGCATTGGGGGGATGGGAGCAAGAGTGAACTCTCCCAGAGAGGTGTTGTCCTCACAGTTGACTCGCTCACCCTGGTAAACGGGGAACTGGACAGTTTGCTGATTGTCGGCAACCGTGGTGAAGGTTCTATTGATCGACTTGTCAGTACCTGCTAGTGATGGCTTGTGAAATACCGATATATGGCCACACCAAAAGACACATGGAATGCTGAGTGACTGACGCCGGCGAGCGCTTGCATCCACTCACAAATGTGGAGGGATAAGCCTGTCCAAGTGGGCAAGCAACGGATGTCATGGAATTGGTGAACAGACACAATCTTGACGACAAAAAAAAAAGCTCACCTTTTCTTCAAGCACGGAACAGTCTGTCCACGGGTGACGACAGGAGCGAAGATGTTACCCTCCATGGCAACACCCAGAGACAGGGGAACGACATCGAGAAGCAGGAGGTCGGCGGTTTCAGCGGAGGTGGCCTTGCCGGAGAGGATACCGGCTTGGACAGCAGCGCCATAGGCAACAGCCTCATCAGGATTGATGCTCTTCTCAAGCTGCTTACCGTTGAAAAACTCAGACAGAAGCTTCTGAATCTTGGGAATACGTGTAGAACCACCGACCAGAACAATCTCGTCAACAGCTCGCTTGTCGATGCCAGCATCCTTGAGAACCTGAACAACAGGCTGGAGAGTGCCAGAGAAAGCTTCGGCGTTGAGGTTCTCAAAACGGGCACGGGTGATGGTGATGCTGAAGTCCTGACCGTCGAAGAGAGAGTCGATCTCAATGGTGGCCTGGGTGCCGTTGGACAGGGTACGCTTGGCACGCTCACAAGCAGTACGGAGTCTTCGCAGGGCACGGGCATCACTGCTGAGGTCCTTCTTGGTCTCGCGAGTGAAGGCATCCCGGCAGTGATTGAGAAGGTTCGTGTCGAAGTCTTGACCACCAAGGTGGGTGTCACCATTGGTGGCCTTGACGGTAAAGACATCGCCCTGGATGACGAGGAGGGATACATCAAAAGTACCACCGCCCAGATCGTAGATCAGGACGTTGCGCTCCTTCTCGGACTTGCCAGAGCCCAGGCCGTAGGCAATGGCGGCGGCAGTAGGCTCGTTAATGATACGAAGGACATTGAGGCCGGCGATTGCACCGGCATCCTTGGTAGCCTGACGCTGGTTGTCGTTGAAGTAGGCGGGGACAGTGATGACGGCCTTCTCGACCTTCTTACCGAGCTTGGTCTCGGCAATCTCCTTCATCTGCGAGAGTAGTTAGGTCAAGAACGCTCGGGTCGTCACGGAAGAGACATGAAACGCCGCGACCGGGCCGTAATAAAGCGTACCTTGAGGAGAACCATGGCAGAGATCTCCTGAGCAGAGAACTGCTTCGTCTCGCCGAGGTACTCGACCTGGACCTTGGGCTGACCGGCATCGTTAATGATGGTGAAAGGCCAGGACTCAATGTCCTTCTTGACGGTAGGATCATCGAAGCGACGACCAATCAGACGCCTGGAGGCCTTGTCAGCGTTCGAGCAACAACGAAAGGCGGCAGCGTCAAAGAATCAACCCGACGGTGACAGGTGCATTTCTTCATTTTTGCATCAAAACTCACTTGGCATCGAAGACGGTGTTCTTGGGGTTCATGGCAGCATTGTTCTTGGCAGCATGACCGATCAGACGCTCCTTGTCGGTGAAGGAGACGAATGAGGGAGTGGTGAACGAACCCTGCTCGTTGGCAATGATTTCGACATTTGTACCTTCGTAGATGGCCACGCAAGAGTAGGTGGTACCTGTGATGGATTGTTAGCATGGCCAGTCTTTAATCAATCCCATGATGAAAAATCTTGATATGCGTCCGCCAAGCCTTGCAGCGACAAATGGAGCGCGACCGCCCGTCCGAACAAGACACCTCGGTTGCACACCAGATGCTCAACAGACGGATTGACAAACAAGTTCAAATTACGCACCCAGGTCGATACCAATGGCACCGTCGTAAACTTCGTCAGCCATTTTGAAATGTGTCTGAACGGGAGGAGGAGGAGGAGGAGGAGGTGGAGGACAGAATCGTCGGGTGTCGAAAACGGCTGAAGGGAAGAAGAGCGAGGAGAAGGGCGGAACGCAGTAGTGGGGTATTTCGGTGTAGAAATTCTCTCTTTCTCGTCAGCCAAAATTTTTGTGATTTTTTTTTTCAAGAACTTTTTTTTCCTTGGGCCGTGTGGGCCCGCTAGAGTTGGGACATGGACAAGTGGGGTTGGAGTAGCCGGGCAAGCCAGCCAGAAAGGGAGGTCTTCAAGGCTGCGCTGCGCTAGTCCTGTTGTAGCCAATGCTGTGGCCTAATATTCCAGGAACACACCGACGCCGTACAAAGCCATGAATGAAGCTTCGGAGTGCCCAGCAGAAAAGTGATGATTCCAATAATTCTTTACCACGTAGTCTTCACAACGTACTCTTAGTCGGTGCAATTTGTCTCGGCTTCCGTTATCAAGAGACACGGCTCGCCAAACAGGGAATCTGCCATGGCAGTTCTGTGACCTGGCTGAGCTTTGAGCAAGCCTGTACAGACTCACACTCCATGCCAAGAATGACCTGGTGCTGTGCTGACCCAAAAATTAAGTCCCGGGGCTGGTCCTTGTCGCATCGGAGCCTACCAACTTGTGAATGCGAAGTCCGGGCATTGCCGCTCTCCCCAAGTCATCCATTGTGAACTACCCTTGTCTGTCGATGGAAAAACGGGCTGATAGACGCCTAGCAGCAGGCGACCAAGACGACGTATAAAATCATGACTTCATTCTTCTCAAGCAGGGCTAGGAAAACAGATACTTTGACAAGCATCACAGCAGAGACTGTGACGTGAACGAGCTAGGATGTAGATACCAGAATGCAGCACGACTGTGCGCTTGCATCTTGGCAAACAAGGCTTCTATTGTGGACTCGTCGCGTGAGTCGGTCAAGTGCTCTTGCTTCACGTATATAAATAAAGGCCCACCCAAAACTCTGCTTCCACAACTCGTCTCTTCTCTTCTTCCATCTACACCCGTGACAACACCAGACATCATTCATTGAGGAATCCTCCTAGCCTCGCATCTCTTCCAATCACTCATCATGCCCGACTACACGTACAAGTCCTCTGGCACCAACTCCCAGGTTCGTATCCACGTATAACAAGCGCTGCCCACCAAGCTCTTGCTGACCGGTCCCGTGACACTAGGGCAACCACTACTGCGCCCGAGACTACGGAAGCAGTGCGTCAAACTCCAACTCGTACCACTACTCCAACACGTAAGTGCATACCTCTAGTTGTGGTGACATACGACATTAAGTCTGCTGTAGCGATGGCTCGTACTACTATTCCAATCCCAACGGTAGTACCTACCACAACAATGGTAATGGAGGATCGACATATACCTCGGCAAGCGGCTCAAAAACCTCGTCAAACAGCAAGTGAGTCCTAGAGACGGCCATTCTTGGCTGGGAATTTGGGCAATGGGAGAACAGCAGTCTTGACTCGCCTAGATGTTGCCAAGAGGAGCAATAAGGTCCCAGATTGCATTCACACTGTTCCATTTGTGACCTTCTTTTTCGAGCTGGCCCATATTTTTGGAATAGGCGGCGAAGCTCTCAATATACCGCTCTATTCGTCGATTGCTTGGTGTAAATATCGAGTTTTTCCATTTCCATGCATTGTCGATCCTTCAAGACGCGACCAGCTGTTGCCTCCAAAGCCTCATCACATCCTCGACCATAGACCGCGAACGCCTTGCCCTGATACGAAAGCTCCTGCACCTCTATAGCCATGCTGGCACTGGCTTCCCGTCCCGTCATCATCCATGGACGGAATAGTACACAACCAGCGAGATAATCAGCCCCGGATACAGCACCCCCTCAACCCAGAGCTGCTGTTTCAACGTGCCCCTCTGCTCCTGCGTCAAACAGCCCCTCTCGCCTTTGCCGTACCATGCAATCGTCGCATCAAACTTTCCGTACAGCGCCAACACCCCGATCAGCGGGAAGAAGACGGCCGTGACAAAAATGACCAAGAACACCCGTCGTTGGTGCGCGTCTTCCTCGCTACACCCGTGTCGGCGGCGGCGGCACAGAATATCCTCCCTGGCGGAGTGGATCAGGTCTGATTCCGACGGTGTGAAGAAGCCGTGCTTGAAATTTGGTGCCCGAGACGTGTGCCTGCTTTCATCATCTCGACGCTCGCGAGTGCGTGCCGAGAAGCCGCTAAGGCGAAAGAAGCGCGCGCTGAGGAGCGACGTGTTGGTTGGGAGGGAGTTGCGGAAGAATGAGCCCGAATTGGGGTCGATAACGGCCGACGAGTTGACTTGTCCTTGGGTCGGGTCGTACGCTTGAGGGAACAGGATTAGATAAAGGCTCGGCACTTGTGAAAGATATTACCGTCAAGGGACTTACGGAGAGCCCTCGCGGGGCTGTGTCGGCGATACGCCTGTGGCGGCTTGGGTATGCCACTAGTATCCGAGAAGTCTCCCGCAAGCGTGATTGGGGTTTTGGGTCCGTACGAAGAAACGGTGCTGATTGTGCGGGAGCGTCCTTTGGAGACGCACATGGAGCCGGACGTATTGTAGTCTGGCTCTCCTCGGGTGGTGCCCTGGGACTGGCGAAGAGCCGCTTCCTGCAGACTTATAAGTGGGAAGGGAAGGCTCGGAACATTATAGTCAGCTGAGGGGTCCTCGTGGGCAAAATCTCTGGATTTATGTAACCCGCTTATGTCGTGGTTTCCATGGCCCAGAATCCCCCGAGAATCCTGTCTATGCCGCGGACCGGACCATCTGCCGTGTCGGGGGGTGAAAACTTCCACAGCGGCTCTAGGAGACCTGGGAGGTGTGGTGTCGAACTTGCTCTGCTCTGGCTCGGAATCTAGGCTGCTGTAGCTCATTATCGGCTTGCGCATCTGGGAGAGTTTGCTCGAAAACTTCGGTCTGTTCGAGACATCGCTTGACAGGCGGCTGAGTTGCCGGACTGCCGCCAAGGGACGAGCAGAAGGAGGTCGAGAAGTCTTGTAAGTCGACTGAGAGAGCCCACGGGGTGATGTTCGGGCATGATCTCGGTTGGAAAACATGTTTGCCTGTTGGCGAGTCTGATGGGGGTCCTTGGAGTCTGCATCAGCACCAAGAAAGTGACCGAACGATTCGTACTCGGACACATCCGACACATTGGCTAGACTGCTCCCCGCGTCTCTATCCAGCCGAAGCGTCAGTTCCAAGGCCCTGTGGGGGGCTTGTTCCGTTGTCATGGTCTGCCAGTCGCTTCCGGTGTCCTTTTCAGCAGCTGTGATGTTCACTAGCTCATCGAGCCTGGACAGTGGGTGCTCGTTGGTACTCGGACTCAAGTGAGCGTGCTTTATAACCGGGACTTTGACCGCATCATCGACTTTCTAAGTGGATTGAATGGCGGCGTTGTCATAAAACGAGCCTGGCTGGAACTGCCTCCGCAGACTCTGCTGTTCACCCCTTTGCGGAGAGCAGACGCGCGTGCTCAGGGCTTCGCTGGAGGCTTCTGCGCGGTAGAGAGCTCTACTGACTTCTTTCTCGGCCGAGGGCTGGAGAAACACGGAATAGTCTGCGCCGTCGAATTTGAAGGGATCGTTGCTCGCTCGGCTGGACGACTTGGAGTAGCTGGCTACCAGTTCACCTTGGGCGTTCCGGCCAAAACCCAGTGTGGCCGGCCGGTTCTGGGCCAGAGTGCGAAAGGTTTCAGGGTGCCAGTCCTGACGCTGAGACTTGTCGACGGCAGTGTCATCTTCGTAGACGCTGGATGCTCGCGGCCACTGAGAAGCATGCTTGGGTCGATTGCTGTTGAGCATTGTCATTGCACGACCCAAGTTGCGAGACGAGGTCGTCGGAATGAAAGCAGTATTTCTGTACTGTGTGCGCTCCGCAAGTTGACCAACGCGATCCAGAGAATCATGGGCCTGGAATGAGCGGCCGGCGTTTTGCACACGCTGTCCGCGATTGATGCTTGGTTTGAGAATGACGTCCTCATCAGGTGCGACGGTTTCCCACTCGGAATTTGTATAGTCTTCATCCTGAAGAATGGGCTTGAGGCAGTAAGAGACATGGCTTCCGGTAGACTGTGACGGCTTCCAAGACGGATGCTCTGCCACGAAGCCTTTTGGCCTAGCACTGGAAGCATCGCAAGTCTCGAGATTTTGGAGCTGGAGAATTTCACCGTCGCAAACAGTGTCAGAGAAAGGGTTAACGCGGTCTTGGGACGTGTTGTTTGTTCGTCTCTGATCCAGCCCATTCAGGGCTTCAGTCATGTCGGTCCATTGAACAGACTATCAAACATCATGGTTAGAGCTCCGTCATGGCATGTCTTGAGGAGAAAGAAATCCCGTCAACTTGCAAAGAAACATACGTCAACAGAGTCCGACTCCATGCTAGTCGCGGAGCTGAGCAGTCCCGGATTGTGCGCCTAGTCTCTCGTGTAGGTTTTTCGGTCTTTCCCACAGCAGTGTTGCTACGCTGCTTTCAGTCAATTGTCAGCTAGTGACTGCAAATGGTGAGTCGACAGGTCTCTCACTCGACTTCACAACATCACCGGGCTGCAAGGAGTTGGAGTTGGACTGTGCAAACACGACACGGTGTGTGGTGGCCCAAACGCGGTAGGCTCCGGTGGATATTGCACCCTTGCTTGCAAAAGAAGAAAACAGGCCTGGCTTTGGCCAAATGCTCCGTCGACGATGTCTCGGCTGGGTTTGTTGATGGAAGGGCGGCAAGGTCACTTCAATCCGCGGGCGGTGAATTGCCGGCAAGAAGAAATTGTCAGTCACACAGAAGTAGTCTGGCGTTCGAAATAAAACAGAAACAAGCGGACAAGCATTTGCACTTAGTGAGCTGAGGATATATTCTAGACCCCTTTATTTTTTCCAAGAAAGATTATTTCGTCCGCCATGGTGGGCAGCAGGTAAAAGTCAAGTAGCAAACCAGATCGTAAGAATATTTTGTTCTATATGTAATATCCCTTATATAGCTCAGCATTTACGATCTTAGGCCATTTTACATGTACAAATCTAGTTTCGCAGTTCAAGCCAAGCACGTAAATTGCCAATATCTCGCGTGCGGTTTTCTCCGTGGCCCTTTGCAAGTTCCAAACCACCTGGACTGATGATTGACTCGAGCACCCACGTTGGCAACTTGGCAGCCGATGTTTGTGGCTTCTGAGCTGGCTAGATGGCTAAAGTCAATCGAAACAGAAACTTAAGAATGATTGGATTTGCAACTCTGTCTTTCGGGACAAAAGCAAACACTGCCTCTCCATCCTAAGCCGGAGAATGATATCTGCAACGTGTACCTCCAAGGTTGACGATTCTTCTGTTCATCGAAGACTCTGCCACTAGATCCACTGAAATTGTTCTTGGTAAGCGGATGCATAGAGGCCGTGAATGTATGTCAGCACGCTGTCCGGTGTCCAGAACCCCAACGATCTACCGTACCGACCTAGGTAGATAGGCCAGGGGAGTTGGCTGCTTCACCGAGTCTCCAGGTGTCATGTACTCCGTAGCGGTTCCAACTCTTTTGTTACCATGCACCGTGCTCAAGTGGAATTTCCTTCCCCCCTCGTGCATACTCCGTACGCAAGCGTGCTATGAAAAGGTACTTCATTGTGGGTTCGTGGGGTTTGTGGATCGGTAACCACTCCAACAAATGCAATTCATCAGTCGGAGTCCGAGAGAACTGGTCAGATCATAGATGTTTGTGTTTCGCTCGGGAGGATGGCTAGAGCCGTGGTCGAGAACTTGTAGAAAAGCAGGCCCGTCTTCCCAACCCAGTTCGACAATCCTCTTTCTTCTAGTTGGAGACAATTGGCCTTGCTCAGCCCGGGTAGGTAGGGCGCCTCTTCGAATCTAGGGGTGGGCGCCATCGAGGTTTCTCCATTGGCATCAACGCGCACCTACGCGCGCATCGGTGGTCAGCAAGCGACTGATTCGACAAGGCAAAGACATGGACATGAGCTGCACACCAGGCGCCGGTCCTCGGATTTATTTGGAGGAGATACGAGGCGCGGCGGACTTGGCGTCCACTCACAGTCAGTCAGTCTCGACTCTCGACTCTCGAGTGATTAGAGTTTCAATGTTGCCGCGACCATCCGCCTTCCTCCCAAGTGCGTGCTCTGCTTCCCGCAACAGCTAGTCCCGTCCCGGCCAGCCAGCAGCCCAATTCAAGCTCCGGTGCTCTTTCCTCAAACTTCGGCCGATGCTCCTTCCCTGCCCCATCAATATCGTCAACCTGAACAACCCGACGCCAAGCAAACCGCAGTCGCAGTCGCACGTCGTAGATCGCAAACCGCAAACCGCAAACCGCCCGGCGGTGTTTGTCGCCGTTGGAGCAGTCCAAGTCGGCACCGCCAATGGCTTTTATGACTTGGGTTCTTTCCACCAGGCTTGCATGAACAAGTCGCATTCCTGTCTTCCCCCTTCGGCCCCCATTCCTGGCCCTTTGTTCCGAGCACACCAACATCCGAAAGTCATCCTGCGCTGTCCCTCGACTCGGGGCCACGACCGGCTTTGCTGCCGTCTCTGCCGTCCGCAGCGTTGCAGCCGACCGACTTGTCTTCTCTCCTCTCTCTTGTCCTGGAACCGTTTCGTTCCATCCAGCCAATATTCTTCCTTGATAGTGCTATCTCTGGTCCCGGCTTTCCCGCTTGCTCGTCACCATGTACTATGGCTTCGCCCGGGAATCCATCGTCGTGGGACGAGCTCCCGGATGAGCTTCTTCTCCAAATATTAAGCTGTAAGCCGTTGCCCCTTCGCCTTCGCCCTCAACCTTCAAGTAGGCCTGCTGGGCAAACTAGTTCTTTTTTCCTCCATAGACTCTGCACATTCTGTGCCTCTAAAAACAGACGACTAGCTAACCAAACATGGTTGACATGACGTTTCAGATCTCGAGCCATACCATATTACCAAGCTGCAACTTGTCTGCCACAGGCTCCGCAAGCTCTGCCTCGATGACGAGTTGTGGAAGCTCTTGTCCTTCGAGAATTCGCAATGGTACCAATCACTCCAGCATCGCCGCAATATTTCCCGGCCCGTGGTAGAGCCACATGAAGATGCCTCTGTTCATGATCCCATCCAAATAGACGGTGGTGCTGGTTCCTCCCCTACCGACACAACATATCGAGACGACTGCTTGACGACATGCAGCCTTACCAGCCGCTCTCGGAAGCTGCAGGATATGGCCAACTGGGATCCTGTATTCCCAGGCGAACGAGTATCATGGTACGACGAATATGTTCAAAGACATTGTCCTACATGCGTGAACTGGCTGCAAACCCCGCGCCTACACGACCGCGGAGTTGAGGCAACCATAGAAGTACGCGGAATGGCATTATACAGTCCCCACGGCGGGAACGACGGTGTCGGGACCATGTTGGCAGTGTCTCCCTTGGATGACGGGTCGGTTTGTCTGTGGGATATCAACGGGACACGAGGTCGGCAGGGCGGCATCCTGGCCTCCAGCAATCCGGGTATACTCTTCATTGACGGTCCTGGTGATCAGAACAGCAAACGGTCCAAGAAGGTAGACACCGGTGTTACGGAGTGTGTCAGCGTGAATAATGATGGCCACAAAGCCTTCTTTGCCGTCCAAAGTCGTAAGGATTACTCACAACTCTTGCCTCTGCCACCCGTCCCGAACAATTACTAATTCATGTTCCCAGATCTCATTGAAGTGGACCTGAATCGTCTAGAGGCTGTAAGTCGGGAATCATTCGAGTGGTCCATCACGACCCTATCAGCCGTAGATCAAGGGGTTCCCTTGACTGTGGGCACTTCTCTGGGCATTCATCTTCACGATTTTCGTACGAGGGCAATGAAATCTCGAGATTTAGTTGAACGACTCGACGAAATCCAGTGGGGCGGGACCGATGTTTTCAAGATGATCTTCGACACCAAACCGCTTCCCCCATACGCATCGTTGTCCCAGCCTACTCCCATTAGCATCCTCCATCTTCCTCGGCCTGGCTCACATAATCTAGTGTCGGACGACATTTACGTCTCTGGCCGATTTTCCAATATATTGCACTACGATCGGCGGAAATTTCCGGCCATAGTAGGATCCATCTACTCTGGTGCATTGATCAAGAGCTTGGCCGCCCTGCCGTATCCATTCTCCACCGTCGACACGGAAGTGCGCCGCCACGGTGAACTCACAACTGAGCAGGTGGCCCAGTTGAAATCAGACGGCGAAGGAAGGACCTTGATCGCCGCCGGTGGCTACAAATCTAAGGGGTCTCTTGAGATCTACGGTCTCAGTTCGGCAGCTGGCGCCGGCGAGAAGTCGACTCTGCAGAATTCTGTAACGAAAAACAGGCAAACTGCTGCGTCATCCACCATTTTATCCGTGGCCAACCACGGCTCCAAAATTGTCTTCTCAGATGGATCGGGGTTCATCAAATGGTTTGAGCGAGACGGGTCTACCGAGTGTCGGCGAATGAAGATTGGGCGTAGTGATGCGGAAGAGGCGTCCTCATTGTTTGCTTCCACGGCCGGCTCAGATGACATGGCCCGCAAAATCGTATCAACGAAATCCAACCATGGCAACGACCGGCCAAACAACGACAATATTCTGCTGTGGACTGGAGAAAAACTAGGTCTCGTGAGCTTCACCAAGTTCCCGTTGTTTGACGGGACGGATTTTGAGTTCCAGGACCCGGAGAGCAATGTGGAAAATGAAAAGAGAAGAGAGTATACGCACAGGATGCGACGCGCTCTGGCACGTCAGGCAGATGAGGTCAAGTTTATTGGAAGATTAGGCGATCCAACATATAGGCCACGGTAGATATTGACTGCATATCATGGCGTTTTGGGCACGGTCAAAGACACTTGCGTACTTGAGCGAGATTCGATACATTACATGAGCGTCAATGAGTTTTCAATCAGTGCTTACAGTGTGGAAAGCCGGCGCGGCTATGAATATTTTTTGGTATATGGTTGTAGCTTGGTGATAAAGACGTGTGGTCTAGTATATGGTGATTAGGCTATCGCAAAGGCAAGTTGGTGGTATAACATTATAGATTTTGCTTAGACTTGCACAGCAAAGACTTTCTCGTCGAGCTTCACATGGTAATGCTTCACACGTGTCCAAATCTCTCTGAAACAGAACTGAAAACCCGACCAGTAGTAGCTAGAGTCTCGTTCGAATGCCAGCTCTTTCCCTGGCACCTCAGACAGCTCAGCTCCTTTTCGGTGCAACAAAAATTGACTCCATTTCAGGCTCGATCCAGCTCCAGGGTAAAAGCGACACCTCAAATACGGCCACGCTACTCCGTACTCCGTATAATCATATCAAGGTGACATATCAGCTGCAGGGCAGGGGAGGCCCAATTGATGGGTAACAAGCATGGATGTCCCGGTGTACAAATGACCAAACTCCGATTGCAATCCAATGCAGGACACCAGTGCATAATGCGTCTCTTATTTGCGTGCCCAAGGCAAAAACGGGTAGCTGTGTCGATGTAGGAATGATGTCAAGCGCTACCTGCCCGGTTGGGCGACCTTGATTGCTCGCTGCCCAATGAAGCCTTTGGTATTTGCAAAGACACGCGTTACAGTGCAGGCGTACAGCTGGCCCCCCCTTCAATTCAGGAGTTGAACGAGAAAACACGAAATTTGAGGCCAACTCAAGTCGCTCTGGGATGGACGCCCTTGGGTGTGCTGCATAACAAGCCCGTCGAGATTTCAGGGACTTGTTTGCCCCTGCGTGTGAGTGTGTCGTGGGCGTCCTGTGCTTGATATCAATCCACAATGTACGGAGTAGAAGCGCAAAAGTCCTATTCGTGCTAAGGCGTGAGGCTGACGAATGCCGGTCAGGGGAATTTCGGTAACTGGAGCCCAACGCGCCGCTTGTCTGTTGAAGGCAGTTTTGTTGTTCATGCTGCGCTGGGCTGTCGGGCATGACAGCATTTGATGCTGCGCTGCCTGTTTCTCTGTTCAAAGGTAAATCAGTCATTTTGATTATGATGTTCGGCAGATAGACCAAGACGGGAAAAGAGTCAACTGCAAGGAGAAGAGCATCAGCTGCTGTACAATGTCGGCCTGGGAAACCCGACTGGACAGGCGGCAAGCAACCAACACGAGTCCGCCAGACGGGCTATGCTGAACGTGTGCATGGTGGCCCTGGATGTTCTGGCTGTGGGGCTGGACGTTGATGTTGATGCAGGGTGATGAGAGATGCAGCCGGGACTGTGACTTGATGCGCACAAAGACGCATGATGCAAATTTTCGCCATGTGAGCAGTGAGCACCATCAGTATGGCCATGGAGAAGGACGCCGATGATAACACTGGAGGCTTGTTTCCGGGGTTGGCGGGTGCGGACGAGTGTGCGCCAATGATGAATGATGGTACGGAGGCTTGCCAACTCGGTGCTTCAACCCCAGGGAAAATGTGGTTGAGGGTCGAATGAGGTCTCGAGGTGCGCGGTTCCTGGTTCGTACCGTGGCTGACTCACAGCTGGTGGCGAGGACTCGTTCCATCTGTGTTCATCTTCGTACCTAACATCGTGTTTGGCCGGGGCTGGTGGACTTGGCCCTGAACTGGACGCAGCCCTCCCTGGCCGGCTGATGTTGACGGCACCCAAGGATGCAAGTGGCCAAGGTCTGTCCATGACTCCAGTATGCCGTACTCCGGGCAGGCAACAGGGTGAAATGTGCGTGGAGCCAAAGTTCTGCCAAAGTTCACGTCGTGAGCGAGTGAGAGAGCGCTTGAGAGGGGGGGGCCAAGAGGATCCCAGGAGGCCTATATCTGCCTGGAAGCTGGAAGGTGCATCCTGCAAACGATGGCCACGACGCTCTTGCCGACTGGATTCAAGCAAAGTTGAGCACCTGGGCGGGCAACAGGCTGACCAGCTCGACCAATTTCGGAAGTGCCAACCGGCCTGGCTTCTTTCCACTGCTCTCCATCACTTTCTTTCCCAGCCAGTGCATCACGGCTTTTTCTCACCGTCGTCGTGGCCGCAAGTTTATCGTTGCGTGCCTGGCAGCGCGCATCGCTCGCTGGTGCCAACTCGTCCACGCTGTCCGGTGTCAGGTCACACAGACCCTGATCCCGGTGGCCCTGTCTCAGTGGCTTGGTCCACCATCGTCACTGCTCAGCTCCGGCAGCCGGCCTGGCGCGGGTCCCTCTCTGTTTGTTTCCTTGGTGCTTCGTGTCCATGTACACCGCCCAAAAGAACTGCTTTCGGCCGCCAACAAACTGAATCTATATCTGTCTTCTATATTTCACCATCGAAACGTCCCTCGCTCATCTGACAAGCTCCGCTGGCCCCTGTCTTTTTTCGAACAGAAAATATCTCGTTGGGACCACAGTATTTGAAGCTTGCCGAATAGCATGTCCTTTTGGGTGGTAGAAAGACAAAGCCGCAGCCCGCTTCTTGACGGATCATGTACTGCTTGCCGTCACGTCGATTACCGAGACTTCAGCATAAATACAGGTACTCATGACGACGACTATTGCAGCATCCATGGTAGGATCAAAAATCCTCACTGGCACCCGGATAACTCTTACGACAATGGCTGTCAATATGCATTCCACGAGCACGTGGCCCAGCAGCATTCGGTACCAGTGCCGAAATTGGCATTTCTTGTTATTCACCAAGGCGATGACTGCCTGTCAACCCCGTCGCCCTCACCGTCCCCGAAACCACCATCTTTGGATGACGCTTCCAACGCTTTCCACACCCGAAGCGCTATTCCCGTCCCTTTGGAACGTACCGAATCTGGTTTGTCTATATCATCTGATGCCTCGGCACATCATGACGACAGCTCGACAGACCATGACCGATATGGACATTCGCTGGAGGACCTTGAAGCCGCAAGACTTGTCCGTCAACACATTTCAAGTTACCGCCGCAGATTTCCAGACTCTCAGCCTGAACGAATCTTGAAAGCACTCATCAACCCAAAGTCTCGAGGTGCAGAATTTCGACTGGACAATGACGCTTTGCAGAGCATATTTTCTGCATCTAATGAGCTTTTTTTTGCCAGTCGTCTAACACGCAGGGTTGCTTGGGACTGGAGCCACTCCGCATCACAGCAGTACGATAATCACATTGTTGGCACCACTGCTCTTCGACGAAGCGCGAGGCTTGGGGGGTGGGAAACATTGATCGTGCTTTCCTCGCCTATCCTCAGAGACAATCAATACAATCGGCGGCTACTCATCTCTACATTCTTACACGAAATGATCCACAGTTTCATGTTTGTCACCTGCGGACTCAAGGCTAAGCAATTCGGAGGTCACACTGATGGGTTCCGAGAGATTGCAGGTATCATTGATGACTGGGCTGGAAAAAACTGCCTACACCTGAGAGACATGGAGGCGGATCTGTCTCGCTGGCGTGGCGACGACTTCTCTGCTGGCGATCATGCCCGGGGCCTTGACTATATCAACGATACAGCACAAGCACACTTCGAACAAGCGGACTGGAACGGTCGGTGCCAGGCACACAAATATGGAGATTACCTACAGCCCACATACCCGAGAGGACGTGCGGCGCAGGAGGAATGGAATTGGAATACGCAAGAAGGCTTCGGAGAAGGCTCACAATATGTGGCCAATTTGCAGTATGTTCCTGGATAAGTCAAACTGCAACAGAAGCCGCTTCTTTCTCTTCTTATCGACGGGCTTTGTGGCGTAATATTAATGCTGGTGTATTTCTGTCATGGCGCCTGTCTTGTGTTGGGGAACTGGCATGTACGCGGAGTTTTGAGGCTTTTGAAGTTTAGCATGCACATTTTGTAGATCAGCATCGTGTACTCGGTAATTTGCAGCATTTCTAGCGACACCCATCACAGGCCCTGAAAGTACTTCATGAATTCAAACTTCTCTTTTCTTCTTCTCATCAACCAACGCATGCAATCTAAGCCGATTATGTGAATATCAACGCCGTTTATGCAAGTCTTAATATGCCCCTCTCTATGAAGTTGGGAATCATCTTGAAACAAATATGATCAGGAATCGGGTCAGTCAGTGACCGCTACTTGTCAGTTCCGAGTCAGGCCGGGATTAGTTTTGGCGAGCAGTAGAGGCCGCTCCGCTTTTGGGGCTTGCAAGCAAGGGTTCTGACTCTTCTGATTCGATGGCAGAGTCGTCGATCGCAGATTCATCTGCAAGAACGCGGCTGCTATTGACCAGGGTTTCATTATCCTCGGCATCGCTGTCCTCAGCAGAAGCGGTCGGACCGTTACCCTCGACAACCCAGAAGACGGGAATGGCGCCTAGAACAGCCATGGCAGCCAGAAAAAAGTATGCTGTGACGACGTATCCATTCTTAGCTCCCCAGGTGAAGGCAAGCCCAGTACTCGCAGGACCCAGCGCTCTGCCGAAACCACTGAACATGGTGACGAAGCCATTCAAAGTACCCAAGATTCTCAACGACTTGGCCGAGTTGGTGAGCAGGATGGTGACTGAGGGGAAAGCAACGATGATCGAGAACGCCTTGAGCGCGAGGACGAAGGCAAGGGCCAAGAGTCGCGATTCGGATGTCGGAAATAACGATGTATATGGCGTGAGGATGTAGGCAATGGGCATGATGACACCTAACGCCGTCAGTCTGTTGGCCAAAAGTTTGCAGTTGAATGTGCGGGAGAGGGTTTCCTCACAACAGGTTTTATAGCAATTCAGAACACCCCATCGCGTGACCATGGGAGAGAAGAGGATAAACTGGACAAGACCACATGTGATTCCATACAGCATGAATATGGTTCCAATGGTACCCGACCCCAGGCCGAACCCGCCGTTGAAGTAGAAGGGGAGTTTTGTGTTTTCAGGAGTGTGCTCCATTACAGGGTAGTTTAGAAAAACTGTGACATTTTGATCAAAGGCCACAGAGTGCAAAGCAAGGAAGAAGTATGCCAGGATAATCAACACGGTTTGCTTGGTAAAGATCTCTGGGGAACCGGGGGTTGGCAAGTCGCGTGGTTTCTTGGGCCGAATTTGGCTGGGAACAAGAGGTGCGGTAGCCTCGCCATCTACAAAAGATCTGCGTCGCCTGTCCTGTGTCTTGTCCCATTTCAATGCTCGGCCAAGACGTTTGCCCCACAACAGTCCCCAGTCTCGTTCATCTCGTTTCCCAGCAAGTGTTTCCTATGGGTGAAAAGACGGGCATCATCAGAAGGGGTGCTTAGCGTTAGGCCGGCTGAGAGCATACCTTGAGGAAAAGCGTCGCGCCCGTGACGGAGACGAGGAAGAAGACGGTAGCAATCAAGTTGGGTAGAGCATATGGAAATTTCTCAAAGAACCACACACCCCCAAACAACGAAGGATATTGTCTGGCAGGATCGGCAAAGAATCCGCCAAATGCTGGGCCAACCACTGAGCCCAATGCCCAGACGAGGGGCATGATAGAAAATGCCCTGGGTTGAAGCTCTTTCTCGGGCACCAGTTCGGCCACCATGGTTCGAATGATCCCAACTGAGAAAGACGGTCAGCCATGGCGAACCTGGAAACATGGGCGGTAAAGATGCAAAGACACGAACTGTTTCCGTTGCTGGCTCCCTGAATGGCACGCACGGTAATAGCCATGGGCAAGCTGGTTGACAGTCCCCACACAAGAAAGCAGGCCATTGTGCACACCAAGCCGGTGATCAGGCTTGGTTTCCTCCCCCACGAGTCTGCTATCTTCCCCCAAGGCACGGCAGAGAAGCTCTGGAAGACTGAGAAAACGGCCGAGGTAATGCCAGCCCACTTTGCGACTTCGGTTTCTTCGACGCCAAAATCGCGGACCATCTGGGGAAGATATGGATATATAGAGGTCGTGGCGAGGGGTTCTGCAAACCTTGCAACAGCTGTAGTGATTGTTAGCAGCAGGAGAGGATGGGCTGAAAGCAAGTCTTGAAGTGCGCGAGGAACGCGGACCTCCTCGCCCTGCTATATGCGCAAGCAACCGCAAGGCGTGGTTTCAACCTCACGAGCGTTTGAGTCTCCCCCCGGTCATGCCTTACCAAGAATTGTCAACTGCTGCGTTGGAAGCTTCGGCCGCGGTGGCCTTTGCGATTCATCATCGCTCATGTTCCTGGGTGCTGCTTGTCGAGAGACAATGACGAATGGCTGTGGCGTTCTTTGCGGCTGCGGGAGTCTGTGTGTGAAGAATCAAGATGACGGGGATGGGGAAATTGTGGCTTGATTCCCATCAACGAGTGGACATGGTCATGAGCAATGCTAATAAGTCGTCACAGAAAAGCCTATACTCGTCGTCAGCCAAATGATGCAAGGGGGGGCCGAGGTAAAGGACGAGAAATCGAGAATGAAGTCGCCAACCACGCGACAAAGAACTAACTTTCGGCGCATTATTAATAAACGAGCGAGGAGTCCTGAGGACAACCAGACCCATGTCAGTCGCTGAATCTCCACCAAACCGAGGTTGCGCTGGGTGGCGCCAATTATATCTTAGTCGACCAGACCGGCGGCCAGGGTCAACGGATACGGTTGGGCTGCGACGCCATTCTTCGACATGTCGACTTGGTACATGGCGGTAGAGAGGAGGGCCAGAGCCTGGAATATCTTGCTCGACAGGACGGATGATAGTAGATGTTTGCCTTTCCGTGCGAGTGCACAAGTGCTCGGTATGTTTCCTGTCAATAGATAAATAACCTGCTGCGGGCGGGTCAGACTCGGGCCGTGATCGGCGCTGGGGACTGGCGGCAGCAACTCATGTCCGCATCGGATGAGGAGCAAACGAGACGCGCAGTGCTGCGTACTTGGTAATCCGGGCAGGGTGCGGCGGCGTATTTGATGAAGTGCATGTGAGCCCGGGTATGTCGGACCGTGGTTTCGTCAAAGCCTGGGCCACGTCGGAATACTCAAGCCATGCCGTCGTGACACTCGGCCGAGACGAGAGGTTGTTGAGTCTTGACAGTGGGCACTGGACACGCATACATGGCGTCGTAGCTACTGACCTCTACTAACCCTCGGCCTCTCCCGTGCCGTAGCAGCAGCGACGAGATTGAACACGCGGAGTTGACGGCTGCTTGTTAGCTACTCAGAGCAGGCAGGAGCGACCCTGCAAGTATCGATGTCTGTCAATCCCGTCTCAGCACCGCTCGTTGACAAAGCAACAGCCGCGCGGAAGCCTCTGTCCAACCGGGGGTCGCGTTCTGCTGAATAAATCAGAGCCCCGCAACGGACCATTGACCTCCCCGGCTCTGTCCGACCGCTGGGGGCACCCGCAGCCGTGATTCCATCTGTTCAACCTCAGCTCTCTGCGGAGAAAGGAGGGCAAAAAAAAAGAACAACAAAAATTGTTGGTCCAAGAGGACACGGTTGGAGGCCTTCGACAATCAATCAGTATGGGCAGTCTGTGAGTTCAAACTCCGACTGCAATCAAACGTCTCCGCATCGTGTCGCATCCCCGTCCCGCGTGCCGCGCACTCCCGTCATGATCAGTTCAGACTTCACAGGTTGGCGGCAGTGTGGCGAACCCCAACCAACCCATCACACCCAACCACTTCACGTTTTCTTTTGCTTCAATTCTTGGCTTATGGATCTTTACTGAAACCATCAGGTCTTCATCCCACTTTGCTGAAAAGATGGCCACCGAGTCGACACCGTTAATCCAGACGGTCCGTGTTGCGCCGCCGCGCAGGAGGTATCGACACGACACTCGTCGGCGCTTCTGCACCATTGCCTGCACTTGTCTCCTCATACTCGGATTCACCTCATTTCTTGTCAACGTATTTTTCATCTGGCCATACCACCATCACCATGGCCATCACAGCCACTACTCGCACTCGCATCAGCAAGGCAAGCGCCTATCTCACCAGGAGGTCGAGAAGATCTTCTTGGAGACCCCAAGCGCCGATTGTGCTGAAGAGTGGAGCCGATATTACACCTCTGGCCCTCACTTGGCGGGCAAGAATTTTTCTCAGGTTGGTCTCGTCGGTCTGGGCCGAATACCTGCTGTTCACTAGCTAACCCTCGCCCAGGCCGATTGGACAAGGGAGAAATGGCAAAGCTGGGGTGTTGACGCTAGCATTGCCGAATACGATGTGTACATCAACTATCCCTCCGACCACAGTCTTTCTTTGCTGAAGAAATCCGACGCGGATGATACGTGGAGTGTGAATTTCGATGCCTCTCTGACCGAGGCGGTTTTGAAGGAGGACCCTACCACTGCGCTCGATAACGGAATCCCCACCTTCCATGGATACTCTGCCAGCGGCAACGTCACCGGTCAGTTTGTATACGTCAACTACGGAACCTACCAGGATTACCAAGACCTTGTTGATGCTGGCATTGATCTCAAGGGCAAGATTGCTCTTGCCAAATACGGAGGCATCTTTCGAGGCCTCAAAGTGAAGCGTGCTCAAGAGTTGGGTATGGTTGGTGCTGTGATTTACAGCGACCCTGGTGACGATGGTGACAAGACTGAGGCCAACGGATATGAGCAGTACCCAAAGGGCCCTGCTCGACATGAGAGCAGCGTTCAGCGTGGAAGTGTTCAGTTTTTGAGCATACGTCCCGGTGACCCGTAGGTTGTTGCCTTTTTCAATTACCAAGCTCCTGGCGAGATGGACTCATTGCTGACACCTTTCGCATAAGAACTACCCCAGGCTACCCTTCTAAGCCTGGCGTTCCACGAGCACCTGCTGATGATACCACGCCAACTATCCCCTCCATTCCCATATCCTACGTCGATGCGATTCCCATCCTCAAAGCTTTGAATGGACATGGTCCAAAGGCCTCTGACATCAGCAGCTATTGGACCAAGAATCTGGGCCTCGGCTACAAGGGCGTAGACTACAATATTGGGCCCTCTCCCGATGATCTGGTTCTCAACTTGTACAACGAACAGGAGTATGTCACCACCCCCCAGTGGGACGTCATTGGGGTCGTCAATGGAACAATACCGAACGAGGTCATTGTTGTGGGCAATCATAGAGATGCGTGGATTGCTGGTGGTGCTGCGGACCCCAACAGCGGCTCAGCCGTGTTGAACGAAGTTGTACGCAGTGTTGGCAAGGCACTTGAGGCGGGATGGAAGCCTCTCCGAACCATTGTATTTGGCAGCTGGGATGGCGAGGAATACGGTCTCGTCGGCAGCACCGAGTGGGTCGAGGAGTATCTCCCCTGGCTTTCCGATGCCAATGTTGCTTACATCAACGTTGATGTCGCCGCGTCTGGCTCATTTTTCCAAGCCTCTGCTGCTCCTCTCCTCAACCAAGTCTTGCGGGACGCGACGCACAAGGTTCCCTCGCCCAACCAAACCGTCGCCGGTCAGACTGTCGGAGATGTCTGGAGTGGCAAGATTCGTACCATGGGCAGCGGCAGTGACTTTACTGCATTCCAAGACTTTGCCGGCGTCCCCTCGATTGACATGGGCTTCAAGCCAGGCTCCAACGGCCCCATCTATCACTACCACAGCAACTACGACAGTTTCCACTGGATGCATGACTATGGCGACCCAGGCTTCCAGTACCATCTGGCACTGTCCAGAGTTCTTGGAATGCTGTTGTCAGAGCTGGTCGATACCATTGTCATTCCCTTTGGCGCCACCGAGTACGCCGATGCTTTGGGTAAATATCTCGACAAGGTAGGGGCCAAGCTCAACACCGAAGAGGACCCAACCACGGAGGAAGCCATGTTCGCATCGCGGGGGGCTGCGCGCTCCAAGGATCCCAAAGGCAGCACTGATGCTTTTGAAGCCAGCCTCGTGAAACTGCGCGTCTCGCTAAGCAACCTGCGGGCTAAAGCTGTCGAGCTAGACGGACGTGCTGCATGGGCAAACAAGACACTGAGGCAGGGTCTCCCCTGGTGGAACATCATTGGCAAGATAAAGCTGTGGACCACGATTGCAAAGGTCAATTTCCAGTACAAGCGTTTCGAGAGACACTTCCTATTTGAAGGCGGCCTCGATAACCGCAGTTGGTTCAAGCATGTAGTGTTTGCGCCTGGGCTGTGGACTGGCTACTCTGGAGGTGAGAGGACGGCAAAGTGCAGTTACCTGATGCGAATGCTAATTCAAAGACAATAGCCGTGTACCCGGGTCTGATGGAGAGCATTGATGCCAAGGACTACAGCAATGGTCTGAAGTGGGCGGGCATCATTGACGGGTGTGTGAACAAGGCTGCGAGGAGCATATAGTCACCCGGACTGACACGAGTGGCAATGACGGCCGGCGAAGACGAAAAGTAGCAAGCAAGCCTGGAAAAGCAATCATTTTACAGATTATTTCCATGTCTGATGTGGAAATCAGCGTAAGCAAAGATGTGACCAGGTGTGTGCGCGTCGCATGGACTGTCCACAACACGACAAGATGAACATGGTGCGCGAAGGATGGGATTCTTGCGTTCCTTCAGCCTGCGGTCGGACCGAACCAATCTAGCCATTGACGACAACACCACCGTTGCAGTGCAGGGTCTGGCCGCTCACGAAAGAGCTGTCCATGGAGGCGAGAAACACGACGCAGCTTGCGATTTCGGACGGCTGTGCTGGTCGACCCATGGGACTGGTGAACTCCTTTTGCGCCTTCTCGCTCATGGTAGCCGGGATCAACGGAGTCCAGACTGTGGCGGCGGTGTCAGTCGGCCGCAACTCGCCAGAGAGCCTGGCACAGTGCACGCTGTATTGTAGTTGTACAGAGCCATACCTGGACCCGGTGCCACAGCATTCACCCTGATGCCTCTCGAGATGTACTGGTTGCTCAGTCCCCGTGTGAAGGAAACAATTGCGCCCTTGGACGACGTATAATCCAACAAGTCGTCACGCCCGATGTACGCGTTAATGGACGCGTTGTTTATGATGACGGAGCCGGCCTTCATATGCTTGAGGGAATACTTTGCCATGTAAAAGTACGAATGCATATTGACGTCGAAGGTATGAACCCACTGGTCGTCTGGCAAATCGAGGATATCCTCCACCATCATTTGATCTACCGGGCCGGGGTTAGCAAACGGCCCCGTTTTGGCGCCATGACGATGAGAAGACGAAAACTCACAGGCAGCGTTGTTGAACAGGATGTCGATGCCACCCATCGTTTCGAGGGCAAAGTCAACTGCCTGTTGGCAATTCTCCCTGTCGACCAAGTCGGCAGCGAAGAGGTGGCACGTCCCGCCGACGGCCTCGACTTGTCTCTTGGTGTCTTGGGCGTCTTTCTCCTCCTGGGGAAGATGGACGATGGTCGACGCCGCGCCCTCCTTTGCGAACAGGACGGCGGTGGCCGCCCCGATGCCGCTGTCGCCGCCCGTTATGAGCGCCCTCTTCCCATGCAGCTTGTTGGCCGCCTTGTAGGCCACCTTGTCCCCAGCGGCCCCGGGCAGCTCCTCACGGACGGGTCTGGGATGCGGCATGTCGCGCTCCTTGCCGGGGAACTCCTGCTTGGAGACAGGAATGTCTTTCTCTGTGGGGACGCTGCAATGAGAAAAGGGGACCGTCTACTCGAATGCTTCTAGAGTGAGCGCCTTACCGTTGTTGAACTGCGATGCCATTGTGTATTGCCTCTCGCCGGGGGGGTCAGTTGGCGGATGTCTTTTGACAAACAGCAAGATCTTGCCGCGGGACTTGGGCAATGATGGATGACGGGGGTGACGGGGATGACGGCGCGATATCCGAACACCACTGCGCACTCGGCCATCAATGATGTAGCCGGCGGGTGCTCCTTGCGGCTACGCCGGCCACGTTGGTTCGTATGACGACCGGTGATGCAAGCCCGTCGTCATATGTCGGATGTAAGCGCCCACTCCATCCCCGGCGCCGCATCCGTATATTTTCAACTACCAGTCAACGGTCTCGATTCGAGCGCACGAGTCTACGACGGGTGATGTCGCTCGCGAGGGTCGAGTCACACGCAGCACTGACGACGGCCAAGCGACGCGGCACTGCCATTTGCGCCAGCAGCCCATGGGCGACGAAACGAAATTCAAAATGTTTATTTCTCTCTAGCCATCTTTGGTTCCCTCGCCTTTTCTGGCTTGCCTGTCGCTTCGCTTCCAACGGCGTCTGGTCTCGCCAAGAAGAAATACGAAACCGCCAGTCCGACGCCCGCCAAACCTATCGCCCACAGCGTGGTGCTAGCGTATGGATTAGTATACGTGCTCCTTTCTTTTCAACCTGCGGGATGGAAAGGGTGAGGCCTAGGATATACTCGTTCTTGACCTCGGTCGGCCGCGCGGGCTTGTTTGCGCCAGGAATGCCGGCATGCGCCGCCCGTGCCGGAACGTGTGCTCGCGGACAGACGCCCGGCTTGAGGGCGAGAGCTGCTACACGTCTATTGAGCATCACGATGAGCACTTGATGCGGGAGGGGGCAGAATGTTGAGAGCAGGTTGACGCGGCGGAGTGACTTGGGTTTCGGGACTGCAAGTATATACAAGCCAGCCTGGCATGGCCACACCGGGGAACCTTTTCCCCGACGCGGCGCACCCGACATCCCATCCTCCTCCTGGGTGGTTCCATCCAGGATGGTTGATGTCATCAGGACCACATGGCGCCCTCGGGAACCTCGGGGAAGGGGGCGGCAGCGGCATGACGGCAGACAAATGTTTGGTCGATTGATCTGCTTAGGCTCCATGCGTGCATGAGCTGCGTCACGGCCGCTGCAGAAGCACCGTTTGAAACGGCCGATTGCTCCACGTTTCTGCACTCAAGTCTGTCAGCGCAAAGGCGTAGGAGCGGTGACGTGGAGATGACGATGACGACGACGACGACGACGGTTGGCCGCCATTTTCGCATTTGTAGTTGTTCTTCTCCTCCGGACTATTGAAAAAGGAAGCAGACATTGCTGAAAACCAAAACCACGCCCTCGTTTCGTGTGTATAGCACCACATCGAAACGTCGTCATCAAAGTCATGCCGCAGCATCTCAAAGACAAGGAGTCCAAGACAATCCGCGCGGGGGACGAGGTGTGGACTCCCGTTCGAGGCGGCAAGCACCAGGGAGTCGTGGAAGAAGTTTTCGGCACGGAACAAGAGGCCCAGAAAGCCGGTGCGAAGAATCGCCCAAAGGTACGGAGTATGCTATGGCTGGGCAGTGCCTCCCAGACACGCGGACCTCGCATGGCAAAGACGAGTACTCAACTATCAAAGGTCACCTTTACCGACCGACACGGCCACAAGGTGGCTCATGACCCGGAGACGTCGAAGCACGCAGGCGACTAGAGAAATTGGCAGCCGCACATTGGTCATGGCGGCCTACAATTACTTCCACGGCTGGTCTTGTGGCGCTCGATGACGCGACAATGTCATCTCGCCGCACATCTCAGGTCCGGTAGCCTTCTGCTCATGAGACTGCTACTCCGCAGAAGCAAAGTGCCTGGGAAATCTCGTAGCACAAAGGCCGTTTCGGCACAGCCGCATTGACTTATCCGTTGCCGGCGTCACCGTCACGATGGGGGCATCCTCTCCTCTCCGTCGCACACGTCACCGCCACGAGACCTCCACGTCACGACTACGCCGATGGTTGCAAGTGTGCCGACTGCATTCAAAACCAAGGCCGAGGCGCCCGTGCCCGTGCCCGCGCCCGTGCCTCTGGGCCGTTCCGGCAAAGACTTCACCTCTCTTTTGTGCCTGAGCCCTTCGAGTCCGCAGACCGCCCACCATGTCGACCATATCGCAGGCAATCGTCGCCGACCACCGCAAGCTTGAAAAGTGCGTCAACGAAGTGACCAACAACCCAGGCAACCAGGACCACCAGCAGGCCTTCGGGAACCAGTTCGTCTGGGAGCTCGCCCGCCACTCGGTCGGCGAAGAACTTGTCGTCTATCCCGCCATGGACAAGCATCTCGGCGAGAAGGGCCGAGAGATGACGGAATCCGACAGGCGGGAGCACCATTCCGTACGTATGCCGATTCCGAACCAACCGGACGCCCCCACGACGGCAAGACTAACGTCGCCAAATCCCACGACGTGCAGGTCAAGCAGATGCTCAAGGAGTTTCAAGACACCGAGGCCACCGACCCACACTACGTGAAGCGGCTCAAGATGATTTGGGAACGGCTCACCAAGCACATCAAGGAAGAGGAGCACGAGCATCTCCCGGCCCTCGAGAAGGCGCTCGAATCTGCCGGCGGAGAGTCGCAGGCCATGGCGAGGTCGTTTGAACGCACCAAGCTCTTCGTGCCGACTCGCAGTCACCCCAGCGCCGGGGAGCATCCGCCGTTCGAAACCGCCATGGGTCTGCTCGCCGCTCCAATCGACCGCGTTGCTGACCTCTTTCGGAAGTTCCCGGACCAGGACAGGGTGTAGGGGCAAACGGAGCCCGTGCGAGCCAGCCACGCTGAGGTCTCGTTGATTTCGTGCCTGGACGTTGCCGACCGTGGCGGGAGGAGTATAAGAAACTCGGGGGATGGGATGCCGTCGCTTGCAGCCATTCGTTGGTCAGATTGAGGCGTGCGCAAGAGACGAGAAGGATCTATGGAGCCAGAGATATGCCGCGGTGCCTGCGCAAGCCGTGGACATGAGATAGTAGCCACCCACAAGATAGTGATGAGTAGCTCCAAGGGCGTTTGACTTGGCTGATATCCGGGGCCTGAAGAGCACGATGGATGACCTCTGCAACCACAGCCACGACTTGCGCAACAGCCAGCCAGCTCCTCGACTTGAATTCAAGCTCGGTGCAATCTTGACTGCGACGTCGGATCTAGAGGGGAATGCAGACTCGCCCGTTTAACCTATCAAGGATGGATAAATGTAGTGCTTGCTATGTTGACTACAGACAAGTGCGGCGCTTACTGTAGCAACTGTTCATTATAGCTTACTACATGGGCCAGAGATGAATACAGTGCTTACTATATCAACTAGATGAATACGGCGCCTGCTATTCCATAGATTAAAATACAGATCGTCGCCGGTGTGGTCGTCAGGACTGCTTCGGGGTGAAACACGACGTGAGCCGAGCGTGCCCCGGCCGAGCGGGCGAGGGCCAAGAAGAAGCTTACGAGACCATCAGGCAATTTGCATTGGACACACAGAGGCCGGCGGCGGCAAACCGTACGTGTACGGAGTACATGCACGTCGACGACGACGCCGGCATGGCATCACCACCCGGTGGCGCGAAGCTGCTCACCGTGCAAGAAATACACGATGAGGACGAGCGCCATCAAGCGTCTTGGTAACTTGCGAAACCAACGGACCACAGGGCATTTGCCTTAGACGTACGGAGTAAAAGCACGAGCGTGGTGGCGGCGGCAGGCCGGTCACGTCCTGTCAACGACGACGCAGGCATGACATCACGGCGCGGCACCGCAAGGCGGCTCGCAATGCCGCAAGGACAGCAGGGCACGGATATATTCCCGTTCCCCTCGAGGATCACGGCAGGGCAGTCGGTCCGAACGGCCAGGCGCAACCGCAAACGTGTGTTTCTCCAAAATGACGCGCAGAATCTGCATCAGCGCCGTGGACGGCAACACGGGCTTCGCCATCGCCGAGCTCGTCCTCAAGCACCGCGACTTCTCGCGAAGAGTCGACTCGGTGGTCGGACTCGCCCTCGACGCCGAATCCGAGCTCGCCACCGAGCTCCGGGACCTCGGGGCGACAATCGTCCCTCACGTGCCCGGCCGCGTCGGGGACGTGGTCAAGGCCCTCGAGGACAGCGGCGCCGACACCGTCTGCGTGGTGCCGCCGGCTCGCGGGAACAAGCTCGACATGTGCGCCGAGCTGGTCGAGGCGGCCGGCAAGGCTCGCGTGAGCAACGTGTGTCTCATCAGCTCGGCGGGCTGCGACTACGCCGACCCCAAGCGCCAGCCGCGGCTTCGAGAATTCATCGACCTCGAGGCTCTGGTCCTCGCGGCAAAGGGGGACGCCGGCACGCCAACGGGAACATCGCCCTGCGTCATCAGGTCAGGCACGACGGGCCATTCCGTCCCACTGGCGCTGCGGCCGTCGCATGTTGCTGACTCCAGCCAGGGCCGTATTCTACGCCGAAAACTTGCTCCTCCACGGCCCCCAGGCCAAGCAGGGAATTCTTCCCCTGCCGATTGGGGAGAGCCACAAGTTTGCTCCCGTGGCGTTGGGCGTGCGTGTCTGATGCCAGCGCAAGGATCCCCAGCAACTGACCGTGGACAGGACGTTGCCCACATCGCGGCCCGTGTTCTCACCGGCAAAGGAAAACATGGCTTCGATGACAGACACAGGGGCCAGATGATGGTAGTCACGGGTTGGTCGAGGATTCAACCACGGACGAGAACAGAAAAGAGCGTAGGCTAACGCCGCTTTGATGGAAAAAAAAAAGGACCAAAACTCTGCGCGGGCAACGAGCTTGCTACAGCAGCGAGCAACGCGCTGGGGACGGAGATGAAATTCGAGGACATTTCTGCGTACGCCACCCGTCCGAATGCTCGTGTCAAGGCCCGTGTTGACGGTATTCCAGGGCCGAGGCAAAGACTCTTCTCAAGTCGCAGTCCGAGAGCGACGCGTCGGAACAGCAATATCTCCTCGAGTACTACAGTCTGGTGCGTGAAGGCAAGACCAACTATATTGCGACCACTGCGTTTCACGACGTCACTGGCGAGCATCCGACGGAGCCCGATGAGTTCTTTCGCCTATATCAGAGTGACATGCGTCCGAACAAGAAAGCCAAGCATCGCCGCAAGTAGGGCTTGGGAGGGCAGACAATCTCGCGGCTCTGGGCTCTCTGTGTGGTGGTGGGTGTCCAGTCTTGTAGAGAATTGAACCGTGGCACGCACTAGCAATCGTTGCGTGAGCTCGTGCTCGCGTGAGTCCTTGCTTCGTTTCGTCCTTGTGTCATGGCAGCCTGCAATAGATGAGACAGACACCAATCCGCGTGTAGGCCGTGGTAGGATCAGACATCAAACAGTAATTCAACTTGAAACCTCCCTCGATACGGTCCCCCCAGGTGCCAGAGAAGACGATATGCAAGGGTGATAATGGCCAGGTTCCAAGTGGTCGACGGAGCGAGAAAAGGGTGGCCTCGGTCTGTACTCGACCGCTTGACTCGACCGAGGCGGGAATGTGATGATCTGCGCATGCGCTTCGTGTACGTCGACAGCACCACCAGCGTGGCGACGAGCCGCCGTCACCGTACCGTCAGTCTCTTCTTCCCGGCCGATTGTGCGTAGCCCGTGTTTGTCAACGCCGCGAGCTGGATCTGCTCTCAACTCGTCCCGCCGCGGCGCCGTCGACTTCCGGGTTCCTGACTAGGCGAGAACAAGCATCGTTCAGACGTCAGTGGCGCCGGATGACAAGCGGCAGGTTCCAAAAAACAGTCGACTACTCGTAAGTAGGTTTTGGGGCTTCCGGAATCAGATCCCAGCCCGCACGTCACCATGACGGGCATCCACGCCAACATCGTCCGCAGGAACTGCTCACCCATCGGCCCCCCAATGTCGAACATTGCGACAGACTCCTGGCTGTCAGTTGGTGAGAAGTGTCCAATCGTGGGACTCTGCGCCATTGCTCCGCAGAGCTTCTTCAACTTGCCGCCACGCCGACATTTAGATACGACACCGGCACATCAAATGGCCTTCTTCTGCCGCCCTCATTGCTGCCACCATGAGACGATACGTGGCCATCCAGCCCAGTGACACCGACACCGCCGGCGATATAGGGCCCTCCGGGGCTGAGCTTCTGGTGGCAAAACGACGCCGCATAGGCGTTTCGGTGGCCTGTAATGCCTGCCGTCGGAAGAAGATCAGAGTATGTCTCATGTCTCGGGTCCTCGTCAAGACGAAGTGCCCGTGAGTCGAGGCTGACCAGATACATGATGGAAAAGTGCCATGGCCAACGCCCTACTTGTTCCAACTGCCAGGGCAACACCGAGCACTGCTCTTATAGAGACGATTCAGAGCTCTCACAGGAGTCTCGGGTCCTCCTGATCGAGGTGATTCGTCTCCTGAACGGTGTTCCCGACGAGGAAGCGGTAAGGAGACTCCGCGAGCTTAGGAAGGAGATTGACACCTCGGTTATCATGTCCACCCTGAGACAGGTCGGGGACCCGGGTCATGCGCCCCGAGAAAAGTCCATCTCAACTCACTCGATGGGCGATTCCTTCCAGATCCTGGAACTTGCGCCTCAAAATCCAAACGCATATCTCCCCCTTACCGACATGAACTGGCAAACTCTACAGGAAGCAACCTATCAACAGCTCATCCAGCCGGCCTGCCACAAGCCCGAACCTGGGCCCCATCAGGCTGGCGAGGAGGGCGTGTCAGATAGCGGCCACGGCCTCTGCGACTCCCGGCTTGCAAAACTCAACATAACTGAGTGGACCGACGTGTCCGTCACGAGCGAGCTTGCGGCTCACGCCATTTCTTTGTATCTGGAGACCGATCACCCGCTGCTGGGGTTCTTCGAGCCCGACTTGTTCATAAGAGACCTTGTCAATGGCGGGACAGTATACTGTTCCTCACTGCTGGTGAACTCCCTTCTTTACTGGGCTTGTGTAAGCACGACATTGTCGCTGTGGCCCCCTGGCCCCCGTCTCCTCTTCGCGGGGACACGCTGATGTGGTTCATGTAGCAAATGAACAACGCAAATGACCCTGGCAGCGGCGTGCTTGCATTCCAATTTTGCCAAGCGGCAGAGAGATTGTGGCAAGAGGAGAAGCATGTCGACTCTCTGCTCAACGTGGCCGCAGTACTGTTCCTGAGCATCGGCTACCTCGGTCATGGAAGGAACCATGCCGTGCTGTCGTACCTCAGCAACGCCTGTCATATGGCTGTGCGGATGCGTCTATTCGGAGTCGGCCATGACCTTGCGCAGCAAGCCGCAAGCACATTGTCCCCAGAGGCGAGGAGAGCCCATACTCAGGCGGCTTGGGGAGCGTTCAACTGGGCAACGTGAGTGACCGTCCATCCAGTCCCTGCTGTCCTTTCCGAGTACTGTACTGCACCGTAAGCCTGTCTTGTCATCAACCCTTTCTTTGGCCACACTAACTCCCACACTTCAAGCCACATGTCTCTGTTTTACCGTCAGCCAGGGCTGTCATGCCCAGAATCACCACCCGTCTTGCCGCCGCCTGGAGATGACGAGCAGGACGGCGGGGAGGAGCCGGCGCCGCCGGACTACATGGGCGGTGTGTTCCCCTACTTGTGCCGGTTCTGGTCCATCGTACACGAAGTCGCCCTGCTGTCCAGAGGCGACGGAGGTTCCCCTGCCCCTGAGCAGCAGAGCCTGCGCTTCGTCGAGTACAAGTTCCGCGAGCTGTTGGCGTGGAGCAACGGCCTGCCTTATGGACTATCACGGGGTGATCAAAACCCGCATTACGTGCAGGTCTTGCAGTGCGTTGCACATGCTCGCTTCCTCTCGACGCAATCGTCTAACCGCCGCTAGTATCTGGTTCCATACCGCCATCCTCGACCTCTTCAGACACGTCATCAGCGGTCCGTTGCGGCATGAGCGCCTACCAACCTTTGCGATGCCCATGAGCTCCTCGGAGAAAGTCTACGAGGCATCAGTCAGCCAACTCAAACAGCTCATTGTGAACTACAGGTTAAACTTCACATCTTCATCCTACACAATCTTGTGGCACGTTGCCTTGACGTACCTGGCGAATGCAGTCCTGTACGAGCCGAAAGAGGAAAATTGGCTATTCTATTTTCTGCTCTGCGTATACGGCTACGAGCGACTCCGGCCCTCCTGGCGCGTCACAAAATCCATATCGACGGCCTTGTTGTCGCTGGCGCTACGCAAGGGCGACATATCGAGTCCCACGGCGCGCCGAATTCTCTCCGACATTGAGCAGACTGCTGGCGCTGACCAGTCTCCCGACAGTGAGGGTATCAGGGCAACCTTCATGGCGGATCTGCATCTGGCAAGGTCTGATCCGCAATCTGCCACGGTGGAGAGATTGGCCGATGACTTCGAGGCCAACATTCTGCTGCAAGAATACACCAACGCTTTCGGAGCAGATGACCCTGTTGATCATTAAGTTGCCACAGAGGGGGAGGGGGACATTGTGAAGCAATTATCCACCAGCTGGAATTAGCATTGCCGTAAGAATGAATATTAGACTCTCACACTAGAGCTCTGATGGATGCCTTTTCGAAGAAGTCGTTACTTGCCTGGTGGATTGGTCTCACGCCGCCACGACCTGGAACCCAAGCAGACGCGTCATCGGCAGGGAGTCTAGGAAATTGAAGGCAAGTTAGCCCACCTCAGCATAGGTGTAGGCGCTTTGGCAGCTTCATAAAAGCCGGAAGGCGCCAACGCCCTCTACGTTAGCATGGCCGGTCGTCTTAGGGGGATGAGTGAGCGGATAAGAGGCTCTCGAGCTCAAATCTCTTGACTAGAATGTTAGCAGACAAAACGGACCATGTTGTACCTGAAGGGATAGGATAGTCAAGTCAAATAACTCCTTGGGACTTCTTTTGGCGCTGGTAGCTCTGACAAGGGTCGGATATAAGGGCTCGCAGGGAAGCAACAACGAGGCTCTATTCAGCTATTAATCGACTTTAGGCTTAATCCTTTAGAATTTGTAGACCTGCTCTTTGCTGTAGCCAAGGTCCTTTAGAGAGCCCGAGAGCTCACCCTGGTCCTGAGGGCTGACCTTGGGCCCAGAGATGGCCTTCATCAGACCTGGGGGTCCGCAAACAAACACCTTGATGTTCTCCTCCTTGGGCTCGGGGAGCACCGTCTTGAGCAATTCCTTGGAGATGTACCCCTTGTTGCCTTGCCAGTCCTTGGGCGGCTTGTCCAGGACATAAAAGGCACGGAACCGCCGGGGGTACGTGTTCTCGAGCTCGGCGAGCTTGCTGCGGAGAAGGATGTCCTCCTCGGTGACATTGCCGAAGACGAGGGTAACCTTTGTCTTGTCGTTGGAGTTGTTGAAGATGGCCCGGCAGAGCTGGTACATGGGGGTGATGCCGGTGCCACCAGCAATGAGGCCAATATGGTCGTGCTTGTTCTCGGTCCAGGGGTACTTGGGCAGAGGGCCCTTGAAGTCAAGGCGCTGCCCGGGGACCAGGTCATGCATGTGCGTGCTCATGGGACCGTCGGGGTACTTTTTGACCAAAAGATCAAGGAAGCCCTTGTCACCTTCGTCGCTGATGGGGGTATAGGGTCGGAGTGTAGCCTTTTCGGCGTTGGGGCTCTTGTATTTGGTCAGGATAGCACTGGCAATCTGGAGGCCAGAGACCATGTCACTCTCAGGGAGTTCGAAGCGAAGACGCTTGGTATTGTGATTGACAATCTCAACATCGGCCAGCTTCAGGGAAACGAAACCCTGATCGCCGCCGGTAAAGGCGGGTTTGGCAGGAACAGCCTCCTTCACCTCGGCGGCGACGGGAGCGCTTCCACCAAAGTAGTAGTAGTAACCAGCTCCCGCGAAAGCAGCAGCACCCGCGGCATAGAGCATGGTGCTGGATCCGCCCTTTGATGACGACTCAGTCGCATATCGGCGAGCTTGCTGCTAACCCATCAGTAAAATGTGGCCACGGCCAGGTCGGATTAGCAAATGACCATGATACGCACAGTCTTGAGTGGCTGGGCCACGCGGAAAGCAGATCGAGCGAACATATTCGAAATACTGAACGTGTCTTGGCCGCGCCGGTCCAATTGAGGGGAATTGGCCAAAACGCACAGGCCTGGGCTGAGGCAGGAGGAAAACAAACGATGAAAAAAAAACAAAAAAAAAAAAAAACAAATGATGGTGCAAGAGAGGGACGCCAGAGCTCCGGCGCGGGTGTGCTTGCGGTTGCGGCTGCGGCTGCAAGCTCTCGGCGATGACGCCAGTCACGTGACTATCATTGCCCACCCCGACTGCAACGCTGCTGACGCTGCTGACACCGACGATTGATTAATAAGCGGCATTGCTCCTCGTGTAAGGGCTCAGTTGGACTTGCGTCTGGGTTTGGGCCGCTGTGCGCACGAGACGCAGAGGCAAATAAAGGTAGTCACCACTTGCAAGTAGCAAACCGAGCAAGCTGTGTCGACCAGAATACGTTTGCCATCATGCTTGACAGCTTTCAACGTGCGACGAGTTGCGCCCAAGACGGTCCCTCGAAAATAAGCACTGCCTTCTCATCACATGAAACTTGGCCAAAAATCAAAAGATCTGTAGAGACGCCAACTCATTGCCTTCACCAGAACAGCGAGAGGCCATATGCATATATTATCCTGAATCATACAAAGTCCGACCTTGACTCGCTTCGATAACGATTTGACGCCTCATCGATACGCGCCATCCACCTCTTTTACCTCGTCGTCCCCTATCCAATCTGTGGCTGCGTCTGTCCCAGCTTCATGCTTGCTCCTTCACCTCCTCCCTCAAGGTGTAAGGGGCGGGGCCTCATTTCCATCATGAGAACCATTGACAGATTATCTAACGCCGAGCGACCGATGACTCTGCATGCATGGCTCTTGTATGTAAGCATAAGACGCCGAAGCAACATGCTTCATGATATTAAAAAAAAAAAGGGCAAACGTCATCTCGTAAACAAGGTCGTCACAGCCTCGTCGAAGTTACCGCCTCCAGCAGTATTTCGGTGTCCTTTACAACATTTGAGTCTTCGTGTAGATGCAAGAAACATCCATCCCTCAACGAGGGCTTTCTACCGACTGGTCGCCTGACTGGAAGCAGCCGTCGGATGTTCTAGACCTGGCGTATTACCAGCCTCGCCATCGTTGGTTGAATCCTGACTCTCTCTGCGAGCCATCCCAGGCTCTTTGTGTTGCGGGATGGTGGGCGTGTTTGCCTGGCTACCACCACGTTGTCCGTGATAATGAATTACCTGTGGAGGCGTCTGCCCGGCCTGAATACCCAATTGTCCTGTAGGGTAGGGATTCAAATCTTTGCTTGATGTTGAAAAGACCGACACAACCGGTTGGTGATATCCATTGGTTGACGTGATGGATGGCTGTCGTTCTTTACCACTGTGTTCCGCTTGTGTGGGGGTCTCGGCTTCATTCGGGGATATGCAGCCATCCACAGGATTCCCAGTCAAGCTGTTCATGCCGCCTTCGATATCTCGGAGCAACCGTACGTACTCCTCTGGAACCAGTCCACTCTCCTGCGTCTTTGGGTCCTCCGCGACGAGCCACCCTTGTCCATGCCTGTATGAGACCCAAATGATCTGGCCCTCAACTAGGGGTAGTTCGTTTTCATTCTCGCGCTCAAAATCAAACAGGGCCACGGCCTTGCCGTGGAACTCCTCGTCGGGTGAGGTAATTGTGAACTGGTAGTCTCGTGAATAGCGAGATTCGTCAATGTCGCGGTACCCGGGTGATGATGGGGGGCTAGAGTTCTCTGACCGAGGCCGGCCGCCATCACGCTGACGGCCTCTTTGAGGATAATGGTAGCCATGGCTATGGCGTGCTTGATCAGGAGGATAGGTTACATACTCGCCACCTGGGCCGTTCGGCTCTCCTCCATGGGTCACGTAGTAGCGCTCACTACCATCTCCACTTGTTCCAACATAATATCCCCTCTCGCTGTCGTAGTTGGACGTGGTCATGATGTCGCCCTCCCGACCGGCCCGCCGCCTGCTCTGGCCAAGTGTGGCTGAACTGGACTTGTGCTTACGGTGACGGGTAGCGACGACCGGACTCTGTAGATCGTCGTCTTCGCTATAGGGCGGGCCGTCTCCGAACTGAATTGGGGGTATATCATAACCGCGAGCGAAGCCGTCTGAGCTCCACGAGTCCCATGGCATTCGTTGATCCCACGAGGCGGGAGGATCAGATAGTCTTCGGGTCTCGCTTGCGGGAGTGGTCAAGCCAGAGGGCGGCCCCGAAGGCTCGGGCGGCGGGCCGTAGTGCATCGGATGCGAAGTTGGATAGGCAAAGTCCCTCACCAAGGTGTAGGATAGGCTAGAAGGAAACATGGGAATCATGTGGGAGCCTGGGCGCGACCTTGAGGGGACGGATCCCGACGAGTACTGCGACAGCCGGCTCTTGGAAGCGTGCGACATTGGCCGAGAGAGATTGCTGCGGCGCGAAGGCGTCGATGTTGAGGTTGCCAATGGCGGCAAGGAGGCATGGTTTGCATTCGCTGAAGGGGACGAGCCTTGTGGCTGGGAGACTGGGGAGGATGAGGCATTCGTCATGGTGGCGGTCGCGGTCATTCCCCGCAGGGTAGCACAGGGAGGCCAGGTGACAATAGCCAAGAACGAGGGGAGCAGGAGCCCGGAGGATACGACGGCCGAGACGATGGTTTCCAGAAAGGTTGAGTGATGAGTTATCTTAGGCGTAGTCGAGGATTGCAGAGCCGCGCAAGACGAGACCCCGCAGGCGGGGCCCAAGCGACGATTACGATGTTGCACGTCTGGGAGGACAGAATTGCGGCAATGGTATCGGTGCGATGGCGAGGAAGATGACGACTATCGCCGATGAAGTCGGTCGGTCGGGCAAGCAAATACTAAATGCCAACACCTGGACAAGGAGTGAAGTCCCAGGCCTGGGCGTCGAAGCAGCTGAAGCGGTGTCGGGCAAGTGACGGCGGTCGAGAAAAAAACAGGCAAGAGGCGCGCCTGCGCCTGGTCGAGAAACGGATCGTGGTTTGGAAGATTGAAGCGGACCGAGGTGTGGACTTGAGGACACCGGACGAGACGGAGAAGGTTAAGGAATCGACCAACTTGACCGAGTTGGCGACGGAAATAATTCGGCGCGGCACCAGTTGACCACTTGCCATTTGACTCGGAGGCGTCGCGGGCTCAACTCGACTCGACTGCCATGTTGATGTCTGTACTCCGTATTGTCCTACCTCTAAGTACCGGGAGGTAGCGGGTACCTAGGTACCCAAGTACCTGGTCAGTCGCATGTCGCTGGTACTTGAGCACGCACCCTAGAGTCGGCTTGCAGTACGGAGTACGGAGTACCAGCAATTCCGTTGGAAAATGAAATTTTTATGGAGTACTACCTACTCCTTAATATGCACTTGATTGCCCAGGTAGGTCTCCAGGAAGTGAAGACTTGGTCGGTGCCAGCCTACCACACAATTGCTGGCATTGTCGATGTCGTTGGCACCATCACGGGCTCGCCGGTGCCAGATTCGAGGCGCCGGTCCGCCAGCCGCCGAGAGCGCTGGGCCTGGCACTGCACCGACATCTCGAAGCACTGCGCCCCCCACCCCCTGGCTGCGGACCAGCCTCAAAGGACTCGGAACCAGAGAAGGTACGGAGTACTCCGTAGATGCTTGCATGCGTGGTGCAGCGGCAAGTGACCAATGACCAGTGCCCAGTGACCAGTGCCCAGTGACCAATGACCAATGAAGAGGCCAACTGGCAACAACCAATAACCAGTCGCGAGCGCCCGCCCTGACCGCCCAGGCAGACCGGGTTGACTTGGACAGCATCGCGGACGCTTACCCATTACCTTTTTTTTCTTTTTTTTTTTTGGCATGGACGCATCACGTCTGGTCAATTTCTTCCGTGTCCTCTCGAGAAGTCTTTTCCGGTGCCCTCAAGAGTCAAGACCCCTTTGGCATGTACATACCACATAGTCATGGACTTACGGCAATGCGGCAAGCTGGATACGTCCTGGCCCTCCAATCCGGCACTACAACGTCAAACAAAACAGTTTTCGTCTCAATTCACCCCGGAGCCTGGCCTTGGTCTTGGTGCCTGCCCACGGCTACTGACGAAATTGCAAGTACTTATCCGTACTCACGAACAAATTACTACAATACAAGTTACATGAGGCAATGATTGCTTTGCGGCGTTCACCAGGCCAAGGTTTCGAATCCTCCATCCCGCCCGGGTACTCTCGGTCGACCACGGCATCTTGTTGATGCCTGCGGCTGTCTTGCTGTTCCAACTTGAAATCAGACCCCTGTTGCGGGGTAGGTGATTGCCCTCCAGTCAATGTTGAGGGTGTACATGCAACCATAGCTAAAGATGCCAATCCCACTATGGCGGTTCCGAGGCGGTTGATGAGCTGGTCCCTTCAGCCTCGCACCCAGATATACGTACATCATACATGGGTCTGGGAACTGTCGTACATATCAGGCGTGTTGGCTTTCTTGCAAGACTGAGCTGGCTTGACAATTCAGTCACAAGCTGAAGATGACGACATCCCGCACAGTCACCGACTGTCACTTAGAGGCCAAAGGGGAAAAAAACTTACTCATCTTCAAGACGTGCGTGTCATGACTGAAGTTTTGTTTTCACCGGAGACGAGGTATGGGGACTGGAGGCCTTACTCCAGGGAGACATGACGGACTTACATCCTGACAAGAAATCATCCCTGCCGACACCACGTGAGATGCTGAGTAGAGAGATTTGCTGACTTTGAGATTCATCGCCATGATGCGCAGTGACGACCACGGAGCACCTATGCATGTAATACAGGAGTGCTCCTCATTACGGAGTACATGACGCTGAAACTGAGGATGCCATGCATGCATTTGACGAGCTGCTCGAGCGAAATTTGCTTTTGGCGTCGACATCCAGCTTAGCTGAACTTGCCATGGATGCCGGCCGCCCCCCAGGATTCGGCATGACCCAGAGAACGAGGGAGATGAGATTCTAGCTCAGATCCCAGCAAACAGCATGACGACAATTAAAGCAAGCCATACTCCTTAACAGGAGCATAATATAATAGCACATCTATCTGTTGCTTAGAACCCGGCGAGCTTGATGAGCCTGGGGCTGCTACGGGGTGGACAAAAACGACCAGTCACTGCCTATTTTTAGACCCCCGGATCATTTAAAAACGAAAGAGAATTTGCTGATTGGCCAATGCAGGGCCTTCAATTTGTTTCAGGTCATGCACATGGCCACAGGCCAATCACAGCTTGCTCCACTCTGTCGCTCCTCTATGTGGGGGCCACCTGCGGTTCATTCCAATCTTCGCCTCTCCCAGGTACTCCGCACCTCTTAGGGTCGATAGCCGCCGGCGTTTAGCCGATCGTGCGTCCAGCCTCAACCCCCCACACGTGAGGTGCTCACTCCCCACAACCACACGTCTAGCTTTTCCGACTCCAAGCTCGAATCACCAAACATCCATCCCCAACCGACATCAACCACGCGCGACTGACCACCCCAGCGCAGCACTTGGAGCAGATGATGCCTATGCCGCACCTGCTAGGCTACCGGAAGCTCCTCGGCGACGCGCCAAATACGATTACACTTGAACCTGTCTGATTCTGGGCAAGCCGAAACAGGTACGTCAAGTGTGAAGGCTCTGAAGCTCTGCCGAGCCGACCTTGTTCGTGATGATATCAAACTATTGGAGCTGTCTGAACTCCCATGTTGAAAGACATTTTATACGCAACTTGAAATATCTGAACATCCCCCCCTTCCCTTTTATTTGTAAAAAAAAAAAGTCAGGTTCTCTTGACAAGCTGCAGCATAGACACGTTAAAACTAATGACAACCGTTCCACCTCAGCTGTTCGCCTAGGGCACTGAAACATGTGATTGAGGGGCCAGTTGAGCTTTATTCCTCTACCGAGCTTGTTCCCTGACACCAAGTCAACATGGCAGTTGCAAACGGAGCCGCAGAGGTTGCTCCTCAGAATGGCGCTGGTGACAGCACCGGCGGATACAAGTTGAAATTCTGCACCGTGTGCGCTAGTAATCAAAACAGGTAGTCTCCCCCAAGCCCGAATGACTTGAGTCAAGAGGCCAAACCTGGCATCTAACCCGCACGCTCAGGTCTATGGAAGCTCATCTGCGACTATCTCAAGCCGAATATCCAGTCATATCCTTTGGTACCGGATCCCTAGTCCGCTTGCCCGGGCCGACCATCACGCAGCCCAACGTGTACCAATTCAACAAGACCTCGTACGACAGCATGTACAAAGAACTGGAATCAAAGGACGGGCGCCTGTACAAGGCCAATGGCATTTTGAACATGCTGGACAGAAATCGTGGTGTCAAGTGGGGGCCGGAGCGCTGGCAGGATTGGGCCGTCGGTATCCCCAGACTTCAGCATTCCGCCGACAAGGGCGGTGAGGGAGTGGAGGGTGGCGTTGTAGATGTCGTTTTTACGTGCGAAGAACGCTGCTGGGACGCCGTCATCGACGACCTTCTCAGCAGAGGGTCCCCGTTGAACCGCCCCGTCCACGTCATCAACGTGGACATCAAGGACAATCATGAGGAGGCTCATATCGGCGGTCAGGGCATTCTGGATCTAGCCAACTCGCTCAACGCGGCTGCCAGGGAGGAGAGGCAAGCAATTGGCGCCGCGGCCTTTGAAAGCGGGAGTGCCTCGAGCCGAGCTGCTTTTGACGAGAGGGTGCCTGAAATACTCGGTGCCTGGCAAGAAAGATGGCCAAACTTGCCGTCAACATGGACCTTGGCATGGTTCTAGACGAGCGACTGAAGCTGAGCCGGGGAGGCAGGGCACACGCAGCCTTGTGGTGTGTTTGATCGCGAGCGGCCAACTCATTTGCTCGAGCCACGTGTACATTTCGTCACAATGCCCCTTTTAGCACCGACTTGTATATGTGTCCCGTGCCTCTGTGCAGTATCACGCATGTGGCATTCGCGAGTCCGTCCCACCGTCAAGAGCAAAACAATTATAATCCGTGACCTGCGCCTACCGTCCACGTCTAGTCTACGCCCCTCAATGGCGGCCTACTTGCTCCATCGCAGGCCGAGCGACTTCTTTATCTGCATACGACAGCACGCTGGAATCCAAGTCGCACAACGCGACACAACCCGTACGCACCGAGCACCACATGTGTCCGCTGGCCGTAGCAGAACCTTGGTGCCACTGGGATTACATTGCGGGCATCCGCAGAAATGGACTGGTCGACAGGCGCCACGGCTTCGCTGGCGTGGGGTGCGTGGCATCATTTGAATAGCCAACGCCTCGCCTTGCGTCGCGCCGCGTCTCCATCTCAACGACGATGGCGAAGCTCCCGAGCGCGAACGCGGCCGAGCCGGAAGGCCTCATCCCACCACCAACCCTGAGACATGATAAACCCGCGACTACCTACCCAGGCAGTCGAACAGCGCGCCGACCTCGTCATCCAAGAAACGGAAAATAATGCAGGATGGACGGGCATACCAAGCGCGACGACATGTTGCAACGTGTCTTGAGCAAGGCCGGGCTCGATCCGCCCACCTTGATCATAATGCTCAAGTTAGACCCGGCCCGTCTCGTCACCCAGGCATATCACATTAATGATTTCGCTTTGGCAGGGGCTCGATCCCGCCGCTCGTTGGTATCGCCATGTACCAGTCGCCCACGATATCCGCGTACTTCACCACACAGGGGTATCTCATACCCATCGTGTCCGTTCTCGCCGTCGCCAGCCTGCCCCGAGACAAATTCACACAGACCTTGATCCTCGACGTGCTCTTCATCTGCGTGGCCGCTGCCGTATCCCTCCTGGCGATGTGGTCTTCCGTCCAAGCACGCATCCATACCTCCCCGTCCGCTGCTCATGGGCCGATACGTGCACCGCTGCCGTATAATTCGTCCCAGTCGGCTGTATGTGCCGTGTGGTTGTTTGTGAATATCTGGCTCGCGAACCTCGTTCGGGCCAAGATGCCTTCCTTCAACCTGCCTGCCGTCATATACAGCATCTTGGTGAATACCAGCCTGACGGCGGGTCCTACAATTGACACGACGACGGCAGCCGAGGCCTTTGTCAGAGAGTTGCTGCTAGCAAATTTATTTGGTATGGGGCTAGCCGCGGGCGTTTGTTACTTCGTCTTCCCTTTGAGCAGCCGCATGGTGGTAATGGACGAGTTCGGGCAGCTGATCGGCCTCTTGAGAAAGGTGGTGCGTCTGCAGGCTGAGCGCGTTGCCGCCTGGGCACACGCAGAAGAGCAACCGACTGCGGAAACGACTACGGAGCATGGTGAGGAGCAACACATGTCGCAGTGGCGGAAAGCCGTGATGACGAGGGGCAAGGCCAAACTAGGGGCTGCAGCGACGGCGACTGGCCTGTCCGAGACGACCAGGGATATACGCCGCTTGGCTGGCAAGCTATATGGCGACATCGCCTTTGCCAAGAGAGATGTGGCTTGGGGCAAGCTGGACAGTACTGACCTGGCGGATATGTTCAAGCTCATGTATACTATCACGATTCCGCTGTGAGTCACCCCCACGCTTCCTGCTTGGAGATTTGAAAAGCAGCTCACAAAAGTAAAGTCGCGATAAGCACTGGCATAGGCGTCTTGGAGGAAGCCCACTTTCGTGGACCGGAAGTCAGCGACAGACCGGTGGGACGGAACCGGGAGAGAAGCGCAAAGGCATCGATATGGATTCAGATGGCTGAGAAAATACGCCCATCATTCCAGCGCCTCACAGAACCGATCGAACAAGGGCTTGAACATGCTGGCATCTGCCTTGAAATCCTCCCCGGGTCGAGGCACGGCAACGGAGACGGCCATTTTCGAGCTGATGTTGAGGGGCGGGGAGGCCAGATCCATCCGGGAGATGAACGGTTGCGTGTCGTCAACGCCCACGCCCGCGATATATACATGCAAGAGGGCAACGCCCTCCAAGACTGGCTTTGCGAGCGGCTGCAGACGGTCGACGAAGACGATGCTTCTCAATCGCGACGCTTGACGGCTGAAGACGATGGCTTGGCCAGCGATCACTCTCAGCTCTGGGTGAGCGTATACCTGGAACAACTGATGTTCACTGCGAGCGAAGCAACTCAAAACCTTGTGGTGTTTGCCGACCGCAAGGTCAGCGAGGGCACGATGAAGCATAAACGACTGGTCTTGCCCTCCAAATACCGCCTATGGGGATGGCTGAAAAGTGTCGCACGGAAGAGGAACTCGGGCGCAGCACAAAATCCCGAGGTCTTGGAACCACAAGACGACTATTATGGAGATTTTTTTTGGCCGAAGAAGGATCCCGAACGCCTCCCCCCGCGCGGGACCTGGCAACACATCGGAGTCTTGTTAGGCAAGGTCTCGAGTGTCTTGGGATCCAAGGAATCGGCCTTTGGATTCAGAGTTGCTTGTGCCGCCATGTCGGTGAGCATTTTGGCCTTCCTGGAGAAGACGCAAAGCTTCTTCCAAGAGCAAAGGCTGCTGTGGGCCATGTTCACCATTGCGCTGGGCATGACAATGAGTACGTTTCACATCTACCACGTCCGAGATTTGAGCGTTTGCGACTCATCGTTTCACAGCTTCTGGCCAGTCTATCTTTGGCTTCTTTTGTCGAGTTGGCGCGACATGTGTAGCCATGGCTTCGTCAATCGCCATCTGGTACATACCAGACCAAAAGACGCCTGGAATTATTGTGCTCTTGTGGTTATTCATCTTTGTCGAGAACTATTTCATCAAATTCCCCCAGCTTGCAACCCCTGTCATAATCACAGTTACGACCCAGCTCGTCATCGTCGGCTACGAGCTACAGGTGAGAACGCTCGGCGAGGCCGTGGCCACTCGTTCAGGGCAGCCGTATTATCCGTACGCTCTCTCTCACAGTCAGTTCACTTTGTAATGTTGCCGCGGAGCTAATGCAACGTTTGGTAGAATCTACCTACTGGGCCCGTACCGGCTCGCCTGCATAGCCGGCGGGAGCCTTGTCGCGTTCTTTTGGACCTTTTTCCCTTGCCCCTTGACAGATCGTACTTGGCTCAGGCAGGATTTGTCTGCAATCATGTACTTGCTCGGCAGCTATTTCGGTGTGCTGAGTTCGACAATGGAAGCGCAGCTCCGCGGGGAAGCCGGGCGCAACGATTCAGAGGCGTCACCGATCCGCCGCCTTGTGAAAGATCGCCGCAAGATTTTCGGTAAAGTCATGCGTCTCCTCTCCTCCATTGAATCTCATATCAGGTGGCAGCGATGGGAGCCCAGCATAGGCGGCAGTTTTCCAACCGCGGCGTACGAAGAGATGTTTACGCGCGTTACCCGCATCACGGGGTATGTGATGTTGATGAGTTATGCCTTGGCTGACGCACCGTTGACAGAGACGTATGGCCACGGTGGGAGAGATGGACAAGAGGCAGCCGGAGTATCAGGTGTCGACGTAGAAGCGCAAGATAAACGGGAAAGCCCGCCGAGCGTGAAAGTTTTGCAACGAACAGAGTTGATGCACCACACGGTTCCCTCAACGCTAATCATGTTGTCAAACGCGTTGCTTTCGGGTCAGAGATTGCCGCCTTTCCTTCCCATGCCTCAACATGGTGGCACCACAGCAAATCGGAAGCTGCAGCCGGAAATTACCGCCATCCTAGCATCCAGAGGAGATGGCAATTCAACGCTGCCTTCCTCAACGCGCGCCTTGAAGATGATAGATCTCCGCCAGCAGCGACACAGCCCGACCTCGAAGCAAAACACCACGAGTGGCTGTCAACCTCCAAGAGACGATGTGCGAGGTGCAAGCGACGGCAATTCTATTTCAACTCAGCTTCGCATATACCTCCTAACGCAGGTATGCGGCGCATTAGTGTGCAACCAAGTTGAGGGTTTGGCGCGTGTAGTGGGCAGATTGGTAGGCGTTGTGGACTTTGGTTCCCCCATTGATGCTGGCAATGAGGACGTTGATGTCGACGACGATGCAGCAAGTCACAAGCTTGAGAAGCCAGGATCCAAGGACATTGCAGCTGCTACGCGTTTCTGAGCGGCGAGCATTGGCGAGACCATCGGGATGATGAAGCACGTGTCATGAGCCTCTGTTTGTGTACGTTATCCTCCTTAAGTCAAGATGATGGAATGGAAAGATGGGAATATTATGCTATTGGCGACGCCAATTAGCATGTGTCTTGCGACCCCAGCTCGTCAGCCCGCAGCTGTTATGCCGAGCCAGCCATTACCAAATCAAGCCTGGCCACGTTTAACAACAAGGCAAGGAGCAATTCGCATTGCAGTCTCAACGTGGAAACCTGGATACAAATGTTCTCTGGGGTTCCACGAAGACCTGCAAAAATTGTGGGAGCCTGCGGAAGACGCGGTCCCCATGCCACCACATGTCCGGTGCCACCTATCGGGTTCCCGGTGGTAGGAGGATCTTGCGAAGGCCAAGATGGTACGGCCCTCCCTCTCGTTCCGGAATGCAAAAGCTTAGCGAATAGCTTCTTTGCTTTGATTACGCCAGACTGTTTCTCCACGATGTATGTACTCTGATGTAAATGTCGATGTTAGTTCCCCTAGTGGTGAAGCCAAGCACGGGGCATGCATGCATGACCTGAAGTATTGCCTGACTTTGATATCGCTGGAGTGAAGAAAACTCGGGATAGGCAGGAGCGTCATAGCCAATGGCGGTGCGTTTCTTGCCCGTGAATTTTTTGTGCTTGGATAAAACTTGGCTTCAAACAGTGGGCCGATGCTGCCCGCGAGCTAAACGAGCATGTTAGGCGTCCGGATATCTTCAAGTTGTCGTCACGTCCAAGACATCGGATTTTCGTCGCCATATACGTACTATCTGGGACCCACGATAACTAACATCTGGTACGCCAAAGATCTGTTGCCTTGCTCATTGACTTGGAAAGGTTGATTTTCGTGACCTGGACTCGAATTGGATCAGTTCTAAGCAGGGATGCTCCATGGCTTCAAGCAGTGGTTCGCAGTGGTTCTACGTCAAGAGGGGCTTTTTGTAAGCTGGAAACAGTAAACGGGCTCTGCAGAATCGAATGCTCCCTCGCGAGGCCAGGCACAGCTGAAGAATGCCAAGAGACCGAAGGCCTGCGGAGTTGCTTGGCAGGCCAGCACGTTGTCGAAGTGATGGGGCAACCAAAAGTCTTATTTCCCAAGCGCGACTTGAACATCTCTTGTCGGGAACTTGTCACATCGATCGAGTAGGATTGAGATGGGACGATAAGACTGATCCCCCGTATCGAGAGTCTCGTCTCGTGCAGACTGAGCCAATTAGGGGCCGTCGACTTGTCGCGGATGATTGGACCGAGACTGCCTGAGCGTGACACTGGCGGCATACTAAGCCAGGGGCAGCAAGCCACTAAGAAGATGCCGCGCTGTTTCGCGCCCTCTGCAGCAGACGCGCCCATTATTACTCTGCCTTATGACTGCGGCCAGCAACTCGTCGTCACTGGAGCGCCCGATCCGCAGTCAGATCAAGCCCATGCCCACGATCCACCATGGAACAGAAAGCTGCTAAAGCCGTGAGTGGGTTCATGTTAGTAATAGGGGCGATGCGAATAGGCCAAGGGAGAGCAAGCACTCACAAGTTTGGAAAGGGCAAAGAAGGACGACATGACATTGCATCAGCAAAAAACCTGCAGAGTGATGCTGACTGACTGGCCGCAATCCCATGGGAAAGGACCACCAGCCGCTCCTTCCCTCACAGAGAAGAACCAATCACGTTTGCCTTCCTATCCCGAATGTCGTCTTTCCCATCGCCTGGTCCAAAAATCAATTAATAATTCATTGCCTGTGCCCATTGAGTCTCGCCTCAACCCTGTAATTACAATGGGATTTACTCCTCTCTTGTCTACTCCGTACGCCAGGCTGTCATCTTCATCACTTCCTCGCTGTCGCAGTCCCTACCGATTCACGCAGAGACCGCTGTAAGGAGGCATACGTACGACTTATTTGTCCTTTCCTTCACAGACCCCAGCCCAAATCAACCCGCCGACCGTCCTTCTCGAAAACTTGGGTTCCGTCCTCCGTGCGGCCCCCCTGACAGGGGAGCGGGCTCATTTCCCGTCGTTCAGCCTGCTGCAGGCACGCGTTCATTGTACCGCCCCCCTTTTTTGACTCCGTTCTGGAGCCTGCTCTGGAAGCAAGGTGCGAGACTGGGACTTTCAAAACTACCTAGGGGGAACTTTACTACGGAGTGCTCCGTACTCCGTACTCCGTACAAGGCTTCGAATTGGCGGTCACGACTGGGGATCCCTCGAGTCTCATCCCTGCTCCCGCCCTGTCGTTTCACGGCCCCAGTCACCAAGTTGCGGCCGACTTTTGCCAACGGCTAAAATTACAAGCTTGTGGACAACTCTGATCTGTCTAGCCGCTGACGCTCTACGCCGTACCGTACTAAGGAGGAACACTAGCTGCCAGTGCTGGTGCTGGTGCTGTCTCGACGCGTAAACCCATTTCCGTCGACCGCAGCAGTGGCGGAAGGCAGCCTGAGGCCAACAGAGGCACCCACCAACAAGCAAACACGCACGACCTGTGTCTTGCCTCGAGAGACCCTGGCACCCCTCTCTGTCCTCCTCATCTACTACTCCGGACTCCTAAAAGGTGCCGGCTCCAAGATTGCTTTGTCTTTTGTTTTTCCCTTCTTCATATATGCATATTCGTGTTGTCGGTAGCAGCGCTGTGCTCACCGCCACCATATTCCTCAGCCGACTGGGTGGGCGGACTGCCAGCCAGCTGGTACTGCAATCATCCTGCCTGCCTGCTGCGTCCCTCGAGGAAGTTTGGTACATCGTCGCGAAACCCCAGAAACCAGCTGCCCTGACCCGAGCAGCAGGGGCAGCGACTGTGGGACCTGGTGTTCCAAGAAGAGGCCCGCTTCTGACCAGTGCTCTGCGGTGTCTCCTTTTGTGTAAGACACTTTTTGCGGCACCTTCAAATCTTGCCTGGCGCAACACCCTCCCTGCCCTTCTTCTCTCAACCATGAGCCCTCCTGGCCGCAATGCGCCGCTGTCTCCTATATCTGTAGGTGGAAGCGAGTGGTCACCATCAAAATACTCTTCTCGCGAGGAAGGCGGTCCTTATCCCAACGGTCGTGGTTACTTGTTATCTCCCCCAAACTCGGGAGGTGGCTCCATCGGAACCATGAGTATGAATGGCTTCCCTTCGGCGCCCCGAAGTACAGGAGGTCCCTCACCGCCGCCATCGGTTGGACGATCGAGCACTGGCACGAATCTCTTTGGAGGTAGCGATGGAGGTGGCAATAGTACGCGAGGCGGCGACCTGGATGAATCCGTCCTGAGCGAACATTACATGGCCTTGAGGGCCTTTCTGAATGCCAGGGACAACAATGCGAGACAACAACCCAACAAGGCACGCGACAAACTCTTACGCCTCTCCTCAGTTCAATTTTTCGAACTCAGCACAGATGTGTTCGACGAATTGATGCGTCGGCAAGCAATGGCTAGGGCTGGTGGTCCTAATGCGCCAAACGGTCCTCCGCAGTTCCTTTTGCCAGAAAAGACATTCCACCCCAAGAGAAATCAGGCTCGCCAGCGTCTCTCCTCGTTGGGCCCTCCGAGGTTTCGGGACCTTGCCGCCGACGTATATCATGAGTTGGAGCGACGGTTCCCTTCCTTTGTCGCGCGAGATATCCCTCGAGGCGGCAGCTCCATGTCGATGCGCGGCGGGCCAATGAGCCGAACCGGAGCCCCTGCCAATGGGATGTTTCCTCCTAGAGGCCAGAGTCGCATGCGAAGGCCGTCAGACGCCAGCTCAATTCGTGGACCGCCGTCTGCTCCAGACCTTTATGGCATCCCTCCGTCACCCAACTTGGCCGGCGGCGAATATGGACGGCCGACGCCGAAACAACTTAATCAAAACAACACAATTGTTCCCAACAAAAGCACCATGTTGGAGGAAGATGACGAAAGAGCGTCAACTTCAGAGGTGAGAATTTATGCTCAGGTGATGCGACCCCAAGTGGCTGACCGAGGTGTAGGCGGATAAGAAGCTTATGGAGGACTACCAGACGCAAATAAGGGAACTTCAGGATAAATTAGCTGACATGGAGGATGCCATAAAGAAGAAAGAAGATGAGATGAATATCGCGCTAGACGGCGAACGCTCACGAGCTACGGCGACGCACTTGGAAAAGAAGGAGTGGGTAGATCTCAGGCTCCATCTTGAGAACAAGCTTGTCGAGGCCCAGGACCTGAACAAGTCAATGAAGGACGAATTGGACCGCATGCGAGCCGAACAAGAAGAGGAGGCGTCTTCTGACTCAGTCTCCGCCCTGCAGCGAGAAAACGACGAACTGCGAGCGTTGTTGCGGCAGCAGGAGCAAGTCACCGAGCAAGTCCGCCGAGAAGCACACGACTTTCTCCAAGAGATGAGAGTTCTTTCACAGCAAAGCGCTGCAACATATGACAAACAACTCGAATTGGAAAAGGCAAACGAGGAATTAGAACGCGATGTGCGACACTGGAGAAATCGCTATGCTCGCTCCAAGACGATGCAGGGCGGAATGCGGGCTTCGACGCAAGGCCTGTCTCTGGAACACGATGTTGGCAAACACGTACGGCACAAGGAATTCATTGCTGAAAATGGTGTCATCAAAGACGTCCTTGTTACCCAATTCCAAATCTCAATCGACGAGCTGCTCCAAGCCGCACACAATGACACTGCCGAGAAAGCTCTTGAGTCGATGAACAGGGTTGTAGTCAGCGTGCGTCAAATTACGAAAGCCTTGGACAAGTCCACGCCCCATGACGACGACGTGCAGCGGCAGGGAAAGCTGAGGTCAAGAGTTGCAGCCACAGCCAACGCTTTGATAACTGCCTGCAGAAACTTCGAGGCTGGAGCAGGACTGTCTCCAGTGTCCCTGTTGGACGCCTCTGCGTCTAACCTCACTGCGGCCGTTGTTGAGCTCCTTCGCCTCGTCAAGATAAGATGGACATCTCCTGACGAGCTTGAGGAGGACGACGACGGGACTGTCACCCCCGTCGACTCTGGTAGTTTCTTCTCACCGCCACCAAGCACTATGCAGACTTCGAACCAGAAGCAGCTACCGCCACCGCCACCTTTCCAGGGCCTTGGTGGTGTAGGAGCTCGGGCAAGTGCTGAATCATCAGCATATAGCCCGATCAGCTCCCCGAGGGAGTCGGTTGAGCCATTTCCTGTGAACGGATTGAACGGCATGGCAAATGGTGGAGGTTACCTTGGGCTCGACGCGGGTCCCAATGGATATCACGACAGTCGAGCCGATGATGTGCAGGTGCACTCGTACAACACATATGGTGGTTTGTGATTGCACATGGACGCCCCGGCTGACGGCAGTTGAGGTCTACCCAAAGGACCAAACGGCCGTCCTGGTTTCTGACGTACAAACTTTTGAAAGCTGCATCCGCGGCAACGACGAACTGGGACAGGTGACAAGTGAAATCCATTCCATCAATGCGATTGTCGGCAAAATTTGGGCGAAACCACGTGCTGTGGCTACGGCAGCATGACGACCAGACTAGGGGCAGTCCGCGAGCGACTTATGGGAGCCAGCGAAAGCTGGCGAACCATGGGGCAGTCTGCCGCTGCACAGGACGACGGCTCGTGGAGAAGATGGACACAAACACTGCCCCCCCCCCATTGCCTTTGAGATTGCCGGCGAAACCAAGGAGCTTGTTCAGAGAATGGGTGAGCTCAGTTCATGTGGAGGTATGGATGAATTGTCCTGACGCACGGCGGCGGCACGAATATCATGATAACGCAAGAAAGAAACGACAAAGGTACTTGAAAGGAAGGGTGCAAACACTCGAAAGTAGGTGACGAGGGATGCGGGGGTGTACCTTGGACGCTAGGCATGATGATGCATCCATATTGAGGCTGGGTTTGAGGCTTTGTTCGAATGGGAAATACCCGCTGGTGCACCAAGCAGCAGATGTCCAACATGAGACGGTCATTATTGTATTACTCTTTGTTTACTACGATATCCCACCCGGGGTTAGACATGGGTCAGGGGAGGAGGAGGTGGAGGATGAGTCGGACGAGAGATGAAGTAGGCAGACGGCGGGAAAAGAAAGGGTGCCTCTCAGGTGGACGTTTGGGCGCCTGGGGCCGGTGAGGTCTGTGTAGAGAAGGAGAAGGAAAGTTGGCGTCGGATGATTAGAAGCTGGCTTTTGCCATTGATGAAGGAATGAATACCTGATGAAGCTCACACGAAAGGGTCAACTGGGTGAATTGACGGCTCGGCTAGGTCGACGAGGGGGCGGCGGCAGGAAGGGTAGGTGAACAGAGGCGAGCGTGCATGTGCTCCAAGGGGAGTGAGGGAGGAGTGATTGGTAGTAGCTGCACGCACGCATGCATGCATGCTCGATGGCCGAATCTCGTAGATGGCAGATGGCAGATGGCAGACGGCAGACGGCAGACGGCAGACGGCAGACGGCAGACGGCAGGGGGTCCCGCCAAGGCCGCACGCGTGAACTGACCAGGTTCAAACCCCAAACAGGGTGCGGGACGGGAGCGACACCGGCCCACGCAGCATGCGCATGCACACTCGGTTCTCCGTACTCTGGACGGCGCCCCTGGACGGAGCACGGAGTAGGCGGACCTGGGTTGCCTGCCCAAGAGAGGCCTAGGCCTGCTGGCCTGGCGGGCTTCTGTCACGTCCCCTTGCCGGCAGGTCCTTTGTGCAAGCAGCAAGCCAGGTGACCTCTTCAAGTGCCTCCCTAAGTACTCAAGTACCTAGGTCTAGGAAGTAGGTACGGAGTACTTGGCAGGTCCATGCACAGGCATGTGGGCAAGGATGCGACATGGACGAGTCATTGCCCCGCCCCCACGTCGGAGCCGAGTTCCAACAGTCACAAGCTTGAGCTGGGGGCGACTGGTAAGTTGCTCGTGCGCCTCGAGAAGCCTGGCGCTTGCGGCGCCGGCCAACGGGGGAAGAATGCGGCGGCGCCAACAGAAAGGCTCTGGCCCCCCGAGTCAAGACGGACTGAGAGGCGCACACGGCGTCCTGTCGAAGCGTTTTGCCGCCAGGCGCCGTGCTGCTGCTGGTGCTGCCGTGTGCTGCGCCTGCGCCGTCAGTGCTGTGCTGGCGCTGTCTGGAGTCTGGACGAGACCGAGACCAAGACCAAGACGAAGACGAAGACTCGACTAGCGGCTGCTGCCCGCCGTGCGCCGTGCGGCTTGTGCTACCTACTTACTTAAGTAAGTAAGTTGCCGGTTGACCACATGCCACATGCCGCGCGCTGTCCGGACACTCCGACGACGTCGTCCATTTCGAATCGCTTCGTCCCGCCACGACGCCCTGACCCGACGACATGCATTGATCACAACCACACCACCACTCCAACTCTCATTCTGTCCAACCCACCGCTGCCGTCTTCTGGCGGCGATTCATCCATCGACGGTCATTGACGGCGGGCGCACCGTCAACGACGCGGCCGTGTCTGGCCCGTCTCCCACACCACCCACCTTTGCTCTCCGTCACCTTGGACCTCCGCCTTGTGCGCTCCACGTCGCGCTGCGACACGACCGCGGCAGCCGAGATACCAGATGGATGGGTTCGCGCGTCATGCCGGCGCCGCACCGGCCTCGGCATCGCTGGCCACGGCGCGCGCGGCCGCCGAGACGAGGGACGCCCGCGACACGCGCGTTCCCCTTGCGGTTGCGACCGGCGATGCGCATCCACGGGCGGATTGTCCTTGGGAACCGGGAGCCGAACCGGGAGCGCGCGACAGCCTCCGAGAGCCAAGCAAACGACAGCCCGAGAACCCGGCGCCGACAGAGGCATTGCAGTCTGACCGACCGGCCGCCATCGTGACGCAAGATGCGACTGCGACTTCGGATGAGGTTGTGCAAGAACCAGTGGGCCGTGCCGCATTCGCATCCGACGTGGTTCCCGCCCCGACTCGTGTGACGGAAAACAACGTCCAGTCGAGCGACGACAAGGACGCAGTCAACAACCCCGACTCGGGCCCAGTCGCAAAAGGGAGCGCAGGTGGAGGGAACGCACCGGCTCGTTTGCCGGCGGTGCTGCATCGTCACGACGCCGCACCCGCCACCACGGTGCCGACGTTAGTGCCGCAAACCCCGGTCCGCGGCGAGGTTGCCGGCTCAGACGGCGCACAACACCAGCCCGGAGAGCTCCACGCTGCGCCGGATATCAAGCACGACTTTGACCAGGTCGACGGCCACCGAATCCTGCGTTTCCAGCCGACCAAGGAACAGTGGGACGACTTCCCCGCCGTCTTGGCTTCTGCGAGAAGTCTCGGCGCCGACGGAGACGGCTGCTTCAAGGTCGTCATACCAGAGGGCCTCGGAGACGAGCTGCCAGAGAGGCCGGCGCAGATGCTGCTGTCCAACGCCTACAGAGTCAAGCTGATGAGGCGGACGTCCTTCTGGCAAGTCAGCACGGTGCCGTCGGAGGGCGTCTTCGCATCGTCGTCGCGGCCCGGCGCGGAACTCACCGAGCCCGTCGACGCGCTGCTCAAAAGGCTCAAGCACCTCTTCCGGAAGCACCAGAACCGACAGCTGCGCAACATCAGGTACAGGGTCGACGTGCCCGCGTGGACCAGGACGCAGCGGCGCCTGGCCGGCGTCCCGGACAGGAGCCCGATCCACCCGCTCAAGGGCGACAAGCTCGACGGCACCAGGGCCGTCATCCCCGGCATCCACACGCCCTACGTGTACGAGTCCGCGGCCGCCTTTGGCGCCTCGTTCCAGATCCACGCCGAGGACTTCCGCCTCGCCTCCCTGAACCACCTGTACAGGGGCCGCAAGATCTGGATCGTCATCCCCGCCACGCAGGTCGACGTCGCCGAGAGGGCGCTGGGCCGCGGCCCGGGCTGCTCGCAGTTCATGCGCCACCGCGCCGAGTTCTTCTTCCCCGACAAGCTGCGCAAGCTGGGGATACCGCACAGGATCGTGGACCAGCGCCCCGGGGAGACGGTCGTCATCCTGCCCGACGCGTACCACGAGGGCTTCAGCTGCGGGTACACCATTGCCGAGGCCAGGAACTACGCCGACCCCGCCTGGACGCCCGACTCGTACCAGCCGTGCCAGGCGAGCTGCAGGCTGGCCACGGCCATTCCTGCCGCCCTGATGAGGCCCCTCGGGGAGGGCGAGCAGCGGCTGGACCTGTGTGCCGCGTACGGCGACGGCCCTTGCCTGCCTGCGCCCGCGCCTGTTGTTGACGCGCCCGAGCCCGAGCCCGGGAAGAGGGAGACGGGAGAAACGGATGGCCGGGGCCCCGCGTCGACGGGGGCCGGGGCGCACGAGGCGAAGCGCATCAAGATGTGTGAGTCGTAGACGGCGGGGGAGACCGGTGCATACGCCAGGCGTTATGTTGTAACCTGGGGCCGGTTTGACGAGGCAACCGGCCGACCAGCTGTATGTGTGTATGTATACCCAGCGACGGGACTGTACGATGGATAGGCGTCATGGGCTGGTGTACGGATCTGCGAGGCTGTCATGGGCCTTTTTTTTGGTGTGTGAGAGGGTGTGTAACAACACGTCGTGGAAAGGGTGATTATTGCCGCCAGCATGGGAGAGGGAGTGTACCATCTTGTGGTGGCCGCATATCTACAGGTATCTAGATATGAGTTCAGATGGCATCAGAGGCGTTGGAGCGATTGTGACGACGCGGGCACGGGCAGCTGCTTGGAGGATGTGTAGAATTCTGAACGAGTCAACGAAAGCTACGTTGGAAAGGGAGACGGATGGCTTCCTCTCATCGACGGTAGTTGGGATTGGTATGATGCGGCGGCGGCGTCGTCGTCGTCGTCGTGTCGGTGTTGGTGTTTGGTCAGTCTCAGGTCTGCGTCGCTTCCTGCCAAGGGATCGTCTCGTCGGTTCGGACACGTCTGGGTGAGGGGGCCATTTATGTAGTGCCCGGTACTGCGAGCCACGTGTGCGCATGCACGAGGTTTTGCGAGGAAATTGCGCGGCGGCGGAGATTGAGAGGCGTGAGCTGCAACAAATACCAGACCGGGCTGTCGACGCAGGCAAAACGTCTCGAGATGTCCACGTCCTCGTCCCCGATGAGTAAGTACTGGGTACTTTCTCGAGTACGGGTAGCAGCACCGGTTTGGCGAATCCGCCAGGCCGAGTCGCGATTCGACAATGCACTTGTACCTGGGTACTTAACATGGGACGTTCCAGATTGCGCCTCCACTTCGGAGCGTGCCGTGGCGCCTCCTAGTACTCTGTACATGCACCCTTGTTTCCTCACGTCCCTTGGTTCTTCACTTCCTATTTTTCGGCGTCTTTTGTGTCCCTGCTCCCCCCAACTGCAATCGCAAGAGCCCAGCGTCGAAATCAGTCTTCTCTTCTCCCCCCCCTTCTCTCTCTCTCTCTCTCTCTCTCTCTCTCTCGCAGCAGCAGCAGCAGCAGCAGCAGGATTCCGGGACTCCCTCTCGGCAGCTCGTCTCCCCCTCTCGTCCGCATATTTTCTCGCCCTCCGCCGAAGGCATCACCATCACGTCCAGCCCACCATGCACCCGTCGGTCATGCTCGGTGCTGGCCTCGCCATCTGCGCCGCCTCCGCCGTCGCCGTCCCTGCTCCCAGCGAGCCTGCCGTCCTGCGCCGTCGCGACTACGACAACAACGACAACCTGCCCGCCGCTCCGTGGGTGACCGTCGACGACAATGGCAATCCCAGCACGACCTTCACCCCCGTCTTGACCACCATCAGCGGGACCCCGTCTGCTGTCGACGCGGCGCCTCACGACCTCACGGCCTCGGTGTACACGCTGGCCAGCTACGGCCATGTTTCCACCAGCACCGGCCTGCCGCCCAACCCGACCGCGACCAATGCCGTCACCAACCAGGGCTCCTTCTCGCGATGCTACAACAGAAACGGGCCGTATGCGCCGTTCTGTCGCCCGTCGTACAATTCCACCATTTACACCGGCAATACCTACTACAGTCCGTCTTGAATCCTCTCTCCCCTCCTCTCCTCCACGTCGGATCACGGCACCTGCAGAAACAGTCGCGGCTGACAGAGTCTTGCCAAAACCAGTCACCTGGGACCCGGACCACTATAACAAGTCCGCCGCCACGCTCAACTCGACCTACTTTGTCAGCGTGCGCCTCGACTACCTCAACACCACCAGCAACGAGTACGTGCTCCTCGACAAGGTCGACAAGAGCGTCCCTGCGAAATGGGGCTACTTCCCGCTCGCCGTCGACGGCAGGTACCTCAAGGGCCAGAAGAGCACCAACAACATCACCATCACCCTCTTGGGCCACGACACGGAAAACAGCATCGCCTACAACAACAAGTCCGTCCCGCTCCCCGTCGTGGTCTCGAGCCCGCCGCTGGCCCCGACGGCGCCGAGCAACGCGCCCAAGGGCAAAACCCTCACCATCGCTCTCCCAGCGACACTGGGCGTCATCGCCCTCCTGCTCATCGGCGGGTGCATCTGGAACCGCAAGACACGCCACATCCAGCTCGGCAATATCATGAGCCGCTCTCGTCACGGATACACGGGCCGCAAGACGCGGGGGCTATTCAACCGCGGCCGCAAGCACGACGCCATCCAGCTCGACACCGCCCCCCTTTCGCCCCCGCCCTTTGACTACCGCGATGCTCCCGAGGTGGCAAGACGCGACAGCGACGCCCTGGGCAGCCTGACTGGTAGCCCCGTACGGGGAACCTTTGAAGAGCCCGGTAGTACCGGGGGGCGAAATACGTTCCGCAACGAGGTTAGACGGCAGGAACGCGAGAGGCGGGGCGAGGTGTAGGTCTGTCGGCGCTCAAGTAGTACATGTCGGGTACGAAACGAGGGCACCGAATGACGTTTGGAGGACGAGCCCACGCGTGATGCGAATGACGTGTATGCTCGCAATGTATTGTACAATTTCTCGGCAGATTTGTAAAGACATGCAGGGTCACGGGGGCAGTTTGATATTTCTCCTCTCACCTGGCACTGGGGAGTGATGACGATGACGGGACCTCGTGACATGTGTTGCCAACGGTCTCCCTCTCGCACCCGTGATGCCGTATCGCACTGTCTGTTTCGGACGAGGGGCGTTGCCAGCCAGCCAGCCAGCCAGCCAGCCAGCCAGCCAGCCAGCCTCACGGTCCACGACACAGCAGCAGTTGGACTGCTACACATCATGTGTTTGTCGCGGCGGTGGCATACATTTTGCGTCGACGGGAGAAACGGAGGCCGAAGGGGCGTGGACGTGGACCGGACCGGACTGGGACCCCGGCGCGGCGCGGCAGGAGCTGACGGGCCCGCGTGGCCAATCCACTCGGCCGGACTGCCGCCCGGCTCGGACGCGTGGCATCGCATCGACCGGCCGGCGGGCCCGCTTGGCCTCGGGCTTCTGGGACGGACGTCGGCGCATCTTGGACACACAAGAGCCACCACGTCGGGGAGCGCACCCCTGGAATCCGGTGGCCGTTGGCGCGGGACGCTTCCAGAGTGGGCGCCCTAGTCGTCGCCTGTTTCGTTTCAGGCTAAATCTTGTCTGATACCTGTAGCCGCCGCGCCTGGCGTTCAGGCCGTCTCTCGACTGTGCCGGTCCCTGTTGTTCCATTTTTGTTTCCTCGTCTAGTTTCCCCGTGCAAGGTGGCCCGGTGACAAGTGTTGTCGGTGACGGCGATGCCGCGCCGTAAGGGCATGTGAAAAGCACGACGGAGCGAAGCTTGTACCCGCGGGCGATGGATCGATGGATCTACACGTCGGAGGAGGAGTGGGAAACACACAAAACTAGCCAGTACAGGATGTGGCGGAAGTTCCTCTCGAGGAGGGGGCCCTGGGCATGCGTGCATTGGACTATCGGACGAACCTGGCGGCTCACAGCGGCGGAAATGGATAAAATCAGCAAACAGGCTTGGCGCCGAGTATGTTTCGATTCGGCGGGCAAGGCTGCCGCTGCTGATCTGACGGTAGCTCCTCCGCGCGGGAATGCCCTCTGGCTACTTGGGTAGTCACGGCAGTTGTTGTGAGTTGCACCGCCTCGCCGAGCGCCGGACTCTTGTGCCCAGCCCTGCGCCGTGGCTCCCCCACGAGCTGGCGCAATTGACATGAGATGTGCACTCGCACGCGCCCGGTTGCATGTCTGGTGTCGTGCGAGCTTGAGACGCCGCGGCGCGACGCAGGCCGAGTCATGACGAGTCGAGGACACGGAGGATTTGGGAGACATTCAGGACACCGGCGTCGTTTCCAACTCGAGCTTGGACAAGTTCTCGTTACTTCAGGCGACGCGGCTTTTGGACCACCGCGTCAGCACGTCGGCTGGCGTCGAGGCTTGTTTTCAAAGACGGTCCGCTGAAACTCGACACGACCTCCTGTTTGATTTCGACGATCGGTCCACCGTCCGTCCGTCCATGATGCACGACTCCACCTGTCGCCTATTCCCGAAACGAGCAAGCTTTCGTGTCTGGGATTCATCTGCAGCGAGGTGGTCCCTACTATGGGAGGTGGTCCCTACTATGGGAGGTGGGGGAGCAAGGTCATTAATAAAACTGGGAATTGCATACGAGCTCGCAATATCTCCGCCAGACTTGACTTGACCTGTTGCATCAGTTCTGCGCCTCGCACTCACCTCGCCCTGCGGCACAAGTACAACAGCAGCAGCAGCAGCAGCAGCAGCAGCAGCCTACATACCGCGCGGCGGCCCCAAGCAGGCCGAACCTGAAACAGGCGGTTTGCCACTCTTCGCCAGCACCGACGCTCGGAGCCGTGAACTCTATCTCTACGCGGTGGGGACGGATCATGGCCACCATCCGCGCACGTCCACACGTTGACAGCATCATCCTGCCTTCATGTCGGGCAACGCGTGTGGCCTCGAGGAACGAGACGTTTCACAGAATCTTGCCGGCAAAGGAGGCAGGCCCCCTCGTCACCGCTCGACTCCTTGCCAGCCGGAGGCCGGAACGTGGAATAAGACCAGAGGCCGTGTATATACACGCTCACACGTGTATAAAAGCGTAATGGTCTCCCAGCTCCGTGTGGCATCGCCGTCATCGGTCTTATCATCTTTCGTCTCTCAGCGGTACACACGCGCTACTCCGAGCCATTCCCTGACGCCGCAGCATTTCCTTTTAAGTTTTTTTTTTTTTTCAAAAGTCCCAGCTGTCAAAACCTGTCTCTGTCTCTAGCTCCCTTGTTTCTTGTGAATCTATAACGGCGAGAGGAGAGGAAAAATGCGTCCCGGGAATGTCATTGCCCCCGTTGCCGTGGTCCTCTATGGACACGCTGCTGTTGGCAGGCCTACCTTTGGGGATATCGGCAACATCATGGGCGGCATGCTGAGTTCTCTGTCTGGGGGGAGCCCGATGCCAGGCGGCGCACCGGGCGCTTCCCTGACACAGTTGATCCCGGGGGCGTCGGCTGGTACTGGATCGTCGACTGGTACTGGATCGTCGACCGGCACTGGATCGTCAGCCGGCACCGGGTCGTCGACCGGCACTGGATCGTCAGCCGGCACCGGGTCGTCGACCGGCACTGGCTCGTTAGCCGGCACCGGATCGTCGGCTGGTACTGGATCGTCAGCCGGCACTGGATCGTCGACCGCTACCAATTTAACCGGAACTGGCCTGCCAGCAGACACTGGATCGTCGACCGGTACTGATTTAAGCGGAACTGGCTCGTCGGCCGGATCAGGGTCGTCCCCCAGCTCCGGGACCTCCATCACGACGACGATAAACGGTCCAGGATCGTCGACTGGCGCCGGATCGTCGACTGGCGCCGGATCGTTGGCCGACGCCGCCGGAACCGCGCAACGGCCAACCACCCAGGAGCTCGAGGCCGCGGCGCGCGCATGGCGAGACGACACGGCCGTCGTGTCCAACTTCCTGTCCACCGCCGAGACCATGAGCCCCGAGCAGCTGCAGAGGGAGGGCAAGATTGCGCTCGACGCCGAAAACGACGAGCTCATCCACAAGGCCGTCCTCGACAAGGTCTTCCTCAACGGCACAGCCGCCGAGAGGGACCCCGGCGTCGTCCAAGCCAACGACGTCCTCGTCAACCAGGGCACGTTCCAGTTCATCGTCGACACGCTCGGGCTCATCTCCAAGCGGGGCGCCAACATGACGACCGGCGACATCTCGACGCTGGTCCGGGCCATGGACCAGGACCGGTGCCCCAACATCCTCCCAGCCATCGACGAGTACTTCGCTGCCACGCAGAAGGAGGCCGGCGGTCCTCAGCTCCGGGCCGTCAGGCCGACCAACTGCTAATCTGGCCCGGGGCCCGCCGTGGGTGTGGACCGGCCAGGCCTCCCGCTGCGTCTGCGCTATCGTGGCAATGGACGGGACTGTGTCATGGTGATGTGCGGCGGCACGAGTAGGATCATGTGTTTTCTTTTAAACCAAGCGTGCCTAGACTTGAATAGAATATAATGATGAGCTTTTTTTTAATATCGAGGACTCGTGTGTGATGTCGCGCTTTGCAGTGCCGCGCCGCAGAATTGGGCATCTGCCATCCCATCCTCGACTTGACAAGTTGACACTCTTTTTGCCGGCGGATGCCCGAAAAAAAAAAATAGGCCAGGGGGAAAAGAGAAGCCGTGGCGCCCGTTGTCATCACTGTCGTGACGGGTAACAACCGACTGATGAGATGCCAAAACGTGGAGCCGACCTTGCGGAAGTTCGGTCGTCATCATCTTGCGCGGATCCCCGAGGCCGGCCGCTTTCCGTCCGGAGTCTCGGCGCGGTCGGCGCCAGACCTCCGGGCCGCGAGCCCACCCTGCAAGTCGGCACATGCCAGGGATGTGGTTTTCGACACGACTTGAAGATGTGAGGGCTAGAAAAAAAAAAGGACGGTTAAGATTACATGCGTAAAAATATCACATGGCGGCAATGCTAAAAGGAGCAGTGCCTGCCACAAATGCCGCAGTCGTTGGTTAGTATCATCATCATCATTGTAAATTCCTCTTCTCACAACAAACCGAGCCCAAAACGACGCAAGAAAAATCTTCCTTACAAAGCTACAACCAAAGCAACTGTTCGTGTAGCGAAAACTCCCCGTCCGGCGACATCATTGGCAACATGTCCGAATGCAGCAACTCCGGCGGCACGGCAGGATTCTCCCCGATGCCCGCAAGTCCCGCCTCGTCTTCATGAATGGCCCGGTGCTCCGCTTGGTGCTCGATTTCTCTTGATCCCCCGCGGTGCAGGCCTTGGCTCTGAGAAAGGTACAGGACGATTATTGCTGCTCTGTAGCAGTCGAGGTTAGGCGCAACTTGATGTGAGAGGTCTGCGCAAAAGGCAGGCATGGCACACTCGTGACACAGCCGGATCTGGTGCAAGTATATCATCTTGAGCTCGCTCCCATGGCCCTCGCTTGGGATTTCAGAAAGGTGCGCTGCGATTTCGTGCTCCATCGCGTCCATCTGTTGCTGCGTTGGGCCCGGCGACTTTGCCGTGTAACACGACGATAGTACTGTGCCTAGCGTGGCGCTGATCTTTACAAGGCAAATCCACAGCTGGACGAGGTGGTCGATTTCGCACGGGAAGTACTTGCGGTGCATCTCGTGGGGAGGCTCTCCCGAGAGGGATGCGGCCTGGACTTGGGTTGGTATCGGCGTCGTCGCTTGGCCCAAGAGGACGCGCACCGGCCGGCTGCAGCAGAGCGAGAACCGGATTTCACGGCAGTAGATACTCCACCAGAGCTGTGTCCGAAGGCATAGGTGGCCAGCGGGAGCATCTGATGATTGGAGAGCCGAGAGACGGTCAAGACCGGCCGTGTAGGCGAGCTAGATGGCGATGCCGAGCCAATACCATGGCCCATTCATGTTGTCCAATCCTCTGAGCCAGTAGCTCATGAGATACGTGGACTGGATGAGTACTATCGCCTCCTTTTCGTACTCCAACTCATAGAGGGCCTGTTTCGTCTTGTCAGTGGCTTCTGGGGTATCTCATGGGAACGTCGTGCCCTTGGGTACCTTTGCCCGTTGAAACGAGGTCGACTTGACCTCTATTCTTGTCGCCCCGAGCTCGCTCGTTGGTAATTTCTCGTCGATAAACTGGAAAGGCTGTTAATAAACACGCGGCCTGTGCCTGGCGCTCAAGCGAGCTTGCACAACAGGGCTCACTCACGCTCGCTGCGGCGACAAACATGCTCCAAAGCAATAGTACGCTCACTTTTCCTGTTGCATACCGATGCACAAAGTCGGCCACGTCGACGATTGGCGCGAAAGGATGCACATTGTGAAAATAAGCTCGAAGCAGCACGTCCTGCATCTCGCGAGACGGTAATGTGAAGCACCCTTTTTGCTCTAGATGCTGCAAGTCTCGAGGTGTCAATGCCGTGGTGTCGTTGACGGGCGCGAAGACGCTTCTGGAGGATTTGGAGCCGTCGTCATGGCTAATGTTCATTACTAGAGATAGAATCCCCCTTTCCTCGTCTGGAAATTGGCACGGTAAGTAAGCCCACGAATAGGTTGATCAAGATGATGGAGAAAAGAAAAGCAAAAGACTTCATACCAAAGTACTGCAGGCTGGGGGTTCCATCAGCTTCACGGATCGGGCCTTCTCTCCAAGATCCTGACACAGGTCCCGGCGCAAAGTTTGCGGTCATGTATGTAGTTCCGTTTGTGTCAAGCCCAGCGTCATGTCGCCTCGCGTTAATTTCATCGCCGCTATGCTTGGGGAGATACTGGCCGTCTTCTGGTAATGTCGAGTAAGGTCCCTGGCCGTCAGGAGTGATACAAAGCTGGTCCGGATTCCTAGATGTGGTTTAGTCCTGTGTTCGAATTGCAACGTCCATGTTTGATGGGCGCGCAAATAGGTATGGCACAGTACATTCGTCTCTTCCTCCTTGCAATCTCACATACGACGCCATCGGAAGCACAGTTGGCGCAGGGTATTCCCGACAGGGCCACTGTACATCGCACCTTTCGACCTTGGCACGCTTTGCAGGCTACAGCGGCTCGCGTAAAGAATCGGCGGCGTTTGGAAAGGGGGCTGGGTTGATTCTTGCTAGTCATCATCTCTTCTCATCCCTTGTTTGGCGTTGACTAAACGTGCGGTGGCTGAAGCAAGGTGTGAAAAAGACATTCCAAGGAGGAAAGACAAAGGCAACCAAAATGATATTCAATTAAATTCAAGACAACTCCGGCCCTAGGGGGTTTCGATTAGCTGCCCTCCCTGAAGCCTCGTCAAGTACAATGCAATGTAATGCAAACCCTGAATCAATGGCACGGCGGCGGCGTGTCAGAGCACATGGGTTATATAGCCAATAGAGAAGGAGAGAAACTTGGAAGAGGACAGTGGAGAGCCAGAATTGCCGTAAAAGAGTTGTTTTCTCGCAGATATCTAGAGCTTCTGGCAGCTCGCAGCCTCTTGGAGGCCACTCAACCAAGGATTCAGAAGCACAGGCCTGCGAAGCCGCGCTTGGATCCAATGGCGGGCAATCAGCAAAGCTTAATTTCAGTTGAGGCTTCACGGGACTTAATTGGCCTATCAAATAGACCGGCTCACCCTACTCCGCAGGAATCGACAGGCCAAAGTTAGACCTACGGCTGGTTGTAGGGTCCAAGTCGATCTGTCCTGATACCGTACTGAATCGATATTGCGTCGCGTAGAATCGGCCGAGTTGCCGAGGTTGTTCGAGCATGTGCAGGAACCAGAAAAAGCCTCAACAACGCCTACATATCTTCTCCTGAGAGGTGTAGGCTAATTGCTATAGCTGGGTCGTCCTCCAAAAGTCTGGAGCGGGTGCCGACATTGGCCTTGTCGTTCGCTGCTTCTGCCAACTGGCGCAAGGCGGCCCGGTTTCGCTCACAATATACCTCCTTCATCCTTTTTTCCTCCTCCCGACCTCTCCAAGTCCTGCCATGGAGGTGTTGCAAGCACACTTGCTTGCCATGGTGGGGATTGTAAAGCCAAGTTGCCCATTTTGCCCAGTGGCCCTCTTTCATCTGACTCCTGGCTCTCTGCCCAATGGTATCCTCGATAAAGGCTCCGCGCATCATGGCCAGCCTGCTGGGGAAGACACGTTGAAGATAATGCGCCGTCGAAGCAACATGTGGCTTATCATGCCAAAAGAACATGGGCGTCAGCGGCACGGTGGTCGAGGGACTACCGGGCGACATATAGTCGCCACTCAGGGCAGTGGCGAGTTTTCGTAGCTCCGGGAATGGCATGACCTGAGCCGAGGTGGCGTAGAATATCCGGCGCCCAGAAGGCAGGCAGATGTATTTTATTGGCTTTCCATGGTCCGATTCCGAAGCCCTCATGACGGAAAGGAGGGACGCAATTGGTATGTCGAGGATGAGAGCCCAGTCATGTTGGTGTACCCAGACGTAGGGGGTTGCTACTTTTCGGAGCGCTGTACGAACTGCCAAGCCAAACCCCAGGCGCTGGCCCATGGCCTCGACGAAAGTAATGCGACCATCTGGTGTAGAGGCAGTGGCGAAGGAAACCGGCGCCGTGTTTGGCGAGCCATACTCTGCTTCACCGCAGCATTCTGTCAGGTCCGTCCCGTCCGAGGCGCTCTGAAGATATTCATGCAGGAAGAGATGTTTGACATTTTTCTTGTAGGTGTGGTAGTTTTCGGCACTCGTTGGTGTAACGTAGCCTTTCTTCAGCCGGTGACGGGTGGTGATTTGTTCGTACGTGTCAAAGACCACAATGACTCTGCACTTCAACAGCGGGGCACATCGAGCGCGAAACGACGCAAGGACGGTGGAAAGCAGCTCGGTAGATGGCGCCGAGCGGGTCGGGGAGGTGGTGATGATCAGCGTCAGTAGGTCCGAGATTGAATGTTCAGCCCAGGCGGTGGACATGTTCTTCGAGAAGTCGGAAATGGTGAAGTGCAACAGAGCGTTGAAGGGAATCTCGTTCAGTTGGGCATTGCCAAGACGCTAAACCGCGTTCAGCCGAGAGCGGGCGACCTCGGCGGAGCTGTGCAGTCGCACGTTCTCCGTGTCATCGTTGTACGAGGCGCTGGAGGTCCTCGGCGGCCTGTCTTCCCATGGAGGCTGCTCCGCCCGTCGATGGGTTCGATGATCGGGCAGTAGACTGTTGTACGGAGTAGCGTGCTCGTGTTGAAAGGTCGACGTTGGATCGACTTCCAGTTTCTCTGTTGCTGTCCAAGGCGAGGCCAGCTGATTCAGCACTGAGCAGCTCCTGCCCGAGTTAGGAAGGAGCGGCGCGACCCATTTCCATTTCCACAGACACACGCTTCACAAATTCCCAGGCATCGAAGGCGATACTCATTGGGAGGCTACCTCTTGAGTGTCATGGACGGAGTATTTTCATGGGCGAAACCACAGCTTTCAAGTGCCTTTCTGCAAGCAGCTGCTGTGGACAGCTCTCGAGGGAATCTTGAAAAGGATAGTGCCATAATTTTCCTGATGTCACGCCGTTGGTCACACGTTTACACAGCACAACGGCCACCATCACAAGGCGCAGGGCAGAACGTTGCCGCGTAAGTAGAAGTCCGTGGGCAGGGAGGTCTTTGCGGGAACCCAAGGAGCTTTAACAGCATAGCGTGTTATTACAGTTGAAGGCCGTGCGGATGATTGGACAAGCACGGTTTTGTTGCATCATCACGCCATGTTCAAGCACGGGGTAGCCGTGAGAGCTGGTCGGTTACCAAACGGATCGGAACTATTCAAGATGAGAAAAAGCTCCCACGCCGGAGTCTCGACCGCCGACTACAGTACCGATGTTGCCATCTCTGCCTCGCCTCGCCAAGATTGCCCGAGTCCATGCTCGAGTTATGGCCTATAACCGTTGAGCCATCGCGAAACGAAAGAGCAATGCCGGCCCTCGGATGAGTATGCCAAATACCCAACTTATAGACGTGCCACCCCCGAGTCCTTCCTAGGCCGAATATGCGATAAAGCAGAGGGCAAGGCTATTTGTTCGTATTCGAAAATGTATGAGATGGGAGGTGATCCTCTCCACCGAAAAAGTCGGTCGCGCAAGCTTTCTTCTCGGAAACCAGGTTAGGTCGAGTCCAGCTTAAGCGGGAGAGGCTTCATTTCGACTACAGTCTTGCCGCCTGGGTGCCGAATTCGACATTCGACCTCGCGTCTGACTCTGTCCGGAGTGTTCGAGTTGCGAAACGTGGCTGTGACCCATATCAGCACCCCGGCAATTTTCAAAACATCCTGATGCTCTGTCGCCGCGTGTAATTCGATTCTGCTGCGTGCAATTGAAACTACGTCTTTATACTAACCGCACAGTGAGTGGTGTCCAAAAACTCCAACATCACATTCAGTATGTCGGTCCCAATCTATGTCGCTCCCAATCTCCCCCCAAGTCTTGCGCACGTAGTCTTTGCAAGTGCTGAGTCTTCCCCACGGAATTTCGATGGGACAAGTTTTGACCTTTCCGAATTCATCACCCGATATGGAACTTTTGGCTAGGAAATGTGCAAGGTGCCAGCCTAATTCTAAATCAAGAGAAGGACTGGCGCCGGAAGTCCTCTTTGCCGACCTGAACAACTCCTTCTCAAGCGCCTTGCGAATCTCACCTGCCGCTACTCGTGTCGGCGGCGGTGCTGCCATTGGACGACGACAATTTGTGGGTAGATGGTGACGATTCACTGTCGACTCTGAGAACGTGCAAGACACTAACCGTGAGAGTATCTCTTGTTTTCTCAGAGACAAGAACCTTGGCGGTAGCTAAGTTGAAGTAGGTCTGTCTGGTGTTGCTTGAGCAGCAAACTTTTGGAGTGCAAGAATGATTCGCTCCCCTCGCGTGTGGTAGGCTGATAAACAGGTGTCTCTGCTTGGTTTTTGATGCAAGACTGGTTCCCGAAGAGAATTTGGATTACCTGACTTGGTCGAGAAATGCAGACCGTGGCCTAGGGAGACGGCTTTTATGTACATGTCCCCGGCAAAGGGCAGGAATCGTCACCACAGCCGTCCTTGTCTTTTTGTCTCCAGATGTGCTTGGAACGATTTCTCGCACTTCATCATACGAAGGAAGCGAATGGTGAGGGATAAAGAATCATGTGCTAGTGCTACAAAGAGTCGTCATTATATGCGATTTTGCCGTGTAGACGACTGAGCGCTAGTCACACGATGAATCGAGATATTTCCTTGCAATGCAAGGGAGTTCTTTACATGCCCCCCAATACCGACTGGTTTACGACCCCCTTTGACGCTCTGGTATCAGCACATCCGTAGTGAGGCGCGCTGTGTCCAATATCCGGCGCCGTACTCCGTCTTGTCATCAGTGCCGCAACCATAATTGGTGTCAGGGCGGAAATATGGAGTGCCTTTTAACGGTGAATGTCCTTCGTCATCTGCTTTGCCTCGCTAATCTAGGCCCAGTATCTAGCTCACGTCCTACAAGAGCCAAAGGAAATTCTACGCTGATTGTAACAATGCCTGCATCACTGTTACACGGAACTGGCCACCAACAGAGCCTCAACCACATAATTAGGTTCAATGCACAAAGATTGCAGCTATCACGACGCCGTCGTAGCCGAGGAACGGCATAGAAGGGGAACGTGAGAAGGAGAAATGCCTCAGTCATCTTCCTGCACGTACATATAGCCCTCGTTGGTCGGGTTCTCCAGGTGGAGGAACCAAGGACCTCAGACCATACGATGTTATATGTGAGTCCGAGTCTTTCGCTCCGAGCCCTGGTCCTCGTGACCAGCCCGTGTTACATACGCACAAACTTGACCGGCGGCTGCTTTAAAAGCATTTTTAACTCATGTCTTGGAGGTCGAACCCTCCTCCACGTCTGGTTGCACCAGTCCTCGTTCGAAAACAAGTCGCAGCCAAAAGAGGTCCACACGAAACCGATGGTCTCGACTGTCTGACGCCTCCTCTTTGGGGCCGGAAACGAGCATCCAGTGATAGCTAGGTGTTATGCGCAGCCGGGCAAGATTTGGTTGACAGCGTTTGTTAGGGGACAAGGGTGTACAGGCCTGCTTCAAGACGGCTCTTGTCTGAAGGAATGGCAATTTTCTTGAGACTGGCGGTAGGGTCAATGGCAACTCGACTCGTGGTTGTTCTGGCTTACTCCAGCAACTTTGATCGATGGAAAGGTCATCTTGCGTGCCTTGGTAGGTGTGAAAAGAGCCTTTGTATCTGAGTATTCCTTGCTTGGTGGTCCTACGCACGCGTCTGCACTGTCCCTACATCACTACGTATTTTTGAAAAGAGACTAGAGAGGCATATGTTAATTTTTTTTTTTTTGGGACGCTCAGCCGCTTTGGATGTAGATGTGCGAGTCTCGCCAATTGTCTGACCTCCCAGAATAACGACACCGACACGGCCTGTACCGTAACCATTCGTAAAAGTCATGACGTAGATCATATGTACACGCCAAAATACAATGCTCGTTGCAAGCCTTCTCAGTCGCTATCATAGCATGATCCATCACCCGCATCACTGAGAGCTTCGCAATGACTTGCGCCACAGCTGTCGATCGACCTAGTCTTCTCCATCATCTCCTGCAACGACTCTTCATCCGCCTTTCCGGGGTACCAATCCACGCCATCGGCACCACGGAAGTAACCCAGTCGGTCATACAGTGATCGGGCTCGTACGTAGGGATCTAATTCCCAGTAGTTGGCAGCCAGGTCCTCCACACATCGGTTCCGCCTGTCGCAAATCTCCCTCACTTTTTCACTGAGTTGAGCATTCATAACCCACTCTTTTGTCAATTCCTCGAACTGCAGCGCCAACGCCATCCTTTCTTCCAACAGACGGTCCCGTGTCTCGGAGTCATTCATTTTCATGTTCTCATCCGGCTGTGGCTCAACGTACGTGTATTCCCAGTCTTCTTCGCCGCCAAGTCCCCTCATCAATTGATCTGCTGCGATCCATTTCCTTAGACCCTTCTTCCCGTATGTGAATTTGACCTTGCTGGTGAGTTCTTTGTCAAGCCAAACGCGAACGAGTCTCCAGATTGCTGGGAAAAGAAATCTGTTAGCCATGATCCGTCGACGCTGTTAACCAAAGTGCGTACTTTTAAGACCAAATGGGGCATTATGAACTAGTACAAGCCCGAGCGCCCCCGGATAATTCGTTTCAAATTGCTTGAGTATAAACTTGAGTAACTTCAGGTCAAAGTTTGCAAATGTGAAGCCGGATACATCCAGCAAGATGGTCTGAAAAAATTAGTCGGCCGCTGAGTCCGTTGTCATCACTGCCTCGGGGCTTCATCCACTTACGCCAGTCTCAATCGGATGTCTGAGTGATAAACGAGCTAGCTCGAGGAGGTATAAAGCGTATCTCTCGATGCTTTCAACAGATTGGTCCGACATTCTGTGCAGCCGAACCCTAATGTGAGTTATTGGCCGTCCAGCTCGATCAACTCCGTGGATGAAACTTTTGCCCCATCGGGCTTGTTTCATAAAGTCTGCGCCTAGAGCTCTCGTAATTCCTCGATTGTTCTTTTCATCTTCCGCCGCGCCCCCTTCTCCATGCTTCAAGATGTCGTCATCCACTCCGGCTTCAATTGTCCTCCAATAAATGGTTTTGCCCATCATGGTCGTAGCTTTGATGATATCCCAATTGCATGCGCGGAGAAATCGAAGAGCAAGCGCGTCTGGGTGCTCATGCTTGACCACTCGTTGAACAATCAGCCGGTACATCTCTGGGGTCCAATTGTCCAAAGCCTCCACGGCTTGCTGCGCCAATCGATTCAAGTTCTTTTCCGCGGTAGGCAGTAACGACAATATTTCGTTGACCAGCGTCGGATACTTTTCGTGAGTCTTGCTTGCGCCACGTGGCAGTCGGCTGGACTGCTTGGCAGGCGGGACATACTTCTTCTCCTCGAGAGTCTTTCCCTTGCTAGTGTCGTCATCTGCCTCGCAAATCTCGATAAATTTGAATCCAATCGCCCACATTGCCCGAACCTTTGCCTCCTGCTCTTCGGTCAAGTTGCCAATGTAACCCTCGGGGACCTTGTAAGCGAACGCCGTCCCCGCAGGGTACGACACGCTTTGGCGAATCGGCCGTCTTTTCTGCATGTTGAACATGTTTGCTCGATTGGAGGCGTGTTGGTGTTAAATGTGGCCAGAGTGCGGGCAGAACGCATTGCGGCAGAGCCAAGGTTTGGCATCAGTATATAAAGCAAACCTCCATGTCCATGTGAAGAAGGATCAGAAGGATCAGAAGAATTGACCATGACGCCACACTCACTACCGAGGTCGTTATCCGCGCAAGCTCGTCCAAGTTTTGAGAGTTTTGAGGGAGTTGACGGCTGGATTTGGTCCATATGCACGATGGCGTGCATTAGCGCAGCTGGAGGATGCGGGGAAGGAACGACGAGCTCAAACAATCCAGGTCGTGGCTGCATTAACAGAGGTCTGTGCTGATCGTGTCCCGCTCCTCAAAAACACCAATCGCAACCTTCGAACTTGACGATGAACAAACTGGGGCCTGTTTTTGCCCACCATCTATCCGGATCGATACGACACCGTACACATCTTGTTTCTAGACTTTCAGCCGTTAGAGTCGTTATCCTTGTTCACACCAAGTTGAAACCCTAGCTCGGCACACTCACCGACAGTCCACGCCTCATCACAACGACTCGATTCATCGTTCTCGCTACCGAAACTTTCACGCACGCCATTCTACGGCGAAAGGCTTGGACATACTTGCCGTCAAACATTCTTGGAACGGGTACAAGATGCACACTGTGCGGATAGCTCCTTGCACGCAATACTACAACTACTAAAGCTATCACCAACATACGGCCTTACCAAATTGCCGCTTTCGACAGCTCCGTCCCGTCCGAGGGATTTTCGGCAACCGCCAAGCCCGGGAGCGAGGACGACAACGGCGAGAACCACGGATGTGCAGCACACAAAGATTACGACACATGATCCTACTTGCAGAAACAACCTGTGGTCGTGACTAGACGGCGAACCTCCTTCTGGATATGTAAAGAAGATCCATGGTGCTGACCCCGGCCGCAAGTTCATCATGATGCGAGTAAGCTGGGCGTCTTCCCTAGAAAGTCCAGCGTGGTATCGCTGCCATGCGTCCGTAAGAAACGATCTTCCCGTCGCAAAGCCCATTGGCAGGTACGAAAGGGGGTAATTCCGTGAGTCGCGGGGTAGCGACTCGGTTACAGACTTCCAAAAGGGATGATTCGGCAGCGATCCCAGGACCTTATTGCTCAAGGCGCCAGAGCCTTCATCTATAAGCCATGTTGGGTAATAAAGAAGCGGCTCCAAATTGGCACGACATGTCTACTCAGCCATCAAATTAGTTGTTACAGCTCAGTCAACTCAAAAGCGTATCAATATAGAGCTGAATATTCCCACATTGTCAAGGTTGATATAAATTCCGCCGTAATGTCGCATCAGGAAACATTTCAGCGCATCGACGCGCTGTGCTGGGAAAGCAAAATCGTCATACGTCTTCAAGAACCACGGGTATTCCTTTTCTATAAAGTTTCGTGACAGCTTTTTATTCCAAAGCTAATTGATAACAGTCAGTTTTATGTGCCTTTGAGACGTTCGCCGACGGGGAGCACGCCTTTTCAGGCTTTGTAAATCACCTTGTACTCCCAGTCCTTGTGGAATGAAATGCACGACTGCCGCGCTGCATCCCAAGTTGCGGGTAACGTCTTGTTCTCATCATCGGAACAGTTGAGGAAGATCTGGTGTATAACGCGAGGTATATATCTTGTTCGGGTCTCGAGCCGTGTATTTTGATACGCAAATGCCACTTGGTCCTGTGTCGTCATCACGCCAGCATGATGATAGAAAATTCCCCGACCGCGGAGTGCGACATAAAGGAGCACTGCAAGAGAGGCAGACGATACGAGTAGAAGGAGTAGTCTGCGTGAAACCGCAAGGCATGAGCGGATGCCCATGGTGGGTCTTACTCCTGGATAACGAGCGAAGACAGAATCGAACTGCAAAGCACCGCGTCTCAAGTATCATACAAATGTCGAGAATTAATGCTTAGAAGAATAGAAGGAAGCGCCGGCTAGCATATACTGGGCATCAAAACGACACAACATTGTGCGATAAATCGTGGTGGACGGAGAGAAAAGAGGCGAGAGGAAGGCATGGCCACGATGAAATCGTTCATATACGGAGGACAGAGTACGGAGGACCCGGCTTCGAAAGAGGCAGTGCCAGCCTGGACTTTTATGTTTGACCAGCCAGGGTTAGGGCTCGGAGCCAGCAGATTGCCAACGTTTGCTGCAGTCTTCAATTGGATCCCTCGGAGCACAAGCGATTGGTTCATGGTGCGTGAAGGGGACGAGATAAGAATCGGCATTGGCTACACGCCTTGCTCATGGTGGCGACGGATCAGCAAATAGTGTGGCCCACTGATACGCCGTCTCATCAGATGACAATCCGCAATCTCCTCTAATTTTTTTATGAAGATGGCTTTTATGAAGAATGGCCGCTGCCGGCGGTGCTGGTGATGCTCACTGATTCATTTCAGGCCAACACATCTCCCGAGTGCTAATATGAGCACATGACGCGGAGACGACGCAACTTGTTACATCAAAAGGACGGAAAATTGACACAACTTCAAGTGATAAGGCTCCACGGTAACCGAGGCGCCTGCCCAGGCTCCAGCGATGGGCGTTAATTTCCGACGGTCACGGGGCACTACATAAACGGGATGCTTGCACTTGTCATGTATCTGTCCTCGACGCTCCCAAGCATTCATTAGGCGAGATGGGTTCGTCTCCGAGTAAGAGGGGATTTTATACTTCAGCACGGTCGAATTGAACGCATTGACGGCTCCATATTACGACGCACGCTCATCCGCAACAAGCGTCGGGCGAAAACAAATAATGAGCTGCGGCCCGAGATTTCTTCAACCCCAATTGAAGCACTACGGTGTCAAGTTTGACAGGGCAAATTTCCTGGCCATGGAACTGTCTGAGAAAATCCAGTTCACATCACAGCTGTGCAGCACCGGGTGCGCATGGGAATGGAAACTCGAACGTCTCAACAACTTGCTACTGATAGCTCGTGGGCTGTGGATAAATGCTTCATACAATCCGGCCAGCCGGGCCGTATCAAAGGGGCCATAGTCATCGGCATTCCATTGGAGCCGCATAGCAGGCTATAGATCCGGCCCTATTATCCAGGCCCTTGGCGAAACTCCGGGTTCATACTGCGCAATGGGTTCCGGCCCAAAACGCAAGTAGTATTCATGGGATGCAAATCTGTGAAAGAAACAGTCGATGAACAAGCAGCTGGAGAGTATATTGAAGTGTAAGCCTTGAAGGAGAAGCCTGAGGATTCACGAAAACTAAAGCACGGCGCTTACCTTCAGAATCTGGAGGGGAAGAGAGGCTCCGGAGATTGCTTCCCAGTGGGCAGCTCCTTGATCGAGTGCGAAGAAACCGAGGCTCAATGGCCAGACGCGGCCAATAAAATGACTCGCATTCGTGTCACCGAGGAATAAAGAGCATACGAGGTAAAGTTCGATCTTGGTATTCTTGTATGTCACAGTCAACTGTGACATCAAGGCCGCCTTAGTGATTGCTCTGGGCTAGATGAGGAGGCCGCAACTCGGTGGGGTGATGATTCCATGGGCTGGGGAGGAAGATGGGGATGGCGACGCAGATGCAGATGCAGAAATCCGCGATAGGTCTGCTCCAAGTTGCCAAAGAGAGGCCCAAAAAGCACACTGACAAAAGCAAGATTAGTCAACGAGCAAGCCCGATCACTTTTATGTGCTTCTGAAATGCGAAGAAACTGGCCAGGGTCAGATTTACCACGAGGGTGAAAGGGTATTCATCAAATATAGGATGAGACGATGGCAAGATTTCCTGAGAAGCGCATCTTTCCCTTGTGTGGGTGGGAAAGTGCCATTGACAGGGTGCAAAACTCCATATCAAGCATCCCGAGAGCAAGGAGAGGTGAAAGGCAGACTACTTGCATAGAGAGGAGGTTATGCATGAGCCTGCCGACAGCAGTAGCTGATGCCTGACCAGTAGGATTCGATGTTGGATGAACCTACAAGGTAAGAAGTGAAGATCCTCGGGTTTGTGGAGATGAACACTTGAGCGACCTTCTGCCGATACAGTGTCAAACCCACCTCTTTCATTGAAGACACTACAGATCACTGCGCAATACATTCTGCGTTCGGCAAAGAAGGGCTTTGCGACGGATGGGCTCTTGCGGCTGGGGACAGGATGCATGACGCATACGACTCTACCGCCTGCATTTATGAAGGTTGTGGCGAAATGAAGATACGAACAAAGATACAGGACCAAGAATTACGGTTTCCCGCCAGTCGTTACCCGGATGATCGAATCCCAGCGGGCAGAGACGCATTCTGGCAACTACCTAGGCAGTTATATTCGTCAAGACCAACTGTCACACGACGTTGTTACATGCTCCCTGCATTCCAGCTCAGCCACTCAACGGCTCTGCACGACTTCATGGATTGGAGACGACTGATAGCGTCGCGTTCTCCAACTCGTCCGATAGCTTAGGACCGACGCCGTCTCCCGGTGCCATCACCGGCATTGTCATCGGCAGCATCGTGTATGATATTCCCCAGCACTGCTCTATTCGTAAGAGTCCATGGCGCCAACCAGTTGGAATTCGATCGTGTCTATGTCTACGGCTGCAGAATTGTCCCGTTTTATCAACACTGCAATCTCGACTCATCATCATAGACTCCCTTGAAGAGGTAAAACTATCAACTTTTGCTAGGCACCCGACTACCTGGACCCAGCTATTGCTTGCGGAAGCAATGTTTCCATCATGTAAAGCGTCAACTGTTGAAGATGCGCCCCTGGTGCCTGACCGAAATCATTCTGAGCTCGGCGGCTCGTAACGCGGGTACCCAGCTTCAGCACCCAACTATGTTCTCAACAACAGTGTCCGACAAGAATATACACATAGTTACACAAAGACCAACCTGGCTTGCACAGCCCACCATGAGCCGTGAATCACCGCGGCACCGTCTTAACGCAGAGCAAACCAAATTTCAAACAAGCCGCTCCATCAGGTGCCAATCTTACTTCTGTGCAGGAAATCGGGCTTTTTTCACAACCAAAATTCCTCTCTGCACCACTCCAACGCATCTGAATGGTTCCTGGCCATTCTCGCCATGAACACCAAAGTAAATCGTTCCGTCTCTTTGATGGAAGACGAGCACCGGGGCCTACCTGCGGGGGACTGGCGAACAGTCACTCCCTGCCGATTCTTCCTGACGGGGTCGTGTGCGAAAGGAAATCTGTGCCCATTTCTACATAATTCCAAATCATCGAACCGTTCAGTTTCGGACTCCCAAGAGGTACAGTTGCACAAGACCAGCCGTGAGAGCACTGCTTACTGTTACGAATCGGACAGCTCCATAACCCCGACGTGAAGAGCAGGCCCACAGCTGTGTGCAGAGTTACAAAGCCCATTTGCAAGTTCTACCGGGTCGGAACTTGCAAATATGGCGCAAAGTGTGTAAATCTGCATGCGGAGGACGGACGGGCTCCCGGAGATTCGGCGTGCGACTTATTGGAGGTTCGTCTATTGCCCAACGTCGTGGAGTAGGTGTTCTAACCAGAGCCGGCGCAGGATGAAGCGAAAAGAGACGACTTCACAAGAACCATAAGCGGCGCATTCGTTCAGTTCGATGCGGGCGCCCGCGTATCCCAGATCCGGCTGCCCGGCGACTTCTCTGCTGTCCGTATCGGCGGACTACAGCCAAACGCCTCGAAACAATCAGTGCAGGACATGCTGGCTGAAAAGGGATTCGAGGTTGGCGTCGACGATATCTACATGTTGAACAAGGAAGGTGAATACGGAGCAACCGTCCGATCGGATGATGCGTCGTTTTCAAAACGACTCTGTAGCTGCACATGGGGAGACGCAAAGATACAGGCCACGCCCATTGCCGCGCCGATGCCCTCTGGTTACAACTCCCGGCGTGTGGACTGCAAAAAGGTCCACCTCTCCTGGCATAAAGCAGTTAAAATCGTCTGGCTGAAATTTGGCGATGGAGACATTGCCCGCATGGTGAGCAGCATGTTCTCGAAGGGGACATATAAGATCCTGGAGCAGGAAATCACTGCTGCTGCAGCTATCGGGGCCGAATCAGTCTCAAGGTCGCGGTCAACACGGGGGAACCGAGTTGCCTGGACTGTTGTATTGACCGAGGTCCCAGCGGCCGCACACAGGGACGACATCATGCTGGCCATTACGCATGAGCGCAACAAGCCTTTCCATGTAGAGATGGGGGCTCCAACATACTCGACCGACGACGAGACGGCCAAGGCAATGATTTGTTCTCTCCTGACAAATATCGGACCTTTGGAGTACTGGGACGACACGCTGGAGACGAATGCCAGACGGGTGAAGGCCACTGCGCGCTTCTTGGACGAGTCTGACGCTCGCAGAGCTGCGATGGAGCTCGACGGCAAGGAGCTGCCTTTTCATAGCAAGGCTCGGCTTACTGTCCAGGTCGTGTACTCGGCCAAGTTTAAAGTTGGCGTCAACATCTTTGACGCTGTTCAGCCGAGAATCCTTGCCCAGCAAGCTTCTTGGAGAGACGGAAACGTTTTTTTTAGGGCCTACAGCCCTGCCAACTCCCTTGGAAGGTTTAGGGTTTTGAAGATCGAGGGTGAATCGGCAGAGGAGGTTGCGAGGGCCAAGACGGACCTTGAGTCGGTTCTCGCTGGTGTCGTCGCAACGGACAAGGATGGTGTCGTGCTCTGGGACTCTTCGCTCAAGGCCAACGGGAAGCTTTTCCAAGGCATAAAGTCATTGGCGAAAAAGCTTTCGGTGACCATCCTTCGAGACAAGGCAAAATCCGAACTGCGCCTCTTCGGAGAGCAGCAGCGTTGCCAAGAAGCACAGCACCGCCTGGCTGAGCTTGTACGCATAGAATCAAGGCCAGATACGTCTAGAGCCATTGAGCTTGAACCTCCCAAGTTTCTCTGGGCTTGCCAAGGGGGCTTCAGAGCCGTCGCTGGTCGAATTGGCCCGGAAAGGGTCTCGTTTGACATCGCCTCGACGCCAAAGAGAATCATTGTCTCTGGCTCTCTGGAAGACTATGACGCTGCTCTCGCAGTCATTGAGGGCAGAGAACAAGTCTCCGAGCAAGGCGAGCAGCCTGGATCCGACGGCACGCCGCAAACATGTTCCGTCTGCTGGACCGAAGCCGACACTCCCGTCAAGATAACATGTGGCCACATTTATTGCTCAGAGTGTTTTGAAGACAGCTGCACCAAGGCAGACACTACATCATCCGGGGACTTGAAGATACTTTGCCACGGCAGCCAGGGAAAGTGCGGAAGCGTCGTAGCTCTCGAGGACCTGCAGGCGTGCCTCTCCTCGGCTGCGCTCGAGACTGTCCTTGGACTGTCCTTCTCGACTCACGTAAAGCGCCGTCCCGACCAGTTTCGTTATTGCCCCAGTCCAGACTGCGACCACATCTACAGAGTGTCATCAGCGGCCCGGACTCTGAACTGCTCCAACTGTCTCAGACCTACCTGCTCCGCGTGCCACGAGCCGCACGTCGGCATGTCGTGCGCGGAACATCGAGACCTCAAGTCGGGGGGGTTCGCGGCGTTCGCGAAGCTCAAGGAGAAATTAGGAATCAAGGACTGCCCCAAGTGCGCGACGCCGCTGGAGAAGGTTTCGGGATGCAATCACATGACGTGCGCGGCATGCAAGGCTCACATATGCTGGGTGTGCCTGATGACATTTCCAAGGGGCTGCGACGTGTACGAGCACATGAGCAAGCTCCATGGAGGCCATATCGACGTGCCGGATGTCTAAAAGTTTTGCGCGTACAATGGGGGGCGTGACCATTTGACGACGACGCTTGGCTCCGAATGCTCATGCATAACGCGGCAACTGTTGTCTTTTGGCTAGTATTGCTTGTTGTTGGTCTACCAAGATGCAAACTACCACTTCCCAGATGGACTTTTAGCATCGTGGGCGAAACGAGTCCAAAACTGGCATGATACTCGGCCACTATTCCATGGGTCTAGTTGGCAGTTGCACGTTTCACTTCAAAGTATAAGCAACGTATCCGCTTCTTCAGCCATTTGATCCTTCCTGGAATCTGAATATCTCGGCGGTTTCTTTCCCGTGGAGTCGAAATTGATGATGAGCTTGGCTTCGCAGAAAATTGAGCGGGAGACTACGGAATGCTTTTTAGCACGTCTACAGCGTGGCTTTTGCGCAGGGAGTGTACTGAGTATGCACGCGTCTAGCATTTGTGCTTTCCAAATAGCTATCCAGTGAGTCCGGGCGGAAGAGGTCAAGATTGCATGCGTACTGGGAAGTATGGTGATGGATACAGGAACTGTCAACTCGTTTGCCCATTCATCCCGCGCCTCGCCTGTGTTTCTGCGAAACCATTCGTCGAGACGATGGACAGTGGACTTGAAACCGAGAGCCATGACCGCTTGGACTTGTATCTGCTCCGGAATGCATATACGTACGCATGCCGTATTTCCCCATCTTGCCGTATTCTACGGCTCATTACCGCACGCAGAAGAATGGGAAATACAGCCATCATAGCTACAAGTTACAACTCGGTGGATAGGCATGACCCATGAGGCATCGTCCCGGTGATTGATTGGCTTCGCCTGGCGCCGCCTGGCGCACTCGCAAGGATAGACTGATCTGGTAAACTATCGCCAACATGCCATGTCTGCGCCATCTGACACATGTCATCAAGAAGCAAGCATGGCGAGTGGGTGGCCGGCGGCACACGCGATGCAAGTCATGAAACACGAACTGTTTTAAGCACGACGCATCTCCGTCTCATCCCCCGTCTAGGCCTCTCCACGAGTCAGGCCAAGCTGCCTTTCTGACATGTGCAACAGTACAGCCGCCCTGGCCAAGAGGCTATGCCGCCGAAAACACAATCCACGTGTGCTGCTATTGTTTCAGATTGTTTCCTGGAGGCGGAGCAGGCTTGTATTTGTATGGACAAGGCACGCGGCACTTACACGCCGCTTGCCTCTGAGCCGACCCGACTTACATGACCATGACTAGTTTTGAGGGTAAGGCTGGAACGCGCCCTGGCAATCGCCGTCACGGGTACTCCGTAAACGGTCATTGTTTCAATCTCCCCATGCCAACGATGGACAGCCTCTCCACTGTTGCGCATAAGTTGAAACAGGAAACCGCCTGCACGCCATCGCCATCGCCATCGCCATCGCCATCGCCATCGACTTGAATCGAGTCCGTCGGCATCATGCATTGCCAAGAAAGGCTATGGAGACTGGGGAAACCCTGGCGCCAAGTCGACGACGAGTAGCTCGACCCGCGTCATCGCTCCGAAGCCATGTCCCATCCTCTCCCTCCTTGGACAAGCTTGCGTGCGTGAGCTCTCCATCAAATTCTCGACTGCCTGCGCGAGTCAAATCGACAGCTTAGTCGACGACCTTGTTTTCCGTCAACAAGGCGATCCCGCCTGCCTCACGGCCAGGAACTTGTTGTTCACGTTTGCTTGTGTGGATTGATTCAGCACCCGGCGTCGGCTCGACTCGTGCCCGTCAACATGCTCTCTCCTGTGGCCTTTTACCGAGGAGCACCTCGTAGACCGCCAGGCCGTGAGGCCGCTGCCAGAGATCGTCGAGACGAATGAATCGCCATCCCGACGTGCGTGTACGTGACTCCTCCCTCCGCCTGGTGTTGGCTCTCCTCGTCTGCCAATGGCCCCCTCCGACTGATTCAACAGCATTATCCACTTGGGGCGACTACGCATAAACAGGAGCGGTTTCCAGGACGCACCATGAACATGCCAGACAAGGAGGCTGCAACTTCATTACTCGTGATGTACATGTCGGTGCAAGTGGGCTGGGCTTACACCAGAAAACGGACGTATATATCTATATCTCGCGCCGTTGACGATTCCTCTTGCTGCTTAGACGCCAACACCCTAGCCGTCAAGTCTCGAACAACAAACTCGTCAACAAACCCTTGGACCAGAATGAAGTTTTCCCTTTCTCTTGTTGTCCTGTCCACCGGGCTGGCCGTAGCCGCTCCCGTGGGTACCGGTCATCAGAATCCTAGGTCTACAAGTCTTGATGGCAGCGGATTATCTGATTTCAACAAAGTTGGCTCCAAGGCTTCGGGATCTGGCGTCCATTCCTATTCTTCTTCGAAAGCTCAAAAGCGTGCCCCACAAGGCTCTCTAGGCGGCTCGTCCAGTTCTGGACTCGGTTCTTCCAGCTCGTCTGGCTCGTCTGGCTCATCTGGCTCAACTGGCTCATCCACCACTGGATTCGAATCCGACACGTCTGGCTCATCCACTGGAAGCGGCACGACTGGCACACTGGGGACTGGAAGCGGCACGTCTGGCCCACTGGGGACTGAAAGCGGCACGTCTGGCACACAGGGGACTGAAAGCGGCACGTCTGGCACACAGGGGACTGGAAGCGGCACGTCTGGCACACAGGGGACTGAAAGCGGCACGTCTGGCACACTGGGGACTGGAAGCGGCACGTCTGGCACACTGGGGACTGGAAGCGGCTCTGGCGGAATCAACGAGCTCGTTTCTGGTATCATCAACACAATTATGTCTCAAATTAGCTCATCCGGTCTCGGCTCGGGAACCGGCTCTACCGGAGGAACTGGCCTCTCTGGCCTTGGATCCGGCTCTGGCCTTGGATCCGGCTCTGGCCTTGGATCCGGCCCTGGCCTTGGATCCAGCTCTGGCCTTGGATCCAGCTCTGGCCTTGGATCCAGCTCTAGCCTAGGATCCAGCGAAGGATCCAGCTCTGGCCTAGGATCCAGCTCCTCTGAGACGGGAAATAGCTTGTCCGGCGCCGGTGCTGAGATGAGCTAGGGAGAGGGAGTCAATGAAGGGGGACCATAGCGAGGTCAAGAACAAAGTGGACAAGTCCAAGTCCAGCCAGAGTGGTCTCCGATGGATCTGACCTTCGTGAGATGCGTCCGTACAGTGCTGCAATTAGTTTGACAGTCAAACCGCTTGAGCGTGTTGGACCGTGGAATAGAGTTGATTGAATCGCTCATGTGCGCAGCTGCCCGAGGCCGGATTCAGCTGCTTGATATTGATGAGGAAGGCCCCCGGGATATCTAGCAAGATTTGCAATCATGGTCTTGAAACCATGGCATGGCACTTTCTCCGCAAGTTTTCAACGTGATGTTTGGTCCTGGTACCGATTCCTGCTTTGCGGCTTTGAGCCAAAGCCGTACTGGACAAAGCCAAAGTGCCACTGAACATTGAGCAGAAGCATCATCACGCAACCGCTTGATCCGTCTGATTTGTTTGTCAGTATGTGGAGCCAAGAAATCGTAGGTATCACCAGCGCCAGGCTTTTACTGGGATTAAATACACCAAACCGTGGGTATGCCTCGTGTCAGCGCATAGAACGGTCGGGTGATGTGAGGACCTAGCAAAGATTCATGTCTCAATGGACGTGTCAGTCGTCTTTGACGCGAGCCAACAGCGGCGTCCCATATTGTCCTTGATGCAATTTGTGACTTCGGCCGAGGGATCTGCCTCAGGGGTGACGCGGCTCCGACTTCTGAATCTGAAGCTCAACTTGCTCGTTGAGGGCCCAAAGAGAATAAAGAAGCAGACGTTGAAGCTTCCATGCTGCTGGTCGACAATCCTAAACATCTTCCGCCACTGTGTCTGAAGAAAGCCGAGTATGATAGAGAACATGATTGATCCAGCAGCCTCCGTGGGAACGGTTGAAAGGTAGACGGAGTTGAGATGAGAAGAAGGAACAGGGGAAGGTACTGAGTACTAGGCGGGACATCGGAAAATACTAGGTCCGATACGCGAGCTTGAAAAGAGACACCAAGCACGACCCTGACGCCTCGACGAAAACGTCCGCAAAGTCATCCATGAAAACGATGGCTACAATTCCGTCCACTGGGCGGCGGGCCATTGAGAAACTTGACTCGGAGCCTCTTTGTGCCAGTCGAGGACCTGATTGCCAACAGTGGACACCAGGGAAGAATCCCGTTTCACCTCGCCGTCAAGTATCTCGAATGTTGGAGAGGCTCAACATGTTCAAAGTGCTTCTCCCTGCGACCGATGCAAAGGGCCGTCCGTTGGAGGTGATGGAGGTGGAGGAGCCCGATGAAGAATGCTTCGAGCCGCCTCCCAAGAGTGGCGAGGGGACCGCAGACGAGCGTCCAGTGCGAAGCCATGTCAACTACTTGCCGGTCAACGGGGGCATTATTCTGCCCCAGTTTGGCGACCCGGCCCACGACGCAGCGGCCATTCGTACGGCGCAGCGTGCTTTTGGCCACGAGAGGAGAATCCACCCTGTTCTTGTCGAGGAGCTGCCTCTCCGGGGCGGCGGTATACACTGCCGCACTCAGGAGATGCCCATGTTTCCGTAAGCTGCAGGCAGGAAAGCAAGGGCCTAGGTTGCGGCTCGAGCCACGGGCGTACTCCAGACACCACCAGGTGTCGTTTGAAATAGTATATTACTGTGTCCAAGATGCGGTACAAAGATTGCTCCCAAATGCAACCCAACATGTCGCCGTCCAGATGCATCGCCGCGCCGGGCTGTTTAGCTGTTTGGCTATTTATTTGCCCTCAACACGGTGTCCGAGCTCCGGGGGGCCGTCATTCCCTCTTGTGCTCACGTTTCGTCTCCCGACGTACTTCTCTCGCCACGTCCATGAACTGGGCGGCGCCAATGGCCGTCAAAACATGCCACCATCCGTGGAGCTCAAACAGCCAGGCCCAGGGGAGCCCGACCTGCCGCCTGATATTCCTGAGGGCGGCGCAGTACTCCAGGTCGATGTTCCAGAGCACGTATCCCAGCGCGGATATAAAGACTGCCCTCCACGTCCTCCTATTCCAATCACGTCTCTTCGCCTGGGGCAGCGCAGGCCACGACCAATGGAGGAGGTATTGGTTCGCGACGATGACCAATAACAAGCATCCGACAAAAGCAATGACTTGGTAGATGATGCTCGGCGAGCGCAGGTAGAAGACGGCAAAGGATGTGAAGAAGACAGCGAGGACAGTCGAGATGACGTGGGATCTTGTCGGAGACTGCCGCGTCGTGAGGGTGGCCTGGAGCATGGCCCAGGTCAGTCCCAGCATGGAGAACTCGTCGGCGAACTCGAGCGTCTGGCGGAGACTGGCGTGGAACAGGAACGAGCCGAGGCCGAGGCCCAGGAGGGAGACGGACATGAAGTCGGCGTTGGGCGCGAACAGTCCGCCGTTTCCGGGGCCATACATGGATCGGAGGGCGAGATGGACTGTTGGGGAGCGACGTTGACCGTCTTTAGCGACGAGCACGGCACGGCACGGCACGGCGACGAGCGGTCCACGACGACGGATGGCCATCCATCATTGAAGGCTGTACATACCATAGGCGAGGTTGGTCAGCGAGTTGACGAGCTCGGCCACGTACAGCGTGACGGCATAGTCCTCTTCGCAGAAACTGTGTGCTGGTCAGCGCTCGAACCCGGCGTGGCGCTGGTGTGGTCTCGACGCGGTTCACTTTGCTCTGCTGGTGGGCGGGCTCCAGGCGCCGTGGAGGGAATGCGCATCGCCGTTGAAACGGATGTTGTGGTGGCCCATGTCTGGGAAGCGCGGTTTCCGGGAGGGGGCGGATGGAAACGCTGGCGGACGGGCGGACGGGCGCCCACCTGCACTGACTGCCGTCGTCCAGCCAGGTGCGGGAGGGAGGGACTGAGCACTCCGTCGGTGTGGCTGTCGCTTCGGAGTCGAAAAGGGCGGTTGGCGGAGGGGGCCAAGAATTGATGACGATGACGATGACGATGACAATCTGGTGGCCTGGACAAGACGTGACGAGACGAGACGAGACCTGACTCTATTTATCGGTCTGCCTAGGACGGAAGACGGCTGCCAGGCATCATCCGCCAATCGGTCCACGTTCGGTCCAACCCGCCAACCCACCAGTGGCGACCAATCGCCGCCAACGATGCTCACTAGTGCAACACGGCCCGTGGTAGAGATGCCGCTACGGAGTACTTCATGCTCTGTACTCCGTACTTTTGCGATTATCAAAGGCTGAACTGGCACCCGCATGCTGTATTATGTGAACGACTAAGCCGTTTCACCCCCCTTTTTTTGACTTTTTTTCTTCTTTCCTCATAACACAGGGTCTTTGATTTCGTAGGCCGCCCGACTAACTAATTGGGTGCCGCACCCCTACTTCATTGGCCCACAGCCGGAGAGTTTCACCCATACCGCCCAGGTACCCGTCTACTCCGTACTTCGGTACGTACTGAGTATCTAAGTAAGTACCTAGGTAGGTACTTGAAGTACCTGCTCAAGTACCTACTACTTATACTTACTTAAGTAGTAAGTTCTTAAGCAGGTACCAGGGGTTACAGATGACAGGACAGCGACAAGGTACCCCCGAGTCCGTACTGTGCAGTCGTGCCACGCGTAACTCCTGGATGTTGCTGCAACTGAATCCATCGCGGCACAGCAGAAACGAGATGGAGCTCCAAGCCATTCTCCAAGCCATTCACCGCAAAGGCCATCTATCGCGCCACAAGCCAAGGTTGCAGGACCCCAATTGACGTGTTGTCTGTCACGCAAAGAAAACCGGAAATGAATAGAATCACGGCCATCACCAAGGACCCAACGCAGCTAAGATAAAAATAAAATAAGAATAAAATAACAAAAAAAGGAAAAACTCCGTCACGAGCTTCATCAGCCGGCCTAGTAGACTGACCGTTGTGCAGGATAACAAGCTTACCGGCCTCGTCATCACCGATGTCAGTGCCGACCTGACCAATTGGGCTGGGTGCTAGCAGGCGCCCACCACCAATCAGCCAATGGCAAGCTCGGATCTTGACCATTCGGGCTAGCGTCTCGGACAATTATGGGACCCGCGCCGTGCCTGGCCGGGGTTTGGATTCTATGCAACGCTTATATTGTCGTGAACTTTTTACTCTCGGGCTCACTGGCGTGCCAGCGGCCTAGATTCGCACCTGCTTGTGGGTCCCGAGTTTCTCGAGCCATGCCTTGCCTGGCATCTGGAAGTTGTGCGTCGTACACGTGGACAGGCTACCTGGGTATGGCTACGGTCATCATGACCTGGTGACTGTTCGTGTGAGCAATGATAGTATGGTCTGGATCTACAGAGGTTTCTTCTAGAAACACCAATTTAAACCTTCACGTGGACCAGATTGAGGGGCGATACTTCTCGAGGTTGCTGATGTACAACTCGGTGGTGACTCTGCACCGTGCAGGATGAGATGTCGGCCATGTTGCCTTCTCCAGTACTCTTTGGTTTGCGTGCGATACTGCTTCGCTCGTCTGTGATGAGTCAGCCCTCGACGCTCGAAGAGTAGAAGTAGAGCAGCGTAGTCGGTCATGGTCCTGCATGCTCACGAAGAAGTTTCCAAGTTCGAGTCATTCCCCAACTGTACCACCACGACATCCACAAACAAAGCTTGGGCACCTCTACGTCCCCGAATAGACCATTCTTGAGACCTGCTCATGATGCAGCCTGTAGGGCGACTGCTTTTTCTCGACAAGGCATGGGTTCGGACTACGTATCTTGACTCTGCCATCTTTGACTTTACCCTCGAGCTCCCTATACCGTCGTAAGTCTGGGCTCACAGAGGTTATGCCGCCTTTGCCTCTTGGTTTTTCCAAGCGAGACCGCTCAGAGTACCTCCTACGCCAGAAGTAAGAGGCCGGATTCGGAGACAGCTGTGGTGCCACGGATTTCAGAGCAAAAGCGCTGTCTCTTTTGAGCCTCTCCTTGTCTCTTTTGAGCCCCTCCTTTCATCTGTTGGATCGGGGGGGGTGGAAGCTGGGGAAAACGCAGAATAACAACCATCCCTCCACCTGTACCGTGCTTCCCGGCGGAACTGCCCACGAGATTTGCAAATCACGCTTCAATTTCAGCTGTTACCACAGGCCGCCTCGATCCCATGACGCGACTCAATATAGGGCCGCCTACGTCGCCCTTTCTTGACGTGCTGCCATCCCCCGTCTCCTTCGGCACTTGCGAATTATCTTTCTTCGCCTCCTCCGGTGCATTTCCATACGTCAAATCGATGCAGTACACCTCTTCCCCGTCAACCCTTGTCTTCTTCAGAGATACGTAAACAGCTTTGCACGCGTTTCTCCAGATGTCTCTCAACACTAATGTCCGTTCCTGGTCGAATTTTCGCGCGGCAGCAACCATTTTCGTCGCGTCTCCCATATATGCCGTCAAGTTCTTGCTACTGTCCTCTAATGAAGAAGCCAGACTTATCCACGGTTCCGACTCTTCTGCTGTTTTCCCCAGTATGAGCATGAAGCTGTGACCCTTGTGCATGTCATCGATGGGCTCAACATCTTGCCGCCAATTAAAGTAGCCATAAGCGGCGAAGTCGGCCGCGCCATCATTCATGAACATGCAGCGCTGCGAGTCCCATTCGTCTTGAGGGAGCCACATGGTCACTTCGAAGGGAAAGCTTTCGTCGGTGGTGCGCGTCTTGGTGTTGATTCCTTTGCGAATCATGAGGGCGTTGCTGTGGCTACCTTGGAGTTCGCGTGAGCGAGCAGGGCTGAGGTATTTGCATAGAAAGAGTAGCTGTACACTCGACGTGTCTTCCGCCGACTCGGCCCCAAATTCACCTGCTCGCACACGGCTGTAAAGTCCGCCCCCGTGGGGTTTGATCCATATGCCGATTTGCTTCCTTTCATTGCCGCTCGTCTCGACACATTGCAACTTCAGAATGTAGGCCTGCTGTGATCTATGAACAATGTTGGTTTGTATTCGGATACCCTTGTTGCTTCCCGAAAACTCGGGCATAAACATGGTGCTGCTAGTTAATTCGACTGTTCCTGACTCGCGGAAGTCGGCTGGGCTTGTGGCATACACGCCGTAATAAACCTGTTCAGGGAGCGACTTCCTCCATGCAAAAATGCTAAGGTCATTGATTGAGCTCGAAACCTCTTCCTGGAGCCTCAAGAATGCACGGTCGCCTTCACCATAGAGTAGCGGCATGCTCACGTCGAAGATGCCCAGCAAGCAGTACGCCAGATCTTCAGTCCGAGTTGTTTTGCGCTCAGACATCCAAGACATCCGTCGGCGACTGACAGTGTGTACAACGACTCGGGCGACTCGAGCACATTGTCAGGTACCTTTGTTATATCCGTTAAAAGGGACTTCAAACCACATTTCGAGCCACGAAAGTTCCAATTTGCATCGTAAAACTCCACCGCTCGCGGCGCAATCAGTTCCTGTAGAGTCCATCCCCGTTTAAACCATCGACAGCCCTTCAACGCCTCGGCATCAGGCTCTGATGAGCTGTCGGGGACTAAGTCGGTAAGCCAAGCATAGCAAACAATGGCGCCGCGATACCAGCGAAACATCGAGTTGATGGCTTCGCCCAGCTCGGCGCTGCTAGACTTGTCTATGCAGCACGTGTCGACCCAAGCATATCTGAGACCAGATGATTTTGCCAACTCGCATGTCTTGAGAATTTTGGCGAACCCCTTCTTTTGACGCCTTGCTTCTTCACTGGAGTGCACAAAGTCCTGGAAAACGACCTCGTCGTCTCCCCATGTGTGTGAAAGTATGGCATAATGCGGTATCTCAGCAACAAATTCCTCCAGGAGCCTCGATTCGACATTTATCAGCCGCATGGTCTTTGGACCTCGCCTCGGTGTTTGATCGTAGAGTCATGAGTTGGTTGTCACGACTCACGACGGCTAGCAAAGTTGGGCCGCCGCGTGACAGACGAGAATGAGATGCCCGATGGTGGACACTGTACACAGGAGGGGTCCGCAGGCGAAATCTTGCAGCCGAGGACTAGGGTATGCCGATGCACGCAGTGCCCAAGTCTCGCACATTGATGTATCTAGGCGCGGGCCGCACCGGCGCCTTTGCCTCCTGCCCCGTTCGGTTCGTCGATGCGCAACTGTACGCAGAATAGAGGTAACAACGACCGAGCAAATGCTCCGACAAATGACGGAGCCGCGGCGGCTGCGATGGCGCACGGCAAACATACACTGAATAACGCCGCTGTGCCACGCTCCAAATGTCTACAACCCCTAGAAGCAGCCCAAGGTAGCCCTGCAATGGAATATACTTACTTCGTGGTGTGCTTCTTGTGGGAATAGATGTAAAGGTCGGACCTGCCTGACGAGCACTTCCCCAAGCGAGTCCGAAAGAGGGCGATTACGTACCAGGAATTCCTTCCAGACGGGACAATCGACCGGGTGCGGAACTGCATGCTATTGAAGCGGGTTGAGGTTGCTTTCTTATCAGTCAGCATCATGCTCGTCACATGCCGGAATTTGGACGTGACAGCATGACGATCATGAACGCGCCAACGCCTCGCCATACTATTTTCAACGAGCTGCAGCCAGAGCTGCAAGGCCGACGCTTCTGGGACAAGTGTCAATGCCGTTGGTTGTACCCATTTCGTCTTCCTCTGCTGCTTCAACGTCCACTAATCCCAAGGCAAGATATCGACACCTGGGACTCGGTCAGCCTGCAAAGCGTGTGCCTCCTCGGGCATGAGTTTCCACTAGCCGTTCTTGCCCATGAGGCAACAAATCGCTGCCCTCACGCTCCGTTCTTTCCTGGTGGCTGTCCGATCTGAGTTCACAAGACGTGGCGGATCTGGCCCCAAACCCCGGCTCGTATCGGGGGGCCAACGGGCTGGTGTTTCGTGGGGGAGTAAAAACCCGCTTCTTCGTCCGTATCGTGGGGGGCAGGTGGTTTGTTGCTTGAGTCGCACATGCAAAGGTTAATACGACAATCTCGACGCCAGCGTATGGGACGTGGAAAATGGGAGATTTGACTTGTGTGGGGTGATTGAGACACGGCTCGCTTCTACCTTGCGAATGTGAATGGATGGTTCCTTCCTCAAGTCCACATCTTTATATAGCAACTACCTCGGTACCTAGGACCTCACGCCCTTTCCTTTTACTCGTTCTCATATCCTTGCCCCCCTCCTCCTCACTCCTCCCATTATATTCGGCGTGGTTATTTCATCAACATTATTTGTGTATCCTCAGCCGCTCTCCACGTATCCCGGATAGGTAGAGATCGGGTTGCCAAGACTCAAGAGTCGAGACGTCCTAGTTTCACCACCACAAGGTTGCCTTGCTTCGCCTGCCCTGGCGTAGAGTCCGAAAAACATCTCGAAGCTGCCACCATGACTACATCATTCTCAGCAGGCCTGCAGCCGGATGTTCATGACAGCGAAATCCCCAGTCGCTGCAGCACTTTGGAACCCGGCATACTTGTTCCCACTGTAGCCTTCTTCTCCTCAGACGATAGCGTTGATGAAGAGACTACCAAGAAGCACGCAAGGCGCCTTGCTCGTGCTGGGGTTGCAGGCCTTGTAACTCATGGCTCCAACGGCGAGGCAGTTCACCTCGATCACGCTGAGCGAAAACTCATCACACGCCTCACACGAACTGCCCTGGAAGAGGCGGGCAAGACATACCTCCCCATAATTGTTGGTTGCGGTGCGCAATCAACACGAGAGACTATTCAGCTCTGTCGAGACGCTGGCGAATCGGGTGGCACTCATGCTCTTATCCTACCCCCCTCATACTATGGCAATTTGTTAAGCAGGGACTTGATCATCCAGCACTTTCTCGCCGTGGCGGATGCAAGTCCGGTTCCACTCCTTATTTACAACTTCCCCGCCCCCTGTGGTGGATTGGATCTCAGTTGCGACACGATCCTCACCCTCGCCAGACACCCCAATATTGTTGGTGTCAAGCTGACTTGTGGTAACACTGGTAAGCTTGCCCGTATCGTGGCCGGCACTCAAGGCACTTCTTTCCGGACGTACGGTGGAAGTGCTGATTTCATCATTCAGACACTGTCGGTTGGTGGTCACGGCGTCATCGCCGGACTAGCTAATATTTCCCCAGTCGTCTGCAATGAGATTGTTCGCCTCTGGAAGAATGGCGAGGTGGAAAAGGCCGTACAGATGCAGGGAATTGTTGCACGTGGTGACTGGGCAGCCATCAAGGGGGGTTTTGTTTCGGTCAAGGTTGCTCTACAGAGATATTACGGCTATGGAGGACTGCCGCGAAAGCCGTGTACTATTCTTGAAGGCAAAGCACTCGAAGCTCAAGTCGAGGAGTTTCGGGAGTTGGCAGAACTAGAGACTAAAGTCAGTGCCATCGCATAGACACTTCTCTACCGAGGGCATACGTGGTATACAAAGATAAGCAGGAGGGGGTTTGAGGGTAAAGGAATCTAGGATATATCGGGCGAAATAATGATCAATGTCATATTTCTTGCACAGCTAACTGGGGTTACGACGGGTGAATTACGTGATTGCTAGCTAGTACAAGCATATATTGCCTGTTATTGAGACAATTCCATTGTGACCTTGAGTCTTTTTCTTTTCTATTTCTTTTTTTTTTCTCCAGGATAAGCATTTCTCGAAGGCGCAGCTAGTAAAGGCAGTCAAACAGGCACGAGTTCCTCCTACACCAGAGGAGGTGAACAGCAAAAACACAACGACGGAGACAGGACTCGAACCTGCGCGGGCGAACCCAACGAATGTCGCCTTAACCACTCGGCCACTCCGCCACTCCGCCTTGATGTATGCGTTGCAGGAATTAATGTAGTTTATCCATTTCAAGACGATGTTCGTCAGGAACTTGGCTAGGTTTCAGGGGCAATTAGAAAGCCACTCATTGGGCAGCAGCGACTTAAAACTAAATACTCACCGAGATGCTTAGTTATGAACAGCGATCTTGGAGTATGCGCTTGGATCCCAGAGTTCAAGTCAGACTGAGACGACTCAAATGCACAAAAGCGTAATTCAAGAAGCTACAAGCATATCAATATTTGTTGGTTGATTTCATCACGTTAAACGATGCAAGAACCAGTTGCTGCCCGATGTCCATCTGGTTTATGCGGGCGCGTCGTGCCAAGAAATTGAGCTCGTGACGTAACGCCAACGACCGCAGCAGTGAGCACCTCGGCTCGTTTCACTCAACTTAAACTTTGCCCACGTCCAAATCTGTCCATCCCTGTCTGCAAACTCCCAGTCAATGCTTCCAGCGATCATATTTACGCCCTGCTACAGTTCCTCCTCGAGTACTTGGTTCGCTTCATACTCATGCTCGCACCGCAGCCGCGCCGTCAAGGCTTAGTTCCACAAGGCAACCGCCATCATGCCTCCTGCCACGGACGAACACGATGATGTCCGCCGGTACGTGGCGCCATACAGTTCTCGCAGACCTGTGCCCACCATATCAAGGTACCGGGAGGAGAAAGCTGCTCGGCAACACGAGTCAATGGAAGGTGACTCCGAGGACGACGTCGCCGCAGAGGCCGGCGTCGCCACAGCTGCCGACGAAGCGAGGCACGAACCTCCGCCCGGCCATTCTCATGAAGACGCCGGCGAAGCTGACGACAAACATGACTCCATCCCCCGAGATACTTCCCAGGTCGACCCAGCATCGACGGATGTAAAGCAGAGGAGAAAACAGTTGAGGCTCAGACGAAAAGAAAGGGCGGAACGGGAGGTGACGGATCCTGTGACGCACCTCCCTGTCACTATTCACGACTTCACCGACGAGGCGCTGAAAGAAACACTTTCGGAACACGCGGTTTTCAAATCCGACAAGCGATATGCTACGGGTCTGAGTTCGAATCGTGATTCGACTGAGCACTTGCAAAGCCAGACTCGAGGTCTCCAACAACTTCACCAGAGAATGAGCCGGAGATTTCCACCGCCTGATTTCGATTTGTTGAATCAAAACATTACGGCAATCAGCAATCGGGGGCTGACGTTCGGTCTTGCGGGGCTTGCGATTGCCGTTCTGTCCGCCTTTTTCCTGGGGGGGTTCTGCCATGGAACAAAACAAACGGACCTTGGCTTGGAGCCGGACTGTGGCAGCAGCAAGTGGTGGATACTTTCTACTGTATTCATCGCCGGCGCAATCTTGGCGGTGATTGCTGGGGTGCGAGATTACACCACTCGCAAAATCAGCAACATCTTCCAGGATGAGGTTTGGGATGCTCACAGACAGCAACTCGCCAAAGACATGGATAAACAGGAGACTGAGACAACAATATGGCTCAATTCTGTGTTGGGTGCTGTCTGGCCCCTTATAAACCCAGATCTTTTCTTGAGCCTTTCGGATACCCTCGAAGATGTTATGCAGGCTTCTCTCCCCAAGCTGGTTCGGATGGTAAGCGTCGAGGATATCGGACAGGGAAGCGAGTCAATCCGGATATTGGGCATTCAATGGCTGCCGACGGGGGCTGCGAGCGAGTCTGTAACACCCAGCGGCAATCTCTCGCCGCCTGACAAAGCTGAAGCGAATAATGGTAGCCAGTCATCGGCATCCAAGGGATCGAGCCAAAGCGGCGACCCTAAAACATTGTCAAAGGCTGAAGCTGTCGCTGAGGGGATGGAAGGTGAAGAGGGCGATTTCGTCAATTTGGAAGTAGCCTTTGCATACCGAACTCGGTCCAGCTCGCGGAGCCTCAAGGACAGAACCAAGGACATGCATCTCTTCGTGGCTTTCTATTTACCCGGAAACATCAAGATACCCGTCTGGGTAGACTTGCTAGGAATTATTGGAACCATGAGGATGCGTCTACAGCTGTGTCCGGATCCGCCATTCTTTTCACTTTGTACATTTACCTTCATGGGACAACCAAAGGTTGACGTGCGGTGTGTTCCGCTAAGCCGCCGTGGTCTCAATATCATGGATATTCCACTCATTAGCAATTTCGTTCAGAGTGCCATTGACGCCGCCGTGGCCCAGTATGTCGCACCAAAAAGCCTGACCTTGGACCTGAAAGATATCCTAGCAGGTGATGATTTCAAAAAGGATACAGTAGCGAGTGGAATTTTAATGATTCACATCAAACGCGGATACGATTTCAAGATGGGAGACTCGGCGATACCTCTTGTTCGGGAAGCTAGTTCTGATCCTTATGTGTCGGTTGGGTGGGCCAAGTTTGGCAAGGTTCTCTGGAGCACGCGCATTTTGAAATGTGAAATGGAACCTTGCTGGGATGAAACCTGCTTTGCGCTCGTCACGCCGGAGGAGGTGAACATTGACGAGCGGCTCCGTGTCCAACTCTGGGACTCGGACAGGTTTACAGCTGATGATGACCTGGGACGGATTGAAGTTGGCCTGAAGGAGCTGATGCAAAATCCTGAATCGAGGGGAAAGACCTGGCACCGAACTGACGGCTTCCGCGCTCTCAAGGCCGGCGATAACATGCCTGGCAAATTGGAGTGGAGTGTTGGCTACTATCCCAAGGCCAGGATCCAGCAGTGCCAGTTGGACAAGCAAACCTATGATCCCAAAATACGATCCATGGAACAACTCAAGGTCAAAGTAGATGAGACTTGTGAGCGAAAACTTCGTGAATTCATGATCAAAGAAGGCATCAAGGTGCGTGACGAAGAAGAACTAGAACAGCAAATCATCCTGGAGATGAAGGCAGAATCGGATGCCATGATATGCTCGGCACCTCCGCCAGACGACTACCCCAGCGGTTTATTCAGCATTCAAATCCACAACATTACCGGCCTAGAAGTCGAAAGACTAAACAGGCGGCAAGCCGATGACTATGACGAAGAGAGTGATGAGGAAGAAGAAGGCGATGGACTACCCAGCTCTTACTGTACCGTCATTATCAACCACAGCAAAACATTCAAGACGCGAACGAAGCCACAAAATGCAAAGCCCTTCTTCAATGCAGGTTGCGAGCGATTCGTCAGAGACTGGAGAGACTGCGAGGTGTTCGTCTCCGTCCGAGACGCAAGACTCCACGAAGACAATCCACTCCTAGGGATTGTCCACCTTCCCCTTGCAGAGCTTTTCAAAGACCGCTCCCAAGTCATGGGATGGTACCCCTTGAGCGGCGGCATCGGTCGTGGCCGCGTCAGACTGTCCATGGTTTGGCGCAGCGTCAGACTCCAAGCTCCCCCCAACCTCCTAGGTTGGCAGTACGGCACCGTAGACGTCCACCCAATTGCAGTTAGCGAAGATTGCCAGCCCGAGCTCAAGGGTTGTAAACTCAAGCTCAAGACAGACATTAGCATGGGCAAACTGCGGCCTGTCGGAAGCAGCGGCAAATGGATGTCCAAAAAAGAGCAGGACCTCCATTTAGCCGTCAGGAAGCGCTACAGCAGCTGCATGGCCGTTGAGTTTCGAGACAAGCGTTTCCTGGGGGAAAAGGTTTCTGCGTTCTGCGTTCTCTGGCTCAAGGACATCCCCGACGAAGAGGAAGAAGATCTCCAACTCCCCATTTGGAAAGGCGATTATGAGCGCGCAACGTCGAATTGCTTGAAAGGCTGTGGTGAAAAACTGGGCACCCTCAAGATCAAATTAACTTTTTTGTCTGGAATGGTAAGGCTCCCTCGCCCCTTCTCTCTCATCTAGCCCAAGAAGTAGGACTAACTGGGTCTCCTTTCTTTTTTCCCGGTCAAGGGCATCGCTCATTCCCGCTGGGCAAGTCGAAATCAACACACCCGCGACGTTGTCGAAGTGATTGACACGGCCCGCGACAATCTAGACCTGGACAAGATTGAACGAGAAGCAGGGATTGTGGACGAGGAAGCCTCTAGTGACAGTGACAGCTCGTCGGACGGTGGACAGGAGGCAGTGCCGGATGGGAGTGCACAGCATAAACAGGGTTTGATAGACCAGCTGAGGGATTACAAGAGGCGGGACAAGGCGCTGCATAGGCAGCACAGGGGCCTGATGCAATGGAAGGTGAAATATGCTGTTCCTCCCTCCCCCAGATTAGCAGTGCTGACGATTGTAGGTCCCGAGGACGGCGAGATGGATGAGGCACAAGATAGGCAGGGTGGAGGAGAGCGTGTCGGGGTTGTTTGACCATCATAACAAGCAGCCAGGCATTGAGACTGAAGTATGAAAACGTCTGAGTGCACATGGAATACATGTGACGGGTATGTCGGGGCCAGAACAAAGGGAATAGAGTGTAACGTGGACAAAGTCTCCGAGACAGTTTCAACCCGACGCTATACCAATATGAACACCGTTAAGGAATGCACATTGAATACATTGGACAGCCTTTTGGATAGATGGACAAGGGAAAAGGGCGCACTTTATAGAAAAAAGTCTTGAGAGAGAAGTTCCAACTTGACGCTATTTCAATACAGGCACAGGGTTAATGAATGGCAAACAGAAACCATCGACACCAAACGCCAGCAGAATGCCCATCCAGTCTTTGACAGTACTCCAGCCGCGATACATGCTGTGAACTCAGAACATGGCCGTCAGCTCTCCCAGGTGGAGTCGTCCCCAAAGCTCGTCCCCTTCCCCTTGCGGCTCTTGGAAATGATGTCAACGGCTTCAGGCTCCTGAGGAGCGATGGCGCCCCCCTCGTCGACGTCATCGCGATACCGATCCTCTTCCGCCTCCGCAGCAGGGATGGCGGCGTACCCATCTCGACGGCGAAAGATGCACTTGAGCCAGGGGAGCTCGGGGAATGACGTGCGCAGGCTGACATTGCAGTTGGGGCAGTTTGGCGGCACAGCACGCTGGGCGACCCATTGGACGATGCTGTGAATCGCCAGGCCGCAATAGACGGCTTGGAGTGCAAGAAACAGGTGAATGAGGCTTCCATGTCCAAGTCAGCACGCCTGGGGTGGATGAAATCACGGGGCAGCTCATCGGAAACTGACGTACAAGCTTGCCAGCAGCGGCATCGTAGCATACGCTGCCAGCATACTAAGGCCCGAGGGGCCCTTGGTCGTGATCCAAGTGAGGACCAAGATGATCATGTACCCAGAAGCCAGCGCGACGTCACAGCAGAAGACGGCGACCGGGTGGACAATGACGTGCCGGAAGGCATCCCTTTGTGGCGGTTGGGCGGTTCCCTCGAGGCCATGCTCGCCGTCTTGGTCGTCACTCTGGCGATGCGAGCCTAGTATCACGGCGGCAGCTACGACGGAAAAGAACTGCGGTAGGAGGCCCAAGGCTGGAACGGGATGGCGCTTGAGAATGCCGTGGACGAGACACAGAGGAAATGCTGGGACGAAGAGGAGCGCGGCGACGATGCGCAGGCGGTCGGTGGTTGAGCATCTTGTTGATGGCATGGTCTCGTCGTCGCCTTGGCTGTTGTGCTTGGTGAGGCTGAGAGCAACGGGGTCGAGATGAAGCGACCTCGGCGATCTGTTCTCGTATGACGAGATATTTCAAGATGGCTAGCCTAGGTAGCCGCGGCGTACGGGCCCCAGGGGTACGGAGTACGTGCGTGGTGTTTTTTTGTTTTGATGCTGATCGGACCAATAGACGAGCTGGTAGCTCCCATGCGTGCGGTGCGGTGCCGTACGAGCTGGGTTGACGATGGTGGTGTTGGTCGGAGTGGGGAGGGCGGTTTTGGATTTATTGTTACAGACGCGAACCCGCGATGGATGGAAGGGCGACGAGAGAGAGGTTCTAGTAGTAGTTAGTAGTCAGCCGGTACGGAGTACAACTGGCGCAACTACAAGTGCGGCGGCCACCAGGCAGACAGACCGCTGCTGCACCGCTGGCAGCACCACGCACCAGGCGCAACTGCCATGCCATGTCAACGTCTGGCTCCGGCTTCGGCTCCACGCCAGTGCGCCCAGGCGCTAACAAGTCTTGACATGTCAACTATCAAATTACGTGCCCTGCCCTGTCTCTGCCCGGCGCTGCTTGGTTTTGGCGAGATTTGCCCGGATCAGCGTTGAAATTTCAAGCATTTTCACCACCACCAGGTTGCTTGACTCTTGGTCAATGCGTTCAGTGCCAACTCCTTGCTCCTTTGCAGCCCGTCTGCATTGCTTCTTCATTTCACGCTCCTTTGTTGCTTGTCGAGATTCCTTCTGGTCTCTGCCTCCCTCTACCTCTACCTGCTCAGTTGCATTGACCTTTTTTTTTTTCTTTTTTCTTTTTTTTTTTTTCCCGTCTTCTTCTTGCGGCTTGCTCATCCACCCTTTCAAGAAAAGCCTGTGTCTCCTCCGCTCAGTGACAGTTCTTTGTGGCGACCAACATTGTGCGCCAACCACCACAATTTGCGGCAAACTTTTGAGTTCGAGGCGTTCGGGGCACTCGTTTGTTCCTGGACCTGAGCCTATCAATCTCATATCTTGGTGGTTTGTGATTGCGATTTTGCGAAGCTGTCAAAATGGTTGTCTCGCTGCTTCGCTGGTGAGCTTCTCCCTCCTGGATGAAGATGTGATGAGATAGTCTCGCTGTCTCAGGGCCATCGAGCCGTGAGCACCCACCGGGGCTGACCTCAGTTTTCAGGTACAACGCCAGATTGGCTGCTCGTCCCCTGCTCACCCAGAGCGTGACCACGGCCGTGCTGTTTGCAACTGGTGATATCACCGCTCAGCAGTTGGTTGAGAACAAGGGCATCAAGGGCCATGACCTTACCCGCACGGGACGCATGGCGCTGTACGGTGGATGTAAGTTATCGGTTTCCCCCTCCCAACGCGAAGCCCTCGCCCGACGTCTCTTGGCCTCAGGCCCCGGCCAGCTAACTCGAGTCCAAGGCGTCTTTGGTCCTGTTGCAACCACGTGGTTTGGATTCCTGGCTCGCAACATCCGCTTCAAAAACCCCAGAGTCGAGACGCTTGCCCGTGTTGCCTGCGACCAGACCTTGTTCGCGCCCGTCATGATTAGTGCGTTCCTCAGCAGCATGGCCACCATGGAGGGCGCCAGTGCCAGAGAGCGCCTCGAGAAGACCTGGTGGCCGGCTTTGAAGACAAACTGGATGGTATGGCCATTTGTTCAGACAATCAACTTTACTTTTCTGCCGCTCCAACACAGAGTCTTGTTTGCCAATATCGTCTCCATTGGCTGGAACAGCTACCTCAGCTGGGTCAACAGCCAGTAGAGCACTGGTTTGAAAAGGTTGGGAACCGGAGCGAGGGAATATAGACAGGACCCTGTTGCGTCCATTTTCTCCGCATTTCCATCTGAGTGGCTTGGGCCCAGACGTTTTGGCATTTGCTTCATTTTGTCGCTCTTATAGTCTCTGTTCCATTTATTTGGGGGAGAATTTCGTTTTGAATACAGCGGATATTAGAGAGGGACAGAACAAGGAATCGAGAACAGTATGCGGTACCTGTTTCTTCTTCTGTACATGATTTAGACCACGCATAGACCACACACACACACACACACACACACACACACACACACATATATATATATGTATACATAGATATATACATTTCTTAACAAAAGCGCAGGTGGGAGATGCTCTCACCCTGACACCACGGGTTGTGCAAACCTGATCGAATGATGCTGTCACGGATTCGCGCCGTGGTCTCCTCGGCGGGAAGAGAGACGTGTGTGCTGATGGGACGGCGTACCTGTTGGATCCTTGGGCAGCCGAGTTCAGGAACCGGATTCGCATACAAAAGCACGTCATGCGGGCAGACAGGCGGGTAGCACAGCTCTGATCAATGTCCACGTGCATTCAGTCCTGCTCAGCGCAACGTCCACACGTCGGGTCGTCAATGGAACGTAAAGCCGACACATGTTGTGCCCACTGCCCACCACCCACAGCCGGTCAGGCACGTGCGCGGCGCAGCACGGGTGCTTGCCAGAGTCAGAGAGCGGTCAGGTGGCAGCCGCAGCCGCAGCCAGACGTGTCCGTTATCGCTGCCTAAGGCCGCCCACTTTGCCTGGCCACCTTCAGTGTTCACATTCGGCTTTGCTTAGCGACGGTCTTCATCGCGACATCATCAGGAACTCAACCCTGACGCCCAAGGGCAACGGCTCCCTTCCCCCATCGATTTTCTCTCGAACGCCACTCGGTCGCAGTCATGTTTCCCTCATCGGTCCGGCGCGTCGTCTCTGCCGCGCCCCAGACGGGCTCGTCGCTGGCCTCGACTCCTCGAGCTGCTGCCGCCGCCACCCTTCCCGTGTTTGTTCGCGCCCACCAACGGCGCTGCTCATCTTCCAAACCCTCGAGATCCGATAATGGGTCAAGCAACATTTCCATTGGCCAGTCCGTCACGGCCTCCAACACCTCTCGAAACGAAGGCAAGACGAGTGCCGAAAAGAGAAAACGGAAGAGCAAGGACGCCTCCGATAAGGGTGCCTCGTTCAAAAAGCTCCCCAGCGTCCCCAGTACTCACCACATGTCTCAAGAAGGTATGGGTTCTTGGCACAACTCACGTTTGTCAAGTCTTTTTTTTTTCCTCTTTTCGGCTGACCCTTGACCTGCAGCTCTTGGTCTGTCGAGTTTCTTTTCTCTACATCGCCCCATCTCCATTACCCAGACCATGCCACGAGCCGTGACCAACGAGCACTTCGCCTCCATTTTCGCCGCTCGAACAAAAGCAAACAGAATGTCCGATACCATGTCCACGATATCAAGTACTATCGACCAGTTGGAGGGCCCCATGGCGCAATTGACAATTGGCGGTCAGGAGGACCAAGAAATGGGCGGTGGTATGCACAAGCTCGAGGTCCGAAACCCAGATGGCAGCGAGTCCAGCGTCTACCTTCAGGTCGATACCATGTCTGGTGACTTCTTGCCGTTCCGCCCGCCACCTCTGCCCCAGGCCCAGTCCGCTGATGAGGCCGATGGTCTTGCTGCGGAAGCCGAAACCGTGGAGGAGGAGCCGCACCACCGCGTCTACAAAGCCATGTTCACCATCGAGGAGTCGACTGAACCCGACGGTCAGATTCGAATTATTGCGCACAGCCCTCGCATTGTCAACGACGTGCAGCCACGCACGTTTTTGGGACGTATGGCCCAGCGTCGGCTCCGAGCCGACGGAGCGAGGGGGCGTCATGACATGTACGCCATCAGTGTCAAGAGACAACGAAAGCTCAGGATGAAGAAGAAGAAGTATAAGAAGCTCATGAAGCGTACTCGAAACCTCCGCCGAAAGCTGGATAGGACATGAGGCGACTTGCATGCTGTATATAGTCTTGGGTGTGACCAGTTTTTTCTCGTTCTTCAGGCATTTAATGAGTGGGTGGGTCATAGGAGGGTGTCTGGCATAGCAGTTGATGGTTTCGTCAACTAGAATCGGGGCATTTGCGCATCACATCAACATGCTCTCTGTTATAGACTGTCGCAGGTAGCAATGATCAATTGCATTTGCGCATCCTTGATGCTTGCCAAGGCCCTCGACAGAGCTCAGAGGGAGAACGGGCTGCCCATTTGGTGATCTCGCCGCTGCTTGTAGACCGTCGTCTCCGAAGTGTGTTCCCCATTGTATTGCTACTATCATCTGCAATTAGACGTGAACTGAAATGTACAGAAGTTAAATGCAACGCATTTCTCGTAGTGAGAGTGGCGTCAGTTCGCAGGCTGGCGGGCCACAAAAAGGTTCGCCTCACCGCCTTTGGCAGAATGGGACCACTGCCCAGATTTTTGGAGATTCCTACATGGAGGTCTCGCTGCTGACGCTGGCGGCACAGGAAAGAAGCCGCATGCATCTTTCACCCACGACCCAAGTGCCGGGTGAAATCAGTCAAGATGGAGGCTAGACCGGAGCGCAAGCAGTTGTACGTACCTTTATACCATGGTCGTCTTACATGTCAGAAAAATTGCTCACCGAATTTCCAGGGATTCGCGCATCAAGGCCCTCATTAGCAATGGCATGCAAGAGACGAAGAGAAGTTTCTTCGTCGTGGTGGGCGATCGCTCCAAGGACACGATTGTCTATTTGCACCATATCATGACGAATGCCAATATGAAGCACAACAAGTCTGTGCTGTGGGCTTACAAGAACAAGCTTCTTGGGTTCACTAGGTACGGCGAAACCGCTGGGTGTGGGAGTCAGTTGTTTCCATTCAACGCCTTTGCTGACATGTTCTGCGATGTAATAGTCACCGGAAGAAGCGCGAGCAGAAAATAAAAAAGGAAATCAAGCGAGGCATCAGAGAAGTCAACGACAGCGACCCATTCGAACTCTTCGTTTCGCTCCACAACATCAGATACACCTACTATAAGGAGACGGACAAGATCCTCGGGCAAACTTTTGGCATGTGTATCCTGCAGGACTTTGAGGCTTTGACGCCAAATATCCTGGCCAAGACGATTGAGACGGTCGAGGGAGGCGGTCTGGTGATCATGCTGCTCAAGGGGATGAACAGTCTGCGACAGCTGTACAACTTGTCCATGGATGTCCACTCCAGATACCGCACAGAGGCCCACGATGACGTCGTTGCTCGCTTCAACGAGCGTTTTCTGCTCTCGCTCGGGCGTTGCGACGCTTGTTTGGTGATAGACGATGAAATGAACGTTTTGCCCATTTCCGGCGGCAAGGATGTTACCGCCCTGCCTCCTCCTGACTTGGACGCCGCCAAGACTGAGCAGCAGGTTGAGCTGGAAAAGATCAAGGACGAGAATGAGGAGAAGCAGCCCGTGGGAAGCCTGATAAAGCTTGCCAGGACCGTCGACCAGGCCAATGCGTTGCTGACCTTTACAGAGGCCATTGCCGAGACGACGCTGCGGAGCACCGTCACCCTGACTGCGGCGAGAGGTCGTGGAAAGTCGGCGGCAATGGGTGTTGCTGTGGCCGCTGCTGTTGCCCACGGCTACAGCAACATTTTCATCACGTCGCCTTCGCCGGAGAACTTGAAGACCTTGTTCGAGTTTGTCTTCAAGGGCTTCGACGCTTTGGGCTACGCAGACCATGCAGACTACTCGATCATCCAGTCCACAAACCCTGATTTCAACAAGGCCATTGTTCGAGTCAATATCCACAGGCAGCACAGACAGACTATTCAGTACATTCGGCCCCAGGATGCTCACGTTCTCGGACAGGCTGAGTTGGTGGTTATTGACGAGGCGGCTGCCATCCCCTTGCCTCTGGTGAAGAAACTGATGGGACCTTATCTGGTCTTTATGGCATCTACCATCAATGGCTACGAAGGCACCGGTCGGTCTTTGTCACTGAAGCTAATCAAGCAACTTAGAGAGCAGTCTCGGCCTGCAGCTGCGACCAACGGGGACACTGAGCTTGCCGACCGGTCCACTGGCAGGTCTTCCAAGACTGAAGACTTCCAGGCTGCCAGAAAGCTTCGTGAGATTACCCTTGCTGAGCCCATCAGATATGCCAAGGGCGATTCTGTGGAAAAATGGTTGAATAAGTTGCTCTGCCTAGACGCCACGCTGCCCAAGTCGAAATCCAACTTCCAAGGCTACCCTGATCCCGATCAGTGCGAACTTCTGGTCGTCAACAGAGACACTCTCTTCTCCTTTCACCCTGTCTCTGAGGCGTTTCTGCAACAAATGGTTGCCCTCTACGTTGCCAGCCACTACAAGAACTCGCCCGATGACTTGCAACTGATGAGCGACGCTCCAGCACACGAGCTTTTTGTCTTGGTTCCTCCGAATGTTGAGTCTACGGGAAAGTTACCCGAGCCGTTGTGTGCGATTCAGGTAGCATTAGAAGGCAAGATTAGCAGACAGAGTGTGCTGAACAGCCTGAGCCGAGGCCAACGGCCTCATGGTGATTTGATTCCCTGGCTTGTCAGCCAACAGTTCCAGGATGAGGACTTTGCTTCTCTTTCTGGAGCTCGCGTCGTCCGCATTGCGACGAACCCCGAGTGCCTCTCCAAGGGCTACGGCACGAAGGCCCTGGAGCTCCTTGTGGACTACTACGAGGGACGTTTTGCCAGCATCTCGGAGGAGGATGACCAAATCCCGAAGGAGAAGGTTCACAGAGCTAGCGACGCAGAATTGGCCAAGAGCTCTCTGCAATCCGAAGTTATTGCTGTCCGGGATCAGTCTCAAATGCCCCCCCTGTTCGCCAAGCTGCGTGAGAAGCGGCCTGAAGCCCTGGACTACATCGGTGTCAGCTATGGCTTGACAACGTCGCTCCACAGATTCTGGAAGCGGTCTCTGTTTTCCCCCGTCTATCTGCGACAGACTGCCAACGACCTGACCGGCGAGCACACCTGCGTGATGCTGCGACCTCTTGAGAACAGCGCTGACCGAAGCTGGGTCGGAGCCTTCTCGAGGGATTTTCACAAGAGATTCCTATCGCTGCTCTCATACCACTTCCGCACCTTTGAGATCAAGGTTGCGCTCAGCTTGAACGAGTCGGCCAACATGGGAGCCAAGCTGGACTCTGTCGAGGCCGAGCCCCTTGACAAGGCTGAGCTGGATAGACACTTTTCGCCTTTCGACCTGAAGCGTCTCGAGTCGTACGCAAACAACATGCTTGACTACCACGTGATCCTGGACATGATGCCGACGATTGCCACACTGTACTTTACCGGGAGGCTGAGAGGGAGTTTGAGTCTGTCGGGCGTGCAGCAGTGCATTTTGCTAGGCATCGGTCTGCAGCGCAAGGACACCGACACACTGGCGCAGGAGCTGAACATGGCCTCTTCACAGCTCTTGGCCATGTTTATCAAGATCCTGCGCAAGGTGACGTCCCACTTCGGCACCTTGGTCTCGGACTCGGTCGAGGCCGAGCTGCCCAAGGCCTCCGGCCTGGGAGTGAGCAGAGAAAATGCCAGCGCGGCCCACGACGATGAGGTTGTTGACGACGGCTTCGTGCCTCTGGCGACGTCGCTCGATGACGAGCTGGAAGAAGGCGGCGACGAGGCGCTCCGGGCTTTGAGGGAAAAGCAGAGACAGCTCATCGACTCTTTGCCTCTCGACCAGTAAGAAACCACGGCATCCGTTCGGGGGGGGAATGTCGGCGTTATATGACTTGACCAACTAACGCGAGCCAATGACCAGGTACGCAATCGAGGGTGATGCTCCCGCATGGGCAGAGGCGGAAAAGCAAGTGCGCAACGCGACCAAGGACGGCAAGGCCAATCCCGTGGTGAGTGTCAAGTCGAAGCAGAAGCGCAAGGCAGGCCAGGCGGCGGCCGAGGTGTACGAGGAGGCCATGGAAGAAAAGGCGAGCAAAAAGGCAAGGAAGGGCAAGCGGTCCCACGGGAACAACAAGGGGGGGCTGGGAGGTTGACTCTGGCGGGCGTGGTTGATTTGTACACATTGCATTGGCGCACAGGGACTTGAACACGGGACGTGGCTCTTTTGTTATCCTCGGTTTCTATCATTTGCTGTCTGCATGTAGCTGGGTTGCGTGAATAGAGGAAGAGCAAGTCGCGACGTATCTTGGCAAAGACGAGACGAGAAGGGCCAAAAGCAACGGGAACCACGCACGGTGGCGTCGATGATGTCTCGACGACGGCGCGCGCTCCGTCGTCGTCTGGCGTGTTTGAGTCGTGGGCCCTGCGAACCGTCTGGTCCAGCCGCGGACAATTGTCCGACCGTCAATGAGCGATGAGGACACCTTTGACGGCATTGCACCGAGTTCCAGGCATGAAAACTTGCAAGTCTAGGGCTAGGGCGGCTTGTCCTGGATTTGCCGCTACAGCCATGAGCAAGTCATGTGTGTGCCAGGGCCATGTGTAATGTGATATGTGTCGATTGACGTAACCTGAAGCAGTGTGCCCACGAGATTGCCCCCGCTTGTAGCAATATGCTTAATGGTATACATATATGATGGTAAGAAGCTAAGCATTCAAATAGCCATGGGGGTTGCCTGCCATGTTTTGAGCCTCAGACGTGACGCGTCGCACTGATCTGACGCATCAGGCACTTGGCATCTTCGCTCGGCCCATGTCGTCCGAACACGCGGGCTTTGTCCGTGACGCATCTGTAAAGGAGACACGCCCTCTCCGCCGCGTCGGCTTGGGTCTGGCACGTTGGGCTGAGCCCTGACCACGAGAACCAGACTGGACCGACCGTGGGGGCGGTCGTCTCATCTCCTGTGTGTAGTTTCATCACTCTTCGCCATGAAACGACCAGGGATCCGGAGCTGCCATCAGCGACAGCATGCGATGAAGGCAATCGAGCCAAGACGTGAAGATGCCGACCGCTTGGTCCAGCAAGATGATCCGGACTTACTTCAGGATTCTGAGAGACCCAGCATTTTGACTCTAGAGCGGTTGTGGGCTTTTGCGACGGGGGCCATATTTATTTATGCCTCGCTCCTTCCTTGAATGTCCACGGAAACGCCGGGTCATCGGGTGGCCGAATATTGCAATACTGAATATTGACGCATTGAGGTATCGGCGTATTGGAGTGAATACTGATGCGAAAGCCAACCCCTCTTGTGGCAACCTCAACGCCTGTCAGAACAATCTCAAGGCTTGCTCGCCATGGAACCCTCCCTCGTACCAACCCAATCACGGAGTCGTCCGGCTGCTCCTTTGACGGGTTCGAACCCTTGGCGATACGTAATAAGTGGTGGTTACTTGCCAGTACGTACTTGCCTACCCCATGCCGGCTTTGGCTGATTGTTCAAGGTGGACGGACTCAGTTCAACGTCGAGGCCGTTGCCGTCGACACCCTGGCCGGCCCCCGTTTGTGAATTGTCGCACAAGTCTTGTTCGTGTCTGTGCCTACCAATCCCAGTCACCCAATCACCCAGTCGCTCGGCAGCTGGGCAGAGTCACCTTGCATCCGTCCGAGGCCATGTCCAACATCTCGTTGGCTCAGCCCGCATCTCTAAGCGCCAAGCACAGTGGCCCTTCTGCCGCCGCCGATGGCCTAATTATTCGACCACCGGCGTCCCGAGTCGAGCCAAATGACCTGTCGAGAGGTCGAGACCCATATTCTCCAGGCGGCATACTCCTCCTTCACGTTGGTTGCCCATTGCAGCAGGACCAGGCCGGCGGAGCGGACGGGCGCCGTGCTGTGCTCGGTATTAAAATACCATTGAATCTTGCAGCACCACCTGGCCATCTTATTTTCCATCCTCGGCGCTTGAGTGATTTCCTCTCAAAAAGTACCAGGGCTCCAAGAGCCTCGCTTGCTCTACGTACTCGACATAGCACCAGTCGTCGTCACTAGTGTCAACCAACCCAACCCCGTCTCACCACCTCCAAAACACCCGCGAGTTCCAACGACACAACGTTGCAAGTTTCGGAGCCAGCCTCACGCACTGGCTGTCGCACGTCTCCGTCACTCTGCCCTTCTGTCTTTGAAATCTCGGCCAAGTGACAGGATTCATCCGGCTTCCGAACCTCTGCAGTGCCTGATAGACGACTCGGAGTCGTGCTAGAGCTTCTCGAGTTTCCCAGCCGCCTTTTCTCTTCTCTCCCCATGATTGATCCTGCCAGCTTGCTCATAGAAGCGATTGCCCGAGAAACCCGAGAGTTTCATAGTCAATCAGAGGTAGCATATCTGACTGCTCTTTCTCAGACGTAACGGACAGCTGTCGGTTCCGTGACCGCCGGATCCCCCTTTCACCTACGACTTGGCTTTCTCGTTCCGCTACTTTTCCCAATAATTGTTGCTGTCATCGCTTATCAACTTGATTTAACAGTCTTGGCTCCTGTTTCTCCCAATACCGGATTGCCAATTCTCCTCGTCCCGACCCGGGTTTGGACTTCTTTTCCACATCCTTTCGCTACCGCTGGTTCAGATCGCTCGTCTCGCTGCGTTTTGTTCGTGCTTGACTGTGTCTGTATTCTTTCCTCGGCTTTCGTCTACTGGACCAGCATCAGGAGTTGGCGCGTGAGGGCGGCGAATAGCGTGGTCGTCTTGGACGTGATATATCTGGACAATAAGGAGCTGTGTCCTCGGCTCTGGATGGGCCGACCAACTTTGGGGAAAGCCTGGACAGAAATACTCTTATGATATTTGTTACCCAATGTACAGCTCTGTCGCCGGTCGATATTGAAATTTACCCTCCCAGATCGGCACATTATTCACCATGACGCCGCCACAATTTGGAAACCGCGAGCTGATTCGCAAACAGTTCACTGCTCAGAAGATGACGTTCCACATCCTCTTTTGGGCATTTCACTTTGGCATCTTTGCTTATGGATGGTAGGGAAATGGCTTCAAATGCCAATCCTACGCTCTTTCTTGTTGTTTGGTCTAATTCCTCGCGATATAGGTACAAACAAGCTGCCGATGCTCGACTCGCCGGCCTGAACACCTTGAAGTACTCTGTCTGGATCTCTCGCGGAGCCGGGTTGGTGCTTAGTGTTGACGGAATGCTAATTCTTCTGCCTGTTTGCCGCACTCTTATGCGCTGGCTTCGGCCCAAAATTCACTTCCTACCTCTCGACGAGAATCTTTGGTTTCATAGACAGCTAGCCTATGCTTTGCTGGTCTTTACCACTTTCCACGTCGCCGCCCACTACGTCAACTTCTTCAACGTCGAGCAGACACAGATCCGTCCCGTTAGCGCTCTCCAAATCCACTACGCCCAGGCAGGCGGCATTACTGGCCATGTCATGTTGCTGTGTATGCTTCTCATGTACACGACTGCTCATTCTCGTATCCGCCAGCAGTCATTCGAAACCTTCTGGTATACTCACCATCTTTTCATTCCCTTTCTGCTGGCTCTGTACACACACACCGTGGGATGCTTTGTGCGTGATTCGGTCGATGCCTTTTCACCATTCGCCGGAGACGCATACTGGACGCACTGCATCGGTTACCTTGGTTGGCGTTGGGAGTTGTGGACTGGTGGCTTCTACCTAATTGAGCGTCTTTACCGTGAAATCCGGGCTCGTCGGGAGACTCAAATCACCAGGGTCATTCGCCACCCTTACGACGTCGTTGAACTTCAGTTCAACAAGCCATCGTTCAGGTACAAGGCCGGCCAGTGGCTCTTCATTCAGGTTCCGTCCATCTCAAAGTACCAGTGGCATCCATTCACCATCACGTCCTGCCCCTTCGATTCATACGTGTCTATCCACGTGAGACAAGTTGGAGACTTCACTCGAGCTTTGGGTGACGCAACCGGTGCTGGTAGTGCCCAAAACAAACTCTACGAGGAGATCGACCCCATGGGCATGTACGAGGTTGCTCTGCAGAACGGACAGAAGATGCCCGGCCTGCGAATCGACGGACCCTACGGAGCACCCGCCGAAGACGTCTTCGACAACGAAATCGCCGTGTTGATTGGTACCGGCATCGGTGTCACTCCCTGGGCGGCCATCTTGAAAAACATCTGGCACCTTCGAAACTCTCCCAACCCCCCTGCTCGACTTCGCCGTGTCGAGTTCATATGGGTTTGCAAGGACACTGGCTCGTTCGAGTGGTTTCAGACACTGCTGTCGTCGCTGGAAGAGCAGTCCAACGAGGCTGCCCGCATCCCTGGAAGCTCGGGGGTTGAGTTCCTCAAGATTCACACCTATCTCACCCAGAAGCTCGACATGGACACGACGCAAAACATCGTCCTCAACAGCGTCGGCGCCGACACGGACCCGCTCACCGAACTCAAGTCACGGACGCACTTTGGTCGTCCTGATTTCAAGAGGCTTTTCAGCACTATGCGAGATGGTATTCTCAACAGGACATACCTGAGCGGTCTGGAGGGAAACCTGCGGACTACAGTGGGCGTCTATTTCTGTGGTCCCTCCGCGGCTGGTAAGTTGGATCCCGACCTCGTGCTGATTGATCCCCAAGTCAAATGTCTGACGTGGCTTCTCAGCTCGTGGTATCAAGTCGGCCTGCAAGGCTGCCACCGCACGAGAGGTCAACTTTAGGTTCTGGAAGGAGCATTTCTGAGTGTGGCACTTGAGAACGTTTATCTCTGTTGGTTTAATGCAGGCGGGGTTTTGCACACATGGGGGAGTACAAGTTGGGTAGCAGCGTATATGAATTGCATTTTTAAGTCATGGAAAAGGAGGAGTTTCGGGAAGTGAGGCATCCATCTCACAGCGCGTCCTGAATACTGCCGCAGTCCTTTCCCGTCTTTGTTGGACCTTTGCGCTCGGCAAAAGTTTCCAGTCCAATGCCAGTTTGCACTGAGCAACGTGCTCCTCAAACCAGACTCGTGTTCGTCGGTAAAACCCAACCCGGCAAGAGGCACGTCTATCGCCACCGGCCATATGTACAGCCAACTTTTGGGTATAGATAGATGTGTGCACAACATGTGTATAAAAGGAAAAGGAAAAAAAAACCGCTTGAACAAAAACCATACACCCGCAATCATGTCAGATTGACTTGAAATATTCCGCGCCGAGCGTCTCTCCCATTCCATGCCGTGTGCCCTAGTTCAGGATTTTTCCAAGAAACACCCCCCGCCTTCAGAATTCTTTCCTAAACCGGCCACGGCCATGGTGCAAATGTCTCGCAATTTCTAAAGCAATCTAGTGGCTTTTCATCTGTTTTTGTAATCCGTGTTCCCGATGCGATGCGTGTATCATGGTCGTGTTTGCGTCTACGGTCATTCCAGTTGACGCTCGTTGAAAGTGTTGCATGAACAACCCAACCCCTCCCCCCCCCCTGCGCGGGGCAAATTGCCTTCACGCAACGAATAATTTTTTGTTCATGGCAGTTCGTCATGTCGTGTCTCTCAAGAAGTCCATGTGTTCCTCGGCAGAACGCAACGACCGGCGATGAGAGATGACTCGTTGCACCATCTGTCCGTTTGGAATGTGGAAGGGTGATTTCGTCTCTCTCGCGTCCAAGGCAGTCGGCAGAGCGCCGTGACGTCCAAGGCTTTCTTTCAATAGCAGGGTGTGGTGTCTCTCAAGAGTTCACTATCTGCCCAGACGGCTTGTCTCGCTTTTCAGCCTCTTCATGTTCTCCTCTGTCAACGCCTCTCCAGAGCTGGATCCCGGAAAGGACGGAGTGCGGTAGAAGCATGGACCACCCGCGGCGTCAATCAACTTATTCTCTTGGAGCATGCTGGACAATTCCTTGTCGCCTTCCTGGTGTCTCAGCTGTACGTTCAACCTAGGTGCGGCAGGAGAATCGAATGGCGATGGTTCAGCTTGGCCGTTTGCTGCGTTCAAAGGTCTTGGCGTAATGGGACTGCCATGACGTTCGTCTCGAGCCCTTCTCTCGGACTCGGTTGCTTGTTCTCCAAGTCCAACGTGAGGAACCCCTGCATTGTCGCAATGTTCGCTGATCTGGGAGCACTCTGAAGACTCTACGGCTGCCGATACTTCGCGTCGCGACAGACACCACCGTATGAGCATCCTCTCAAGTATTTTCATGGTTACCGGCTTAGCCAGGTAGTCGTCCATGCCGGCTCTATTGCACTTCTCGCGGTCGCCATGGATGGCAGACGCTGTCATGGCCACAATTGGGACATCCTGCAGCAACGTATTGTATGGAGTGTGGTGTCGCAAGAGGTGCGTGCACTTGTATCCGTCGATGATTGGCATTTGCACATCCATGAGTATCATGTCTGGCTTGATGTTTTGGCCTCGAGAAGTGGCCATGAGGTACTCCAGGGCCTCTTTGCCATTCCACGCCGCAGTGACCTGAAACCCAAGTTTCTGTATTGTCTTGATGGCAATCATTTGATTTACGGGACTGGCACGGGTCATCAGTATTTTTTTTTTTTACCATTTTTCCAATTTTGAACTCCTTCACTTGCGATGGCGCGAACAACAGAGAGTGAGACTTACTTGTCTTCAACGACCAGAATATGCGTCTTTGCACGCTCGGTTCGAGGCATGTCTTGGTCGACGCAGGGAGGCGTGCGTACGGAGAGGCCTCGACGAGGTATGGAAGAAGAGATTCCCGCGCCTTCAGAGCCCGTAGATGTGCCCGCAACCTGGTCATATTCGGAGCTGTTACATGACAAGCTCAGATCAGATTGCAATCGATCTGGAATGGCCCCGCTCTGGACTGGGTGAGTTTGTCTCGGCCCGTGAGGCTTGTTGAACGGAATCCAAAATGCAGCCTTTGTTCCGCCACCAACGCTTGATTCCAATAAGATCCGTCCATTCATCAAGTCCAAGAGGTTCTTGCAGATCGTGAGACCCAGTCCGGTGCCACCAAATCGTCGAGCCGTGGAAGCATCACCTTGGCTGAAAGGCTGGAAAAGCCTCCTGCGCACGTTTTCTTGAATCCCAATGCCGGTATCTTCAACGACGAACTTGATGTTGATCGAGTCGGCCGTCTCAGACTCCGTGGTGACGGAAAATCTCACATAACCTTGGTTTGTGAATTTGATACTGTTGGTCAGTAGGTTTGTGATGATTTGCCGTACGCGTCCGGGGTCACCAATAACAACCATGTCATTTTCGATATCGCTCCCAATGTCCGACTGGAAATCGAGATTCTTTCGCTCCACGGCAAACCTGAGCATTCGCACAACTTCCTTGACGACCAGAGACAGGGAGAATTGGACTTCCTCGACATCCATCCGACCAGACTCCACTTTGGAAAAGTCGAGAATATCGTTGATGACCGTTAACAGAGACGTGGCTGAGCTCTGAATATTGTCGAGATAGTCCTGTTGCTCCTCATCCAAGTCCATGTCGCTTAGCAGCTCCGCCATGCCAAGAACGCCTGTAATTGGGGTCCGGATTTCGTGGGACATGTTGGCTAGAAATTGACTCTTCAATCGGTTGGCTTCCTTCGCGGCGGCCTCATTCGCCACCGCTTTTCGCTTCTCCCGGGACTGTTTCAACAAGGCCTCTTCCCGGTCGCGCAGTTCTGTAACGTCCATAATAACACCAATGACCCCTTCTATGGTACTATCACTTGTCGTCTTGCCGTCATTAGTCTTTTTGCCATACATCGGAAGAAACCGAGTTCGGTACCAGCGGTCATCTAATGACAAATTCTTGTTCAGCCTTGGCCATCATCATAATTTGGATATTCACTTCCACAGATAGGAATCTCATCTTCACGTGCTCACCTAGGCCGTGTTCTTTGACGTCTTCGGTGGTGCGTCCTTGCAGTATGTCCTCGATGGGCTGCAGAAAGTCAAGTTGCTCGCCTTCCGGAAGCTTATCTACAAGTCGATTGAAGACGGTGTACATGTTCTGTCCGATATACCACCGACTCGCGTCGTGAAAGTCTTCATATGTGTGGTTCCATATCAATGCCCCCTCGAGCATATTTACGCGGCGATTTGGGTCGACAGTGAAGATCGTGACCTGAGAGTGGGCAATGACGCTAAGGAGCTGTTGGCGAGTTCGCTTGGCATTGAATTTGGTTTCAATGCTCTCGTGAACGTCGGTACATGTGCCTGTATGCTCTTGATCAGCATGGTTTCCCACTCACCCCACGACTAGATGCTGCTGCAATCGCCTTACCGAACCATTTCTCAATATCACCAGTGTCTTTGTTTCTCACCGCCAAGGCGCGACCCAAAAACCATCTCCACTCGCCTTCTTTACTTCGACAACGATATTCCATGACAAACGGTTCGCCAGTCTCCAACGACCGCTCCCATCGAGCTAGTGCTTCCTGTCTGTCATCAGGGTGAAAGGGCATCTGCCATTCGACACCGAGACACTCCTCCGGCGCTAGGCCAGTATACGAATACCACCGCGTGTTGAAGAAATCGTAAAGCCCATCTGGGGATGCTGTCCAAACCAACTGCGGCATCGTGTCGCAAATAAGCTTGAAGCGCTCGTCATCTCGCTCTTTGATTTGAGTGATTTGCTCCGTTATAACCGTAACGTCTCGGCCCGTGACGACCGCTGCTAAGAATTCCCCAGTGACATCGTCACGAATTGCTTCGCCAAGCACATCGTGCACGAGCTTCTTGCCGTCACGATCGAACAGCCCAACGCGCATCGTCGTGAATGGGCGTTCTGTGCGAAGGAGAACAGAGATTGGGTATTCAGAAACGTCCAACTTTCTTGCAAAGGTCTCATCCCATACCTCCCACTTTCCCAAAAGATCGAGGCCATCGGCACAGTTATCTAGATCCGCATCCCAGGACAACAGCAGCCTCGCGGCTTTGTTGGGGAAGATGACGCTACCATCTTTCCATATGGCCAGGATGGGCATCTGGGTGTTGTCAAGCAGGGCATCCTTCATAAGGGTTATCTTTTGCAATAGGGATGGGGTGCTTGAATGCGAGGCAAGCGACGGAGGGCCCATGGGAGGAAATGGGCTTGATGACATGGTGACGATGCCTGGGCTGTAGAAGCAAGGCGAGTTCGAGTCGCGGCTTGAGGCAACCGACGACGGGGAGGAGACAGCAATGGTTCGTCGATCAGCAGCCTCCAGGACACTCGGCTTTGCGACGAGTTTCTTAGCATTGGACGGCGAGGACGCGGCAGAGTTGGTGTTCGTGAAAGTCAGGGTGAAGAAGGTTTGCTTATCCTCAATCTCCCAAACAGTCACAATCATTTTAGCAAAGGCTTGGTATTCGGATGCCTTGGCCTTGTACCGGCTGTCGTAGGTGGTCCTATTCATGTCCTTTCTGCTGACTACGACTTCGAGAACGGCATCCTGCGAAGGCACAGCCACGGATCGACGGCGAGGCTGGGGGACAGCCGGCGATGAACCTAGTGTAGGAGTAGCACCACCGGGGTTTGCTTGAGGGAATTGAGGTTGCTGTGCTTCCGACGCTCGGGGACGAACACCAACCTCCCGCACCAAACTATCCAGAAAAGACTCCCAGGTTATCCAAACCGGGCGACCATCCTGCAGCATGTCAATTCCAATTTGCGACAAGGTTTGACCTCGAAGACGCTCAAGCACGGCGGCGGCATCATCTTGTGGCGTGGACTCGGATGTTAAGCCCATCATGCGGCTCATGGCCTCGTTTGCTAAAACCACAGTCTTCAGGTTGTTGAGGACAATGACCGGTACCGGCAGATACTGCATTGCGGAAAATGCCACTTGGCCGGGAGTGACGGTGGGAATAGGAAGCCGCAGAGGGCTTTGCGATCTCAATCGCTCCCCCTGATGTGCGAGTCCGAGGGGGTTCCGGAGGAATCGGTGGCCCTCGGTCAGACGAGGAGTTTCATCGTGATGAGTCGGCGTAGCGTTCAGTGCTTCCAAGGCAGGTTGCTTTGGGTCACGGTCATTGCGAGGGCCTGCGAGCTCGTGTGGTTGTGAGGCTTGGTCGTCCTCTGCCAAATTCAAATTCTCGGAAGCCATCATGTCGCACGCCAACGTTAGCTAGCACATGGGAGATGGAGCGACTCCGGGACGGTCCGCGACCGCCCTCGATCCGGGAAGCAAAAATGTCCCCTCGGGCACGGCAGTAGCAAATCTTGAAACCGGGTCGTGTTTTGATATTGCTGGGCTGGCTGGGCTGGCTGGTGCAGCGGGTCAGAGATGCTCCAGGTTGTCGTTGGCAGTACGGATGGAGGTGGTATTGTCATGAAGTCATTGGACGGCTGCTTCTGGAATGTCGGCGATGTGAACGTCATCTGGCCCTCCGAGAAAAGGGTTGAGGAAGCGTCTAGACGAGACCGGGATGGCAAATGGAAGAAACCATGACGTAGAATCAAAGCCGAGTCGCTAGTGTCGATGATGAAAGAAAGGCGGAGCGGAAGCAAGAGTGGTTTCTGGATTCTGAACGACAGGAGCATTGTCCATGCGTTTCCAGACACCAGCCGAACTCTGCATTAGCAGCACGGTAGTATTCTCGACGAGATGGGAGCGAGCGTCGAGCGACCGGGATCCTGGACGGCTCTGGGATGGCTTGCGCTTGTATGCAGTACGTATGTACCACCACCGGCGGCGGCTGAGACCTGGTCCGTGGACCAGCACGGCGAAGAAGATGGAGGAGTGGGGGGGAGTGGAGGATCTGGCGGAGATGGAGGATGGCGAGGGGGGGGAGGGGTGACGGCAAAGACGGTCTGGTCACTGGCGTGCCAAGAGGACGAAGACGAAGGCGGCGGCGACGACGACGACGACGACGACGAAAGACGTGCATGAGATGGAGATCAGAGATGAGGCGACGCGGGCTGATTGGTGGGCGTCCCGAGCTTAATATTAAAGCTTTAATGTTGCGACGCCCAGGTGCCACCAGCCGTCTTTTCTTTTGCAAGGCTTTGCTGGCAGCTGGCAGGTGCAGACCGGAATCAAAAAGTGACAACAGACGACAGGCGACAGGCGACAGGCGACAGACGACAGACGACAGACGACAGACGACAGGCAACAGGCAACAGACGACAGGCAACAGGCAACAGGCAACAGGCATCAAGACAGCAAGACAGAAAGACAGCAAGACAGCAAGACAGCAAGACAGCAAGACAGCAAGACAGCAAGACAGCAAGACAGCAAGACAGCAAGACAGCAAGACAGCAAGACAGCAAGACAGCAAGACAGCAAGACAGCAAGACAGCAAGACAGCAAGACAGCAAGACAGCAAGACAGCAAGACAGCAAGACAGCAAGACAGCAAGACAGCAAGACAGCAAGACAGCAAGACAGCACACAAGCACGCAACGGACGAGCACACAAGCACAGGACAGACAAACAGACCTCCAGCAGCGGGACCCCAAGCAAACCAGCGACTTCAGTCGACAGTCAAAGAAGAATTGGCCAACAAGCGCCGGGAGTGCCCATCGGAAATGCTCAAGCCGATCATGTCAGCCGACTAGGTCTCGATCCAGACCAAACTTTTGATGCCAAAGAGCACGTAGTTGTCCAAGGTCACGACAACCGACCTGGCGAGACCCCGACTTGGCGGTCTCGACGGGGCCGAGCTCTCGGCCATGAGGTCGGACAAACCTGCAGTTGACTCCGTACTTTTCCACACGGTCGACGGGAGGACCGTCGACGGGAGGACCTACTTACTACTTACAGTGCCTGTGCCCTTCTTGTTCCTTGCCTCCTTGGAGAGAAGGACCCCTTCCGTCTCGCCAATGCATCAGCAACACACGAGCCCAGACATGACCATAGGCCGACACACACAACCTGAGCCTCGATGGAATTTACCATCCAGCACCAACGAACGCACACGCCCTCTCCTATAATTATAGTTTGCACGAATCTTTATTGGACACCGTGGCTCTGTCCCGACTCCCGAGTTTCAGATGGCAGATGGCAGACCCTAGACCCCATGTCCCAGGTCCCAGGTCCCAAACTTGTCCATGTACGCACCCCAGCTTCAAAGTCTGTCTGCGGGCCACGGCCGATTTTCCGATTTGTGATGCAGGGCCTTGTCCCAAGCTGGACAACGGTCCAGAAGGGTCGATAAAAAGGCCTTGCTGGGTGGCTGCATGAAAGCGCTATTGTGAGTCTTCCAGCAAGCGGCCTCATGGCGTCCGCAACTGATCCAAATCGCGACACAGGGTGCCGGCATGAACCACACTCGACGAAAGAGTCCAGCAAGGGGGAGGACCCTGCAAATACAGCTACTACTACGCAGCTACATGCAGAGGCCGGCGGGCGACATGCTGAACCTATCGAGGTCATGGCCATACGGATTCGATGCCACCAAGTCAACAATCCATACCTCTACACTTGGGCGCAGGCTCCGTCTGGGATGGGCCCGGCAGCCATTGTTTGAATGAAGAGAAGACACATTCTCCCAATGCCGGGCGTGGCTGAAACTAGCGTGCGGAAAGCATCCGTCCAGCCACCACCACCATTTCGACAATCCGCCCTGCTGGCCTTGCGCCCAGGCACAAGTGGGAACCGTTTCCAGGGCCGGCAGGTTGGGGGCAGCACGACCGTACCGGAGTGCGACGAGCCGAAATCGCTCGCAGCATAACCCAGCATAGTTTGCCTCGGACCTCTTCTTTACTCCGTACAATGCAGACATCTTGGCAACCGTGTCACGTCGGCCAAGCGTTGCCTTTCGGGGCTTGTTGCAGCTAGCCATGCATACATACTCCGTACATGGACGAGAAAAAAACACCAACGCCAGTAAAAGTGCGCCAAAAAAGCCTGACAAGTAATCTGAGACTCTGAGACTGTTGTTGCCTTTGCCGGGGGGGCAAACCAAGGGGGGGCAAGAGTCCAGACCAGCTTGTATCTACGTACGCGCCCGACTCCTTGACCACATTCTGGCCGTTTCAATTCAGGCGTCAACCTGTCCCTGATTCCGACTTCTATTTATGTGTGCATTTCAGCGCACGATCCACGGCAAATTTTTCTCCTCCGTCATGGCGCAGCACCTGGATTCGGGCCCTGGTGGCTTTGAAGTGCTCCTGGATGAGCGTACGGCCCATGTACGTACGGAGTAACCGAGTACGGAGGAGGTGCTGCTCGTACTCTGCCGCACAAGATTCCTTTTCGGCTCGCATCAAGTTGATTGCCTGCGCGCCTGTGCTGTATGTAGCCTGTGCGCGGCTGGGGCTGGGTCTGGGCCCTTTCCGCCAAGGCGAAGCCATGCACAGATGAATGCGAGCGACGAGCTGTCGGCCGGCCATTCGGTCAGTCAGTCAGTCAGTCATTCCCGAGTCCCGAGTCCCGAGTCCCGACGACGCACGCGATTAAACTCGAGTCTTCATGAACCAACATCATCTGGTCGCTCCCCAACCCGTGAGCCCCCAAAAAAGAACCTCATTACTCTGTACTACAGTAAACTATGTCTATAACGATCCTGTGTTATAGCGAAATTCGGGTTTTTACGATAATTCACAGTCATCTAAGGTTTTTCCCTAGTAAATCGTTAATAGTCGCGTTACTAACAATATCCGTTGACTTTTTGCTTAGTCTTAGTCACTATACATTTTATCGTTATAAGGCCCCACTTTTAAGGGCTGGGACTTCTTATAGTGGGGCTGGATCTCCTTATAGTAGGGCTAAATTTTGCTGCTTTCTCTTAATATGTACTTTATAATATCCTTAAGTGTAATTCCCTAGTAAATGCAATAAAAAGTACAAGCCCCACAAAAGTCGCACCTTAACGATAGTCGCTATATGACGATGAAAAAAGCCTCACGAAGGATATCGTTATAGACCTGGTTTACTGTACTACTATCAATTACGACCCCTGCCAGCCAGTGGGTGGCACGGCATTCAAGTCCACGGTCCAGGGTCCCCCCCTCTCCCTTTCCTCTTTTGCCATCCACCAGCCGATCTTGTCCGCTTCCAATCGGCATTTTTCCTCGTCTTCTGGCCTTGCATCACCCACCACCACCACCACCACCACCACCAGTCTTTGTTTCTGAGGAAGCGACCTTCCACTTCAAGTCGTGCCAAGACTCGTGCCCTACACAAGACGAGGCTTTCTGTCAACTCTACGCCTCTCTCTTGCGCATCGCACCAGTTCAGTAGTTACTTGGGCATACAGGCACAATCCCGCGCCAAAGCGATGTAATGTAACTTGACGTAACGAATGGCGGATTTCCCCTTCCTAGAAGAAAAGAAAATCCGCTATAACCAACCGTCTCACACGTGTCGCTCTGTCCTGACACAATTACATGTATACGTCTATCTGCTCGTTTGCTGTACACCGAGCTGTATGAACACGCCATCCGTCATGTACGCATCCATCACAAAACGCCCTACTTGGAGCTTTCCTTCATCTTGCCACACAGAGAGCACGTCCACCACTGTCGTTCCATGGCTGTCCCACAGAAGGTGCATATCCAGACCCAGGGCGCTTCTGGGGTGGTCGAGGGTGAGGCTGCAGCGTCGTGGGTCCGCGTCCTTACGGCCGTATTTTCCTGATGCCTTTTCGTTTTCGGCGCCCCATGTCCCGTCAAGTCTATCGTGGTCGAATCCGACATCATACTCGTCTCCTTTTTCCGAGGCTCGCTTAGTATGGGCTCCACAGAATTGGTCATCTTGACTTGTTGGCTCCGTTGCGACCCGCAGGCCTCACAGCAGAGATACTGTGGCGGGTTGTGCAACGTGCAAAGTTCGCAGACCCAAAACCCCGGGTCCCTACGGTTCCCATAATCCGTGTTGCCTTGATCTCGGTCCTTCGGCTCTCGGGCGGTCGACGCTTGAGCGGCAGCGACAGCACGCGAAGCTTGATCACGTTCGCCAGTCGCTCCCCGCGTGAGAGGCCCGCGTGCGCGTGGTCCTTCTGGGCGGTCAGGCGACGGCCGTACGTACGATTGTCCATGTTTCGCCTTCTCCTCTTCCTGGACAAGTTCCCATAGGGCCTGGGCAATGGCGATTTCGTTGGCCTCGTCCTCTTCGGCTTGTGTTTGGAAGCCGTTCCTGGTGGCCGCGTCGGCGATTTCGACAATTTCCCCATCATTATACCGCCCGCTGCCACAGCCCTTGAGGACGGCGTTTCGCTTCTCAGCAGCACTCGCAATGACCTGTCGGATATCCTGGCCGGGCCGAGGCCCATGTCCACCCAGTCTTTGGCCGGACCCAATGGCCTGTGATGCGCGGATGCGCCGCTTCTCGGCTGCCTCTCGGGCGAGACGGCGTGCCTCCCGGTCTGGCATGCTCGCTCCCCCCAGCCGGCGTCCCTTGCCGAGGAATCCCTCGCCCGTGTATCCCTTCATCATCAGGCCCTGGCACTCGTCGCGCAGCTGGTCCCAGAGAGCGTGGAACTGCTGGTTGTGCGGGCCATGAACAATGTGCGCCAGCTCGTGGAGCATCGTGTCCAGCACGTTCTCAAACGGGAGGAACTGGCTCTTGTCTCCTGGATATCGCAGTCGAAGTAATATCTTGGCTCCTCTGTTAACATTCAAACCTGTCCGTGCAAATCTTTCATCAGTCCCATGTCCTCTGTATAGATACCTAGGTAGCGAGGGACCCAAGTAAATGGCTGGTGCACAGCGTGGTAGTCAAGCAAGGTACCTAGCAAGTTGGTCTCGTTGGGGTAAAACTCGGCCAACTGGCCGACTTTCCATCCGCGAGCCCTCATAATCGGCTTCACTTGCGAAGCAATCTTCTTCAAAGCATGCAGGGCGTCGCTTGCCCGCGGCTCCCTTGCCAGGTGCACGTAGGAGCCTACCAGGCCCTCGTGTTCAGGCATCTTTGTCAACGACGGTCGATGCCCGCCGCTCCGCTGCACTGATGTTCTGTGCACGTTTGGGCCGAGAACGCAAGGAGGGGAGAAGTGAGATTTGCATGTTAGAGACGGGCGCCGGCCAGGCCACGCGTTGATGCGTGGACGCGTAAGGCCGCAATGCCTTGTGGCGGCGAATGGTGAGTTGAATAAGCTATTTGGTGTGAATGCTGCTTGAGTGGGTGCCTCAAGTTGTGCGTGAGTGGCTCTGGAAGTTTCGGCGGGAATGACTAATCACCACATCCTTGTAGGGTCTGGACTCTGCAGTGTGCACTATGTGTGCTTCTCAATTGTCCCTCTACATGTAGCGATGCACATCATCTTGGCCAATATCTAGAATTTCCTTGAATAGTTCTTTTCTATCCTTCTAGTCTGGTGGCAGGTTCATTCGCATGGGCCCTGCAGGTGCTTTATTTCAAACATGGCCATTGCGCTGCATGGTTGTTGCCATGTAGGTGATCGTCTCTGCGGCCGTTGCATTGCTTTATGAGATAGAACGACGCAAACATTTCCAAGTTACTAGAGCCAAGAGTCCCAGACTCATCCATCTTTCGTCAGCAGAAAAGGGAAAGAGAAAATAAAACACGGAGCCGTCCCACTCGCGTCACTAGGCAAGTCAATCAACCTCCAGTAACTTGAACTTGTCGTCCCCGAGAGCATCCTCTACGCGCTCCATCAAAGTGAGAACCTTCTCTTCTTCTAACCTCCTTCCAATGACCTGGACGCCGACAGGGAGCCCATGCATGTCGTTCGCGTCATACAGCTTGTAAGCACCGCGGGCAATGCCGTTCAGCTTGCGAATGTTGAAGCCTGCGGGCAGTTGGTCCTTGGCCTTATCTACATGTGTGACGGGGATAACGCCGGCACTATAGTCGAGCTAGTCATATCTTGTTAGCGACCGTGTCAATCGTTCGCGGCTATATCTTTGCTTACCAAATTGAACATAAACGTATAACCGCAACTGCTGACAGCATCATGCATACCGTCATGAGGAAGGGCAGGTGTGGCATTGGGTGGCGCGATGATAAAATCCAGGTTGGTTGCTTGCCAGTATTCCCACCACTTTCTCTTGTAAGCTTCTCTGCGCCCAATGAGCGCCCAGTATTCCGCAGTGGTAGTGTGATGCCAGTCACGAAGCAGACCAGCCCACGGTATATCGCGGCGGATGTATCGAACCCAGAGGTAGTACAAGTACTTGACGGGTCTAGGAAGCTTCGCGTAGAATCGCATCTGAGCTACACCTCGGTCGTTCCACTCGCCAGTCCTGAAGAATCCGCCAACGGTATCAAGACCGTCGGCACATAGGAGACGGGAAGCCAGATATAGCGCTTCATAGGGCTCGGGCGGGTTCATTTCGACGATCTCGTGGCCTGCTCGACGAAGAGCAGCCTCGGTCATCTCCAAAGCCCGGTTGCAAGCCGGGCTGGGGTCAACAACGCCGTCTGTTCGCAAAACGCCGACTCGCATAACCTTCTTCTTTCTGTACTCTTCGACAACATCTGCTCTCCAAGGGATAGGGTGACAGGAGTAATCGTAGTTAAATGTGCCCTTTTCGAGGACAGCGCGTGTAAAGTAGAAGAGATCATTCAGTGTCCGTGCCATTGGGCTGTATACGGCGGGAATGCCGTCCTGCCCGGGCATGCTGGTGGTCATGCCAAGCTTGGGCCATCGACCAGTCGAGCACTTGAGAGAGTAGATACCAGAGAAATGCGCGGGACATCGGACACTGCCAGCAACATCACTACCAATACCAATTCGGCCACCCAGAGCAAGAAGGGCACCCTCGCCGCCAGTAGAGCCACCTGGAGTGTACTTGCTGTTGTAAGGATTGGTAGAACGACCCCACAGATCGTTGGAGGACTCGAAGCTAAGGAGTGTGATGGGGATGTTGGTCTTGATATAGGGAACAGCTCCAAGCTCCTTCAACAGCTTGACAGTAACACCATCTTCAGTCTTGGGCTTGTGAACATTACATGTCACGCCGACGGAGCTATCATAGTCCTTCACATCAATGGTGTCCTTCAAGCTGACGGGGATGCCAGCAAGAGGACCCTTGAGGTTGATGGAACCGTCCTTGATCCACTTTTCCGCATCCTCAATGAGAACTTCAGTAGCACAGTTGGTCTTTTCATGGGCTTTTAACGCGACCTTTCCATAGGTCCGAAGGAGGTCCGCAGCCCTGCTCGGATCCTCGTGTACTTGTTGGACAAGCTCCTCAATGGGCTTGTTGATGATCTCCCGGTCCAATGGACTAAAGGGAGCATGGTAGGCAGTCAGGGCGCGAATACGACGCACACGCTCATCCTGCTTGAACCGGCTATGATGTGTCAATGTGGATTCAACAGAAGTCGGGCGTTGGGAGAGTCCAGAGAGATGGGAATTGGTGACGAGGGGTCAAGTTAACGGCCTGGCCAGCGTTGACCAACAACAGCAACAGCGGTGCGTATGTGTTGAGGGGAGAAAGGGCGCTCGAACAACATGATGAGCACTTACCAATCACGGCGGTGCTGCAGGTAATCTAGAAGCATGGTTTGAGAGTGAGAGTAAGCAGCCCAGCCAGACTCGGCAGGCTGTTGGATGCTGTTGGACGGTGATATTGAAGGAGGGAAGTCGAGGGTCACCAAGGCTCAAGTCCAGTGGGTGGTCGGGATGTGCAAGTTGTAAGTGATGGCAAGTGGGCAAGTCACGAGGGCGGAGAGCCCGGAAAGGAAATACGCACGCGCACCAGCCAGGGAAGGGAAGAGGAGGCTGGAGGCAGGAACGACCGCCCCGGGAACAGAACCCGTCGATAACCGGCCACTTCACGGTGGGATGATCCCAGTGGTCAGAATGCGCCGCCAATTTGTCGCCGTCGTTGACAAGAACAAAAGCCTCTCCAGGCTCCAGCACAGCACCAGCGGGCAGCCATGCGGGGATCTACGGGGGTTCTCAGCGCAAGATTAACACGGCTTTGTCTGGGTTGGGCTGGGGCTCCGATGTAGCTCTGGGCCTCTGGCTCTTGCTGCAGTCGCCGCCTTCCGTCCGACCCCGGACATTGATTGAATGCTCCATTCCTCCTCCGATGGCCGCTCCGATGTTCCTGAGTGGAGGCCACTCGCATGTTTGGTCACTCATCAGCCTCAACCTTTAATTAACATGTGCATGGCCATGATGATGCGACCAAAGGGCGTGCCGTATCCTGTCTATATTTACGGTTGACATCAATTGCTAGTCCCTGAATTTTACTCATTTCTTGCGTCAGCTGAAGCAATGCCAAGTGAGAGCTGTTTGTAAACTCCACTTCGTCAGCTTTTGTCGTCTGGAAAGGCGCCCAGTCGTCCGGGACCGAGTCTTCTCGCCATCAGTTCCTGGAAAGGCTCAAGAACACCCAGGTAGCTGTCACTCTGGGTTTTCCGTGAGATCGCGCGCCGACATGCTCAAGAGTTTCCCTTCCCTTTCCAGCCAATCACGGAAGGGGCGGTCACATCAATACAAACATGTACCTATTTACCAGCCTGTCTTATCTATGGCTAGCAGGTACCTAGTAGGTATTCATGCCCCCCCCCCGGCATCCCTGCAAAAGGCACACGGCATTTGCGGAAGCGCAACACCTGTTTCTCCACAGCAACAAGGAGACAAAGTCCAGACTCCAAAGCAATTGTTTGGCCATGTTAACCCGACGACGTCTCGTTGCCTTCATGTCATAACGCGCATATTCCATCATGTCTGCCGACGACCAGCAGTTTTTTCATGTCGTGGTAAGCTCACTCCGTCATGCTCTTGCCGATCTCATCCGTTGCCGTCTCCCCCGTTGCTGACTCAAGCTGTCCCTGCCGGACGACAGCTCGCGCACATTCCGCCCCAGCTCAAGCAATACTCCAACCACGTTGCCGAATACATAGATGAAAACGTCGATCAAGCCGCCAGGATCCTTCGCGAGACACTTTCACAAGCAACATGGCTGCCAGACTACGCCAGACCGACTCCCCCCGCGAAACCCGCTGCCACCGTCGTCTCCATGTCGCGGTTTGAAAACGTTCAGCATTGGGTGTCACGGCATAAGATACTGACGACTCTCATCGTCCTCACTTGCGGTACAGTCATTTTCAAAGGATACCAGACAAGTAGGTCTATGAGAAAAACGAGAAGGGCCAAACGAGCGAGAAATGGCGGCCGTACAGAGGTGGTTGTTATCGCAGGATCTCCAACCCTGCCCCTGACCAAGTCTTTGTCTCTGGACATGGAAAGACGCGGCTTCATTGTCTACATTGTATGCAACGCCGCCGAGGATGAGGGTATGGTGCACGCCTTGTCCAGACCGGACATTCGACCCCTCAGAATCGATACGACTGATGTAAGTGGCATTACTCCCCCATGTCTGCCGTCGCAAAAATCGGTGTTGATTGATTTCGTCAGCCCCCTCAAGCCGGCGCCGCCATCGAACGCTTCGCAGCCTTTTTGCAATCTCCTCAATCCCCCGGGCCTCACATCAAACCGAATAGCTTGACTCTGAAGTCCGTCATCCTAATCCCCAGTCTACACTACCAAACGTCTCCCATCGCCACCATCCCGCCATCGAGCTTCGCCCATCTATTCAACACACATCTGCTTCAACCAATCCTCACAATACAGTCCTTCCTTCCACTGCTTGCATCACGTCTGCAGCCAGTGGGCGAGAAATGGGTCCCTCCAAAGGTCCTCGTCTTCACGCCCTCCATCATTTCCTCAATCAACCCGCCATTCCACGCCCCTGAAGCGACCGTGTGCTCCGCCCTTTCAGCCTTTACCGAAGTTTTGACAGCCGAGCTTCGACCCCTCGATATCCCGGTGACGCACATGCAGCTCGGCACCTTTGACTTTTCCAGCTTCGTGCCCTCGCGGGCGGCCATCTCCAACCAAGGGCTGATCTCTGCAGGAAGCCCCCAAGAACCCCTGAGCTGGCCCGATGGCGCACGACACGTCTACGGACGCAATTTCGTCGCTCAAACCAGCTCCGCCATCTCTGGAGGTCGAATCCGCGGCTTGGAAGGCAGCTCCCTCCGCCGACTCCACAATGCCGTGTTTGATGTCATGGATGGTTCCGTGACCAGAGACACGGTCCGTATCGGCCTCGGATCCAGTGTATACGGCTTTGTTGGGCGATGGGTCCCCCGCAGTCTTGTTTCTTGGATGATGGGCATCCGGAAGGTGGACGAGCTGTCGACCTGGAAGAGTAGTTCCTACGACGGCTCGGAGCTCGAAGAAAGCGAGGATGGCGAGGGGGCGACGACTTCTTCAAACGAATTCATTGCGGTTCCCTCTGAGCGCAATGTATGGAGTGCTGACGCGACCGATAGTAGTCTCTTGGTGCCTCCAGTGACGAGTTCTCCCCGAGCGTGATGCAAAGAATGAGAACTGGAGATTGATATACTGCCAAATCACATGTATCTTATGACCACTCAGGAATAAGTCGTAAACGAATATACAAAATATGTGTCTACTTTTTTTTTGAGCGAATCTACAACAGTCACAGACTCACAGGCCGCTCTGACTCGTCATTTGATTTGATTCCATTGCTCCTTTAAACCTAGGGTATCAAGTCCCAAAGAAACGGCCAAGTTTTTTTGTACAAAAGTCGACGCAAAGCATCAAGTAGCGTTGCATCCTCCGGACCTTGTCTCGACGGCAATCAATGGCCCCTTCCTCTGAACCTGCCGCCTCGTCCGCCTCTCCATTTCCCACCGCCTCTGAATCTGCCGCCATGCCTCCCATCGTCCCTATCCCGATCGCGGTCGCGGTCGCGGTCCCTATCCCTATCCCTGTCGCGGTCGCCGCGTCCCAGCCCCTCTCTCGCCGTCCTCTCGCCATCGTCGTCGCCCCTCGTCACCCCGTCCACGTGGCCATCCTCATCCTCCTTCCTGTCCGTCTTGACCGTCGGCCTGTCCAGGTCCTTGCTCCACTTGGGGTGCGCAGCCTTGCAGCTCGGGCCGTCGGGACAAAAGCCCGCCAGGTAGAAGGCGCACAGCTTCCTCCGGACGTGCTTCTTGGAGCACAGCGGCCCGAGGGGGCAGAAGCCCATGTCGTAGTGCGGGCAGGGCGGCAGCCTCGACGACGGGTCGACGTGCAGGTACAGGCACTCCTCGCCGTTGGAGCAGTACCCGTTCCTCATGAAGAAGTTGCACTCGGGCATCTTGCGCAGGTTGTACTCGTGCAGGAACTCGCAGTGCTCGCCCTTCTTGCAGAGCCCGCGCAGCCAGTGCTTGCACACGAGCGAGTTGAGGCCGCCCGTTGCCTGTGCCGTCTTGGAGTCCTGGACGTGCCGCTCGGTGCAGCGCGTCCCGTTGGGGCAGCTGCCGCTCTGGTAGGCTTTGCATACCGGCCGGTCGAGCGGGAGGCCGACCTGGTATGTGGCGCGGAGGAAGGGCGAGAAGCGGAAGTTGTACGTTTGCGACGAGTGGTTGAGGATGGAGGACGCTGCTGTCGCCGCTGCCGTTGCCGTCGCCGTTGCCGTCGCCGTCGCCGTCGCCATGCTGGCGGGGTCTTCTAGAGTGTTGGGGCTCTCAACTGCGGCTTTCTCGAGCTGCTTGCGAGGTGAGGCGACGTGAGGCGACGTACTTCAGTTTGCGGGGGAGATGGTGTGATCATTGATGTTCCATCTTGATGGGCGGAAGTTGCTACGTGATGCTTTCGAGATTTGAAAAGTTGGTGGAGCTGACCCTGGGAGGCGCTGAGGGGTGCTTTGTCATCCATCCGCCACGCGCCCTTGGACACAACTCTGGATCCGATCTTGGATCACTCGACCAGATTCTGAATAAAAACATGTCGCTTTTTCCATAGTCGGGTAAATTATTAGAAGACAGGATTGTTTTCTTTCTTTTTTTTCTTCTCCTCGCACTAGTTGCTGATAACTGCATTCCCGTCGCACCCATGTCAAATATTAACGCCCGACTCAGCCATTTCCATCACCAAAAAAAAAAAAAACAGGAAAGACATTAAGCCTATTAAAAAGCGGCGACCTCGCAAGATGCTTAGTACCAAAGAAAAGTAAACGCGTCAATAAATAAACAGGCAAATCCAACAAAGGCCCAGTAAAAATAGCATTAGTAGTAATCACAACAAGTCTTTGTACAGCGCTACTTCTCTTGCGTCGCCTTTCCTGAAAGGGCCTGGCTATCCTTCTATTCGTAAAGTCAGTCACCCGTTACTGAAAAGAAGGCGAGGCTGACTCAAAGATTCTCCTTCTTCTGCCCGTAACAAGTGACAAACTTCATATAACGGTGTATTCTTCGATCATTCAGGCTTCGTTTCACTTGTGTGACTAGAGCTCGGCGGTCTTCTGAAGATATTCCCAGGGCTGCCAGGGGCTTGGCTGCGAGAGCACCAAGCGAATCCAATATGACCGCCCTTGTGAACATGCCAACAGTTTTCAGGTGTTTATCTCGTGGCCAGGCGGCGATGGGCACTTTCTTCGTGATGACGTGGATATTTGTGAAGCCGGCGCCAACAAGTGTCTCCTCCAAATTCAGCGCTCTCAGAGGCTCGCCCCCAAAGGTCCTCAGACCTTGTGTCGAGGCGTCGAAAAATATTCGTAATGGGTCTTCTTCGCTCATTGTCCCGTCGTCACATAAAATTTGAGGGATGAATTCGTGAAATTCTACCCATCCGCCATCTCGCACATGTCTGCCACGCGATTAGCCGTACACTCCTCGGCTAGTATCTGAAAAAAAAAAATAAATAAATAAAAACGTACGGATAAGTTCTCTTCAACATTCTGTCCAGGTCTCGTAGAGTGCCAGCCATGCCGCGAAAATGTACCATGTCAAAGTTGGAGCCATGGAGCCAATCAGGCTCTTCGCAATCGTCCACGTACATTCGCACGTTTACAGGTACCCATTTCGGCTGTATGGGGGATAGATCGGTTCCAACGACACTTGCACTTGGGTACTGGTCGGCAACTAGAACGAGTTAGAAGCTCTGAATCGTCGAGCTGGAATGTCCTCCACAAAGCTTGTTGTTCCAGCTTACCGTCTATGGCCCAGGTACCTGGGAAAATTTGTTAGCGCCGTAGTCAACTGGATCGGTATTCCTCCGTGACAAAAGGGGGGGGGAAATACCGGTTCCTGTTCCAATATCAATGATTTTGTGCGGAAACTTGCCGATGTCGGAGTAAAAAAGTCGTCCACCCTAGGTAGCTATTAGTCTTCGGAATTTGATGTTTTGGTAGGGGAAAACAAATGTGCCTCAAATGCTGACTCGTATGCCAAACAAGACCCAGGTACATACAGTAAGTTCCAGCATCAAAGCATGGTTTGTTTCCTCGCGTCGCTGCTCCAAGTCATCGTTGGGCAACGGGTAGCGGCCCTTACGGAAACCGTGGTAGCGTCGACCATATGCTACCTCATCCTCGTACGCGCTTGGCGTCACTGAAGTGGAGCATCCGCACGAGATTTCTGAGTTGACGCCGTCGCCATCGCCAATACCATCTCCATCGAGAGAAAACCGTTCGAAATCATCGTCGACATCGTCGTGACCATACTCGCTAGGAGAGGTTGCGATGTCCAGATCCGGCGACGTCGAGATTATCGAGTAGGTACTATCGTCATCGGCGTCGCCGTGGTCGTAATCAGGTAGTGTTGGAAGAGACATTGATCGGCCTGGCGGGCGACAGATATCGCCATGGCATGGCGGTTGACGAGGACGAAGGGGGAGCTTGCTGTAGAGAGAAGGTGTTGACGAGCTGGCGCACATGGGGAGTGGGACCTCATCGGCCGCCTCCCTCCATACAGACTTGGTGTTTGGCTGATGCTCCATACCTTAGGTACCTAGGTACCTAATAGTCAAGTACTGAAGTACCTTGAGTAGGCAGATAGGTACCTTAGACCTACCGAGAAGCACGGAGTACGGAGTTGTAGCACATGATAAGTTATTATTATGTACTTAAGTACTTGGTTAATATTCGAGGACGCGCATTGGCCAAACCTGCATGCTCACCCACACTTACGACAACAGGTCCGAATATTGTCGCCAACAACCAAACAGCCCATCAGCACAATGGAGGAACGTCATCCTTTTACTCAACTCGCCCAGACACGCAGGCGCCGGAGCCGCAGTCTCCAGCCAGCATCGACCATCGCCAACACTTCTTTTCTTTCAATGGCATGAGCGTTTGCTGCTAGTGTTTCTAGTGGCGCGCTACACCGCCGACAAACCCATCAAATGAGAGTTGCATCGCGCGCCGCTACCCGTCCTGGCCGTCCCTTAAGACAGACTAGCTTGAGTGATTGTGAAATTATCCCGGCCATCATAGCGACTGGCCACCCCATTTTCTAGACATGCACAGCTTCAAGCGGGCCGGAATTCTACCGTGGACATCTGTACAGTACCGCCCGGGTCCTCGACAAGATTCTTGTGCGGCGTCTTGCCATGCTTGACAAAACTTGTGCCTCTCTCGATTCCTTGTAACTGATCTATGCTTTCTCTGTTGGAATAGGACCAGTCAGCTGGACAAAAATGCCCAAGACGTCATACCCCGCAAGTACACGCTCCTGAAACAAGGGATCTTGTGGTCACGTCTTGCGTCTTGATCCCGAAGCCATCTTCAGCTTCAACAGGTCGCATGTGAATGCTCGGGTGCTTCGATTTAACTTCCATAGTAAACTGGGCTCACACAGAACGCCAGTCGAGTTGCTACTACAACTTATTATCACCCTTCCAATCCACAGTGGCTTTCAGATGAAACTGTTTGAAGCCGTTGCAGGTCAAGTAAACGTCAACTTCAGCCATCCAACGTGCGTTACCTTCTTTCAGGATAATCTAGTCGATTTTTCCCAAAGCTCAGGGCTCTTGTGTCCGTCCGCACGTACGCACGCATACGTGCATACGTGCGCAAATCTTCAACAGCCCCTAAGTGCCGAGTGGTAAGCCAATCAATGTCAGATGAGAGCACTGACACCACCTCGTACTACCATAACTCGGAAGGTCTTAAATGCCGTCCAATGGCCGAAAGCGTGGAAAAAGAAAGGGCATAGGTATCGTCTTGGCCAAATATCTATGGTTCAACACAACCAGCCTCGTGGTCTTTCCTCGTCTGGTAGGTTAGGTCGGCATTTCCTAGTGACAGCTCGTCCACCAAACTCATTCATTGATTGTCAACTTCAATGGGATAGAATGACTGCGTTCGGTGACTCAGCACGTAAATGGCCTGCCTGAGCTATCCACTGATTTGAATTTCATGTACCTATTTGTAATGCTCTCGTCGTTGTTGTTTGAAGAGTCGGACAGAGTTCAGAGAAGGAAATGCCATAATAAAAGGAGCTGCTTTTTGACTCAGTCCGTAGTCAACTAATCTAGTGCCAATTAGCTCTTGATTGATTCACCGCCTGGCCAATGTACACGCTTGTATGGTGTCGTCATGCACCTGTGCTGCCAGATCTGATGTGTCTGGCTTCAAGCTAAAGATATTGATCGTCTTATCGCTCTGCTGTAGACTGCTGTAGGTCTTATTGCACAATACCAACCGAGTCATTTACAATTTCGGTGCCTCTTGCCTTGAGGCAGCCAGATGACGCCTATCTGGAACTGGTCATTGATATGGTGTCTGCTGGCGAGTTTAAGCAGCACACGAAATCACAGATGAGGAAATTTGAGGAGACAAAACGAAACAAAGAAACAAAGAAAGGGCAATGTGAGAGACGGACAGAAAAGCGTCCCACTTGACATGACGCTAGGAAATAATAATGATTTGAGATGACGAAAGTGAAGAAAGCTAGATGGCCGAAATCCGATGGCTGCCTGACGATCCGAGGCAGGAGCTGTGCAGCGATGCCAAGTAGGGCATGAACTGGAACGGCTGGAACGGCTGGGAAGGAACCAGAGTTGGTTTCAAATCGAGCTGCTTTAAGAAGGTGCATACCTAAAGTACACAGGCATGTAAGTTACATTGTAATGTTTAGGCAGGCAGGACCCAGGCGTCTCTTCACTTTTCGGATATTGTTATACAGAGCATTGACCTGACTCATTGCTCAGAGCCGGTCCCCATCCATATCATCAGGTGGCAATGTCCAATTTCTATGGCTCCATGGGCCATGACGCATGACGGACAGCGCGTCGTCGAGACACATCGGACACCGAAACCCTCCTTGCTTGGTCCAATGATTCTCGCTGCTGGAGCTTATTTATATAAAATGTGAGCAGTATGCAAGCGCTCCAACGCTTGCCATCAAATCCTCCTTGACCGAGACGGAACCCGAGCTAATTGGATGTGATGAGTCACGACAGCCTAAGCGGAGTCGCACGTCGAACATCACAAACTGCCAACCCATTCAGGTCTATCCACGTCAATCAGTCTATATAAACAACGCGCGGCTTTGTCGTCCGTCAATCCCATCGCATTTGACACTCTGGTCCGTCCCGCTGCTGTTAGTCTCCAACGTGGAAGTCTGCTATGCTTTGTCTCCACGGCCATGCAGGTCATACAGGTAATACAGAAGACAACAGTCCCTTTTTCCGAAGGTGTCATAAGTCAAGCAGCGATGGGGGGTGTGGGCTTCTCGTACCAGCATCATCAAGTCGGGATTTTGGCCCCACGGCTCGTGCTTCTGACTAGCACGCTGTCTTACTCATCTCACACATCGCCCACCAAGTGCGAGCGGAACCACTTCTTCGGACGCTTCACGCAGCGCTCCATAGCATATCAAGGGGAAAGCAGCGCCGTACGAACAATCTCGCCAGCTAGGTTGATACCTGGCCGGCAGGACAAACCTCGCAGTAGCCCAAAATAGCAATGTTTGGTGGCAGAGTCCTAGCAAATAAGCCCCAACCTGGTATTCGAAGGCAGCAAAAAGGGCGGTCGACAGCTCTGCAAGGATGCTTGGTCATAGAGCTTCCATGCAGGCATGTCCTGCTGTCGTTGCCAACCACCCTCGATGAGCGTTAACCGTCGATGTCCAGTTGGTTTTTCGTCAACGCCTTACTCAGCCCAAAGAGTGTGCCAATCTTGGGCCAGGCTCGGGGTCCAAGGGAGCGTGTCATGGTCAAACTGGGTGTGAGCTCATCAAACAAACCGGCTGCATCTGATTTCACCTTTCTGTCCCCGACATGCTGGGTCTGTACTTGTCTTTGAACTCCCCGCAATTATGTCATGCATCGGGCTTTCTCATATTCTGGATTTAGGAGGCCGTCGTCGGCAAATTTCGTCTTTGGATATCGCAATTCAAACGCCCACCATGCTACATTCTCCACCGCGCCGTGAGTTGTCTGGCACGCCTGGTTCAGCCCAGCATCCCGTTCTTTCTTCACCGTCTGCTGTTCTCTAATCAGGACTGGTATAAATAGTTGCAGACGGACCAAGCATGGCTCTAGCAGAGAAGCCTCCGCCCGGGCACCTTTGATGCCTGACTCGCTTGATCTGTGCTTCGATTCCATCATTGTCCCCGTGGCATCCACATATCTTGACTTCACCCCGAGCTTCAGCATGTGGTATACATCAATTTTGACCGTTTTTTTAGATGAGCCGAGGTATGGTTGCCTCTTTGATACTCTGTAAATCACATTGGTTCTTCACACATGGTAGAGCATTGAAGACCGTCTTTTCTCTTCTCCCTCTCCTTCTTCTTGTTCCTTTTCTTCCGTTTCTTCATTTTTCGGAATGGCCATGAGCTCTCATTCTCATCCGCGTAGATCGCGGATTGCCTCGAGTGTTGCGAGAGTAATGTATACGAACGCAGTATATTTTTCCAACACCCGGGTCTATCAAGGGGACACTCCTGCAATGCTTAATTACAGCTGTGTCAACCGTGTCTATTATGCCTACGCAAGTGTAGGCCCAGATGGCAGTGTGTTTGTAAGTCCGCTCCTGAAACTCGGTCATTTGATGGCATCTGGAGCCACTGGCGCTGACTTGGGAGGGCCATAACTCAGTTGAGCGATGAGTGGGCGGATGCCAGAGCTCCGATAGATGGCGTACAAGGTGCCTTGGGATCTTTGATGCATCTGAAGCAACAACATGCTCATCTTCAGGTTGTGTTGTCACTTGGGGGAGCAACGTGCTCCAGTGTTTTTCCTGCTGTTGCCGGGAATGCCCATTTGCGAGAAAATTTGGCCCGTTCCGCCTTGGGACTGGTAGAGGCATCTGGTTTAGACGGGATTGACAGTAAGTTGCGATAACATGACGGGGATTCCTGTTCGTCTGAGCTTTCAGTGCTAATCAGTGGCCCCTTACGCCTCCAACGAGTTAGTTGCATGGGAGTATCCTTGCAGTGTCGAGCAGGGCAATGACTTTCTGGCTCTGTTGGCAACAATTCGACTACACTTGGCTGAGGATCGACACATTCTTACTGCCGCGCTTCCGGCAACCAAAACAGTGCTGCAATTCATTGACTTCAGCCTAGCTGCCAACTATCTGGATGCCATCAACCTCGTGGCTTATGACTTCTTTGGCATGTGGACGCCAATAAGCGGTCATCATTCTCAATTGTACGCAATGTCTGGAGAGGAGCCTTCTGGTTCATCAGGTGTCGCGCATTTGATGTCTCATGGATTTCCTTCGGGTAGGATCCTGCTTGGTATTCCTACATATGGCCGCAGCTTCCAGCATGCCACTGGGCCGGGCCAAAACTTCAAGGGGGCTGGCGGAGACGATGGCACATTCGAATATGACCAGCTTCCTCGGAAAGGATGCAAGGAGTCGGTGGACAAGCGACGCATTTCGGCGCAGTGCGTGGGAGGTGACGGGGGCTTCGTGACATATGACAACCCCGATACGGTCAAGGCAAAGGCAGCATTTGCGAAGCAAAAGGGACTGGGTGTGAGTGGTCTCAAACGAGGGTTCATGTTGCGAGCAAGGAAATTCAAGCCGTTGTTGTGCTAATGAAGGATGCTTGCAGGGTTTGTTTTATTCGAATGGGACGGCCGACTCCAAAGAAAGATGCAGAAGCTTGGTTGCAGCAGGCTTTGGCGCATTACACACGTCGTAAGTGAATGAAGCACGTTGAAACTCCACGAGCGCACGACGACACGATGAGATGAAGGGGTTTATAAAATTGCGGTGCGGCTATGAGTTTTGGAGACGGAAATGATGGGAAATGGGATTGCGCGTGCTTTTCTACGTTGTCTCGCAGGCAAGACTTGATGGAGCATGACAGGCGTTACCGTAGCATTTGCATTTATAGAATCTATGTTACTCGATGTCCTCTTTTTGAATCTGTTCTGGGTCTTGGAAGAGATGTGACGGGCGGGCAGCACGCACGGCGTGAGCAACAGATGGTGATACAATGTGAGAGAAGGAATACAAGGCATGGCATATCGGAAAGCGAGGGGCCATTCCTGCATTCCTACTTGCTTCTTCAGTAAGATCTAGATGGTGCCGGCGGATTGCTACTGTTACCGTAACTTGCAGGGTGGAGTTGCGCGAGTTTCTTGGCACACGGGCGGAAATGTGATGCTCGTGGAGTTTTGCGTTCAATCAGGGGCGAACGGGCGACTGCTTGATGGGCAAAGAAGTTGTCGGACCAACTCACCTGCAAGGCCTGGTCCGGCGTCATCTCCGAAGGCGCATGTCGATCGACGCGAGTCCACGACGCCACGCCACTGTGCATTGTGTGTGCATGGCGCCTGGCGCCCGAGCACGTGTCGATGGCAAGGACTGGCTTGCTGGCTGGAGCCTGGCGGCGGGAGATGAGCACGAGTGACTGACGCCTCCGCCGTACATGACATGACATGACATGCACGTCAGATTGTCGTCCATCGCATCGTTGGCAACCTCCACCACGCACCCGCACGTCGCAGCACATCACAGCACCGCACCGCCCGACACGACACGACACGACACGACTGCCAGCAATGTCAGAAAAGGTCGCCGCAGACACGGCGGCGGCCAGCCCATCCGCTGCCGTGCTGCCCGACCCCGAAGCGAGGTCCATCTCCATCCACCAGCAACAAGAACATCATCATCAACAGCAGCAGCAGCAGCAGCCTGCCGAGCCGACGGCGCCGCTCTCGCCCTCGCCCTCGCCCTCGCCCTCGCCCTCGCCCTCGCCCGCCCTGGAGCCTCTCTTCACCCTCGTGACAAACGCATCCACGGGCGTCACCCTGCACCCCCGCGTGCAGTACCTCTTCTCCGACGACGATGCCTCCATCCTCGCCCACCCCAGCGACGACCCCAACCACCGCGCCGTGCTGGTCGACCTCGCGCCCGGCGACGAGGCAACCACCTGGTCCGTCCGGTGGGCATCCAGCCTCAGCCCCGACTTCGCCATCACCGCCTCTCAGCTGTCGTCGGCCCAGCGCAGCGACGACGCCGCCGAGGCCGACGCCTCGCCGATGCTCCGCCTCGAGGGCGTCGAGCGCGAGCCCCTCGACCGTCCCAGCAGCCTGCCCAGCTCCGCCAGCGGCCCCATTGGCCGCGAAAACGTCGACGCCCTGGCCGACGAGTTCAAGCGTCGCATGGCCCTGCTGAAAAGCGTCGTGAGCCAGGCCGAGAGGCGCACCGACGCCCTGCAGAGGCCCGCCCGGGGTGCCGCTCCGCCCCGGCACGTCGCCTCCCGCGCCGACGAGCATGAATCGCCGCCTCCCGCGAGCCGTTCCGCCCTGCAGCGCCCGGCTCTTCAGGATGAGTTCCCCGGCTGACACGGGGTCCAGACTCCATCCTGTGTGCTTGCTCCTACAAGACTAGACTACGTGCAATAATTGTCCTTGTCGACAGGTCTTGACAGCCGATTCGTCTCCCCCCTTTTCTTGTACTCTTCTTGGCGTCACGGTGGAATCAACGGTATTGAACACTACATTGGATGGACATGTGAACTGAGATTATGGGCATTTGGCATGGCGTTTTGGCAGATAGATGGTTCCCCTGCATGGACCAGGTCGACACTACAACACACATACTACCCGCTCGACGTGGTTTCCTCTGCTCCCTCGACTCTTCACTCTTGCGTCGTGCATCGTGTCCGAGTATCCCGGTAATTACAATGTAAGTATTTGTAAATACGCCAGACTACAGAGACGAGAATCTGTTGCTCCCGCCGTGCGGCACAGTCAAGAAAAAACAACCAACCAATCCCCCTCTCCTCCCCCAGAAGAAATCGACATGTAAACCGCTGGGAGATTCGGGGGCCAACTACGCTTGAGCAACTTGTGATCCAACCTAGGCCAGCTAGAGGCAGCCGTACATGAGCCAGCCTGTAAAGCACCAAACGGCAGACCAAGATCGTCGCATCTGAATTCTTCCCCCGGCCACATGTGCAGTTTTGCACGTTTTTCTGCCCCTAGATGCTCCTCCATTTCTTGCTTTTGTATTCTAATCTCAATTCTTCAGATTCAGCCAACGAGAGAGGGTGAGAAAAGCAAAGGCGGGAGAAGCCACGCTATACAAGCAAAGCACGCGGGTTACGTCGATGTTGACGCGACAGCGCATTAAAAAAGAAAATAACAGGTGGGAAATATGTTGGTCCTGCTGAGGTGTCTCGCGCAAAGTAAAAGCACAAATGAGTCAGTCAGAGCCTGTGTCTGTAAAACTGTGCAGATGCTGTCAAAGTCGTGCCAAACATGCTCCTGAAAAGGTAAGCCGCCTCCCGTCTTCTCGCTTCGATTTTTCTTACTGGCAACCAAGACACAGGGCCAGGCAGCTCTTCTTTCAACCTTTACCAGTTTTGAGACTACGGATAGTTGATACGGTCTCTGACAAGATTGCCTTTTCGGGCGAAAGTTCCATCCACAGGTACACGAGGGACAAGTCGTCGAGGATGCGGCATGGCGATGGACCGCAAGGTCGACGCTGCCGTGTTAGCGACGTCTTCGAGCTCGCGCTTGCTGTTCTTGTTGTTGTTGTTGTTGCCACCGCCGGTAGTGCCTCGAATGACAAAGATGTAAATAAGGACGATGACGACAATGATGATGATGATGGCCACTGCAAGCTATTAGTTCACGCCTCTATAAAAGGGATCGATGTAGAAATAAGCGTTTCTTACCGCAAATACCAAGGCACCACCACTTCTTCTTTCTCGTCGCCCTCGCAGTCTTCACAGCTGTGTTGATCTCTCCCACACCCTTGTCAAGGTTTTCGTTTACTGTTTCCGTCTGTTCCTCGATCTTCATGACAACTTCGTCCTGCTGCTCAACCATGGTGTACATATCCTGGTACATCTCTGCCAGCTGCTCCAACGTTCGTGCGATGTTCTCAAGGTCTTGGTGGCGGCTCCTCATGTTGTTCAGGGCATTCTGGGCGTTTTCGGTTCGATTACTCTGCATCATGGCCTGGGCGAAGACCTGCCTTTCGGCACCTTCGGCGATTGCTGCCTCAATTGCCTCCTCAGAGGCGTCCTGCCCAGCAAGGTTATATTCTCGGGCAACCTTTGCCAGGTATTGCTTCCTGTGAGTCTCCTTCATCGAGCTGAACGTGTTCAAAGCCTTTGTCACGTTGTTTCTCGTATTGTCGACGATAGGCGGGAAAGTGCCGTTCTGCCCAGAACCTTTTTGGGTTCGGGCTCTAAGCTGTTGAACACGACGCCTGATATCTTCAAACTGGCCGGTGATTTCAGAAGTGAGGTAGTCGAGGCGCTCTTTAGTGTTGCGAGCGTCGGCAACATTGACTTCATTCAAATATCGGTTCTGTAACCGTCCCAGGTCGTCAAACTTGGCGGTGACCTTCCGTAGCTCATCTTCAATGACTCGAATCTCCTGCAAATCTTCATTGCTGAGCTTTCCGCCGCCTCGACCAGCAGTCTGTGGCAGAGAAGCCATCTCGAAATTGGAGTCTGTGCATGATTTTTTATGGTGTGAGCACGTGTTCTTTACCAGGTTCGCCGTAGACTGCTGCGTCGCCCCTCACCTTGATAGTTGCGAGTTTGGCCGCGATTGGATTGGTATGGCTGATTTTGACCGAATCCCCGTGGCTGTTGTCCCTGATAGTAGTCAGGGGTGTTTCCCAGCGGCTGGTAGTTGTTCTGTCGTCCACCGTATCTATGGAGATCCGCGCGTTAGTCAAGAAGGAAGCCTCGCGTCAGCCTCGCAGGGCAGTCGGGGATGATCAATTATTGTCGAGTAGAACGCGAAGTGGTTCATGTTCGTAGAAGATGGCATTTACTAACCCGTTCTGTTGTTATTGTTAGTCAAGGTTTTGCCAAGCGGATTTAGAGAGGAGTCAAGAGAGTGTGAAGAGGACGGGAAAAGGGGGAGTGTGGAGCGGGAGAAGTAAAGCACTTGGACCACCAGTCCGGGAGCTACGGAGAGATCCAATAGAGCGCGCAGTGATCCCGACTCTGGAAGCTGGAGGACGATTGGAAATGAAGAGGGTACAACGTGGAGTCCAGGATGTGAATCAGAGGTCGAAACGCCGACCGAAAGGAGAGCGAGGTGAGAACAAAGTGAAACACTGACATTCATGGTGAATGGAGAGAGCACTTGGCTCTTAACAAACGGATTGTTGGCTGGATTGAGGCTGGACCAGATGTTCTGAGGAACGAGGGGGCTCTGAATCGATGATGCCGAAGAGATCGATTGATGGTTGATGGTGTGGCGTCCCAGTGTGGGAGTTGCTTGGTTCGGCTCCCAGGGCAACAGGACAAAGAATGAGAAGAACAGAGGGTGTGGACTCGAAGATACTTGCGGTCGAGACGAAGGAACGCGGCACAGATCAGCAGAGGGACAAATTTGAATCGTGGCCCGGAGGAGGTGTTGATGTTTGTAACAACTGCAGATGCGGCACGGAGACGGGAAGAAGCCGGCAGCCAGTCAGGCAGCCAAGTCTGGACAAGTTTAATGTTGGGACAAAAGGGGCAGGGGTGTCATAGTGAGGGAAAGGAAAGGGGGGCGGCGGGACAAGGAGGCGACATGGAGGGACAGGGGGGGGAAGGGCACGGGGCGATCTGGGGCTCTCGGCGGGCCAACTGGCGGGCGTCTTGACTCCAGACTCGACTCTTGCAGCAGGTGCGGCCGTGCTGGCTCTTGCTCGATTGACTGTTGAGCGAGAACAATGCGGCGTATCAGCGATCACCATGCGTTGCGCGCGGTTCGCATTCTTCCAGAGGCGTCCTCGCGGCCCCTTCAACGTTGCGAGGAATAAATTGGTTATTTTACTTGGGAACTGTGACGCAGGCCCTCGCACGAGGCAAACGGTCTGCCCCTCTCCCGATGCTGCTGATACTCCGTTCTTTATGCGTGTGGCAGGCGGAGGAGATCTCCATCTTATGCATCCACTGGGCCACTCTGGCGTCTGGCGTCTGGAGTCTGGAGATTGCACACGCACACGCAAACGCACACGAATGCACCCATCATAATTCATCAATCCCCGACCACACAATTCTCTGCAACATGAGCGCGGCGCCTCCGAGTTCCATCCGCATCGTGTCCTGCAGTGGTAGTCAGATCAACACATGGCGTCAACGTTCCGACAAGGCACCTGTCAAGCAGGTCGTGGATGCGGCGTGCCCCCAGTCAAACGGTACGACACGACGCCGCCGCGGATGCAACCTCGCCCTGCCGTGCTATTTTGATCTTGGTGTCGAGGGCAAAGAGCCCCGGGGCCTGAGCCCACCAATGACCAATGGTAACAACGGCGCTTCCACTACGTAGTTACTCTCTTTGTCCCTTCGGAGGCTCCCTGGTAGGAAAAGTTCTTTACCCACCCCGGTCCGCCTTGTTGGCTTTGTCACCTCCAAGTGCTCAACGCCGGGTTTCACGTGCAGCAAGCATGTCGATGGACACGTTCTCATAGTCACTGCTCCGATAAATAGCGAGAGTAGCGATCCACCACCCTCCGCAGGGCCACCAGAGCTCATTGTTGGCATCACCGGCATACACAGGTAGACGACCCAGCCCACCACATCCAAGACTGAACCTGCTGGGAGGAGGAATCTCGCCCGCGTCATTGTTTTCGACGCCTGTCACGCCGAAACTCATTAAAATACGGATACTCAGTCTCAAATCGCTTCGTGATCCTGATGCCTTTCTCGCCCAGCAACCCAACACATGTCCGGCTGCGCATCAAGGATTCACTGAGCTCGAAAAAGCCAATGCATCACACACAATGTCACGGGTTGAAATATTTGCTCCGTAGCTAAACTCACGAGGCCTCTGTAATACAGCTTCCGGCCTTGTCTAGCTAGTCCTCGGCTCTACATCCACAAATAACTGTAACAGTCTGGTCACTTCAACACAGCATAGGCGGACACATAGCTCACACTGAAATCACTGGGCTTCTCAACCAGGTTGCTGCGTTGATACTGAGTAATGCGAAACCGGCATTTCCTTTGATCAGCAACCTCCCCGGAGAGAAGCTCCATCGCGGCCATGGCCACGCCGATAGGATGTCTCCCACAGACTGTATTCTTCGTCAGCTTGAGATTATCCACAAATGCATCGTGGTGTCCGCTCTTGACGGCATCCATGGCCGCCTCGTCCAGGAGTCTGATGGTTTCGTGAATCGGCGGTCCAACAGGTGCCTTGTCCCCCTTGCGAAGGCTGATCAACTGTGCTGGATCGTTTTCCGGCGAATACACCATGTACTGAAAGTGAGCTCCCCAGTGGCAGAAGTCGGAGCTGATTATAAAGGCGTTTTCCTCGTCCCTCAGATATGGTACCAAGACCTGCCCCACGGCCTTTTCTTCATCACGATTATTGTCCCCAATCAGAATGGGAACAATGGCGGGGAAGTTTTGCGGTGAGCCGAAGGTCTGCTCGCACCGTTTGTACAGGAAGGGGAGGTGCATTTCCAACGAGTGCTCCGCCGAGTCTCGCGATGGGGGGATGTCGTCCATTTGAGCCGCTTCTTTGACACGTTGGACGGTGTCTCGATCCACAGTAAAATCACCGAACGGCGTGGCGTATTTGCTGTATGTGGTGACGGCACAGCCGTCGAGATAGTATGTGTGAGAGGGGCCGAGCACGAACACGCGTTTAGCCGTGGTGAGATCCAGGCATTTGTATGCCCACGCTGCACAAGGGCCAGAGAAGGCATATCCCGCGTGGCTACCTGGGATGATTAGCGCCACCGTGTCTTGGAACGGAGGCAGAAATGGACAAGATACGTACGGTGCAATGATTATTCTTGCCCCCGGTACAGGGAGTGTTGAGCCATCCACGGTTTCGGGAACCTCGGACAGGTATCTGTCGAGCTCATTTCCGAGAGTGTCGGGAGAGGCTTCATACCAGGAACCTGCTTTCCCGGCGGTCCGAATGCTCATGGTGAGTTTGTGCGTCGAGAAAGGAGGGTTATCCTTCGAATGTCACGATGCGTTCCTCCGCGATTGCACAGGGCAGATAGATCAAGCCAACGTCTGTGCGAAGCGACGACGGCATGCCGACTCCCAGATATTGGTGCAAAGGTGGAAGTGAAATGTCACTGCCCCGCCAGCAGCGTCTGCGGGGTTGTTATCACATGCAGTCCTACGAGGGCAAGGAAAGTGCAGGTACGTACGTACTCCGTATTTGGCCATCATTCTACAGTCAGCTGGCATCACCGGGTACAATGGCCAGCTTGGACAGTGGTTCAATCTTCAGTCGCATTTTATAGAGCACACGAAATCCATGCGGAAAATGGCTCGATACGGCAAACCACTTCGGGCAGCTCAAACCTGCTCTAGGGTAGGCAGGATCTCTCTAGCTTGGACCGCACTCCCCGCCCCATATATTCAGTGCCCACGGTCCCGCCAATCAAGAGACCCAATGGGCTAGCTGGCACTGCGGAAAAAATAAAATTCCCGTCGTGAACAGAATTGGCGAAGCCAAAAAGTTTCTCTCAGCCCGGGACAACCACGTCAAATCGCAACATCCAAAAGCCGCAAATCACCGCTGCACGTCTGCAACACAAAAACATGTCATTCAGAGGCGGCCGTGGCGGCGGTCGAGGCGGCGGCGGCGGTTTCAGAGGTGAGTGAGCAATGGTTGTTTTTTTCCTCCCGTCCCGCCAAATCTCCGCATCCGAAGCTCGATCGAAACCCGGCCCCCGGAAACAACAGACTGTGCGTGCTCGACAGACCAACTGACGGAAAACGTGAGTATAGGAGGACGAGGCGGGAGCTTCGCGCCCGCCGGCCCCCCCGCCGAGGTGCAGGAAATGGGAATCGTCGAACACGCCGTCGAGGGCGAAATGTTTTGCCGCTCGTCAAACATCAAGGTCCCCTACTTCAACGCCCCCATCTACCTCGAAAACAAGACGCCCATTGGCAAGGTCGACGAGGTCCTCGGGCCCATAAACGAGGTCTTCTTCACGATCAAGCCCCAGGAGGGCATTGTGGCCACGAGCTTCAAGGCCGGCGACAAGGTCTTCATCGGAGGCGACAAGCTGCTGCCCTTGGACAAGTTCCTGCCCAAGCCCAAGGTCGCCGGGGAGAAGAAGCCCAAACGAGCGGGTGGTGCTCGAGGTGGCCGCGGGGCACCCCGTGGTGGGGGTCGCGGCGGACGAGGAGGTTCGGGCTTCGGCGGTGGTCGGGGAGGTGGTCGCGGCGGCTTCTCAAGGGGCGGCGGCCGTGGTGGCGGTCGAGGTGGCGGCGGCTTCAGCAGCGGTAGGGGCGGCGGCCGTGGAGGAGGTGGTTTCCGGGGACGTGGGCGTGGCTTCTAAGGCGCCTGGTGTATCCACGGGACTCGTGCCCCGGGGGAAAGAAAGGGGGTTGGGGGGCAAGAGACGGAGGAGTGAAAGAGAACTTGCTAGATTTTGTGCGTTTGTCGACGTCTGGTCTTTGAAGGGAGAATTACACATGGGACACGTCCTGGGCGTTTTACGGGCAGATTCTTTTGGCCAGTGGTGGGTAGGAAAAGGGGTGGGTTTGGCATAGTTGTGAGCTATTCTGTTGTGACAACGACGCATCTACCCATACGGCCAGAGTTGGGTTCTGCTTTTGGGATAGTGGAAATTCAATGAGCATTTTGCAAACCCGCCCGAAGCTTGCTGTGGCGTGACTCGAACATTGAGAGATACTTCTTTACCGGCGATGGGGATCAGAAACTCAAGAGCAATCTTCACCAGCGCTGGCTGTATCAGGATCCATCCGCCATCGATCAAGCATTTCGCCAGCACAAGTGTCCTCCAATCGTCCTGCTCGTATAATCTTCGTTGAAACCGGCTGAATCCCCTCTGCGGCCGTCGGCACCGAGTGATCGACTGTTCCTTGAGCCCCAAGTCCCCAGACTGTCCGCTCATCGTCCGTCAAAGTTGCACCCTCCAAACGAATAGACATCAACGCGCAGAGCGAGCTCCTACAACACCCAGTCTTGCGTCCTGGCATTTTTCCTACCGTGCCCGTAACCTCATCAACGCCTGATCTTCTCAGCCGTCCGTCTATCCAATTGCTCCCTTACAGAGCCATCTAGGGGGCCGTCGGATCATCTCACACCAATCAACTCTACCTAACCAGCTGGCCACTATCAGACTAGGAGAAACAAGGGGAAAAAAAAAAAAAGACCACGCCACAAGGCGGGAAAATACACGCAGAAAATAAGGCGAGATGATACAAAAAACATGTCCTCAGCGAGACTCGAACTCGCGACCTTTGGATGGCCCAGATTATTTCATCTAGTCATGGACATTAAGTCTATGAGACCAACGCGCTAAACCAACTGCGCCATGAAGACCCGGAATTGCTGACGACTCCACCGCCTATCGTCAATTATCCAGCTTAGTCGGCTGCCCACATTGCAGAAGGGGCGTAAACAGTCTCGGACTCTTGGATGTGTTGATTATAAACGAACAAAGAAAGTGCCCGTGACCCTTTTGACCGTAAGAAAACCTTTCTGTTTGTTGTGGCTGTGGTTTCGTGCCGTGGGTTTGACATCGTAAGTCCTCGGACCGGTAAAAGATCGAGTCTCGAAAGTGCCAAAGAAGGAGACGGCGTTGGTGCTCTTCGAGGTTGACGGTGGCTGCCCTTGGCTGCAATCAACAATCAACTCGATGGTACAAGGGTCATGGACACAAGGAGCGGGGAAAACGTACCATTTCAACAAAAAGTCTTGGACAACACAGCGGTACGCACATGTAACAAGTTCCTCGAGGGGTATTCTTGGTGCGCATGCCCAACTAACTTACAGACTCACACTACTGTCAGTCACAATGGAACCAAAACATGGTCGTGGAATACATCGCTCGCTCTTGCACTAGTATTGTCTACCGCTGTCATCGTCGCCCTAGCAATGATACATGATACCCATCACGAGGGCATAATACACCTCACAAAACAGCAAATGTTGCCGGTTCAATAGCTGTTAAGAAACCCATATAGTTGAAAAAAACGCCGCCCTAACTGATGAAATGCAAAGAAAGAGTGTTGGTGCGCAAATGAAGGTGATTACCAATAAGATGGTATTGATTTTGTCCGAGTTCAAAGGCCGTGAAGCCAGAAGTACTCAAAAATATTTTCGGCTTGGAAGCCCATCATCATGACCTCGTCTCTATCTTTAGTAGTATAGCCCTTTTCGACATGTAAACAACAACTTCCTCTGAGTCAATGCTATGAAACGTGCGTAATAGCTGTTGCGTTGTCAATGTTGATGCCCGTCACCATGGGGCGATGCGTCGCTACCGCGGCGAGTTGAGGATGCCTTGGACGAAACGTCACCGCCAGGACAGCAAGCTTGCCCTCTGCAGTCATCGATGCAATTCAACAGGCAGGTATTCTCGCCGGTTCCGTCTAAACAGCCGTCCATTCGCAGAGCCGCGGCATCTCCTGCGTGTCGGTGTTGTTGATCCAGACAAAATTCGGGCTGAATAGTGGCACTGTGGATGCCGTAGCCGTGGAGGCACTTCCTGGCTCTCTTGGCGAGCTGCATGTATTTCTCGCCGCTGTGCTCGTTGATGGGAAAGGCAACTTGCAGGTGCATGCTGGCAACGACCTTTGTGTCTGACAGTTGCCACACGTGGATGTGGTGGCAGCTGACAACGCCAGGAAGTCCCTCAATGTCCTGGCGAATATCCTGGATGCTTATGTTTTCGGGGGTGGCCTGCAGTAGAACTCTTGCGGTGGCGCGAGTCAGGGGGATCGAAGTCTTGAGAATGATGGCGGTAATGACGAGTGACACGGCGGGATCGGAATACAGTTTGCCGGGCCAGTCGGTCAGCCAGATGATGAGGGCGGTGATGATGACGCCAACATTACCAAGCGCATCACCGAGAACATGTAGCATCATGGCATTCATGCCCATATCGGCGTGGTTGTGGCCACTGGCCTTGGCGCCTGCCTTTCTCGGCAACGTGTGGTTGTGGCCATCATGAACACTTGAGTCTCGGCGGGGTCGCTTTTGGGATGCTGAGTGTGAGTGGGAGTGGCTGATTGTTCCGTTGTTCCCCTGTCCGCCGCCGACGAGCAGGGGGGATTCTTCGTTGGCGTCGGTTTCCGAGTCGCCGACGCGGTAATCTTCACTCGTGTCGCTGCCAGCAACAATACCAGCTCCGGAGGAGGCGGCAAGACTGGCGGCGATGATATCCTGGCGGAAGCTGGCAGGGTGGATACTCATGTCCTCGATGCTTTGAAATCGAGAGTGTCCCGACTTACTAGAACGTCGTCTGGCGCGTCCCCTCGCTTGGGGGGTCGTGCGATTTTGGCCGTTTGAGTCGTCCCGAGCGGCAGTGTCGTCTCCGAAGCGGATGCGACGGGCAGTCTCGGAACTTTGAGTCGCCCGGCGTGCAATTACTTCGGGGAGCACGTCACCAACTACGCCGTCCTCGTCGGCGACGTTGCGGCGAAGGCTGTCCGAGGGCCTACCCTCATCCACGGCGTGACTGTGGTCATGGCCATCCTCTTCGTCGCCGTGGGAGTGACCGTGGCCACCAAGCACGACAAAACCGAGCAGGTTGGAGACCAGGCCGGCACATCCAACAATGAGAATGAGTTTGGGTTGGTCAATCTCGGGAGGTTCCACGAATCGAGTCAGAGCTTCGAGGATGATGGAGACGCAAAGAGCGATGAGGAAGACGGCGTTGAAGAAGGCACCTAGGATTTCGGCGCGGACCCACTGGAAGGCAGCGTGATTAGCCATATAATCATGACTTTTGAATGCAGGTGAGGAGTGCGAGGCTCCTACGTACTCCAAAGGTGAATTCATCAGTTGTTGCCTTCTGTGCTGCGACAACGGCCCACAATCCAATGATGAGGGAGATGATGTCGTTGAGCTGTGGCGACTGTCAGTCAAATCATTCATACCAGGACAGCGACAGCATCGCGCGTGGTTCGACCACGCACCATGTGGAAAGCGTCAGCAGTCAAAGCCAGCGAATGGGCGAGGAAACCGCAGATCAGTTCGAGCAAGAAAAAGGCCGTGTCAATAGCGATCATGACCTTGATGCGGGTGCTCTTGGACCAGGCCATCTTGGAACCCATGGTAGCGAGCGAGATGACTCGAGTTCAAGTGAGCGGAGCGCAATCGCAAAGGCAATCGAGGCAACGACGGATGCGCGCGCAGTCGCCGGTCGGGGCGGGCGGTTTATCGATGCGAGCAGCGAAGGCAACGGGGAACCCAGAGACCAAGACGCGATATCATGCAATTAATTCCTCAAACAAGCTCGATAATTGCTGGAGGGAGAGAGAATGAGAGAGGAGGGAAACAAAAAGCGCTGGGAAACCCGGAGACCTGGGACTGAAGAAGGGAGCAGAGCGACTCCGTACCGACCAAGGGACTTCGTACCCCGTAGGTACCCGACCACGTACGCGCCACTCGCCTACGTATGGTGGCAGCGACTTGTGGGATACCTGGAAGCAACTTGCTACGGAGAAAAGCAGGAGTTAGTCAGTCAATGAATGGGGGAGGCTAATTCTGGACATGGAGCAGTGCCAGTAAGTACCTACGTACCAAGATACTTAAGTACCCACGACCCACGCGGCGCACAATGCGCATGCAGGTACTCCGTACTCCGCTCTTGTCCGATTTCTGGCTTCACATGCAGCTCTCATGGCCTACCTTTTCATTTTCGATGTTGCTTGCCCGTGACCGGATGTGCCAAAGCCACGTTCGCTTGGACCGTCAATGATTTCATTCATGTGCCATGTTGCGTCACCCGTGCAAATAATGGTTTCGTAAGTTGCATCCCTCTGTACGGAGTACGTAGTCAGTCATCAGGCGCATTCCAGGGACAAACAACTCTCCTCAACTCCAAGTAAAGGGTCGATCTGGCTGAATCAGGCCTGTTGCGGGGGAATTTGCCTCGACATTTCCAGTTGGCGTGTCCCATTGGGTACGGAGTACGTACAATAACATAACCTCACAGGAGTCGGAACCCGACGGTCGCCCCGTTTCATTTATTGCCAAGTCTGATGTAACCGTGAAGTTGACACATCTCTTTCATTCTCCTGTGTCGTTTGTTACCGACTAGGTACGGCGTAGTTACCTGGGTGCGGCTTCTGCTTCACTGCAGTTGCAATTTGGACAGACATTGGTATCAGAGCCGTCCGCATTTTCCAACCACTTTCTGCTCTGACGAGTGATTCAAACCACCAGATACGTATCGTGTACCCTTGAAATGTCCTTCTTTGCAAAGGCTGGTACGACCCAGCTCAAGGCCTGGTGATTGTCGAGCGCCAGAGCCATTCTGTCAAGGATGGCATTAAGGACCTCTCCTCCAACTTCGTTTAGGCAAAACATGGCCCGATTCGACGACTTATCGGCCGTTTCTTACGGGCCACTTGAACACGCAACAAAGCAACACAATCGCATCGCTCCGGAAAGATAACCAGGCCCCTTTGCTCTGCCCAAATCCAGTTCCGTACATACATACGTCCAAAACATACGTGCAGGCTTCCTTTCGCTTGGACCCCGGTCCCTTCGGCTGCAAGTAGTGTGACGGCTAACCGGGAACCTTGCGTCATGGTGAGAATTTGGGAAACCAGCAGCAACTACTAGTAGCTCGTTCCTTGGCACAGTACCAGACAGTATTGGTGTGGCATTGATGGTTGATGCAGGCCAGCCCTGTTGCCACCTGAAAGCAGTGACATTTTCGAACGGTTTTTTTCATCGCGCCGAGGCAATCGTCAGCTCGAATGTATCGAGTATCCCGTCGATAGAGACAAATGCTATCCAAACATGTGGCGACTTGCCATGCTGCTGCTGCTAGCAAAGTCCCCGACGTCAATGCTTGGCCAAACTCTTTTGCGGTCATGGACTTGTGGCGGCAGAGGGCCTGCGGGGTCGGTCTTGTGGGCGGGTCATTCAACATTCGACGAGGGTAGAGCAACCCAAACAATCCCCGTGCAGCCCCTGGTTTCCGAGCTGGGCCAGACTCTGATCGTGATTGGCTTGGGTGGTTGCTCACGGGAGCTTGGAGTTTCGTCAACAAAGACACCGGTTCCAAGTTGCGGAAGCAAGTCGTTACCAACTGCACTGCACTGCTCTCGAAAGCAGTCTTCGGTGTGGATGCCATCCCAGATTTTTGTTTTTGTACCGCTTCCGAGAAGTGCAAATTGTGCGTGTCGTTGACTCAGCGAGTCGGCAAGCTGATGTAGAGAAACATTTCACTCGCAGAAGGAGCAGACTGCTGGCTCTTGCCCCGTGAGCATGCACCACCATTTGAAAATATCATTATCTCGCCTGCGTTTTTCGCCTCGTGACACCCCGTTTTCTGTCATCTCTTGCCAATCCCATCATGTTGCACGCCAGAATATCATAGGTACTGTATTGCAGAGTACATGCCAGCCAACATGCGCCCCTCCACTGGGGTCCGCGAGACTGATATAGCAGTCAGCTCGTTTGTCACGGAGTACGTGGAAGCATAATCAAAAAGAGCAACGACAATATCCATCCACCACTCAGTAAGCCGACGTCGGTTGAAGACTCGTCCTCACAGCTAATGGACCGCCGTCGTGAAACTGCTAACCTAACCAGACAACTCGCTGCTTCTTCCAGATGCAGTGGGAGTACTCCGTAGAAAGACCCACGATGCCACCGGAAGAGCAACCAAAGCCCACCTCTAAAGCGATATCCACATTGATTGTAACACGCACGAATGCACAACCACAGAACTACGTCGGAAGTGGACAGCCCTGGCCCACACTAGGACTGCTCCTATCGATATCCGCCGAGTTTTAAGGCCAACAGATCGTTCCACTAGTGCGGAAATGAAACAAAGGACTAATCCGTACACCGTAACTACTTGGTGTGTATATCTAAGCTCCGGCAGGCGTCAGCAAGCAAGCAACGCGGCCACATGTCGTTACGGAGGGCCTAGGCGTCCACGTCCGAACCGTGCAAAATCCCAACAACTGCTGGGGTGAGTACCTATCTAATTCCACAGGATTATTTGTCCGCTGCGCATTATACTGTGAGAAATCTGTACTGATGTATATCGTCGGCGATAGGCAAACATTTTGCCATGAAATTCTGAGAACCTTGACACCCAGATCGATTGCCTTGGTGTCGGTCTGCCGTGGATGGTCTTCTTCTTTTACCTTGTCAACAAAATCAAGATATTGCGATTGATTCAGAGCAACATGGGCCAGCCGCCATGTATGCTAGACGACTGTTCCTGCTGTCTTGACTGTAAAATACGCAATGAGACAACACCAAACGGAGAACAATTGCGACGATAATTTTGGACTAGTCCTTGGCGAATCGTGCGAACTGGGCAAACTTGGCCAGGGAAAACTATGCAATACTGAACGCCGCCACGGCAATTGCACATCTTGCGACGTTTCCTCTAGTATTGATGTCTGGACTGATGTCGGAGACGGGCTGCGAAAATACAACAACTGACAGGTTGACTTGAACTCGGAGTCTCAAAAATCAACAAATCCCACAGCACTGCATCAAGCCTGGACAAAGAGTTGGTAATGACTGAAAAGTCACGTACTAAAGAGTTGAGGTGACGAGTCGCAAGTACAGCATCCAAACAATATGGACTTATGTGTTGGTCGTCCTTGAAGCTATGAGACTCGTCAGCACTTACATGGGATGACGCCATCTTGGCCATCTCATATGTTCCTATATATACTTACATACCTTTAAACAAAATTGACGGGGCCTCTGGAAGATGAAGAAGATCATCTCGCGCCGTATCGGGCCTCCGTTGTATTTTTTTTTTTCAATGTCACAATACAAAGTACCGACGCTATCCCAGCGGTATGGCATAGAAGCAGATGGTGTTACACCACCCAACAAAAGTATGTATGATACAAAGGGCTTGGAGTTGGACATCGAAAGGGACCTTTGCCACTCCTTTGCAGCAGCTCCTTCACATCTAGTTACACAGACAGTCGGCGATTTCACAATCTCTCAAGAAGATTATCGGATTGGTCTTTTTCCGGTTCTACGGACGAGTCAACAGCGAACGATGCTCAGACAGAGACTCTAGAGGACGACAAAGTTGGGGGTAACCACCGCAGATTTTTCCAAACATGCTACAGCACGGAGGCGGAGCCCTTTGCATATCATGCAAACCGTGATGGGAGCAGCAGTCCACGGTCCTGAAGCAGTTTTCCACCATCGAGGCGGCGATCGCCTGCTATTAGTTACGGCGTGATGGCCACTAATGCAGCCATGTCAACAAGGCGTCATGGGAGCGCTGCTTTGAGGTTCTTGGTCACTGCCCAAACTTCAGGGGGCCTCTATGCAGACTTGGCCCCGAATAAAACTGGCATGAGATTCTGTTTGGCCATGGATTTTCAATGCTGCAGAGTTGTTTGGCACTATTTGGAGTCGGCCGGGACCACTATCTGTGAGGCTATGTTCCTCATCGAACTGGACACATTTCCAAGTCTGGTATATCGGAAAATGTCTTTGCAGCCGCCTGTGAAGTGTAGTCGTGGACCATTCTGGGAGCCCTTCTCCTATACGTGTCCCGGAGCGACTGCCGGGTAGGCAATCGTAGTCTCGACCTTGGAAAAGGCATCTCAGCCCAACTTGCTGCAGAGAGAGACTGTTGCAATACAGTACCGGTATTTACGCAGACGTTTGAGCGTACCTGGCTGATGAGGCTGTTGCAACATCCAGAGCATGGGCTTCCGCATCACATCTAGTCTGCCGTGTCCTGCCCTCGGAGCTGCGGGCCACAACAGGACGTAATGGCATCTTCGGTCTGAAGATCCTGCGGCTGGTCCATCTCTTGCGCGGCGGTGAGTATCAAGACCTCAACGATCCAGGCGGCGCATGAAGCAGAGTCCCTAGACTATGGACAGTTATTTCGAATGAAGTGACCGAGGATATCTAACCGAATTAAAGGGGCCAGGTTGGCGAATAAGTAGCTTCCAGCTGGGAATTATGGCTAGGTTGATCTCGATGTCAATGGGACCACTGTCTGATTGTTCGCTGGGCCGTTTGTCTACGCGATATGATACCGGTGCTGTACTCTGGAATAGATGGAACGTATATCAAGGCACCGACTGCCCGGGGCCAAGGGCCATTGTTACTCGGCAACGTGACAGAAATGCATGCCTGGAGATCTTCTCTGCCACTGACTAGGACCATCCCGTTGTATGGTGGTTGTTGAGGATGCAATCATCCATGTCATCTCAAGACGGTGTCAAAGGACCCTGATTTGCAGTAGTATGTCGTTGAGAAATACCACAACTGCTGGGTACCACCAGCATGACCAGGCTTCGCTCATGCTCGGGCTGCTCTATCATTCTGCAAATCCTGCATTATCCTCCGCGAGAGAGAGGTCGACATGCCGGCCATCCATGAGGTCCTGAACACAAGACCGGCCATGACATGCGAAATTTGACCGTGAGACGCAGTGGTGTGTTTCCAATGCACAGTCGAGCAAAGAAAACAGTCTACCCTACTCACCACGCGCAAGACAGGTCTTTCTCGACATACACGGACCGGACGGGCAATTCCCCGTTTCCCATCATGTTGGATGTGCTTGTGCATATGCCATGTCCGCCAAGATGCAAAAGCTGGCCCACAAACACGCGCCGAGGTGACCATGGGGTTGCACCGGCACACGAACAGGCTCGCGCCGAACTAAACCACCATGGCTGGCCATCCTTGCCGTCGACAAGGGCCCAGTTTCCATTGTGCGCAGAATCGCCAAGTCGCAAGTAAAACTTTGGCCATGTGTGGCATACACATGCGATTCGGCCGGTGTATGAGATAGCAGCACGTGAACGGCCCAAACACACGGATGCCCACGAGCTACCGTGACACACGGCCTCACCTTCGTCGTGAAACGCGACACACAGGGCTGTTCACGCTCGATCCCACGCCCCGGGATCCAATCATACAACTGCGTAATAACCTACGTGCCGAGCGGCACGACGATCCCACATAGCCGCGCTGTCACTCCCCTGCACAAACACGTTTGGTTGAGTCTTATCCGGCGTGCGGGGAAGCCGGGCTGCTGGACACGACGGAGAAGGGGGAAAGGGGCCGCGCCTGGCGCCTAATGTGGTTTATACAACGCGAACCTTTTAGCCGATGGTTAGTCCGGATTTTTTTTTTCGGGGTTTTTGATTCAGCCGGAGCTACTTTGCCGACCCGCGTTGACTCTGCTTGTCCCAGGGTGGTGGTCGGTTTTCTGTTGTTGGATGACATGCAGCATTGATGCTTCTTGGTCCCGTGGACGCGGCTTACTCGTGTACGTTGCCATCGACCATTTTGTCCACGTAGCAATAAATGCTAAGGATGAGCGGTCAAGGTTTCCCGACACCTTGTTCTCTTACTACTCAAGTCGGGCAAGCCGGAAGCCGTCTTTTCTCATCCAGTTTGGGTAATATGGATCCTGGCTCCAAGCACTAGATAGAAACAAGAAGCAGTGACGTGGACCGAGATTGCCCCTCCCAACCGATCAAGTAAACGGGTCTTGGTCTTGTTGAAGTCGGCCGGCCCCGGCCAGACTCAGGTGCCGAGATTAGTCCACAAACGCTGAACTGCGATATTTTCCCTTCCGCGGACTCGATCATGAAACACCACACACGGGGCCTGAATTGCTTCAACTTTGGAGACTTGGCCACGCCTCGCTGTTTCATTGTCGCCACAAACGTGTTTCGAGCTGTGGTGTTGACGTGTCGGGGATTTTCCGCGCACGTTTTGCACCCTTGTGTGATGGACAGAACGCTGCTTCGAAGCTGGGCGGATTAGACATACATGTGCTGCTAGTACTGACAACTAGGTCGATATCCCATCCATCGTGACTAGCACCAGCAGGAGTGGCAAAAACAGGCCGATAGCTGCTGTTTGCCACGACAAGCGTTTCCATCCCCGGCAGGCTGGTGCAGAGACCTGGGCTAGCGTGTTGCGCGTTTGGCCAGGATGGAGGGTAGCATATGACGCTGCTTCCCTGCTTAGGCAAGGCAGGCTAGTTGTGGTGGAAGACGACGGTCGGCTCGGAGGCGAAGCTGTACGCTTGCGTAATTTGAGAGGTCGCAGTGAGGATGGCAACCGGTGGTGATTAGGAACAGCCATGGTGCCCAGGAGCTGGGTTTGAAGCTCACTCGTTCCAGCTCTTGGTCTGTCACAGAGGCAGGCAGGCAAGCAGGCAAGCAAGCAGGCAAGCCAGCTTTGACCGTCTGTCACAAGCTCAAGCTCGCGCCCTGGCCCGGCTAGCCTCGCCCACGAGGAGCCGGGCTAGATGACTAGTTTCCTGTGCCTCCCTGTGCCGGTCGAGCTAGTAGAGGCTTGCGAGGACCCGTGAAAGCGAGCCAGGCCCTGTCTCGACGTCTCGACACTGCCGAGATGGACTTTCTTTGGTGTCGTGATTTGCGCATTGCCTCCGACCTCTAGTTCCTCGTCAGTCTGATGCAGTGGAGACGTGGACAAACACATGGAGGGATCTACCTTGGCAAGCTGGCAGCTCCGACGTCTGTGCAAACCGTTTAGAACTCCCGTGTTGCTCCATTGTGGCGATTCGTGCTTTTCGGTCAAGTCGAGCATTGAAACGTCGAAATTGAGACTTGGGCCACAGATCGAGATTTGCAGTCTGCCATCGCAATCGGCCATGTCGTGTCGCCCAAGAGCATGGGGATTCGAGTTTGCGATGCCAGAGACAAACATGGAAAACCATGTCTTGTCGACGAAGAATCCCGTTTGCTTTGATTTTGCCCGTGATGCAATTTCGACATCCTGTCCCCCCTCTTTTTTCGTCGGAGCAATTTTCCCGTCGAGAGTTGCAATGTGGTCCCCAACCATGAGAATATTTTTCACGGAGGAGCTGAGCCTTGACGGGCATTGGCATTGGCATTGGCATTGGCATTGGCATTGACCGCCCTCGGCAGCGGCAAAGTACCAAGTACTGACTGTACTTACCTCAGTACAGAGTACCTAGGTACCTAGGTATGTGTCTGCAACTGGTGCAGTACATGCGTACGCCATACCATGACTGTGACACACAAAGTCCCGCTCGTCACCGGCCACTCAACATGATTCCATTTGCATCCATGGCATGGGCATGTCCTGAGGGGGATTTCAGGATTTTCCCCTCCGCGCGAAACCACGAAACTCGGGCCGCGTCGGGCTGGCACAGACGAGAGGGGGTCCCCTCATGTCATTGCCGGGTTTGAATTTTCCTTTTTTTTTTTTCCCTTTCTCTTCCCTTGCCTCCCTGACCCGGAAGGCTCCTGCGCCGAGCGAGCCCCTCCAATGGTGCGGAGACGACGCGGAGCTCATTCATGGTGGTGGTGGTGGTGGATTGACCACGACGAACTCTGCTCACGGACTCGGAGGCGTTAAAGGCTTGGTTGGAGGCGCATGTGAGGTGCGTGCCGGGGCTGGCGAGGGCCGGTCCTTGTTCCTGTCTATCAAATCGACACAGGTCCTGACAATCTGTGTCATGGTGCATGCGCGCAAGGAGAGTTTGATGCTGCCAAGGTTGGGACCAGTGCTGTCCAGTGTCAGCCTGGAACCCATGCATGGCTCGGCAGCGAAGGAATAGCGCATGCAATACATGCCACTCCGTACTTGGTGAACCATATCTGGGCAGAAGCCAATTCGATACCAAGAAGAACCGGGGGGGACGCCGAATGCACGAGATGCCAGATCCAAGCACAGCCGGCCCGCCCCCCTTCTCTGACACTCACGCCTCTCCCCGTGGCTCTGGAACCAGACACAAGAGGAAACAGAAAACTGGAAAACTGGAAAACAGTGGACTGGTGCAGGGACAGGGATGGCGCCTAAAGTGGGTGGGCGTGGGCGCGGTTGCAGCGCACCGCCTCGTCGTCTTGCTCGTCGTCGTCGAGGCTTCTTGCAAACTCGGTCACCTACGGAGTAGAGTGAAGGAGGAAAAGGCCCTGCCTGCTCCATCACCTGTCCTTTCGGCTGGCTGCACGTCGTGGCGTTTTGCGTGAAGCGTGACGAATTCGCGTGTCTGTGGAGACGACGGACCAGCACCAGGCATCTTTTTTGTTCTCTCTCGCACTTGCACTCGCATCTTTTGACGCTCCGCTTCATGCATGCACCTTCAAGAAAATTAGTACGCCGTACGGGGCGCCGAGCGAACAGTCATGGTCATTGCCCGGGGGACGGGTCGTTTCCAAGAGGCAAACCCAACCATCGACGTCGTCGGATCCATCACGTACGTACGGAGAGCATGACCGCATGTCACTACTTATGCGTTGGACCGCTCACCGCGTAATACTCCGTACTGCCAGCGGCATACGTGATAGATGGAGCTGGCAAAGCGGCAGCCTCGTTGGAACCTGGTAGCCCGTCACGTCCGATATCCGATGCTGTGTAAATCCAGCAGCGGGCGAGACAGTGCTCACCCCCGTCGACCCGATGCGTCTGCACGTGTGTGATGCGCAGCCCACGCTCACGCCAGGCGGGTTACATCAAGGGAGCGAGAGATGGCAGGTTGGCCGGTCGCTGACTGTGCAGCTCCAAGACAGATGGCTTGACGTCACTGATGATGCAGTAGGGGGCCGGCTCGATACCTCCATCACCTTTTCCAGGCCACGATTGCCGAGCCCGAGAGACGAAAAGGAAGAAGGGAACAAAGGGTAAAAAAAGGTCCTGGAAGTCCAAGTCCAAGCCCAGGACCGGGCCATAAGCCGGCCCCCGGGAAGGCGGGGGGTGGCTCGCTCCCTACATACTCCGTACTCCGTACTCCCTCCGTACCTAGGTATGTCTACATGAAATATATATCCAACACCCTTTTTTTTTTTTGAATCTTTCTTCTCCGTCCTGCGCAGGGTCCGACCGAGACGTGTAATTGCTCCTCTGCGCTTTCACGAGGAAAAAAAAAATAGTGTTCACAAAAAGGACCCCGAGACATGAGAACCAGACCGTCTACTAAGCCGCCTGACACATCTCCTCCCACAAGCACTCAATGGCCGGTGTCTCACAGCTTCCCACCCCATGCCGATGGGAAGGAACCCGAGGCATCAGCCGCGCTGGCCCTCAGCATTTGAGACGGGCCCCGGTGAGGCTGGCAAAAGCTGGTGGTTGGACGGCAATCTCCATGCCATGCCGCCTGCAGACGGACCAATGTTTGGCGGAACATGAGAACTCGCACGTCCGAGTAGTAAGTAGTCTTTGTGTGAAGGTATGGAGTACGTACGCACGTACGCGTTGCCAGTGCTCGCTGCTCTAAAAAAAAAAAAAAAGAGAAATCCGTCACACAGGCCCCGGCGAAGTTGTGTGCCCAAACCCAAGGGGCAACTGTCGAACAGGGCTGGCTGCCCGCATGAGCCTTGCTGGCGACCGGGCAAAGAGAGTGTGTACATGCATACGTACATCCGAGGCGCTACCAACACAACACAACGGGTGGTTGGGGGGCTCGGGGCCACGAAGCTTGATGTCATTTACTATTGTCCGGTATAAATTCAGAGAGTATGTAGTCAACATGCGACATTGTACATGACTAGGTACTCAACGCTGTACGGAGCACTTCCGTGGTTGATCCCCCCCTCCCTCCGGTGTCAGAGATCGGCACGGCCAGCAGCCACCCTGCCGCCGGGCGTGGTGCTTTCGTGCTCCCTTGCTGCTGGGTTTTTCTTTTCCGCTCGTCCGCTCTGGAGCACACGCCTGCCAGTCGGCAAGTGGCAAGCATCAAGCATCAAGCATCAAGCTGGATGTGGTCGGTGGTCGGTCCGCGACGGGCTGCGGCTGCGGCTGCGGCCTTTTGACTGACATCTTTTTGACTGACATGTCCTTGTCCCGACTCCCGGTGGCCGCTTTTGGCAGACAGACAGACAGACAGACAGACAGACCACTCGGATACTCCGTACATGGGCGGCAGACATACCGGTGGGCAGAAAAACCGCTGCCTCTCGAGCGGTTGGCATCGCCTGCTACTGCCAATGCCGGCCGGCACTGCCACCAGCACCGACTGGCACTACTGCTCGGCGTCGCGAGGGCCCGCAGGCCCTGCTCGCCACTACTCGGCTGCGTATCCCGACAGGCCTCGTGTGCGATAGTGGAGAGAGGCGCGGCGGCTGTCAAGCACGCACGGCCGACGGGGACCCAGGCCCCAGCGAGCGAGGGCCAGACGTACACGGATCCGGCCGCGAGGGCGTGGTGTTTCTGGACTCTGGAGACGACGAGTTTGCGGCGGCGCTGCGTGCCCGGGCGTGGCATGTACTGTCATGTGCCAGTACTGGGAAACAGTTTGTCTGTACTCCGTACGGAGTGCTCCGTCCGCATGTGCGTTGGCACCCCGTCTACGGAGTGCTATCATACATGTCATCCATCACCTCTTGGCCTCGCCTCGCCTGGTGCCGGTGCGGGTGCGGGTGCCGGGGCCGGGGCCGTTGCTGTGCTGTTGCCGGGCCAGCTCTCCATCAAATCCGTCCAGCACCGAGGCCCTTGTCGACGCTGACGCCCGGACCGGCCGGCTCTTGCGAAGCGTCGTCGTCGTCGTCGTCGTCGTCGACTGTTGCCCAGCTCCATTGGCAGTCGTGTCGTTTCGATTCCCGCACTTGCTGTGCGCGTGCGCGTGCGCGTGACGCCGCGTCCGAGCTGTCGCCACGTGCTTGACGCTCTTCACTCCTCGTACCTCACCTCATGACCGTCCATCGCTGTGCTGGTGCACGTCATCTGCGGCATGGTGGTGGAAGCAACCGCGTTGGGTTGCGCAACGGCATTGCCGTGCATCGGCGGTTTGCCGAGGAAAAAAAAAGGGAAAGGAAGGGAAAAAGCGGTGCTGCTCCTTCCAGGCCCCGCTCCCGCTGCCTTCTTTCCCACATGGGAAGGATTCCAGAAGGCTATTCCGCATCCGGCCTCGGTGCTGAATAGCTCCCGGCCTTGTTTCAGCGTAATTTGGTTCCTTTTTTTTTTTCCCTTCCCCCATGCTACAGAGTGCTAGGGCCACTATTCGCCAGAGCAGGACTTCAACGGCCCACGCCAGCCAGCCTGTCTGTCTGCCTGCCTGCCTGGCACAGGAATATGGACAGGGGCCTGGCTGTGTTCTGACGACGGATGCCGTATGCGGTCCTCTTTGCAGGGAAGGGAAAAAAAAAAAAAAAAAAAGCCCTGCTTCAGCACTCGGGTCCCCCTGCTCCTTATGTTGACTCTGCCTGACACTGTCTTTTATTTGTTCTTTTTTTTTCCTCTTTAGCAAGACAGCAGGTTGCCGGAGCACAGCTGCGTGCGTGATTATCCAGAGATCCTTCTGTCCTGCTCCTCCCCGTCCCTCGCCGAGCCCGGCCTGTCTTGGATCCTCGTCGTATTTGGCCGTGATCAAAGTTGGCCTGCGCTTCCACTTTCGAGTGGCTCCTACTTACTACTACATGCTAAGCTCACGCCCAAGTCGCGATGCCACTCTCGCTCTCTGCTCTTTGTAATAATAAAGCCCGTCCGACAGGGGGCCGTCATGCAGTGCATCCAAATACGTGGTGGAAGCAAAGAACCCCCCCCAAGCCCGGTGCTCCATGCACATTAATGCCAATGCCAGGCACTATTATAATACTGTAAACTCCAGCCTGGCCCCAGAGCATCGGCGCCAATTTCCACAAAGTCCTGACTCCTGACTCCTGACTGACCGACTGAGCTCGCGGCGCCCACTTTACGCGTCCAGAATCCCCGACGCGTGCCGTGCCATGCCTGAACCTCGCCTCGCCTCGCCTCGCCTTCCTTACCTTGCTTCATAAAGTGCATGCAGAGTGCAAAAGAAAACCCCAATGCGGCGAAAACCCACTTTCTTGGCACAGCCAAATCTCCAGCCAACTTTCGAGACACCCAAAAAGGCCCGTCAAGGGGGGCGCTGACCGCACACGACCCAGCCCCGTCGAGTCCGTCCAAGGAGAAGAAAGCCTTGGTTCACCAATTGCGCACTCAGGGATAGCGGCGACGTCTTGTTGCCTTGTCCGCCCTCTGCCTCCTCTCGCTCCTGTGACCGCCTTCAAGCCTGCAAGCATAGAAGCATGTGTGAGACTTGTGTGGTTTTTTCCTGCAGTCGACTCGGTGCTGCCCCGACCCGACATGATGCTGTTCGAGAGTCGTTTTTCGCTCGGCCGTGCCTTGTCTCTCTTCATTTTTTAATTTTGTCAGTCCACCATGCAACTCTGCAACGCAAACCTGGTGCCAGGGATCGAGCAGAGAGAGAGGCCAGGCGCTGCACCCCACTGACAACACATATATCATATTCATTCCTCTTTCCGGATCCAGGTCCTCTCCTCTTCCTTCACCTGCCATGGGCAACCATTAACATACTCATGTATGTACCGAGTGCTCCGTACTTGTCCGTCAACTTCGTATTACTGCTCCGTATTAGTGCAATAGATGCACCGGTAAATACTAACCGTTTGCGCATGCATGAACGGCTTGGCAGACAAACTGGCTCCCCTGCCCAAGAAAGTGGATTCGTCAAGTCAAAAAGTATAATACGTCACGTGAGAGGCAGAAACCAGACTGTCCGTCAATCTCTCCGCGCACGGGCTGCGACATGATACTGACAGCTTGTATTGCGTTCTTCTCTGTATTTGGCTGGACGACCGCCCTAGGCCTTCAAGGCGGCGTCAGCTGAAGCTCAGTGACTTGTATCCTCATCCTTGGGGGTTGTACGTTGCGACCCGGCGGTGCTAGCAGCTCGGGTCCAGCGCGCAACTATTGCATCAGCTGTCCTATAACACAGCAAGGCCTCACCGTCTCGTGCGACTTCCCGGCACAATGAAAAGCGGCTGTTTTGAGTAAATTGAAGCGAGTCCTGGTAACTGTGGCTGATGCCACAAGTGAAACGTCGCCAATCGTTTGGGCGTGTCATTATATCCTAGAGTTTGGTTTCTTCTCTCATCGTAATTCAACCGCCCGGAGTGCCAAAGAGAAACTGGATTTCCAAGCTGTGCGGCTTTCCGTGAGGAAGACTCACATGGCTGTTGGTTCCACATGTGGACCGGGCATTGATGGCGAGAGAGAGGGCAAGCATTGGTAAAATAAGCCAACGACTACTCCGTACAGAGTAGCCACAGGAACAATCGGGCACGTCCGTCCAGCCCTCACGTTGTTGGTTGTTGGTTGTCAGGACTCGGCAGTCCGCAAAGCTGAGCGACTCGAGGTTTTTACGCCAGGGATCGTTGCCTGGCCTGGGCAGGAACGCGACTTCCTTCCAGCCTCCTCGTTTATTACCACGTAACGCTTGGCCGCAAACACCAGTGACAAAGGTTTGCCCCATACAGAAGAGTAACCTGCATATGTGTCCTTCTCCCGGACGGCTGCCTTGGAGGCATCCCTATTTGCAGGTAAAGTGTGATATGTGCTGGACGCATCGCTACCATCCCGTCAGATTTACATGTAATCATTACATGCAGACTGGTGACTGGGTTTGCGGCAGGTTTCATTGGCAGGAATACCTCAAAAGACGCCTCCGTAGTGGCCCGTACATACGTACATGTACGGAGTATGTACGTACTATACGGAGTAACCAAGCCGCCAAGGCGATAATAGGTCGAGATGGTCGGTACTGCTAACAAACAACCTTGGTAGGTGTGATTTTTGTTAGGGACCTCCCCTGACCGATTGGCTGGGGTTGAGGAGCTCATCTTTGACGCGCATGATAAATTGGATCTCGCCCACTCGTGCCAGAGCGCGTTTCTGGCATCTGATTGGGTGCAGCATGTCACGGAGGCTGCCAGCGTTCATGGGGCCATGCACCATGGCAAGTCCATTGTACCCAACGGGTCGAAGTAGCGCAAAGAGTTATGCTATTCCAAGGCTGCGTAATGTTGATTGTCGCATCTGGGGAGCCCTCCCATTTGGTTGCCGAGCCCAGGGCTGCGAGAAGATCTAAACTGTCGCCCGGGCGGGCGCTTCATGGAAGTTTCCTTCCTGTGGTGATTTGCAGGGACGTCCCGGTTCGGTTTGAGACGATGACTGCCACTCCATACCTGTCTAGTTTGGTGATGGGCAGCTTGGGGCCACGATAAGGCTTTGTGGCGCTCGAGATCTTCTTGCCCCTACGGAGTACGGAGTAGTGCAAAGCCAAATTGTAGACGATAACTTTTGACCAAAGACGTGCTGCAAATTGCGTAGACTGGCAGTGCTCCGTACGTATTGGATGCCTGTCGATGGAGCCCATGAGCCCTCGAAGCCAATTTCGTCATGCGGCTACGTACCACTTTCAGCAGCGCATGACAACTGCAAGGTCCCAGCCATGGGCTCCACAGGCGTTAGCCTTCCCGGGTACGTACGTGACATGAAAGAGACGAAGCCGGACAAGAGCAGAGGCGTGTTGATTGTGAGGTTGAGGCGCTGCTCTTCCCACAGCGAGGCAAGATGGGAGAATTCGATGACCGCGAACAAGGGGAGGAACGGAGGTGGCTGAGTGGGGCTTCTGCCCTGACCACGGGCACTCGAGGTTTTACTATGCACGTACTCAAGTACGTAGCATGCTGGCAAGGGCAACTTCGCCTGCTACTCGCTCTTTCCACTTTCGGGAACACTGGCTTCAGAGAGGGGAGAGAGACATGGGGGTTTCTCCCCGTGACCAAAGAATCAATGTTCCAGATGTCTGTCTGGTTTTGTAAATTCGAAGGCGGGGACGGACTTCCGTGTAACGCTTCCAACTCCCTATTCCGCCGACCAGTCTGCAGGTGCTGCTGCAACTACTCCGTATTTGCTACTCACTTGTCCCCGTCAGCTTCCCGGCCTCAATCGAACAGCTGCTCGAGCCATGGACACAGGCCAATTCAATTTCCAACGTGGGCATTGGCCCGATGGACAATGACGTAGACAAAACGCGAAGCTATCAGTTCACAGACGGCCGGCGCTGGGACGATGCCAGGACACAGAGCAACGGCGCTGTTGCACGGCATAGTCCGGACCATATTGTGAACCAGGCCCTACATTTATCTGCTGCTAGTGCTCCGTCCTACACCGTACAATAAGGACAGGGCAAGCCACGGCTAGTAAACGACGATTCCCTGGCGCACCCCAAACAGCGCCCTTTGTTGAGCTACGAGGTTGTAGCCCGAAAAATGGGAGGACAGCGGCTGGCTATTGCCAATGATGTCGGGAATAGGGAGTAGCAGGCCTGCATGCTCTGGTGTTTGCTCGAGCAGAAAATGGCCGTAGCCCTGATGTCGAAGTCGTCCGTCGGGACTGGGCATTGAAAACGATGACTCAACTCGGACGAGACAGGACTAGACGTTTCGCGTGCCAACTGAAAGATCCAGCCTAATGAATCCTCCTACGATCCGACTTGCCCGCGGACCAGAACCTCATGGAGACGGTGAGACTGGTCTGGCATGAACAATTAAAACTTTCAACACGAGCCCAATAAACAATGGGACACCTGACAGCGTATCCGCTCCGCGCCCAGGAGCGGGCGACGTACAAGGCTGGGCCGTGGGCTCCAAAACGCCGACATCTGCGGAAGTACTTTGGACAAATGATGATGTACGTACTCTTTGGGGACGAAGCAATCCAGAAAGGGAACAGCTTCGTCGGGCACATGAAAATAAAAAAAAATGCGCCAATGATGCAACGATCACAAATGCTGTCGTCAACAAGCACGAGATCGAGATGTTCCAAGTACGTAGCAGGGCAGATTCCGTATTTTTATTTTTATTTTTGTCAAGGCTGTACTCTCTTGACTTTCTATTTATTTATTTACTTTTTGGCCTCATTTGATGGCAAATTATTTCTGCGTCATCTGTCGCGGTCAGGCAGGAGGCCGCGAACATGGGCCGAGTGAGGAAGCAAAATAAACAAAGAGACCCAACTACGTCGGGACTCATCACGATCGATGTACGGGGTGTTTTGTACTTGGTACCCCGTACGTGGACTTACTGACAGCACGGCAGAAAAGGGTTGGAGCAATAACGGTGGGCTTCATTAGTCCGAGTGTCGGCCCAAAAAGGAGCACGACAATGACGCCAATACTACGTGCGGATATTCCAGGATTAAGGATTCAACAAACAATCTTGCAAGTCGATGACAAACATACAAACGAAAGGAGAAATACACGGTAGTTATTAATCGTGACCTCTGACATTTGCTTGCCCATAACGGCAAGTTGCAGCCCGTCTCTCTCTCTCTCTCTCTCTCTCTCTCTCTCTCTCTCTCTCTCTCTTTTTTTTTTGGTCCATTTCCGCCTTGTTTCTGGTTCGTTGCCTTTCATGTTGTCTTATGTCTTTGAATGTCCCTTGCCCATCATCAATTTCCGTCCTGCGGGGGTCAACCATGACGCTGTGCGAAATTGCATGCTCAACAAGGCAATTACGGAAGACACTAGTGTTTTATGCTAGGTCTGATCATATCATTCATACCTGCTCATCATCCCCGCCTGGCGCATCAAAGTTTTGGCCATTAGTACGTAGTGCCCATTGTTCATCATAGACAGACCCCTGTCCACATGGAAATCGGAAATTGGATATCGGACAGTTGACGTCGAGGAGGAAGGCAGAAGGAAACGCCCGATCGATGCTTTGGTTTAGATTCGAGACAGCTTGCCAGGAGCCCAAGGGGCCAAGGCCAGGCCAGGCAGGCACGGTGAGCTAAAATGGTGCATTCTCCGGGGAGGGTCACGATCAGATTACGATCGCGATACCAGGTTCCTGTTTGTGATGTTGCCCTACCTATGTACGTTACCTTGTTGAATGCATGTGTGTGTCTACAAATAGGCCGTCCCCATGCTCGGATGGCCAGATGCACCGGCCACGAATCATTGGCGAGCGCTGGCGTGTTTGCCTCGAGGCGTTTTTTTTTTCCTTTTTTTTCTTTGAGGGGCTAACCAATCCTGCATGAAACTAGGTAATGGGCAGGAAGTGAGCACACTAACATCTCAAACGTGTGAGTTGAATCCTAATGTACATGGAGAAAGAGCGCATCATGTTCGCGAATGCTCCATCCATATCGTGCCGCCAAATGGCGAGGTGTGCGGAATACCCATCGCCTGGCTTGCCAACGGCGAGTTGGCTGTGGCGGCAGGATCGATATCGAGCGTTTGTGGTGATGATGATGATGAGGAATAAAACTCTCACTCGTAGACTTGGGCGTCGTGCTAAGCAACTCTTCCTCTCTCCATTGGTCCGTACTTAGACACGACCATGTCTGGATATGCAAAGCACGTCTGCACACGGTCGCAAAATGAGGCCATGTCCTACAGGCCTGGTCAGAAATGGCCACAATTGGAAACACACCGGCACGGGCATCATGGTGATATACCTTGCCGGGTCTGCAAATAGACAAACGAGATGCCAGTGCTGACAATGTCACGGGCTGCCAATGAGTATAGTGCACAGTACCACATAACACGCGCGACTGCAACGCGGATGCGGGCGTTGATTGTGGCACATCAAACCCTGGTTGCTCCAGCCCGGCGTGGTGCCAGCGGAGTAGTGGCAGTGGTAGTGGTAGTGATGGGAACTCCGTACGGCGTCTGGCAATACCTCCTCCGTGCTGGGTAATGGTCTTGTATTGTATCGTGCGGAGTACCTAGAAGCGTGTCGTAGTAACTATAAACGTTGTATGTATGGGAGGAGCACGCATGTCGTGTCGAGTCGTGTCGTGTCGTGTCGTGTCTGGCGTCGTTGAACCCGGTCGACTTTCGGTTCAGGCCCAGTCCGTGATCGATCCACTCGAGCAACAAGAGGTGTCAGCCAAGGCACCCCTCCCCAGGCGGACGGGGTCGCCTGGGGCCGTCGAGCGTTTTGCTGCCGCGATGTGCTCACCATCCATGTCGGCCGTGGGCCATGGCCTGGCGTCGTGGTTTGCCCGTGGTGTTCTGGTGTTCTGGTGACTGGTGCGGTGTGCTGGACCTGGAGTCGCGGTGCTGGAGGAGTCCCATGTGTTTGTGGCCACACACCAGACCAGTTGACCCATCCATCAGACGAGCAAGTCGCGCAGAAGCATTTCCCACTCCCACCCGAGCCCTCGCTCGCACGCAGCATGCGCAAAGTCGGTATATATGTCCTCCGTACTATATGCACTCGTGTACGGAGTACCTGCCCGGTGCCAGACCCCCAGCTGCCCCAGTGTGGCCGCCGACGGGCCACCCGCCGCCTTGGCTCCACGCTCAAGGTACCGAGAACCTACTTGGAGGTACATGCTCCAGTGCTCCAGTGCATAAAGTACACACTCCAGCCTTGGAGCCTCCGCTAATATCCGTCCTGCCGTCATGCCGCTGATTCAATTGATGCTCTCTCTTTTTTTTTCCCTGCCTTTTCGTGTGTCCGACCTGCGAATGCCGCTGCACAACCCTACAATGCGTTTGGCTCAGTAACGGGCTGGCTCGCAGATTTGCTAAAGTTCCAAGTCAAAGGGCTCGTGGAGTAAGGCCAAGGTGCCTGGCATCCCAAGTACTTGCCCAGTACTCACAGGGTATCCGCTGCTGCTGCTCCTGCTGCTCCTGCTGCTGCTGGTACCCAGTCAGTCAAGGCTGCTCGACTGCGGGCCGCACTCCTCGGTGGAACTGTACTGGGCTGTACTGGTACTCCCCGCTCCCTACAGGCGCCCAGTAGCACTCGGTAGTATTACGCTGTTGAGACTCTGGTATGGCGCTTGCTACCTCTGCAGCTCCCAGCTCAGCTCCTCGGGCTTGTTAAAACTACTCCAGACCTCCCTCCCTCCTGCCTTTTCTATGCCACCTCCCCCTCTCCTCATTCTCTCCTTCCTCTCCCTCGTTTCCCATCCACCCATTCCCTCATCCATTCGGCCTCGTCCTGACCCGTTGGGGCGACCAGGTCAGATTCGAGTCTGACTACTGGACTGAGGAGAATTCCCGCCGTCTCGCTATCCTCTCCCCGCGGCCCGAACCCCCTTCGGCCGCCGTCTGTATTCAACAGGATAGGAACAGGCGACTTCTGAACCACCACCGCCTCTCCGACTCGACCTTCAACCTGGGTAGAGGCAAGGGATTATAATATACAGTGGAATACGGAAACACCTTGACTGGTATTCTTGCTATTCCACTTGCCCAATTATCTCTCCCAGGCCCTTTTCAGCCAGCACCTTGGCGTATCATTCGCCCTACGTCCCCAGAATTCCTCAGCACCGAATCGAGGAATTTCGAACCCAGCCTGTCCAATCCGCTCGCTCGCTCCCTTGGCTACCTGTCCACGCCGCCAGTTCATCCAGCGTTACTTCCCGAGACTTTGATTCGTGCATTGACGTCGTCATCTTGAGCGAGGGTTTGATCTTTGCTTCGGTCTGAGAGCTCCATCAGATCTGGCTCAAGTACCGTCAATCTTGTGTTGAGAACGGAAAAAAAAAAAAAAAAAAAAGACGCGGGTTAGACCTTACCAGCCGCCTTCCTGCAGCTTGGCGAGCAGGTATTCTACCTTGCTCGTATTTCACTTCGTTCTGCGTGCCCTTCGTTTCTCGTGTTTGGCATCACCAGCTTCGTTTGCCAAACTTGGTCAGCATCCAAAACTAATTTGGTCGTAATCATTGATTCTTCACCGGTCATCAATCTGACCACGTCTCTTGGAGTCACTGAACCAAGTTCATTACGACGCACACACCAGTCTCGTATGTGCAATAGACAGGTATGTTGCGTGGAGCACACCACGACATTAGCTTTCAATAGGATGTCTCTAATCAATGTCGAGTTTCGCCCTCATTCAGCTGCGTGCCGTGGCTGACTTTTTGCATATCTCGACCTCTCCACAGTCGCGGTCGACTTCAATCCTCAGATTGCTCGTGTGGGAGACGTTAGCTCGTTGGTCCCACCCAATCACAGGACTGTCTCAACCCTTCTGCGGCCTCTTTGTCTTGTGCCCTTGGCCTTTTCGACGGTAAGCCATTTCTCCTCCACCAACGCCATCCCTTGTTCTGCTGCTTCTACCCGCGCCCCTTTGGGTCCCTTTCGCTGCCAATTCATCGCATTCCTCGTACCAGCCCACGAAGCCCTCCAGCCAAGGGAGTGGCCACGCCAGGCGGAAGAGCACGCATTGCCTGAGGGATGCCAGCGCGCATGCTTCTTGCACCACCCGAGATCGACCAGATCGAATTCTGCAGCGGGTCTTCATTGCTAACGGACCGCGTCGATATTCTCTAGTTTTATCAAGTAGTCTCTTCTTAAGCCGGCCCTCGTCCGATCCTTTTCTCCCAAGACTCTGGAATACCGTTGATCAAGTCCATGGTCTCGGTTTCGTTCCCAGCCACAGTCACTCTTTTCTATTGCTTCTTCACCACACTCCTTTTAATCTTCTAATACCTTAATTTCTTGTGCGCGCGGCTCTCCTTGATACGCGCCCAAGCCCATTCTTTATTGAATCGTCCCCGACCTCAAAGATTCCTGGAGAATTTTATGCAGTCACTCATTGACTCGAAAAGGCCTTCAGCTAGGCCTCGATAATATCACTACGTTGTCAAAATCGAGACGCAAGACACTACCCTGGCATCGACATCTTATTCAACAGCAATGGCTTGCCCAGTGACACTAAACATGGCTTTCCTTCACACCGACGAGACCTTCTTCATCGATTCCGACGAACCTCTCCAAAACCGCATCGATGCGCGCACAGCCGCCAGGATGATCGCCCGCAACAGACAAGACATGATTGCCGGCGAGCTGTCAAGACTGGCTGGAGACGAGTACTTGGAGGATATCATGCAACACGTCAGGCAAATGGAGGTTTGTCACTTATGCCATTTAAACCCTACTGGGTTTTCAATCACTGACTTCGATCTGTAGAACGAAACGCTTCCCGACGCCAGCCTCATCGATATGCAACGCGAGGTCCAATGGTTCATGAGACCCTACCTTATCGACTTCCTCGTTGAAGCCCACGCTGCCTTTGCGTTGCTGCCGGAGACGCTATTCCTAACTGTGAACCTCCTGGATCGCTACTGCTCAAGGCGTGTTGTGTACAAGCAACACTACCAACTGGTAGGCTGTGCTGCCTTGTTGATCGCTGCCAAGTATGGTGACAAGAAGGATCGCGTTCCTCAAATACACGAGCTTAACAACATGTGCTGCGGCCTGTACGATGCCGGCATGTTCACGCAGATGGAGATGCACGTCTTGAACACTCTGGAGTGGACAATCGGACATCCTACTGTCGACTTTTTCTCACAGCTGACGGTTGCCGAGGAACACGACGACCGGGAAGTAGAGCAGATGGCTGCGTACATCAGCGAGATTGCCTTGTATCACAGAGAGTTTGTTTCGACGAAGCCTTCGATCATGTCCCGTGCCTCATTAACACTGGCTCGAGCAATCCTTGGGCGTCCAGATGCCAGCGGAGGGGACTGGGATCACAGTGAGAATGTCACTCTGCTGGCACTCTCTCAACGCCTCAATCAACCCTCGCCAACTCTAGCTCGGAAATATTCCACCCCCCACATGTCGAGGGTCTCACAAAAGCTGGTCGATTTCATGGCCGAGCAGGCTGCCGTGGCAGCACGCAATGCCAACCCATCTTCGCCGCCGAGCGACGTAACTCCGAAACAAGGCGACATCTACAGCACTCCTCAGAAGGGACACGGCGCAGCCATTGGTTTCGAAGGTTATCCGACGCCTCCCATCACGCCCGACGGTGCTTGCTTCGGCCACGGAAACCAAACCATGGCCAAGGATGCCTATCACCTGCCCCCTCGCTGCCCGGTCACGCCGACGCCACAGCAACACCACACTGGCTACGCTCAACAGGGACGCCAGTATATGGCCTTCCCTGCGCAACATCAATTATACGGCATTCACCAGCAATAGGAATTTTCATCTCAAGTCCACACTATCTAATCGAATGCCTATCACAACGGTCTCCCTATGAAGAAGACCTAGCGGCTTGAGATCCTCTTGCCACGCAACCCTGGCACAGCACACAGCTGCTTGGGACTTTGCAGTACCCAAGCATTGATGACCGCATCATAACACATACTATTCACACATACTACGTCATGGCATATAGCGATTTGAAATTTACTTTTCCTTTTTCTTAATATGTAGAGCGCTTTTTTTGCGTATGAAGAAGAAAAAATTTTTCGCAGCAAGTCTAGCAGGCACCCAAAAAAAATGGCACACTGATCATACCCCCATTTTTTCCCAAGTTTTTTCTTATGTATAATTTCTTTTCTGGCATCACTTATTGCATGCTATGCTTCTGCAGCCCAAATAGCAACGTCTTTTTTTTGCATGAAAAAAAGGTGAAGGCAGGGTTGTGAGAAAGGGCACGAAGCAACCGCGAAATCATTGGAACTTGCGACGGAACGAAACCACGGAAACGCCCGGGCAGCCTTGGGACCGATGGGAGAGGCAGGACGGACAAGGAATTCGAGAATGCAAAAATGGCCTCTCGTGGTGCTACACATGGGGTGCGGGAGATGAGGAATCGACTGAACAAAAGGGGTTACCAGGCAAGGGAAGCGGGACCCGGTGGAGTTGCTCTGGTCTCAATCAGCTAACGACGAGGCCAATGGCTCATGACTCTGTACAACTCTTTCAGAGACGGAGCAAGGGAAAATCCCCGGGGGCTAGAGGAGTCGTTTGCCGTGGACGTGGGCAGCTCGGGACGACGTCGTTGATGCGGAGGAAGAGAGGATGAGGTCCCTCCGAGGTCTGCACGCACGCCCAATGAGCCCAAAAGAGGCTCGAGTGTGGAGTGGCCCGTTTGAGAGGCTGCTCTGGAAAGACGAGGCGGCAATGACAAGACAGGTGTACATTATAGCTGCGCTCTGCATGGCGTTTCTTTGGGACGGGAGAGTCTGGGTCTTGGTCGACCTTTTCTACCTCCCACTCAGACAGAATAAAAGGCACATGGAAGTATTTTAGACATTTCTCGCAACTAGGCCTCGATGCATCGCCATTTTCTGGTCTTTGTGTGACTGTGCTCGGCATGGAGCATTGTGCGTATCCGTACGGAGTACTGCGTAGCAGATGGCATAATGACTTTATGCACAAGTTGCGCCGTGGGGCCCTTGCATGGAGCCATGATTATGAAAGGCCAGCAAGCAAGCACGTTGGTTGGTGCCGGCGAGCTGCGAGAAGCGAGATCGAGATGTCGTGCTGCGCCTGCCAGGTCCGAGGTCCTCTGTACTTGCGTACGTTGCAATTATAGCCCAGGTACGGAGTACAAGAACAGGTGACGTCAGGGATATTCAGGGAAGGAGGGGGGGACATGTGCGTGGCTGGCTGGGTTCAAGGCTCGATTTGATTGACAGGATTGCCGGCAAGGCAAAATCAGGCCTTTTGCCGTGGGGAGGGGAGGAAGCCGTCGTCTGGGTTTCACGCCAGGTCTTCTCGCTGCTTTGCCCATGCCCGGTCCCATGGGAATTTGGGTTTAATGCAGATGCGCGTGGTCTTTGGCGCAGTCGGAGATTGTCAGTCAAGCGGCGACGCTTTCCGAGACTCTGTTTCTCAGACGTCCCGGACGTCCCGGGTGCCGGGCGCCGCGGCCCTGGCGTCCGTACGCATCCATGCCAGTCGGTCCCACGGTGGGCAGTCTGCTGGCATGCCAAGGGGTCGTCAGGTCAGGTCAGGTCAGGGCGAGGGCGAGGGCTGGCCCCCAGCCCGGAGCCGGAGCGGGAGCGGAGCAAGCAGCCTTGGTCTTGGTCGCCTTGGTTCCTCGTCAGACACTCACTCGAGCATGGAGTGTCTCGCTCCGTCTCGGCAGACTGTGCTCCGTCGGCCGTCGTAGACTTTGCCAAATGCATGCCGCTATCGCTTCCTGTCGGAGCCAGCAGGGCGCGCGGCTTGCCTGCCTCCTGCGGCATGTCGTCTCCGGGCCATCACCGGACGTGGCTGGTGAATCTCAACCACTCGAGCTACCCTGTACGGGGTGCCTTTGCCGCCCTGGACGCACGTCCATCCGAGCGAGGAACACTGCTTTGACGTGGAGCTTCTTTGATGGTCGGACCTGCCGTTGACATTCACAGAGATGGCCGACGACCGATGACCCGCGTTCGCTGGGCAGCATCCACCGCCGTGGGAGGAGTTGGACAACATCGCTGGCCCAAGACGGACGACCGGGGACGCTCCAATGGCCACTGACACTGATTCACGCCTACAACTGTACCGACTACGTACATGCGAGCGTCGCCCCTGGATTTGTTCATTCACGCTCAACTCGTTCGCAAAACACGCAGCGCTTGGATGGGTTTCAAGATTCATCATTTAGACCGCGACCATTATATCTCGTGGCCCAGGGGAGGTCGAGATGCCCTAACCGGCCAACCCGTGCAGTGAAACACAATGGATAGATGGTTGACTCCGCGCACCGCACTTTCCAGCCCTCGCAAAAGAAAACCACGCCCCGCCTAGTATCGCTTGCCGTCCCGCAGGGAGTCGGCAAACTCCTCCAGGGGACTCCGGATGAGCTTGGTCTCCTTCCACAGGTTGGGCGTGAGGAAGCCGTAGGTGTTGGAGACGGCGACGAAGACGGCCTTGAGGGTGTTCTCGAGGGTCTTGGTGGAGCCGGCAGACGACGTGTAGGCGTCCTCGACACCGGCGAGCTGGAGGAATCGCTTGACGGCGGGGGAGGCGACGAGGCCGGTACCACGGGGGGCGGGGATAAGCTGCAACGACAACGGGTTAGCTAGCTGGCACCGGTATCTTTCCGGCGGAAAATCTGTCCTTGAAGGAAGCGGCTGACGATGTCGAGCCCGCCCACGTGTTGCAGGGTGTGTGATTTGAGCTCAAGAGAACGGACGACTCTTGGGTGGGCATGCATGTACGTACTCGGACGGTGACGGAACCACACTTGCCGCTCTGCTTGGAGGGCAGGGAGTGAGGAGCACCGAGGTTCGTGCCCCAGTAGCCTCGTCGGACGGGGATGACGCTGAGCTTGGCGATGATGATGGCGGCGCGGATGGCAGTAGCCACCTCCTTGGAGGTCTTGATGCCGAGACCGACGTGGCCCTCCGAGTCGCCGATGATGACGACGGCCTTGAACCGGGTTCGCTGACCGGCGCGCGTCTGCTTCTGGACGGGCTTGATCTGTTTGCGGGACAAGATTCCACGGTCAGCAACAAGCACGTTTCTTCGATGCGTGGGGGCCGGGTATTCTCTCGTGCGCGCGCATTGTCCTCGTCCGCTTTGCAACCATCTGGCGGGCGGGACGTTCATCCTCCCACTCCTACAACGGTTCGCGAACAACCCCCCCCCCCCCCCCCCCTTTTTTATTCACGACTCGCAGTGTCGGGGCAGGGCAGTGTTCCGCGTTTGCACGTCTCTCGTACCTTCATGACCTCGTCCTTGAGCTTGGGCAGGAAGTTGTCGACGATCTGGAACTCCTTGATGGGCAAAGAGTGCAGGTAAATCTCCTCCATGCTGTTGATCTTGCCGGCCTTGACCAGTCTGCCGAGCTTGGTGACGGGCTGCCACTCCTTCTCCTCGCTCTTGCCGCCGCGGCGTCCACGGCCACGGCCACGACCACGGCCACGGTCACCGCCTCGGGATCCGAAACCACCGCCGCGTCCACGGTCTGCCATTGTGGTTGATGTGTTTTGGCGGTTGTCGTCGGGCAAAAGGGAAAAAAAAATAAAAATCGGCGTACGCGCTGGCGTTGTCGCTGGGGTGAGGTGATGGAATGGAGAGATTTGGCAGTGCTGGCAGGGCTGCTTTGTCGCAGGCGGTCGGCGGGGTGGGCTGGCAATCCAAAATGGTTATTTTTTTTTGGGTGTGCTTCGAGGTTAGCCGAGCCCTAACGCGGCTTTTGCGGCCAATCAACTTTGTGCTGGATGGGTGGGGGAGAAGCAGTGGAAAGCGGGTCTTCTGTCTAGCCCATCACGTCCAAGTGGGGCCTGCCTGATGTTCGATACCGATAAGATAATGGAATAGTTATACTATTCCCAGGTTGCCAACTGCAGATAATGAAGGCACAGATGGATTGAAGACAGGCACAAAGCAACAAGCTGCGGCAAAGCAATGGTGTCATTCGGACACATTTCCAGAGTGTGTTCAGTTCGTCCCTGCAAGCGCACGCCCCAACACATGTTCCCATTACTCATACAAAGACTGCGGGAGCTGAATGCAATTCATAATTCGAAATTACGAATGCGAGTAGTGCAGCGCCCAAAGCAACGCCAAATGCAAAAATATCAGATCAAACATCACTGAGTAGGGTATTGTAGGGCTTTTATTCCAGCCTTGAGTTTTTTTTTTCCTTGCTCGATGCACACAAAAGAGTAGACAACCGCCAAAGATGCGAGGCTTCCGCCGACTACGACTCCGTCTTCAGGATTAAATTGTCAGACGGTCGGACTCGCTGGGCCCATTCGCTAAATTCACATCATTAGCACCTCGTTCAAAATAAATATCGGTCAGGAGTCGGGAAGAAAGTCAGTACTCACGTCCAGCTCCCATCGTACACCTTCCGCGACTCGGGTGAGCCGTACCTTGCAACCTCCAAAGCCGTCTCGATAATACAAGCAGTGACGCCGGTGCCACAGCTCGAAATGATGGGCTTGGTAGGATCGACGCCCTTTTCTTGCAGTATGCTTCGTAATGTCTTTGGCGACGGGAAGGCTTTCGTTTCGGGATCCAGCAGAGCACTGAACGGTAAGTTGATGGAACCAGGAAGATGTCCCGAGGAGAGACCCTCTCGCGGCTCAGGATCTTTGCCCGTGAACCGTCCGCTCGGCCGGGCATCAAGGACTTGAATACCCTCCGCGCCCTCCTTGTTGAAGTCTAGAGCAACCTCCTTGACCTGCTCAAAGCTCGCCACCTTGCTCTCATCAAGCTGGGGGATCGGATACTGGCAACATTCCACACTGTAAAGCTCTCCCGACTCGGTGGGCAAGCCCTGTTCGACCCACAGCCTGAAGTTGTTGAGAATATGCACGTTGGGATGTCCAAAGACCTTGAAGGTCCAACCGACTCTGGGGGCACTAAAGATGCCCAGCTCTTTCGAGTCGTATACGACCACAGTATCCTCTCTCCGAATGCCCAACTCACTCAGGGCAGCCGCGAACCCCTTGGCGTCGGGAAGCATGTGCGGGTAGGGGCTCCGCTTGTCAATAGCTTTGTCTAGGTCGAAGAAGCGAGCCTTGGGAATGCGCTGCTCTCTAAAGACTTGGATACCAGACCGTTCATCGTTGGGCAAGAACCAGGACGCACACAGAGGAATCACTCGAGGATCGGTGCTGATTGGCGATGGAGGATTCTTCCTCAGAGCTTCGTGAAGCTCCTTCGGTGTGACGAGATAGGAGGACAAGCCTCTGGTGAGCGCCATGGTTGAGTATACGTTTCTGGCCCTCCAAGAGGAGAGACCAGCCCGGGAACTACGGGCCACTGCGGCAACGACCATGGCAGACGGCCTCGACTCCTCGGGGTAGAAATGTTGTCAGTCCCGCAGTCCGAGGACTTGGAATGTCCGCAGCGGTGGCGGGTTCGGCAAGGAACGTCGAGACTCGAAAGAGAGGTTTGGCAGGGGAATAGCTTTGATGAACAGAAGGCGATATCGGATGGCAATTTACACTCGCATACAAGCCGCATGCGAGTTTCAGATAGCAACACAGACGACGGTTCGGAGAAAAGGCATTCAGATGCGACAGCTGGGAGAAAAGAGGAGAAGGGGTCTGAGCAGAGGAGGCGAGATGGGAGATGGTGTGGTGATGGCAGCTCCAACGCCAACGAGGCTTCGGCAGCGGAGTGGGTGAGGTGACCCGAGCTCTACTCAACTGCTCCAAGCATAGGCTCGCCCGTGGGAGAGCTCAAGACTCAATCAAGACTCGAGAGATGGATGGATGGGCGGAAGAAGTCCCGAGTGACGCAGTGGCCTGCTGGTTCTGGTTGCTCAGGGAGGGCCGCCCCACTTGAGCACATGTCAGTCAGTCAGCTGCCTGAACACGTTTCGGCTCACGTTTCAGAGGGGCCAGGGAAAGCATCAACAAGACGCGACCATCGACCGTCGAGCAACGAACAACGGACAACGGACAACGGACACGACAGGGAGGTAAATCTACAACCCATCAGCCAGATCCAGGCGTGTCGACGAATCCTCGAATTGAGGTCCAATGCAAGCAGCGAGCGTCGCACACCATGAAAGTCACCATAAAGGAGTGGAATACCGTGGCTACCTGGCGCTGGGATATTCCAGAAGACGACGTGTGTGGCATCTGCCAGGTTCATTTTGACGGCACCTGTCCAACATGCAAATACCCCGGCGATGACTGCAGTCTGTGTAGGTCCAACCTTGGCGACTCCCCGTAGCCGCCGTTCCTCCTGCACGGCTACATGGGAACCGGTTTCTAACCGTATCCTCGCGTCATAGTGTCTGGTAAATGCGGTCACAATTTCCACATGGTGAGTCGCTGGTCCGTTGAGACCACAAGACGGACGCCTTCGGTTGCTGACACGACCCTCGCAGCACTGCATAATGGAATGGATCAAGCAAGACTCTGCCCGTGGGCAATGTCCCATGTGCCGCCAAAGTATGATTCACTCACTGCCGTCGACTCTGTAGAATCGTGTCCCGTACTGACTCGGCGTAGCTTTCGAGTGGACTGATCAGGCCAACGACAGCGTCTCGCAAGGGGAATGAAAGCGCGAGGCGTGCAGCATGAAATATCTCTAGAAAAGCACACGTTATTGCACTTCTATTATGCTGTAATGCTATGGCAAAGACATGCATCACCCCGTGCCTGGAGCCTTGCATCCATGACGGCTTTTGCAATCACGGTGCTCGGCTGCTCGGCTGGCGCTCCATTACCGGCGCATTTCTAAGTCTCTGGAACGTATACGCCATCTTTACACAGGACCACCATCTTCTTGAAGAATCGACGCCATTCGAGAGGATCTCCCTTGACTTTGACAAAGCGCACGTCTAGGACCTCGCCTCCATCAGGCAGTGGCTGCTTGTCAATTTGTATCTCCCCATGCAAGCTCTGTTGCCTGCCGTCGATAGCCTTTACTTTCAGGTTTGCCACGGGACTGCCATACAGGTTTGGCGTGACTGGTGCAAGGGGCACATTTAACTGATGGAGAGCATCACTGAGCATCTGGACCAAATGTGTGGGAGGAACATGGGAGAAGAACCGTGTGAAGGACTCAGGGGGGCAAATGTCACGGAATCGACGCGCCTGCTGAGTCAGTGTCATCGACGGACCTGGCGTGTGGGAGAATTGCGACATGGAGGGTTCGTCTGCAAGCGTTTCGAGAAGCATGCGGCGACTTTCGCCAGATCGGGGAGGCATCGATGAGGCCGGTGAGGCCATGGATCGCAAGACGGGCCGTTCCCAGTCCCAATCTCTATCGCTGATGGGTGTCTCAGGCTGTGTTGAGACAAATTTGCCACTGTTGAGGCCCGTGTCAACATCCATTTCGTCCCCGCCAGCTTGGCATTGCCGTTGCGATGCCGACGGCAGCTGGGCAAGGTCGATGCGAAGATTCTCCAGCATCCGCGTGGCGAGATTGATAGGGTCGGTGATTTTGCCATCGGGAGTTAAAAGAGAATTATGCCGTGTATACCAAGGATGTTGCCGTACTTGTCGGAAACTAAATCGTTTCTGGGGGTCGATTGACATCATCCCGCGCAAAAGTGACAAAGCCTCTGGTGGTATCCTCTCCCAGAGAGCATCCGAACTGTGACCTGACGTCTTGACGTACTCGTTGAACTCCCAGCTATTCGACGATGGCTCGTCCCAGGGGGTATTTCCCACAAGGAGAACAAAGAGGATGACACCACAAGACCAAACATCCACCAGGTCGGAGGAGTACTTCCCAGCGCTGGGGTTTCTCTTATCGACCCTGCCGCAGGCCAAGATCTCGGGTGCAATATATGGTGGACTTCCACACAAGGTGGAGCTTGTCTTTCTCTGGCCCTTGTATTCGAACATGGTTGCCATGCCAAAATCCGCAAGCTTCAGGTTGCCATCCGAGGAGAGCAGGATATTCTCTGGCTTCAGGTCTCGATGAGCCACGCCCTTGGAGTGCATAAAACTCACCCCGCTGACAAGCTGGATAAAGTAGAGTTGGGCGATGTCTTGTCGAACTCCGACATCGGCTTCAATCTTGTCAAAGAGGTCCCCCCCTTCTGCGAATTCCATTGCTATCCAACGCCACACGTCGTCCTCTCCTGAGGCAAACCACTCGATGATGTTGGGGTGTTGACCGATGTGTGAGTGCAGGGAAACTTCCATGGCAAGCTGCTTCGTTGAAATGCGGCCATGTTTGACGGCGTAGCCCTTGTGGATGAGCTTGACGGCAAATACGGGATTGGTGGCGTCCAAGGGGATGGCCTTCTTGATGCTGGTTGCGATGTTAGCACTCTGTGTCATTCCAGAGCCATGCGCCGGCGGTCCGAGCTCGCGACGGTGGGAAAGTCACACATACGAGGCATAGGCCCCTCGACCAACAGTCTTGGATACGATGCGGAAGGGGAGTTCCCTTGGTAAGGGGTCCAGCTGAGACTGTGAAGGAGCGTGTCAGCGATATGTGATTTAACAATGGACGACTCCATCGCACGTTGCAGCTCAAACAATGTCTGTCCATGTAGAGCCAGCTCGGCTGAGACCGAGGCAACCGTGTCTCATGTGCCCTTGGCAAGACGGTGATGTGGTTGATTCGAGGCTAATTCACGTTTGCATATCCGTCTTCCGCAAGCGGCTCGACATTCACCGCGTTGTTCCAGGACGGGCGTGGACAGCAAGAAGGGGCTTCGCTCACCATTTTGAACCCCAACAGCCGAATCCGCCCAATAGTTTGATCGTTGGACGTGGATTTTGCTCTGAGGATGCCTTGCTTGGGACGGAGGTCAGGTGTGTGAGAGGCGGGATTCACAGCTATGTGTCGGCCATGGGCGATCCCTGACACTCCAATTTCGTCGTGACGAAAACAAAGGGAAAAAAAAAGAAAGCAAAAAAGACACAGCAAGCAGCAATACCGGGTCGTGTACACCAATGGCAGCCACTTGTCGCCGTGTTGCTCAAACAACCCTCCGAATTTTGTTAAAAAGTTCGAAAGATGCAGCAATTCGATGCAGGGTACCCTGCCTCGTCCTACTCACAGTCAAGCAATGATAGGCTGCGGCCTACGGAGCACGCTTTGCTGTGTGCGTGCGCAGTCGTGTCTCGCCTCTAGTTATTTACCAGATGCGGGTGGTCGCGTCTAGCGCGTCTCCTGGTCCCGCCGCGTAAAGCCGAGACCTGCGAATGTGATTGGCCGTTGTCGTCATTCCAGCGGCCCATTGCGGAGCTGCTCGTGGTTTCAACGCCTGGAGCGAGCCCATGCAGCCGCGCGCGTCAATTGGCCCGTCGCCCCTTCGTTGCTGGGCAAACAGGAGAGCTTCCGTGCAACCGCCCATTGTTCTGCATGGACCAGGGCATCTGGAGGTCCTCTCGACTTGCCATAAAATCATCGCATGAATCCCTTGCCTTGTTCAGGGAAACTATAACGTCATAAAAGGGAGGGGTGATCGAGTCTCTTTTATTTCTCACACTCTCTCTGATTTTGGCTCTACATCGTCGAAAGCTTCAAACCGACCGTACTCGCCCTCCAACACACCCGTCCTACTTACCCGTGAGGATTGGCTTTCTCGGCTTCGTCTCGCTTGTCTGCCCCCCCTACCCGTCTCCTAGTCAACCAATTTTCCTACGCCCGACAATCGTCAACTCTATTCTCGTCGGGACAGACCTCGATCGCTGACATTTCGGGACTACTGCTTTCTGTCCAACTTTCCATCCAACTTCGTGCGAGCTCTCGTCGTAACCCGACAATGGATTTTGCCATGGAGGATAACCAGAATTCTGCCCCTGGCAGCGTCCCTGCCGCCAAGCTCAATTCGAGAAAGGGCCCAGATTCTCAGAGCGTCACCAAAAGGTATGTCAAGTCGCCTGATGGTAAATGACCCTGTTGCCGCCAAGTCCTGGTTGTTGCAACACAATGGCGAAAACTTGTCATTGACACTCGCATCCCTTTAGATTGCAAACCGAGCTTATGCAGCTTATGACCGCGCCTGCCCCCGGTGTCTCTGCGTTTCCTTCCGCCGATGGTAATCTGCTCTCGTGGACTGCTACCATCCAGGGACCCGAAGACACCCCCTACGCCAGCTTGACCTTCAAGTTGAGCTTCTCCTTTCCCTCCAACTATCCATATGCTCCCCCTACCGTCCTCTTCAAGACGCCCATCTACCACCCCAACGTGGATTTCTCAGGCCGCATCTGTCTTGACATTCTTAAGGATAAGTGGACAGCTGCCTACAACATCCAGACGGTTCTCCTAAGCCTCCAGAGCTTGCTCGGCGAGCCCAACAAGTGAGCATCCCAAGTCCCGCCAATTGATGGGGCCACTTTGAGTTATATCGCGCTAACTTTGGTCACAGCTCCTCGCCTTTGAACGGCGAAGCTGCTGAGCTGTGGGACTCTAATGCTCAAGAGTTCAAGAACAAGGTCATGGGACGTCACCGAGATATTGAGGAGGAGTAGGACGCGTACATGGGATCTTGTGCATTGGAACAGTATATTTTCTCTCTTTCTTTGTTGGCATTGTCAATTCAGGAGAACCGGAGTCTTTGGGGAAGCATACCTCGGCAGGTTAATCACGGTACATTGGGTTTGCATTTAGGGTCTTCCCCCCCAAAGCTAAATTGGACATTGGCTGGCAGCGTGTTTCCTTCCTGGAAAGGCGAGGAGGACCCAGTTTGTTAGCTTGAAAAAAGCTTTTGGTCGTCGTTGATTATTGCCTTGTAGGGTGGAAGACGTATTCATCAACTTGTCCATCATTGGTATCGGGACTTGCAGCGACAATCCACCACATTAAAAAGACGATAGGAACAAAAGTTTGGCCCTGCGTCACGATGGTCGCGTTGCAGTTTATTCCAGTCAATGTTTTGTGAATCAGCTGTAGCAATGATACGCATCAACGATTCACGTGGGGGATTTTAACAGCGACTTAATCATCACTCCCCAACCCCCCTCTTCGGGAGGCGTGTGAGGAGAAAGCTCGAATCACATATTTGCCCTCGGTGTATGTGAATTTTTTTTCCTTTTCCGGGTGAAAAGCTAGGAAAAGCCCGGTTACAACTCCAAAATGCCATGCCACCTTGAGAACCAGTCCTAATCTCAGAGAACATCCCTTTTGCGCATCTATTCCTCTACAACGACCGTAGCGAGGCCCTTGGGGTTCTTGACATTTACGGCCTGAACGTAGCTGTATAGCTTCTCCTTGGCATCCTCCTCGTCATTTCGTCGCCGGGAGATTCGGACGCGGAGTCTGAAGGGAACGCCCTTGATACCACACTCCCAGACCTTCTTGTTCAGCTGGGGGTCCAGGCGGACGTCGTTGGTGCCCTAGCAGTGAATCTTGGTCAGTACGGGTCCCGTGTAGTTGACGGGGGAATCTGTCTCCGGCGAGACATGGCGCCCGTGGTGCCATGGTCGCAATGCGAGTACATCGTCTGTCCAAAGGATCGCTGATTCGCACGGGAGGGGGGGACGCAAGTCGTACCATAGCCTGGGTGGCGAAAGCCTTGATCTCCTTGATAGCACGGGGAGCTCTCTTCTTGAAGGTAACGCCGTGCAACTTTTTCCAAGTATTGTTAGCCTTTGGCATTGTTCCATACTCGCCTCGGGGACATGATATCGGTAAACGTACTCTCTTGTGGAGATGGATGGTGTATTCGCGGGCAACGACATCCGCAATGGCGGAGCGCTGGGCCTTGCCGGAGGGCTTCTTGGCGGACGACATTTCTGGAGGTTGAAGTTAGTTTATTTATTTTTTTTTGCAAATTCGTTGGCAGAGACTCGGAATAGTGACGAGGCGGGCTCAAGCAGGGTGATGCTCAATGATCTAAATGAACTACAGAAAAAATCGAATCTCGCGCAAGGGATATTGCGTCTCTTTTGGGGGGGGGGCAACCGGTTCGTACCTGCGGATCGTCTCGTTGAATCTGGCGTTGAGGAGATTGTAATGTAGGAGAGCCAAATTCCGCAAATTCTTTGTGCGTAGGGCAGGCTCGAATTGTGGTGGTGGAGATGTAGCGAGCCAATCATATTTGGCGATGACGGGAGGGTTGAATATCACGTGAGAAGACATGTACCTACTCCCTCGTGTCAGTTGGTTGCTTGCCGGGGAACCGTCATGGACCAAAGTGGGCCGTTGCGCCTGAGGAGAAAATCAATTGGTTGGGAACGTGGTTGGTAGATGAAGGGGGTTGATCCCACGTCGGACCAAGCCTGCTTGCCTGTTTACCATCATCTTGGGGACAGTTCTGCACTCCGGAAGCCGCCTTTGCATCCCTTCGCTTGCCCGACACGAAAGCCAGTGCGACCTACAACATCGACCGCACGACTGGCAACGTTTACCTGGCCTCAGGCGCCGTCTCTCATCCCTCGCAACCTTTGTGCCGTTGCATGGACTTGGCGCCAGCGGGAGCGAGGCCTTTTACGTGCCCGATTGGCCAAACTCGGGGAGACAATCGTGAAACGTCGGGCAGACGGTCTCGTACCACCACGCCTGTGTTTTCTCACCTTCTGACGATCCCCTGGCCGTTCGCCCTCACTCTTTTGAAATTACTTAGTCGCTCGCTACCCCCAGGCTCCCTCAGCCGATAACTGACAACATGGTCGACAATCACCACCCGGCGACGCCGCCTCCCCAACCGGATATGACGAGAAATCGACTCCCGACGCTGTTTGAGGTGCTGAGCCGGCGAACGCTGCCGCCAGTTGATTTGTTTTCATTTTACATCTATATGCGAGACCAACAGAGATCGGTCGATTATCTCGATTTCTGGCTCGATGTCGCCCAACACATGTCGCTGTGCCGACACTACGTGCGTGAGCTGCGACGATCTGTTCTTGTTGCGACGCCGGATATCGAGAAGACAAATTCAAAGCGATCGTCTCAGATTCTGGAGCACATGGGCGATTTGGAGCCGCGCCCAGCTGGACCGTCAATGTACTCGACTGAGAAGGAGAGGGATCAGGACGCTCAAATGTCGGCCTTTTTGCGCGAGGAGCCGGCCAACGGTTCTCCTCACAGTGGCTCGGGTATTGCTCGACCCAGCCCACAGTTCAGCACTTCCCGCGACGCAACTGATTCGAACTCGCCATCCCACACTGTCGCCCGACAAGACATCAGAGCGTCTGCGGAGAAGATCTTGTACACCTTCCTGCTTCCTGGGGCCGAGCGGGAGATCACACTCCCCGGTTCGATTACGCAAGATGTCACGGCGGCTATTGAGGAGTACGGGCGCGACGATCCAGAAGTGTTTGATGTCGCCAAGGATTACGTGTTCCAAGCAATGGAGCGGGATGCCTTTCCTGGTTTCCTGAGGATGAAGGCTCTGGGCAACCTGATCGCTCCGACGCTGGTGATGCGTCTCATTATCGGTCTGGTATCCATGTTTGGGGCGTTCTGGGCAGCGTTTATTCTCATATTTCTCGACAAGTCTCGCCAGACGAGGTGCTGGGTAAGTGCATCATGGATTCCTCCTCATGTTCCCCAAACGGCTATTGACGACGACGCGGCAGCTCATTCTCCCGTTCACCGTTGGCGTTTATTTCTTGTCGTCGTACCAATATTCATTGGATCCAGTCATGGCTCTCATCGGCTACAGCGAGTACACGCCGTTTAGCTTTTCGCGCATCCGAGAATCCTACGTCCGTCAGCTCCTTGCCAAGCGTGCCGTGATGGTACTGGCCATTACCATTCTCATCGATGCGGCTCTTTGCGTTCTGTTCATTCTCGTACCAGGCAAGAGACTGTGAACCATGGTATTGATATCTCACTGGAATCCGGGCCATGGAGGCGACTGCGCTTTTTCGCAGTGACTCGCTGTCAACAAGTAGTCAATTTGGCATTTGCCAATTTTTACTACACAGCCGGACGGGACTAGAGATTGTTGATGACCGTTACGACCGAAACCCACAGCGGTGGCATTTGCTCTTTCTTTTTAATACCCTTCTTGTACACGTATCCAAGCAGGCACAGGGGTTTGGCGTACGGCTTGGTACGTTTTTTTTTTTGGTCATTTCCAAGGCGAATCAGCTCATTTATTCATCCCGTCCAGGGAATTTCTTTTCTCTTCTTCAACTTGTCTGTTTTCGAGCATGTCTTTGCAATTGCACCTATATGAATTCCTGGCAGGGCCATCTCTTCAGACAATAGTCCCCTTTGTAGAGCGGTCAAAACCAAGCAAGCAATGCAAAATCAGGGTAAACCCAAGCGGATAATGGAGGCAAGATAGTGCACAGAATGAGAGTCTTTAATAGTCTATTAATACGCGTTTGATGCGTTTGACCCGTCTGCTCCGTGACATGGCTTTTTTCTTTATGAGAAGAAACTTGGGGTGAATGAACCCTGAGCCAGCTATATCTGTTACATTACGGCGTATTCCGCGGCATTTTCTCATTGATTTCTCTTGGCAGAGAGGGTGGGTTGGCTCTACATCTTCCGCTTACCGGATCGCTTCTTTTGCTCTTCGGCAGCAGGAGGCTCATCCACGTCCATTGTCTCGGCACTCGTGATATTGGAAGCATCCACCATGGATCGCTTATTGTAGGCTCTCCTTGGAAGGGCATCCCGGCCCGGCTGGTCCGTCTTCTTGTCCGAGTCGCGTGCTTCTGAAACCAGGGCATGGATTCTTTGCTCCGCTGCCCGATTTTCCTTTTCACGCGCGACAGCGGCCGCGCGGATGTTGACGATTTGGGCGTCCAGGTCGCGCAGCGTGGAGGCGCATTTGTCCGACCAGTTGCCCAGGGCGGCAATCATGTCCTGGATGGACCTTGGCGCGAGATCCCGCAGGGGTGCCAGGCTGTTTACCTGGACTGCCTGGCGGGCCGGGTCGAGAGTGGCGTGGAGTAAGCCGGCGTACATGGCGGTGATGACGAGGTCCTCCAGCTGTCGTGCTGATGTGAGCCCCAGCGCTTTCTGGAGGGCTTGGTACGACAGGTTCGACCTGTCTCGGGCGAGCGTGAGCAAGGTGAGCTGGCGCAGCTTGAGCATCTGGGGCTCGTTCAGCCGCGGCAGGCCGCGCGTTTCACGGTAGTCCTGATAGGTGCCGTACGAGAAGACCTCGAGGAGGCGCAGGTGGGGTGAGAACTCGAGGTTTCCGGCGAGAGCTCGGATTCGCGGCTGCCGCAGGAGTTCTGCGAAGATGTAGGTGTTTGGGGCGGAGGTAGCTCGCATGACGACGTCGGCGGCGGCGCGGTCAGATGTGGCGGAGCTGGAGAGGGCGAGGAACGGCTGTCATGAGGATTGTTCTCCGTCAGTATTTGCCGCGTCGGGTGGCATCTCATGGCGTGCGGCGGCTCCCACACAGCAAGGCAGAACCAAGAACCAACCTCGAGGGCGTTCAACGCCTTTGCTTGCTCCATGACAGCTTCTAGCTTCTGGGGTGCTGGAGGTCACCGGCCTGGACCTCTGGGGGGGGGCGCGACGATGCAAGGGTGAAGGTTAGTAGCTAGTAGTGGCCGCGTGCTGGAATCTCCGTTTGTTTGCGGACGCAGGACCGGCCGTCCGGGGTGGAGCTCCAGTGTGCAGCCTTGACAAGGCGAGGCGAGGCGAGACGTGTTTGAGGTGTTTGAGGTCGCAGCTTGGGACGGCGGCGGGTTGCTCAAGTTGTTACGGGCGCGGCTCGTGCGGTGGCGGGGGGTTGACTGGTCTGGTGTGGGTCTGCCCCGGCCGATTTTTGGTGGGGTTGGAGGAAAACGCTTTGTTTGGCAAGTCGCAGCCCGGCTCTTGTGATTTATCACCAACTAGGTACGGAGTAGGTACGGTTAAATGTGACCTAAAACTCAACCACGCGCATGCGCACAGCACTGATGACGGGTGTTGAACACGTCGTACACGACCCAACGGCTGGCAGACGCATGGCACGTTGAAGTAAACCATCTGATGCAGCTCGTCAAGCAGCGAGTGCGCACATGAGCAGACAAGGCGTGGTGAGGGCCGGTGTTTCACGCCCACCTGTCTCGTCTCGTCACGCCACATGTCATGTCTTGTCGAGATGGGCCGGAGACCAGTCTCAGGATTCGACATGGCTCGATGGTGATTGCCAGCTCGCTGCCATTGACACCAAAAGAGCTAATGGTCTGCGACAACGGCGACAGCGACGGCGACGGCGACGGCAAGCAATGGCGACACCGGGAGCAAGTTGCGGGTTAACTGCAGGCGTACGGCGACGGTAGAGACTTGCTTGGCTGGGACTGACAGGCCGATGGGACGTAGCAATGTAGGCAGCGGACCGGGCAAGAACGTGTCGACGTATTCCACGACGCAGATTTCATCCGTCTTTTTCAACTTCCATGACGCCAGACGACATGATACAGTAAACCACCCCTATAACGATAACCTTCGTGAGCCTTTTTTCATCGTAATATAGCGACTATCGCTAAGATGCGACTATTGTAGGGTTGTACCTCCCCTTAGAAATTACTAGTAAAAGTATATATTAAGGGATTATTAGCGAAATTTGCCCTACTATTAGGAAACCCAGCCCTACCTAACCCTACTATAAGAAAATTCAGCCTAAAAAGTAGAGCTTTATAACGATAAAATGCATAGTGACTAAGCAAAAAGTCAATAATATCGTTAGTAATGCAACTATTAATAATTTACTAGGGAAAAACCTTAGATAACTGTGAATTATCGTAAAAACCCGAATATCGCTAAGATACAGGATCGTTATAGACATAGTTTACTGTAACTACGTCCGTAGCAAAAAGGGCACCGGCGCCCCACCCCCCCACTCTTCTGGCCTTCCCGCCCTTTCCGGGCAGCCTGCTCAAGTTACGGAGCCAATAGCAAACGTGTCCGTGTCCAAACAAACTTTGGCCCATCGCCAGGGCTCACCAGGCTTATCCTAGCGCTAGCTCCTCCGGGCATTTTGCGCCCGGGCACACAGCGGACCAGCGGACGGTAATACCGTCGCCGTCGTCAAACCGCCCGTGCCGTTGACCTGTGACCGAGCAAGTCGCAACTAGTAAGTGCAAGTGCCACCGCAGGCACCTTCCACTTGTGCAGCTCGCACACGCATCAGGGCTGAATGGATCCCCTTGTCCTGGCTCCTGGCCAATCCCGGCGAATCCTCGCCCCTCCCAATCTATTGTTTTAAGTTATAACGCCGGTTCTCGCATTGAGTTTCTCTTCCCGTACTCCGTATCAAGTCCACCAACAAGGCTCATCTTTGTACCGGCTGCCCGTCCGGAGTCCCGACTTCTCATACATACCTACGGAGTACCTAGCCACTCTTCTGATTTTCCGAGTCCTTTTTTGTTTCCAACCATCTCTTTCCATCACGTCTCCGCTGTTCCTCGACACCTCGACGACAGTTTCGACGACCCGGAGCCGCCCTGCTTTGCTTGTACACCTTTCGAGAGCCCGGCGCTTTCTGGTGGCCTCGTTCCTTTGTTTCCTTGTTGCGACATTTGTCAGCTCCTCCTCGCTGAGCGCCGCGTCACCAGCGCCCGACGGTCATTGCATCACTGAGCCCGCTCCTCACGACTCGTCGATCCGCCCGAAATGGTCTCACAAGCCCCGTGACAACCTCCATCAACCGTATACCCCCCCTTCTCTCCCGCCGCGACGCGAAAAAGAGACGTAGCCTCGTCGTCGCGCGACGACTGCTGTAGGCCGACCGACTCGACACAAATCTTGCGACGCTGCCCATTGAGACGAATACTCCCATAATAGCCTCTCCTACCTCAGCAATGGCGCCGACGCACATCGCCATTCCGCCTCGGGAACCTGGCGCTACAGCAACTCTGGGCGCACCCAAGAGTGCGCACATGGCTACAACTACTCTTCGCGTGCAAGGCATGACGTGAGTAACACTCGTCTCCGAGCCATCCTTCCCGTGGACTGACTTCCGATACTCCCGGGCAACATCGCGTCATAATACCTGCTAACCTGGGATTTTCTCCGTGTTCAAACAGTTGCGGAGCATGCACGTCGGCAGTTGAGGCGGGCTTCAAAGGTGTTGCTGGTGTCGGCAGCGTCTCTGTCAGTCTGGTCATGGAGCGTGCTGTTGTCATGCATGATCCTCGAATAATTTCTGCCGACCAAGTTCGCGAGATCATCGAAGACAGAGGCTTTGATGCTGAGCTTTTGTCTACAGATCTTCAAAGTCCTGTAGCCGTCCGCTTCCCTGAGAAGAAGGGCGATGAAAACGACACCACTTTCGTCACCACTACAGTCGCCATACACGGAATGACTTGCGGCGCCTGTACGTCTGCGGTGGAGGGCGGCTTCAAAGACGTCCCCGGCGTCAAAACCTTTAGCATATCGTTGCTGTCCGAACGAGCAGTCATCGAGCACGACGCCGCTCTCTTAACCGCCGAACGAATCGCAGAAATCATCGAGGACCGCGGCTTCGGGTCAGAGGTTCTGGACACGGCGAAACCAACACAAGAGGCCGGTGGTGATTCGCACAGTGGCATTGCGACTACAACGGTGGCCATTGAAGGTATGACGTGTGGCGCATGCACCGCCGCCGTTGAAGGCGGGTTTCAAGGCGTTGAGGGCGTTTTGAAATTCAACATCAGTCTACTGGCCGAACGTGCCGTCATCACCCACGATGTGTCCAAAATTTCGCCCGAGCAGATTGCAGAGACAATTGAAGACCGTGGGTTTGATGCTACGGTTCTCTCGACCCAGTTCGAATCCGGCAGTCTTGGACCTCTGGCGTCGACGGCTCAATTCAAGATGTTTGGCCACCTTGATGCCGCCACCGCACAGGCGCTAGAGGCCAAACTCGGGTCCGTCCCTGGCATACGCTCGGTCTCGGTGAGCCTGTCGACCCAGAGACTCACCGTTACGCATCAGCCGGGCATTATTGGCCTTCGGGGCATTGTCGAGGCCGTGGAGCGACAAGGCTTGAATGCGTTGGTCGCTGATAGTCAGGACAACAATGCGCAGCTCGAGTCTTTAGCCAAGACGCGAGAGATCACCGAGTGGCGGACAGCATTCAGAACGTCCTTGACTTTTGCGATTCCAGTCTTCATTGTCGGCATGGTTCTGCCCATGGCGCTGCCGTCTCTCGACTTTGGCAAGATTTTGTTGCTACCCGGTCTTTATCTTGGAGATGTCGTCTGTCTCGTTCTTACGATACCCGTCCAATTCGGTATTGGCAAACGATTTTACGTGTCAGCATACAAGTCAGTCAAGCACGGCTCCCCAACCATGGATGTTCTCGTCATCCTGGGCACTTCCTGTGCCTTCTTTTTCAGCGTCTTTGCGATGCTCGTATCCGTGCTGCTGTCCCCTCACACGAGGCCCAGCACGATTTTTGACACCAGCACGATGCTGATTACTTTTATCACCTTTGGCCGATTCCTCGAGAACCAGGCAAAGGGACAAACGTCCAAGGCGTTGTCTCGTCTCATGTCTCTGACGCCCTCCATGGCCACAATCTACGCAGATCCCATTGCCGCTGAGAAGGCGGTGGAGGCCTGGGCTAAATCTGCAGAGGATGTCAAGACTCCCAAGACGCCTCAGCAGGTACCGGATCTCGGCGGCCCTTCTGCCTACGAGGAAAAGTCGATCCCCACAGAGCTGCTCCAGGTCGGCGATATTGTCATCATTCGGCCCGGTGATAAGATCCCGGCCGATGGTTCGCTGGTCCGCGGCGAAACCTATGTCGACGAGAGCATGGTAACGGGAGAAGCAATGTCGGTTCAGAAGCGCCTCGGAGCCAACTTGATTGGGGGGACGGTCAACGGCAACGGCCGCTTCGACTTCCGAGTCACGCGCGCCGGGCGCGACACGCAGCTGAGCCAAATTGTGAAGCTTGTGCAGGATGCGCAGACCACGCGAGCGCCGATCCAGCAGCTCGCCGATACCTTGGCCGGTTACTTCGTGCCGACCATCCTCGTTCTTGGGCTCCTCACCTTTATGGCGTGGATGGTTCTGAGCCATGTGCTGCCGAGTCCACCAAAGATCTTCTTACAAGACGCCAGTGGCGGCAAGATCATGGTGTGCGTGAAGCTGTGCATCTCGGTCATCGTCTTTGCTTGCCCTTGCGCCCTTGGTCTCGCCACGCCCACCGCCGTCATGGTCGGCACCGGCGTCGGCGCCGAAAACGGCATCCTGATCAAAGGAGGCGGCGCCCTGCAAAGGACGACAAAGGTGACTCACGTGGTGCTCGACAAGACTGGGACCATCACCCACGGAAAGATGAGCGTTGCCAAGTCTACACTCGTGCCTCCCTGGAGAGACAACGAGTGGCGGATGCGTCTCTGGTGGACGCTTGTCGGGCTTTCAGAAATGGGCAGCGAGCATCCTGTCGGCAGGGCCATCCTCGCGGCCGCAAAGGAAGAGCTCGGCGTAGACCCAGAGGGCGCCGTTCAAGGCAGCGTCGGGGAATTCAAGATCAAGGTCGGCCGGGGCGTCAGCGCCCTCGTCGAGCCCGCCTCGTCGGCGGAAAGAGTTCGGTACAGAGTCCTGGCCGGTAACGTCAAGTATCTCGAGGAGAACGGCGTGGAGGTCCCGAGGGAGGCCATTGACGCTTCCGAGGCCACCAATGCCGCCTCCGCCACCAAGGCGACCAAGACGCTGTCGAAATCACCGTCCGCCGGGACCACCAACATCTTCGTGGCCGTGGATGGCCAGTACACGGGGCACCTCTGCCTCGCAGACGTCATCAAGGAAGGGGCGGCGGCGGCCATCTCGGTTCTGCATCGAATGGGCATCAAGACGGCCGTTGTGACCGGCGATCAGCGTTCAACGGCGCTCGCGGTGGCGGCTGCGGTCGGGATCTCGTCCCACGATGTGTACGCCGGCGTCTCGCCCGATCAGAAGCAGGCCATCATCAAGCAGATCCAGGGCCGGGGAGAGGTCGTGGCCATGGTGGGAGACGGCATCAACGACTCCCCGGCCCTGGCCACGGCCGACGTGGGCATCGCCATGTCGAGCGGCACCGACGTCGCCATGGAAGCGGCCGACGTCGTTCTCATGAGACCCACGGACCTGATGAGCATCCCGGCGGCGCTCCACCTGACCAGAAGCATCTTCCGGCGAATCAAGCTGAACCTGGCATGGGCCTGCCTGTACAACGTTGTCGGCCTGCCGGTGGCCATGGGGATGTTTCTGCCGTTCGGGCTGCACATGCATCCCATGATGGCCGGGTTCGCCATGGCATGCAGCAGCGTCAGCGTCGTGGTGAGCAGTCTGCTCCTCAAGTTCTGGAAGCGCCCACAATGGATGGACGACGCGGAAGCAGAGCAAAGGGGGCGTCTGAGATGGGTGAGCGGGAGCGGCGTCGTGGGCTGGGCGAGAGAGATGCTCGGCCGCGCACGCCACCAGGGCGACGAGGGATACGTGCCGTTGCAGAATCTCGAGGCGGAGCACGCGGCGTAGACGTCGGTCGAGGAGCCATCATTTTTGTCATTCATGGGAGCAGAGCAAAACTTTGTTTTTAAGCATTTCTTTGATGCAATGCAAGATGCACATGAAGCGACCACGAGCTTGCCCGTCCAACGTGTCCAGCGTGACTGAATCGTCAATGTTTTTTTTTTTTTTTGTCTTTTCGCATGTTGCTGCAGCATAACTGACTACATTACATGTGCGCCGCCAGAAAAGGCCCGACTCATGATATTTTATTCCAGTACTCCGTACATCTATCCAAGTCCTTAGTTGCTCCTCCTGTTCTTCTTCCCAGTCTCATCAAACAGCGTCCTGGGTGGGGGGATCGTCTCATGTGCCTTTATGTGGATGATGAATGATGAATCATGACGATGGCTGTGCTTGCGAAGCTGTCCCAGTTTCTAGTTCCCCGGGTATCGTGGTTATATCCCCATGCTCACTCTGCCGTGTGTCGCCGTGTCGCCCCGTCGTTCCCCTGGCCGAGTCGTCTGCGTCGACACTGTCCCTCGCACTGCGCTGTATTTCCCGGCGCCGAGCCGGTTGGGTTCGTCTGTATCTGTGTCCATGTGCGTGTGCACTCTCTCTATGTTTCGTGGCCCCGGGGGGTGACTCGTTCGTTGGCGACAGCGACCCGATAAACGGGTTTCCACTGCACGCCGCTGTCCATCAGGTTCTTGCGGGAATATGCAACCTTGCCCTTGGCCGCGGCGTCAACCTGCTGTTTCATCTAGTACTCATTTTTTGCGTCCCGTTACAGGGCTGCATCCTGCTGACCCTGGAAGAGAATGCCTTCATGCTCGCCGCATATGTCTTTCCAGGGAATGAACTTGCCACCAACCTCTTCGTCTGACCAAGCGCCACCATATTCGCCCACCACTTCTCCATCCTTGGGATAGACTGACTTGGCCAACCATACTCGGCCGTCTATTGGCTCGGGAGAAATGGCATCGCCCCTTTGAATCGACCGCACCGACTCCCGGAGAAGGGATCGGATAAACGGATAGAACCACATCTTGCGAAACTCCGAGTCAATCGAATCCTTGGCCCCTGTACAGTGCCAGAGCCCGTAAATGTGTTTTGTTACAAGATTCGTGGCGAGTTGCACCTTTTGTATCCAGGTATCTGCCGACGAACCAGGGTGTGCCTTGGGGATGGAATCGTACAGCTTCGCCAACGCCATTCGAACGTTGATCGGCATGTGGATTGGGAACGGGGTGAATGCCTCCCCTTGGTTGAACATGTCCACGTGTACTTGGTTTGTGTAAGACGGGCCACTGTACTCAAGGTAGCCCAGGAACGGCTCGTTCGCTGCCTGGGTTTGAAAAAGAGCCGACTCGTATTCGATGGCGATATGGAGCTCAGTCGGCTGTGATTCCGATAGCTTCTCGGGAAGTACGCGATTCGCTGGCCCTCCCTCTACCTCTGACCCGTTGGCAATCTGCTTGGATCGCGAATATTCCTGCCGAGCCCAAAGATTAGCCAGATAGTACTGGTCAGACTCTGACTGCGGGAAGTTGACATCGTGCGTCGCCGCGATTTCGTCCATTGTAGCATCTATCACTTTTCTCATATCTCCAATGGGAGCTATGACGGTCCCAGAGTTCAGCCACCGAGGATCATTGGTTCGTAGGTCTTTTGCCCCCTGATCTTCGCCAAAGGCATTCTTCCCCAGATATGGGGGCGGAACAGCCCAGCAACGTCCAGCCGCCGCGTCTCCTGGCCAGCAAATCTTGTCCGGACCCCAAAACACTGTCTGCTTCACATCTTGTTCATGAAGTTCTCTGACAGACATGCCCATTCGTTCAGCTAGATGAGCGTCCGCTCTTTGCGCTATATCAAAGTAGCGTTTAACCATGATCTCTACGGGTAGTTGGTGGATTACGTCGTATCCGTCAACCATGATGACAAGATCCTCATCTTCTTCTGGTGAAAGACCATCCAGGTATCGCTTCATCGTGCGCAATTTTGCTAGGTGCGTCCGGGCAGCGTCGAGCTCCCCTTGACCATTCCAGCCTATAAGTGTGGGAACCGGATATCTGTTGACCGCCGCCGAGGCCAAAGCGTAGCAGAGACGGACGTTTGAAACACTTGCCGGGACCAAGAAGTGTAATCGCGATGTTCCATGTTGGCTAGTCGAATCATTCGGAACGTGAGCGACTTGCACTTCGCTCGCTCCTTGGCTCGATTTCGCCGGAAGGATTCTCATATATTGGCCCTGGATAGGTCTTATTAGCCAAGATTCTGCCGTGCGGTGCCGTTACAACGCCAGCCTTACATTGTCCAACGAGCCCGACGTATACAAAACGACCACCAGCACCAAGGCCACGCCGGCAGCCAGCACTATGTTGTGCCGCCTTACAATAGCCAGCCCCATGTCGGCGACTGGATGAGAGGATTGAGAGTTTTGATCCCAGGAAGAGGGTGGATATAATACGTGAGTGCGTAGGTGATGGGGGATTGACGCGGACGAGGTGCAATACGGTATAAATCGCGGAGTCAACCGCATACAATCTGGAGCAATGCAATGCTGTGCCGCTTAAGGAAAAGAAAGAACGCCTTGTTGATCAAACAAAGGAACCAGTATCACTCTCATCACCTTTAGGAAACTTTGGGTTGGGGAGGGGAGACGGAGGACAGAGAAGAAGGAGAAGGGGAAGGAGAAGAACAAGAACAACAACAAGAACAAGAAGAACAAGAACAAGAACAAGAAGCACGGTGACGCCCTGTCGACAAGTTCAATAGGGTGAGGCAAGGTTTCCACGAGTAAGTACAAATATGGAGCCGGACAACAGGATCACTACGTACATGCCGCAACGTCGAGTCAGCACCCTTGAGCCTTGGGGTTGCCTGGCAGGCATGCAGTTCATACCTTCGGTTACAGGTGTATTTGAGCACCCCGTGCGTACGTATATACCGAGGAGCAGGTTATTTCAGCATTGTTTCCACTGCCCTTCTTAGGCTCTTGTTGGTTCCTTCATCGAGGCTGCAGCAACTTCTCGCCAAGTTGCATGACGGGTGAGGTGAGCCTTTTGACGGTGCAACTTTGCGGTAAACATGTTGACGCTTGACATGTTCGGTCCATGGCTTTTTTTTAAAAACCAAAATGGAGACACGTTACAACTGACAAGCAACAGCATGGAACTCCAGGGTGGATTTGGCCAGTCCCTCTCTTGTCCTGATACGTTCATCCCAAGAATGCTTCCCGTTTGAGGCCGGCGCTGGTGCGACGAATGATGAGCCACTTTGGGCAAGTTTGCTGTCCGATCGCAAAGCTTGCTTTGCTTGCTGGTCGCCACCAAGGACCCTCCCTCTCTGTTCCTCATCTCCTGCAGTGGGTAGTTGAATCTGGCTGCCAACAAATCAGGCTGGCCGCATGTAGTTAGCAGACGGCTGACGGCTTGCTGAATAATAAGACGAAGCTTTCGGCATCGAGCGAGGAAGTCTAGTTCTCGCGATGCGGTTGTCTGTTGCTGCTCCTGGAACTCTGTTCGCGAAGCGCCAACCTCCGACGTTGAGTCAGTCCCATCTCTGTACTCCGTACGGCGTACTGAGAAATACGAGATCTGCGAAAACGCCCAGACGTTGTGGGCTTATCGCATCCAATTCGCGACGACTCTCCCGACATGGCCGTCTTGGCGAGTAACTTGGCGGGCAACTTGGCGCGTAGATGTGTCTGCCACTGTAAGCACGGAGTACCGAGCCGTAGTAATGCTGCTATTGACAACGCTCAACACCAGACGACCGAGTTTTATTAGCCGCGCCGCCAAGTCTCTGGGCACGTTTGCTTGGCGGTTCAACCATGCAAGTTTCGAGCATGCTGCTATCCCATTGTGTTTTCTCGGCACTCTCTTTCTTGTCGTAGGCGGTGTTGGTGCTATGCTATTATTGCGTCTGACCAGGTACCGAGTATGTTGAGTTTTGAGATCTGAGGTTCGGAACATGGCCGCCCGCCCCTGGCCCCTGTGGCGTCTCTCCCTCATCCGCCCAACGTCAAGAAGGGACTGACTTGTGTCGGCAACGTCTGTTGAGCGCCTGCGAAGGAGTGATTGCGGCCTTTACACTTTACAGTGGTACATGTGAGACAAAGCAACGAGTCGCTCGTCTGCACTGCTCCCCCCCTTGCCGTTTTTCTGTCTTGTGTCATGCAGAGATCAAACTTCAATGCCTACGGAGTACTGAGCTTGGTTTGTGCTGTTGCCAGACAATCCGGAGTACTTGGGCGGTCAATAAAGGAGAGACACACTAGCACGGGGGACCTGTAACTGCTAGGGCTTACCAAGATCCCGGTGGCTCGAGAGAGAGAGACGCTCGGGCTTGGACCACAATGGAGAGGTAGTACTGATCAAACATCACGTTACCCCCTGCGCAGAACCGATCGTCTACTCTGCAAAGTGCCGAAGGACCCAAGGAAGCTGATGTCGCATCAGGAACCTGGGCATCTGCCAGGGATAAGCCTACTTTCCGGCGGCACCTTTTTAAATGCAACATGCAACAAAGCAGGGACGAGGCTCTTCATGCGACTGTGACGGGTTGCAAAAGACCGATGAGCCCTATGCTCCCGAGTCGAAGCAGACCGCTGGCTGGCTTTCCGTTGTTGGCCAGATGCGGTATGTGTAGGCATGTAAAACGCCGTGGTGGCACCTGGTAGTTACAGACTGTCGATTGCTGGTTGGATCTCGTAGTACCGAACGAACCCCCACCCTCACGGAGTCATGGCTGAAATAGCAACCACAGTGTCGAGTCTCAAAGCATGGAGGGCATCGATAGATTCCGCCTTGGTCCTTCAATCGGCTGTCTTTTTGTAATTCATCACTGTGTCCGGCATAGGAATTCGTGGCTGCTCTCCGGTTTGCGCAGTTGCCTGAATGCCAACTTCTGACGCCCGGGAACGGACACGTGGACGCTTGACGATGGATGCTGGTACTTCGGTGTCGGTCAAGACTCAAGACGCAAGACAATGTCGGGAGTGTCTTTTCGGGTTTCGGTCGGTTGTGGTTTGAACGTTTGAGGAGGCAAGGTTTGCTCGCGCCATGTCAGCCGCCAAGACCTTTGTGGGCCCCAGTCAATGCTCAATCGACATGTGCCAGCAGTCCACTGGTCAGTGGACCTTGTGGCTGGCACCTGGCTGGCACCTGGCTGGCACCTCTTGGACACAAGCCCTCACTAATAGCGTCCCTGCCTCGGTGCCTCCAGCGCTCCTAATTCAGTGGCCACTTCAAACCCAGCACCACCTGCCCTTCCGCCCTTCCGCCCTTCCGCCCTTCCTCAAACTGTCTCTTTCCATGGCATGGGCTACGGGATGTACGGAGTACTGCTGAAAAGTTACTTGGCCATCAGCGTCACGCGGAAAGGCAATTTGACCAGGCGACATTGGTGCCACACCCCTCTCCGGGGCTTCCCCCTCGACAATGACCCGTAGACCCGTAGACCCAGACAGACGTGACATGGCAAGTGCCCAGTCGAGTGCCAAGTAAGTTCTTAATGTCCCGACCTACCCTGCTTAAGCAAGTAAGTACCTACTTAACTTAAGGTAGTAGTTAACTACCTGACTACTCCGTACCAGCCACTGCACCTTGTCGCCACACAGTTCCCTCTCTCCTGCTGCAGCCTGCTACGGTCTACCAACTTACCTAGGTACTTACCCGCTCAACGTGCCTTTGTTTGGCTACGCACTTCTGCCTCTTCTTCAACCTCCTCCTCCTCCTGGCCGCGCAATCACCTTCGTTTTCTCGTCCTTCTTTACCTAGGACTGATGTTGAGCCATTGATTCGGATCTTTGGATCTTGTTTGTGGGAGTCTTCGCCCCCTTCTCTCGCCACGCTCTCTACCTTATTCTGTCCTTGTTATGTTCCTGGCTTGCCTTTTCCGTTGGTCCGTCGATTTCCTTGGTTCTGTCTGCTCCTGCATTTCGGGTGCCCCAGTTGACGGCTGCGGTATCACCGGGTTCGAATCTTTGCTGCGCCACGACATTCCCTTCCATCACTCTCTGACTCTTGTTTCGAGGTCCATATCTTAGTTGATTGAATTCCGGGCTGAATTGCAATCTTGTTCTAAGCTGAAGACGACCATACTATGCGGCCGTCGCAACAAGTTCGCAGTTTTGGAAGCTGAAGCTCCTGGCCCTTTCGCCCATTGCCATCGACCACTATTCACCAGTCGAATTTTCCTCGTCACACCCAAACGAAAACACCAAGAATGTCACGGAGGAGTAATGACGGACCTGTTCATCTCGTCTTTCAAGGAGGGAACGACGAGGGCCTCAAGCTTTCGAATCTAGATGTCGAGGCCAGTCCAGGACGTTCAGACACACCACGGGACCAGAACTTGGATCATGAATACTCAATTCCGAGCACCATCAAGTTTACATGGCTGGGGACGTACTTCTTCTTCTCTTTGCTCCTGACCCTCTACAACAAGCTAGTGCTGGGCATGGTGAGTTTTTGCGTCTATTTTCATTCTGTTTTTGTTTTGTTATTTCTCTCCAACTTTCCCCCCCCGGGACCTTGAGCCGTGTCTACACATTGCTTGACGCGGGTGCTGATTACGGTTGAAATGTGCAGTTCCATTTCCCATGGCTACTTACATTTCTTCACGCCTCCTTTGCCAGCATGGGAACATTAGCCATGATGCACTTGGGTTACTTCAAACTGTCGCGCCTGGGACGCCGCGAAAACCTAGCTCTCGTCGCTTTCAGCGCACTGTTTACCGCCAACATTGCCGTGTCCAACCTGTCTCTCGCCATGGTATCCGTTCCGTTTTATCAAACAATGCGAATGCTGTGCCCCATTTTTACGATTCTCATTTACCGCACCTGGTACGGTCGTACCTATAGCTACATGACCTACCTCTCTCTCGTGCCATTAATCATTGGCGCCGCCATGACAACGGCGGGCGAAATGACGTTCACCGATGCCGGCTTCCTTCTGACCATGTTGGGAGTCATGTTGGCTGCTGTCAAGGTACGTCAGACAAATGTTGCACGGCGGGAGACTCCCTTGCAGCTAATCGAAAACCCAGACCGTTGTGACCAACCGATTCATGACTGGCTCCCTGGCATTACCTCCGGTAGAGTTTCTCATGCGCATGTCGCCCTTGGCTGCTTTGCAAGCCCTGGCGTGTGCTACCGCGACAGGCGAAGTTGGTGGCTTCCGAAAACTTGTAATTTCTGGACAGATTTCCCTTCCGAGCTCGATTGCGTCACTATCGGGAAACGGTTTCCTTGCACTTCTCCTGAATATTTCCTCGTTCAACACCAACAAGCTGGCGGGCGCTCTAACAATGACGGTCTGCGGCAATTTGAAGCAGTGTCTCACTGTCTTGATTGGAATCTTCCTCTTCAATGTCAGCGTTGATCTGCTCAATGGAGCAGGCATGGCTGTGACAATGGTTGGCGCTGCTATGTACAGCAAGGCCGAACTCGACAATAAGAAGAGGAGTCCACCGCCGCAATACAAACCTGTGGGCCAAAATCCCAGGTAGCGCTTTACGCCATGTTCTTTGTTTGAAGATACCCAGCGATGATCTTTTAGACGACATGACCGAAACAGCCGACAATGGAGACGGCAGAATTCGGGCACGGGGAAGCGGCGAGACGGGGGTGATGCGCCCCAATTGTAAGCATATGATGAGGCAAGCACCTTTTGCAGCGCATGTACGGGGACACTGGAGACTTGCATGGCATACATATCCTCCCCGGTTCTACATACCAGCCACATATAGATGTGAGCATCACGGGGGAATTGGGCTGCGTTTGGTTATTATTACTTCAAAGGGAAGAGGTCCATTGTCCCGACAAGATGAATTTTTGGCGTTAGGACACTTGTCGCCGGCAAAGCAAGCACAGCGAATTTGTGCGCTGGGGGCACTGTACTAGTTCCAGGATATGGTAGTTTTGTTCCATCATGAAGCGTTTTTCTGCCACCAATGAGAAACAGAGCAGATGAAGTAAAAATGAATCCCCAATCAGGTCAAAAGGGCTCCCTGCTGGCTACAACGCGTCGCAGTATCACGTGTCCAATGCCGCCTGGGACATCACCCAGCAGACAAGTCTTCTCGGAATGTCCTACTGGGGTGTTGAAGCGCCGGGTCACTCCTTCCAGGGCCATGACGGCTGCATGTATGTGCTCCTTGCAGGACCAGAGCTGTCACGTCTCACCACTGCGCATCAAGCAAGTGCACTCGGCGCCGAACCGGCAAAGAAGAAAAAGTAAAAAGGTGGACTGAAGCCGAGAGCCAGGAAAAAGGCTGCATGGAAACGGTGGCGTGGATGGCAAAGCAAAGAAAGCAAAAAAATAAAAAAAATAATAAATAAAAAAATGCAAAATGGGACGCGTCATCTGCAGTGGGAGCGGGGCGTACCGCAACCGACAGACAGGGTTAGGTTGATTTGCGAGATTTGTGGCTGGAAGCGCGCCAATGTTCCATGTACAGTAAACCACCTCTATAACGATAACCTTCGTGAGCCTTTTTTCATCGTAATATAGCGACTATCGCTAAGATGCGACTATTGTGGGGTTGTACCTCCCCTTAGAAATTACTAGTAAAAGTACATATTAAGGGATTATTAGCGAAATTTGCCTTATTATTAAGAAACCTAGCTCTACCTAACTCTACTATAAGAAAATTCAGCCTAAAAAGTAGGGCCTTATAATAATAAAATGCATAGTGACTAAGCAAAAAGTCAACAATATTATTAGTAACGCGACTATTAACGATTTACTAGGGAAAAACCTTAGATGACCGTGAATTATCGTAAAAACCCGAATATCCGAATATCGCTAAGATACAGGGGATCGTTATAGACATAGTTTACTGTAACTTAGTCACCGTACCCATGTTGCCTCGTTTTCCGAGCTCATGCTGATGAGGATGACGCCGGGTGTGTACGCACCGTGGAGTGGTTTTTTGCCTGGGCCGTGGGGAAGTGTTGAGCTTGTCTGGGTTGTTAAGGAGTCATGCTTGAGAACTGCACTTGTACTCCGTACCTGCACTTGTAACTACCGCCTCCATTGGTCGTCGACAGACGGGTGCCGGGATTCATGTACGGAAGGAAGCACGGAGTACGGGGTACGGCTACGGCTACAACACCGCTTCGAGTAGTTACGTGCCCGGCGCTCCGTACGCGTACAATGCCCCGGGGCCAAGTCAGGGCCCGAGTGTGCCGAAGGCTGCCGATCCTCATCGGAACCAGGCCGCGCAACACGTATCATGCATGTACTATTTGTTTTTGCGGCTCCGCAGGCGTGGCGTGCAATCGACATGTCGTTGCACAGATTTCACTGCGTGGCTGAAATGAAATGGGGGTCTTTGCATCTGCATCAATAGCGTAGCTCATATTTTCGCCGGCATCTGCCATCTGAACTGTTGTGTTTGTCGTCCGTCGTCGTGTCGGTCTTGCCAGCTGTGACGGCAGGCTCACCTTTGCTGGTCTTGTTCATCTTCATGTGGTTGCCCTTTTTGGGCACACCGCCGAACCAAAAGACACCGAGGAGTCCTTTCCCCCCTGCACCGGATACATCGTCCCCCGACGCGACACGCGCATGCATGGCAGTAGAACCCCCCCGTCTAAGCAATGATTCACGCGACGCTGCGCAGCGCGTGCTAGGATGTGTTCGTGAACAGGCTAGTATGGCCCTTGGAAAATTACTAGTACATAGTGCCAAACACATAGGGACGTACCTACTTAAGTAGGTATAGAGAGGGCTAGGCCAAAGGTCGTAGTCATTCAGCCTCGAGGCGTTGCGGCTTCCCCGCACAATCCGAATCTGAACACGCGCAAGCTCGTCTCACACAAGGCAATATTGGAGTAATTGATAAGAGTAGCGTCATAGAGAGTTGTGATGCGCAATTGATCAATGAACGGCGGCGCCACTGACACCTAACACCCCATTTGTCCTCGTTGTCCACCAGCCTGGGTTCAAAGGCGTGAGCGTGTGGGACCCTTGACGCAGCACATGCGTCCCTCTCTCTCGGCGATATTCGCCCATCTCCCATGGACAGAACAGGTTCCTTTTCGGTGCGTGCCGCAGAACAGACAGGCCTAGATTCCAATTACAAAGACGCACATGTCCTTCCTTCATAGCTCCGTCGAACCCAAACGAGACAAATCGTCGGTGGCGCAACGCTCGATGCTCGCTGCCGCCTGTTTCAGATTGCGAATGCCTCGTTTCACGTCGTCCAGCGTCGCGTTTGACTGCAGGCCTAGCGTCAGAGCGAGGATTTCTAGATCTGTATATGCTTCAACGCCAGCTGCCTTATTCGGACCACCCTCTATGCTTGGCGTCGACGTCGTAGCGCTATGTTGGCTGGGTGATGATGAAGACGAGAGAGAGAGGATCTCGGGAACCACCGCAGGATCAACATTCCCGCTCCAAGACAGGGGTGCAAAAGGTTGGTCAAATTTGCTACCGCTCTTCTTCAGCATGACAAAACGTAGAATGACTTCGGTCACCGTCACGAGGATGCTGCCCACAATGAGAATGATGACGATCCACGTAATGTAGCTCATCTTGGCATCAGCTATTGAGTCCGACAAAATCTCGGCGAGGTCGAGGAATACCCGACATCTTTCGTTGAGAACCTTGATTCGAGGGTCAATTTCGAGATACTCGCGGATGGCAACGTAAAGCGGGTGTAGTGTTGGTTCTGAGTCCCAGAAGAAATTCGGCACGTCCAGAATATTCGATGCTACATGACAATGGGGTCAGAAGAACAATTTCCTGTTTCTTTTCGAATTGAACCCCCAGGCAGACTTTTTCTCCAAACGGACAAGGGAAGACGAGCAACAACTTACAAAGATTGATATCTACTCTGCTCTTGAATAATCTGCCGAGAAGAGTAACAATTTCGACTCTCGTCATATTCAACTGTCCCGTCAGTGCCAATGTTTTCGGCACATGCTGCGCATCTAGCATGGTTTCGCTCATCCTCTCCTCGAAGAAGCACAACTTGGTGCTCTGGGCAATGGCATGGCTAATGGTTAACTTGATCATGTGGTCAGAGCGAGGCAACAATGTAATCATGTCGTTGAACACTCTGGGGCGCTTCACGTCGGCACTGTACTCGAAGTGAAATTCTTCCGTCTCGAAATCGTCCTGCTCCAGTGGGCGGGTCAACAGACTCATGCTATCTTCAGCATCTGCGAAAGTCAAGTCGGCGAGAATATCCTTCTCCTGATGCTCTGTGAAGTTCCAGAATACCACAACACCGTACGAGAAGACAAACATCTCGGCAAAGTTTTTGGCATCGGGGGCCAGCCGGCTCATCTGTGACGGGATGCCATCATGCTCATGAGATGGGGAGGAACTGTGGGCAGAGGAGTCTCTTCTATCTCGTTCTGGACTTTCCGGCCGTGCATACGCATCGTCTTCGAAATACCCCTCGTGATGATCACGCTGCTCGCTCCTCTCAATCTCCAAATCGAGCATGGTCTTACCCGTGCCTGGAGTTCTCAGCATAGGTCGTCCTCGTATTCGATATCCCTCGGTGCCATTCAACAAGGGCAAAGCGTAAATGGCATACAGGCAGTCGTCATACAGTTTGGTTTTTGCTTCGTGCCTCTTTCTAAGAAATTCCGACGTCTCTGCCGTCTTGTAGGCCTGAGCTGTGCAGTACGCTGTCAGGCGACTGACCTTGTCTTTTCGTTGAGGCTTGGGTAGCCTTTCGGCATAGCTCTTCCCTCGGACGCCGCCTCTTTTCCTAAGGACGTCCAACTCTTCGTCCCTCAACGGCCCATTTCCTTCGTTTTGCAATCGTCGGGCCAACACTGTTTCGTTTTCCACCTCTTCTTCCGCATCATCGCCATGATTATCGGTCTCGGGCAGAAGTACCAGCTTTTGACTGATCTTGGTTGTTCGTGATGGCATAGGCTGGCCGGTTCGAGACTGGAGATTAGGCAAACCACCTCCAGAAACGACTCTTCTACCTTGGCCGGCGCCGGCTGCTACATGAGGTCTCTGTGGAGTCGGGGGTGCTCGTGGCTGCCCGGACGGGATCTGTGTGTTGTATTGTAGAACATTATCGACGGTCATAAACCGCATGGGTACTCGTCCAGGTGCTCCGGAAGAGGTATCCTGACGACGAAGAGACCTGCGTTGACCCGGTCTCTCACGCGCATCTGTGACCTATTCCGCCTGTCAGCGATTGAGACGTCTAGATAGTTGAAGTATGAGAAATGGTATATATATATATGTGTGTGTGTGTGTGTGTGTGTGTGTGTGTGTTTGTGCAAGTTAACTTACTAGCACCGTCGGGCCTCTTTTCCCTGACGACATGTTTGCATCAAATGGCCAGGTCCGGCAATGAGGTATCTTTTGTTGTCTGCCCAGCAGAAATTACGTCCGGGTCGAAGATGACAGCGGATTTGCTGGGCCTGCCCATTCGGCTGCGTCGGACGAGTTCACATTGACTGATGACCAAAGATGTTATCAAAGACTCAAAGAAGTACAGATGTCGTCAGTTGGGTTTTGTGATGTAACTCGGATGCATGTGTTTAGTGGTACGTACTGTGTACATGTGCAGATTTATGCATCACGGGGCACAGCCCGACCGGTACATGGACCAATCGCTGGCAACAAGCCGACTTTTGGTCGACGCCACGACGCTTTTGGTGGCGGGCGAGATCCTGGATACTAATTTGTATTGAAGCGCCTACTGAAGTACTTAGGTAAGTGAGTAAGTACCTAGGTAGGCTATTGTTTTTCCAAAGACAGCTGAAAGACCTGAAAAATTGTTACAGAAAAATAAAGGCTACCATGTGCTACTAGGAGATTATGTGCTATCTTGTCATAGCCTGTAAGCCTAAAAACAGTCACCAGAATAATCTCTGCGCACCCTACAGTACCTTTGTAAGTACCTTGGAAGGTAGGCCCAAGCTCGAGATACCATGTCGTCCGCTATACCTAGGTAGCCAATCACAGTCGAGACCTTCGCGTTGCTGGGTGGTTGTACCGCATGTTTGTTTACATCAGACAACCGCTCCCGAGAGACGGAACCCCGCGCGACGTGCAGAGCTGCAGCTGCTTTGCGCTGCTTGATATGAACGTATCAGTACTCCGTAGTAACTCGACTTATCAGCCCAAGTGCTTGCTTCTGTTCAGGCTAGGCCTCTTCTTCTGGCCCGAGGTTGGTTCTTGTCAGGGATCTGTCATACTTGCTGGCAGCATCACCAACACGGCTGCGGCAGAACATTGAATTCTTCTGCCGCTGGTATAGCCTCCCTTCCGTCACGCGCCCTCCCCCCCGGCTAGCCGCTGGTGCTTCTTTCTCTGACTGGCATTCGTTTCTTGTGTCCCGATTTTAGAATCTTGTTTTCCCGCAGAGCGGTGCCCTCAGCATTCCATTGCCTCCCCCCAACCCCCCATCGGCCCCCCATTCCGACATAATGTACATTCTGTCATAGGAGTCTTAACAAACAGGATCTAGCTAGTGGCCTGTGTTCACTATTGCGCGCCCAGAGACGTGAGCGAGACATTCAAACAATGTCGTTCCAGTCTCATCCTCTGCGTCGGTCGCGCACCGCCGACCTCGCTCCTCCTCCTCTACCCAACTTCATGCATAACAACAACATATCTACTAGCATCTCAAACATCAACCGCTTCCCTTCAACGACCTCGTCATCCGCATCCTCGGGCTATTCATCCGCATCCGACCGCAGCGCCATCTCACAATACACATCGGCATCGAGCGACCACGGCTCCCCCGCTGGCCACAAGTACAAGCGCGGCCAAAGCGATGTCCTCGCCCGGGCACGAACTTTTGAAGCAGGGGCAATGAATGCCTTCAACAAAGGGCCGGAAAATCGTCCTGCGACCCCAACTCGTCAGTCTCTTCGGCCGCTGCCCCAGCCCCGGACATCGTCTCCCAGATCTCCCGCTCAGGGTGCTTCGTCTCCAAGTTCTCTTCGACATGGCCGTGGACGCAGCGTCGACATCAGCAAGTTATCTCTCAGTCAATATGATGGCCCAGCAGCCTCGCCTACATCCCCACCACCGCGGTCGTTGCCCATGCGCCCCAACTCAATGCTGCTGACCCGATCCGACTCTATTCTTCATGGTACAACACCCATGACGCATGGCAGCTCGCCTCAAGGAGCTCACACAACACACATCGGCCGCCCCGACCTCGAGCTGCTTGGACGATCCTCCACCCGTGAATTACGTACCTTGTCTCGGCTGGCTGAGTCTGACGTCGCAGAAGAATTCACCATCACATCGCCTGCACAAGAGGTCGTTGGTTTGCGTGGACGACGCCGACTGCAGTGTATCGACAAGTCCAACGGTACTCGCAACACCAAATACGGCGGCTATGGGTGGGAGGGCCAGAACTGGATGGATAAGCAGCGCCAGTTCCTCCAGGCCTACGAGTATCTTTGTCACATAGGAGAGGCCAAAGAATGGATAGAAGATGTCACGCAAAAGACTCTTCCACCAATTGTTGAGCTGGAGGAAGCTCTGCGGGACGGAGTCACTTTGGCCAATGTGGTCGAAGCGCTGAATCCTCAGAGGCATTTTCGAGTATTCCACCATCCGAAACTTCAATTCCGTCATTCGGATAACATTGCCATCTTTTTCAGATATCTCGACGAAGTCGAACTCCCTGATCTCTTCCGATTCGAACTTATTGATCTTTACGAAAAGAAGAACATACCAAAGGTCATATACTGTATTCATGCATTGAGCTGGCTCCTCTTTCGCAAGGGCATAGTCGACTTTCGAATTGGCAACCTCGTCGGGCAGCTTGAGTTTGAGCACCACGAATTAGAAACAATGCAAAAGGGTCTGGATATGCTGGGAGCTAATATGCCCAGTTTTGGTAATATGGGCGCCGATTTTGGCGTACCGGAGCCCGAGCCTGCGGAAACGGAGGAAGAGCGAATCGACCGCGAGCTAGGCGACAACGAAGAATCAGTGGTCGATCTGCAGGCTCAAATACGTGGGGCTTTGATTCGGTTGCGACTTGGGAGTAAAATGCAGCAGTTCTGGGACGAGGAACATTGGCTGATTGATTTACAATCCCGTATTCGCGGCGACTTCACCCGGCAGATTATGAGCTATCGGCTCCAGATGCGGCGATCTGCCATCTTGACACAAAGTGCGGCGCGAGGATTCCTGGTCCGAGAGTGTTTAAGGACGAGGGATGATTTTTGGGCCGCTCATGAGCTGGATATTCTGCAGCTCCAGAGCATAATACGGGCCAAGAAGGTTCGTGACGAGGTACGAGGCTTATCGCAATTCTTGGACGGCTGCAAGGGGCCTGTCCGGGAGATCCAGGCAGTTTCCAGGGGGTTCTTGGTCCGCAAAAATCTGGCGGCTCAACAGAAAGAGACGGAAGAGGCTTCGGGCCGCGTCGAGAGACTTCAGGCTCTCGCTCGTGGGATGGCATTGAGAGCTAGAACCAGCCAGCATCTCCAGTTGTTAGGAGGGCAGGCTGGCATGATTGCGAGCTTACAGGCTGCTGCAAGAGCGCTGCTGACCAGGACTCAGATCGACCGCGAGCAGCAACAGCTGCGTGCCCTTGGCCCAAAATGGGAGGCACTTCAAGGCGTTATTCGGGGAAAGCTTGTGCGGGAAAGGGAGGGAGCATGTAAGGTCGAAGCTCGGAAACACAAGCTCAAGGTTGGCCATCTGCAGGCAATGATTAGAGCGGGCGCTGTGAGACGTGAAGTTGCGAGAAAACTAGACGCTCTAGAGGAAAGCAGAGACAAAATTCTTTCCCTTCAATCGGGCGCCAGGGGAATGATGGAAAGACTCAAGGCCGCTGCCTTGCAACGAGAACTCAACCCACACGGGCCTCGGATCACAGGATTGCAAGGACATGTTCGAGGCTACCTTGGCCGAAGGCAATACCATGCGCTCCTAGTCGAACTGAACTCGCATAACGAAGCCACAGCAGCATTCCAGGCAATTCTCAAGGCCATGATGACCCGCGCAAGAATCGATGATCTCCTCACAGAACTCGAAGAAGGGGAGAAATCTATCGTGGCTCTGCAGGCTGCCGCAAGAGGATTCATGGTGCGAGCGAAATTCGAGGAAAAGAAACGCTATTTCAACGAAAACATGAAGAAAGTCATCAAGATCCAGAGCTTTGTTCGCGCCAAGGTGCAGGGCGAGGCGTATAAAAGCCTGACCACGGGCAAGAACCCCCCGGTCAATGCGGTGAAGAACTTTGTTCACCTTCTGAACGACAGTGACTTTGATTTCAATGAAGAAGTTGAATTTGAACGGATGCGAAAAACGGTCGTTCAGCAGGTGCGTCAGAATGAAATGTTGGAGCAGTACATCGACCAGCTCGACATCAAAATTGCGCTACTCGTAAAGAACAAGATCACTCTGGATGAGGTTGTGCGGCATCAGCACAACTACGGCGGCAACTCTATGGGATTTTTAGCCAACAGCACGATTACTCTGGCCAACCAGTTTGACTTGAAAGCGCTCAACAAAAGCTCACGCAAGAAGCTGGAGTCTTATCAGCAGCTATTCTTTAGTTTGCAGACGCAACCACAGTATCTTGCTCGGCTGTTCAAACACCTCCGTGAGCAGGGCACGTCAGAAAAAGAATGCAAGAGAATCGAGCTTCTCGTCATGAGTCTGTTTGGTTATGCGCAGAAGCGACGCGAGGAGTACTATCTCTTGAAGCTGGTGGCCCGAGCTATCCGTGAGGAGGTGGAAGGATGTCGGGCTGTCCAAGAGTACATACGAGGCAACTACTTCTGGCCAAAGCTACTGAATAACTACACCCGGTCACCTAGGGATCGCAAGTATCTGCGCAGTCTATTGGGACCGCTGATCCGCGATAATATCGTTGAGGATCCTGCCCTTGACTTGGAAAGCGACCCTATGCAAATCTATCGGTCTGCCATCAACAACGAAGAGCTCCGAACCGGTCGCCCCGATCCCCGACCGCTCGACGTACCACGCGAGGTTGCCATTAGAGATCCCGAGACAAGACGTCTATTCATCGACCATCTTCGGGATTTGCGGGAGATTTGCGATCAGTTCTTTCTAGCCCTGGAGGAAATGGCCCATAAGATGCCATACGGTCTCCGGTTCCTGAGCAGCCAGATGTTTCAAGCCATGTGTCAACACTTCAACCGCGAGCCGCAAGAAAACTTGCTTCAGCTCGTGGCGAACTGGATCTGGAAGTTCTACCTGCAGCCCGCCCTGACCCAACCGGAACAATTGGGTGTTATTGAAAAGTCACTCAGTCCACTCCAAAGAAGAAACTTGAGTGAGGTGGCCAAGGTCATCGGGCAGGTTGCCTCTGGGCGACCATTCGGCGGGGAAAACATCTATCTGCAGCCTCTCAACAACTTTGTAACAGACTCCGTTCAACGCATGCGGCAAATCCTACAGATTTTGATATCCGTGGCAGACGCCGAAAGCACCTTTGGCGTCGACGAGTTCAATGACCTTTATGCCAAGAACAAGCCGACTCTGTACATAAAGATGACGGACGTCTTTGCAATTCATAACCTGGTGGCGTCTGAGCTTCCCTTCATGTGCCCATCGCGGGATGACGTTCTCCGAGAGATCATCCAGGACCTGGGCAATGCCAAGAGCAATGAGAACGAAATGAATGCTGCTGGGTCGTCGGATATCCAAATGTTCTTGACTCCCAAGCTCCACAATGTCCAGGACCCGGAGGAAGATGTCAAGTCGCTCTTTATGGAGACGAAGCGCTGCGTCCTGTATATCATCCGGGTTCAGACTGGCGCCAACCTCTTGGAAATCTTGGTGAAGCCCATCTATGAGGAAGACGAAGAGAAGTGGCAAGCAGTGCTTCGTGATGACTTTTCGAGCGACGGCAACACTCGCGGGGCTTACTCGGACACCAACATGGTGGATGTGACGAGAATGAGTTACTACGAACTCAAGCGTACGGCACTGGAGAACATAATGAGGCTAGAACAGACGGGACGTATCTCGAAGCAAAACTACTACCAGGACGTTCTGAACGCCATTGCCAGCGATATTAGAACAAAGAGCCGCAGAAGAGTCCAAAGACAAAGAGAGCTGGAAGGGGTGCGTCTTACTTTGAGCAACTTGACTGACAAGGCCAAATACCTCGAACAACAAAGGAAGAGCTATGACGATTACATTGAGCAGGCGATGGCGACGTTGCAGAACAAGAAGGGGTATGTTTGTGTGATCCTCCTTTTCCACTGCTCGACCTGAAGACTCGCACTGACAACCGAAACCATGAACAGGAAGAAGAGGTTCCTCCTGCCATTTACGAAGCAATACAACCACCAGCGTGAGCTCGAGCGCAGTGGCCGGGTGCCCAAATTTGGGAGCTACAAGTACAGCGCCAGAACGCTCTCCGAAAAGGGCGTTCTGGTATCCTGGGTTGGCATTGGTGACCGAGAATGGGACAACATCAACATCACCATTTCTTGTGACGAGGTTGGTGTGTTTGCCATCGAAGGGTCACGGGGCCACATTCAGATACCGGGTGCGAGCGCCATGGTCCCCATTGAGGACATGTTGCAGGCACAGTTTGAATCTCATCAGTTCATGAACCTGTTTGAGGGTAACGTGAAGTTGAACGTCAACTTATTGCTACATCTCGTATACAAGAAGTTTTACGGAACGTAGCCACGTCCCCACCAAGAGGAGGTACATGTGTCCTGATGAAGCGCTCCCTTGATGTTTTATTGACTTTGCATTTGTCATGGGTAGCGATTAGAACAGGGAGAAAAGGGCATGGCTCGGTGTTTGCTGGCTTGTTATTTTTTGTCTGTGCAAGAAACTCAGCTGTTTTATATTATAGGATAGGGATTTTGACGAACGCGTAATCTCGGTGCGCAAGTTTGAGGCTGGACTGTACGGATGGACTGGGGCTGGACGGCACTGGACGTGAATATGAATATGGGTCTGGTATAGGTGAGGCGCTTCGGGAATGGCTTTGCCGGGGGGGGGGGGGGGTTGTCTTGTACAAAAGTACCCTGGTATTCTTGTGTGTCTCGGTATTATTATTGGCGCGAATGAAAGAATTGAGAAGGACTCTTGCTCGTCGAAATGTCTCGACATCATCTAGACTGCCCAACGCTGATGGCGGTGAGGAGCTTGTGCTGCCCAGGACAGGTCCATGTGTATGATCCGAACGAGCTTTGGGGTCGCCCGAGTCTTCCAACTGCGATGCGATGTGCGTGGCTCTTTTGGACTTCAGCAAATGCACTGATTGGGCGGATGGGCAAGAGTGATTGATCATAAGCACAGCCGGCTGCAGTAACCGAGCGTCATGTCCGAACCTTGTTGTCCAACATGCTGAGGCTGTCTGTCTTGTTCGAATCGGCGGTGACGGCCTGTTACTGAAGGACATCGGGCGGCTTGGTCACGTTTATCATTGGGAATATTTACGTAAAGCCGGCGAGCCCGGGTGGTGAGGCGAATGATTCCAAGTGCTCGATTGCCGGTTCGGGGCAAACAGGCTGCCAAGGGTCATGCTTGGCCGTCAAGTCGCATCATGGAAAGCTGACGGACTTGCCTCCATTGTGAACACGGAAAAAGCAGGGCGTTGGACAAGAAATAGTTGCATGACGGTTCAGGGGTTGGTTGGTGCGGCGCGGGCGCTCAACTGGCTCGTTTCGCTCGTGGGTCCCTGTTCTTTGGTCTTTGGATGCTGGTGCGAGCTCAACTGTACTCCGTGCGTGTTTGTTGGTATTGGTGGGACAGGGACAACGATAGGTGCATGCTGCGGCATCATCATGCAAGAGGTGCAATGCAATACCCGTCCTTGTCTCTTGTCTCAGCGGTGTCTGGACAGTTCACAATATTCGTTGGCTGGTTCACGCTTGGGTCGAATTCGGAAAGCTAGTCGAGCTGTCAATCGTCAAAAAGGTCGCAGCAAAGTGGACCAAGAGATTGAAGGGAGCGTTGGAACTTAGCACGCATGGTGTCATCCGTCAAGGCGATGTCGACATCGCTGCATGACGGCATCAGGACGACGAGGAGAGGGAGCAATAGAGTTTTCCGAAAAGGTGAAAAACCCACATGTAACAAAGGGGGTTTGTTCCTCGCACGTCTCACGCAAGTCAGGAAGGTAAGGGCTTAGACTGCTCCTTCCCAGATGCGCCGCGCTCTGTAACAAACAGGCTTTGGACGTGGGAAAGGAGCTGTCGGATGGGAATGAGACGCTATGCTCACGACCGCCATGTCATGCCCACACCATTCTTCCTCCCCCGCCACATCGCATTCATTAATCTTCTTCGCCTCTCTGCCATCAACACAGGTGCCACGGGCAGAATACCGGCGGCAGAAGGCCGATTCTTCTCTGCCACAACCTCGATTGCAACGACGACTACTCCGTACACGCACCGTTACGTCGTGATAGTATCTGTCTGGCAGGCAAGTCGGAGTACACCCGATTGGAACAACATCCTTCCCATGAGAACTTAAGCATCAGCCCAAGCATGTTCACCCCAATCCCGGGGTGTGCATGAGACCATCATGGCCCGGCGCTAAAAAGCCACGGACCAACCAAGTCGAGGTAGACGCCCAAAGCAGTAGTTCCACAGACAGATTGTGGCCTTCTGCCTCGAGAAGTCGTTGAGTCCGTGACACCGCCGATTTTCTGATGCCCAATGTCTTTGCTCCCTTGCGGTACGAGCTGGCTGGGAGGCGCCATGTGACCACCAGTCCAGGGTCGGGGCTGTTGGTCCTGTCGATGGCGTCCATTTGCACTCGCCAAGAACTTTCCAAGTCATGGATGCTGGAGCCTGACTAGTACAGCCAGCCGTTCGAGACCGCGGATTTCGTCAAGGACAAGCAGTATTCCTCGACGACCCTCCGAGTATTGTGGATGAGTGATGCCAAATGGTGGGCACCGGCCGGTGGCAAGACACTTACTATCCGGGCCACAACTCGCATCGAGGTCAAGCTCTGTTGGGAGGCATCGATTCTCGACATGGTGCATTTTACATTGCATAGGGAGTCAATGGAGCCAGGACACCGCCTATACAGACCGAGAATTGCAACAACCACCTCTGGCTGGCTGGGTTGCACACACGGGCCACGACTGCGAGTAGTACGTAGTGGTACTGTTAACTTTCTCGCACCAAGAACCTTATTGTCTCCCGCCCGAACACCCCGCCAGCGACTGCCCCTCCCACCTCCCTGCGATTTCTCGAACTGAACTTGCGGCGAGCAGGCTCCACGACCCCGGGCGCCGCGAGTGGCTCCCATTGGGGTGGCGGATTGACAGCAGAGAAGACCAGAGTATAAAGACCCCTGGCGTTCTGAGCTCTCCCACACCTCTCACCCTGTTTTAATAACCCTTGTCGTTTTTGCTGCAAAGTATTGTTCTCATCACTGTTTCCTGTATTGGACTATTTTGATTACGCTAATCAAAACATTGGAGCACTTTCTGTATCTACAGACGTTGTAAGAAGGACCGAGACCATTACCGCCCCAACTTTTGTCTTGTCACCTTTAAACTCTGTTCTTTTGGGCTCTTGTTTTTCTTCTGGAGTGGAAAGGAGGTCGAACTATTGGGAGGGAACGCAGTAGCTGTACTCCGTACCTACCCTTTTTATCAGACAACTCACCATTTTCCTGTCTCTGTGTGGCGCTCTGATCTGAGTTGCCATATAGTTTCCACTGCTGTACTGGCCACCATTTGTATCTTGAGGGCCCTTTCCGGATCTGCCCCTCCTATTGCTGCTTCCAGCTGTCGAGAGTTGAGTGAAGTTTTTAGAGAACTAACAATTAGAAGGCGGCGGTTCCGAATCTACAGCAGTGAATAGAGGGCTAATTTAGATCACGGGATACTCGGACTTGGAAGAACGATCCATTTCGAAGTCTCCTCACATAGCCTATTCCAACCAATTCAAGATGGCTCCCGATATCAACACTATTCAAACGGCAGCACCTGTTCCCAAGAGCAGCGCTGAGAAACCCAACATTCTCTACATCATGGCTGATCAGCTGGCTGCCCCTCAGCTCAAGATGTATAACCCAGAATCACAGATAAAAACGCCGAACCTGGACCGCCTCGCCGCCACCTCCGTACAATTTGATTCTGCGTACTGTCCTTCTCCTCTATGCGCCCCCTCCCGAATGAGTATGATCACTGGTCTTTTACCCATGAAGATTGGGGCGTATGATAATGCTTCTCAAATCAACTCTGAGATCCCCACCTATGCCCATTATCTCCGTTCCAAGGGCTACCACACAGCCCTGGCAGGTAAGATGCACTTTGTTGGGGACCAACTTCATGGATATGAGCAGCGTCTCACGAGCGACATTTACCCTGGGGATTTTGGCTGGGCTGTCAACTGGGACGAGCCCGATACTCGTCTGGAATGGTACCACAATGCCAGTTCAATCCTACAAGCAGGTCCTTGCGGCCGTAGCAACCAGCTTGACTATGATGAGGAGGTCATGTATCGAAGCGTTCAGTATCTGTGGGACCACGTCCGCGAAGGCCCGGAGAAGCGTCCGTTTGCTTTGACGGTAAGTGACTGTTTAAATAGGAGGAAAAAAGGCCTTTTTTTGCCGGCCATGCCAGGCAGCCGCTCTTCAGATTGCCCGCACGTGGGACAACATGTGGCGAGCTGATGAAGATCAAGTGCTGGAAACGGGCTTCAGGAACAGATAAGTGTTTTGCCCTTTTATCACAATGCTAACAGCGACATGGCTCCGTATATAGGTTTCTCTCACTCATCCTCACGACCCTTACACCATCACCAAGCAGTACTGGAACCGATATGAGGGAGTAGAAATTGCGCTGCCAAAAGTTCGCATTCCAAAAGAGGAGCTCGATGCTCACAGCAAGCGCCTACTGAAAGTCTGTGATCTCTGGGACCAGGACTTTTCTGACGAACAAATCAAAAGAGCCAAGCGCGCCTACTACGGCGCCGTCAGCTACGTGGATGACTGCATTGGCAAACTTCTCGAGACGCTCGGAGATGCTGGCTTGGCCGACAACACCATCATCATTTTCAGTGGGGACCATGGCGACATGTTGGGCGAGCGAGGTCTATGGTACAAGATGAGCTATTTCGAGTCGTCTGTAAGAGTTCCTCTACTGGTCAACTATCCGAAGTGGTTCCAACCGCACCGCGTCAGCCAAAACGTGTCGACGCTCGATCTGCTCCCAACCGTTTGCGATCTGATTGGCACCAAGCCTGATCCGTATCTGCCCATGGACGGACTTAGCATGTTGCCCCATCTTCAGAATAAGGAAGGCCATGACACCGTCTTTGCTGAATACACTGGCGAAGGCACTATCCGGCCAGCGATGATGATCCGCCGTGGGCCGTGGAAGTATATCACTTGCCCAGCCGACGAGCCGCAATTCTATAATTTGGAACGGGATCCTGACGAACTTGACAATTTGGCGCGTTTCGTGACGGTTGCACCGCAGAATGCTGAAGAAGAGGGAATCAAAGCGTTGTTCGAGAAATTCGACGCAGAGGCCAAGGCGAAGTGGGACTTTGACGCCATTACAGCACAAGTCCTCCAGTCTTAGCGTAGTCGCCGCGTTGTTTGGGATGCCCTCAAGGAAGGCACGTTCACAAGCTGGGATTTTGATCCCTTGGACGACGGCAGAATGAAGTAAGTGACATTGGGCTGTACGCCAGCCAAGGACGGTGGGAGGAATCACAGTTTTAACAGCTTGCCAGGTATATCCGTTCCACTATCCCTCTGGATGCTCTGGAGCGCCGTGCCCGTTTCCCCTTTGTGGACAGTAATGGATACGAGTCCAAGGCGGTCAACTCGACTCGAAATTGAGTTGAAGGAAACAAAACTAAGCGGGCATCAAATACCCGATGTGATGGCATTGATGGAAACGGCTAGTTTGTGACTCAGAAGACCTGTCTTTGAAGGGACTGGACCATGTGAAGTTGGACAAGAAGGTATTATTTCCGGGGTTTGTCATCCAGGAGTTTGAAATGCGATTTTGTTGCGAGGATGATACCCAAACGCGAATTAGCCCGAGTTACATGTAATTTGGCGTGTTTAGGATTAGGATACTGCAAATAAAATGGGACAAATTCCTTATGGGAGTAATTAATCAATCCAGTTTTATCTTTTTTTCTTTTTTTTCTTTTTTCTTTTTTCCCTTTCCGGGAGACAAAGGGCGTTTGTCGATTTCGTGGCATCTGGTGACGGGCGATGCCGTCTCACGGAAAAAAAAACTCAAGTACAGAGTACCTGGTAAGTAGCCTTTGAAAAGCCTCAAGTTGTGTGGGTCCGCACCGCTGCGTCAACCTTATTTGTACTCGATACCTCCCGCAGGTACCCCGTAGTCAATAAGTCTCTACCTCGCACGATATTTTTCTCCAGGACACACCCGTAAATTTTGAATTTTGTCCCGTCCGTCAGCGTCTCGAGTTATCCAAGGGCAGAAACGACTCGTCATACCCGGCATGGCGACGCTGGGGCTGGACGAAGACGAGCTCAAGTCGGTAGAGCACATCGTGGCACGGCTGGCCCAGCTATCCAGCAGCATTCAAAGCCTCAAGATGGACATTCTCAAGAGCAACCCCCTGCCGCACCCGTACGTCTACGTCTCCCCAGTCACCGCCCCATTCGCGTATGCTCGCTCACCCGCGGCGGGCGCAACAGCTCGTCCCTCCAGGCGTCTGCGCAGATCCTCCAGCGCAACCTGCAGTCGGTCCTCGAGAGCCTCAACGACAACGCGGAGCTCTTTACGCGAATGGTCATCCACCCGTCGACAAACTACCCCGGCCGGACGCAGGAGAATATCCTGACGCAGCTGCTGCGCAAGAAGCTGGAGCCCGATGTGGAGGAGCTGGTTGCCGAGGGGCGCGAGACGGCGAGGCTCGCAACGGCCGAGGGGATCGCGGCGCTGCAGGCCATCTGGGACGAGCTGCGGGAGTGGACGCAGGGGAGGATCGCGGCCTATGTGCGGGAGGAGGCTGGGGACGTGTACACCCGCGAGGAGAGGGAGGCCGGGGTGGACAATGTGAGGACGGGCCTGAGGAGGGGGCTTGACGAGAGCGACGACGAGGACGACGAGGCCGGCGGGGGCGAGGGCGAGGGCGAGGACGAGGACGAGGACGGCGACGAGGACGGCGAGAGGGGCGCCGCGGTGGTGCCTAGGGGCCCTGAGCCGGAGATGCTCTTGTGGTTCGGGGCCAGGGGCGACTTTGAGCTGCCGCGGAATGTCGAGTTTGAGCGCAAGGTTGGAGTGAGGAGGGGACTCGAGGGCATCAATGTGCCGCCTGACAGGATGGACAGCGCCGCCTCATCCTAGGAGAACCGAGCGAGGAGAGTCTCGGGCGAACACGTTTGAGTTGGATCACGACTTGCGAACATTGGGCTGAAACGTTGCGGGCGACACGTCGTCTACAAGGGTGGTCGCGAGATGACGTGCCAGACGGGAAATGCAGCACCAAGGAAGCCGTCTTGTCAGAGTATTATTGCGTCCCATGGAAGCGTCGTCGGCTGACTACAAAATAAATAGTAGACGCCGCCATCGCTGGGGACAGCGTGTGATGATGGACTCGAGATGACTTGGCGTTTATGTTTTGCCAACATCTAGAGCGCTGAACAGGTGCTGGGAACGCAGCCCTGCAACGTGCTCACGCATCACGTTTCCACAGTCAAGTGCAGCGCAAATCAGCGGCCTAGCCAACACCGAGCCCAGCATCACAGATGGGCAGCCAAGACTGCGTTTGACGCCAAATTCAAAGGATCCGGCTGCGTCGGACGTGACGCACCTTGTGTGGCACGGTGGCTGCCACAGTTGCCAACGCGGGCTACACGCAGATGATGTCAGCTCAACGTGGCTGAAGGGCTGGAGCGCGTTCTCGTTGCCGTGTCGGACAACCTCTTTGGACATCTTTGACAAGGTCGATTGGTTATATCAAATGCTTATGCGGATGACGAGGCTCGTAAAGGGTGTCGCTACTGCTGCCAAACGTCGTGATGGTGGAGGAGGGGTCTTCATTTGGCATTTCCTTTACCATCTTCAACTTCTCATCAGTCCGTTACATATATGTGCATGTATGTGATCGCCTGCAATGACCGGTCCAGCCCTGTGTCCAGCGCTGGAATGTTTAGACGCTGGATTCGCAGGTATACCGCCTGCTGTGCTGTCCACACGTCTTTCGTCCCTTGCGGAATCATCACGCCAGAGGCCTGACCTCGGATTGAAGAAACTCGGAAGCGACTCGGCGGTTACGGTGAAGAACCAGTGCACTGGTCCGTGTCTATTACTATCGCTGCCTGTGGAGATCCGGCTCCAAATATATGACTGGATATACAGAACAAGTCCGGTGCGCAAGAACTTGGCCTTGACGGGATATCCTCTCCCGGTGCGACAGCCTCGATTCACAACCTCGATTGAATACGGGGACAAGGTTCCGCGGCATGGTCGCAAAATGTGCGGCTCCCATCTGCTCCGCCAGGACCGTCTCTACAACTGCGTGCCGAGTAATGTCCTCGTGCTGAGTCGTCAGATATACACGGAGGCCAGGGAGATTCCGTTTCACAGCAATGAATTTGTTTTTGAGAACTGGTTCTCGTCTGGCCTAATTGCAGCCTCGTTCTTGCTAAGGGATGTGTTTGAGCCCTGGCAAGCGAAAGCAATGCGCTTCGCAAGAATCGAAGCAAGGGGCACAGACTTCCGTGACGAGCGCGGCTTCGAGAGATGGAGAAGACTGAGTGCGAATTGGGTAAGCTGTGTTCGTGGTCTGCGAGTGCTGATTCACGTCTCGACAGATGCCGGGTCGGAGGAGAGCGGCTTGACAGGAATTCTTGACGGGGTCGGTGAGCGATGGGTAGTGGACGGGTGCCTGGCTCAACTGCAAGTTTTGGAGAAGCTAGAAGTTGAGCTCGTCACGCCGTCGTGGTTCTCCGATGATGATAAGCTGGCTTGGTGTAGAGCACTCGAGGCAATTTTGAGGGCGCATGGCTCGAGGGCCGTGGTAAGCGGTGTCAAATGCGACGTGGACTCTCATATCCAACCCGCGCTGTCACCCACGTCCAGATAAAACATTCACAACAGGTGGAACCGCAGCAATTCCCGTATCGACACAGCTATTCGCATATCTTCTAGAGCATACCGCCGAGAGTCGAGATATGAGTCCCATTGCTATCTTGTAATCCGCCATCCGCTCATCATTCATCTCGCTCAGAGACTCCGACATCTGCTGGCGGCGGATAAAATACGTACATGGGAAACTCGAGGAAAACGGTTCGCTTCAGAAACGTGGGCATTTTCTCATATAGCTGTGGGGGAAAGGGGATCAGGATACTCGTCCGGTCCAGCCACCGCTTGTATCCCTCCCAATTATTGCCCTTTTCATAGCGTGCTTTGGCTTTTGGTCGCTCAGAGAGGGGCAAGCCAGAAACGAACATGAGCAGTACCGTGAGGAGAATTGGCCCCAGGATTGTCGCGTACAGCGCCTTGTAGGCCTGGCCTGAGACGTACCCATCCGCTGCTGATGAAACGGCAATCATGTATATGGCTAGGGTGTCAGTTTGTCAGTGGATGGACCCAAACACAAGACCGACGTCGAGAGCCCGAGCATTGGACGTGGACGTACAGAACTGAATGATTATTTCGCCGAAATAATTGGGATGCCTCGACACTTTGAAGAAGCCCACATCACAGACAGCGTAGCCATCGTGTGATTTGCGGAAGTTGTATTTTTGCACGTCACTCAGACTTTCCATTACAAAGCCTATTGCGAATAATACAACACCGGCGATATCACGCCCGGTGCCGAAAGAATGCTGTGGGTACTGCGTCACATTGGGCGAATTCAAGATGGTGACGGGGAGTGACACGGTCCACACCCAAATCATTTGAAAGATCCAGAAGCCGAGAAAGGGGAAGAATTTGTCGCGCTTGTCGTCGAAGCGGTCATCTGAGCCGGTGCGCAGGATGCGGAAGAAGAGGAAGGATGAGAGACGGACCGCCCAGAGGATGAGAAACAGAGATGCTACCACTTGGCGGGCGTGTTGATGGCCGGAGAGTGAGAGGGTGAGGATGGCGAGGATGGCAAAGTTGGAGCCGCCTGCGAGGTCTATTGGCATTTAGAGAGGAAGTCTTGTGACTTGCAGCGGCCAGCGTGGCCACGACGTACCGGTGAGTTTGTCGAATTTGAAAGAGTATGCGATGGTAAAGAAGAAGAGCTGGTAGGCGACGGTGACAATGGCCGTTATGCCCAGGTAGTAGTTGTCGAGGACGTGCGCTACGGCCATGGTGAAGAAAAACGTGAGGTGAAGATGGTGGTGATGGCAAACCTGGCTGTAATGGACGAAGGGCAGTTTATGTACGGAGGATGGAAGGGATTACGACTGCTTCTTACTGGCATTCTCACGGAGCTGGTAATGTGCGTCATGATGGAATCGACCTTTGACGTTGTTATGTGAGGGACGTCATCATTGACTCGACTGTCATCAATGATGCCAAAGCCAAAAGGCGATGGGGCGGATCGGCGGGGATGAAGGTGACTTATGCCACCGCCGTCTTTGAGGGAAGGGGCGAGGTACACATTGCAATGGCCTGCCTCTTTTGCCAGCACTGTCCGATGGCCAAGCCAAGTCGACAGTGTGCAGATCTCAGTCTCCCAGTCTCTTAGTCTCTCTTCCATCATCCTCACGCATGTTCTGCAGATATTCTACGCACCACGAGAAATTGAGTGCAAGACGAGTGCCATGTTCGAAAACAGACAACGTATTCACCAGTCGGTCTCGTTACCCAGGTAACTACTTGACAGCGACCTGACCGGCGGCGTGTGACACCAACGGTGCGGCGGCCACAGAACCGCTGCATGGCATTCGACTGTGAATATTTTCCGACTCTTCATATCGCAGCCCAGTTCCGAATGAAGCACAAACGGGACGTGTTACTTGTGCACTCATCACCGTCAACGCTTACATCTGAGTACGCGGTCGTCATACGACGCGAGGCCAAACGCAAGCTGTCTGGGCTAGACGTTTCTCCAACGTCTCAGTCTCGACATCGAGTGCAACAGCCTACATCCGCATCCCTCACGAACCGAACTACCCAAAACAAGTTGCGAGCCAGAGTTTATGGGAGATGGGAGCGTCATTGTCATCCATCTCGCTGTCAAAGTCCCCAGATGCACACTTGACACCATCCGCTTCTCCCTCTGAGCTGCCGAGACCTCTGCTCACAGCTATAGACCAGGGTTCACTACCCGAAACAAGTGTCAACGATCCCAATATACCGATGGAGAGTCTAGGCTTATACTCCGTCGGACTAATGCACGTGTGTCTTGTGCCGTATTTGTCCTGGGCAACCTCTGCCCCATGTCGTGGCCCGATCATTCTCTCCATTGCCCTCTAGATGCTCCCCTTTCGTCTGTTTTTCTTTTTCTACATATTATCATGATACTGCTCTTTAAACTCTTGATTGTTACTTGCCCTTGGTATTCGAAACCACGTCCCACACTTGAATATCCATGTGCATTTTTGCTTGTTTCTCGCTCCAAAAACGTTTCAATTGACAGGTTGAGATATCTGAAGGGACCAATCCAGTTCAAGGCGCTTTTCTTTGCCACTTCTCTCGTGATTTTACTTTCCTTCTTGCCCCTTTTGTCAGTCTGGTTTTCTTCTTGTCTTCTCATCAGCTGGCTGATATGTCATCCCTGGGACGCATGGAGTTTGTTCCAAACCTGTGGCTGTAGTCATTGAATCTTGGCAGACGCCTTCTTTTTACTTTTGAGCAGCCGGCCTGCTTGATAATTTTTTTCATACATATCCTTTTACTCTGTCCAATTCTCTTGTTCTTTTTCCTTCTTTCGAGTGTTCATATCCGCACGCTGCCAAAGCAGCAGCGTGCGTGTCCTGTTGGGAACAGGTTTCCTACTGCCTGATCATGAATTTCTTTGCTCTTTTAATTCTCGCTATCACGGCTGTCGCTCAGGTAATGGACCCTTCGACTTCAATGAATTCAACATGATAGATCCTTCCGAACGGAACTGACCTGAAAGCAAGGCCGTGCCAAGTGGTCCACAGGGGTCAAAACGAGACATGGTTGGGAGGCACGATTCCCTCAACAGCCTTGGACCAAGAGTTGGGTTCAAATTTGGGGGGAGTGATGGTCAATTCGGTGCTAAGAAAGCCAAAGACGACACAGCTCAAGGGATCCAGATGACTGTTGGACCTGATGGTGTTGTGAACCTTGTGCCGCCTGTTGCTTTGCCGAATGGCGGTCTCGAGGCTTTGGACGGAAGCTCGAATGGGCGGTATGATGGTTCCCAAAGCGCACGAAAAGGACAGCGGCCGAATGACCAAGGAGTATGCAGCGATGGTCAATACCCTACTCGCCCGCAATCAAACGGCCAGCCGCCCGCGTCCGCAACTGACCGGTTCGTTTCCTTTCACCCAACAAGCCACAGCCTTTCTTCCTCAACAGCACTGACAGAGACCAAGGCTACAACTCACCTTTGTGACCGTCAACGTCCAATCCACAGCCGCCCGGGCGTCGGCCGAGACGGAAACGCAGTTGCCCAGTGTAGTCACGACAACTGTCACTGTTACTGGAGGTGTAGGTTCAAGCGTCCCGAGCAGGAACAAGTCTATTTCAAACCCAATGGGCTTAATACATGAAGTAGCTAACAATGGGCAAAGGCAAATCTACCGCTCCAAGCCCAGAAATCTCAAAACTCTTCTTGTAAGTCGAATACTAGAGGAAGACCCTGCGCCCAACGCTAATGGGAGCGAAGTCGTTGTGAGTAGTGAAACTGCCCTTCCGAAAACGACTCGCGGTTTGACTGGTCCGCCATTTTCACCGGTCAAGCTGAATACGGGTTCGTCTTTGCCTCCCATGTCAGCTCCGGCTGCCACCGCCAAGTGGTCCCAGCCAGCCGCACCAGAGCCTGAGGCACAATTGAGGAACGGCGCGTTGTTGTCGTCAAAAACAGCATCGTCGATCCGCAACGCCTCTACCGCACGCTCTTCTGGTTCTTCCAACATGGAAGGGCAAGCTTCGCATTCTGCTGTGGCTCCTGCTGCAACAACGCTTGCTGAAGCAGTCGCCCCGGTGCAACCAATTGTCAATCTGTCCGGGCTCACTCTCAAGAGTGTAATCGACCTTGGAAACCTAGCGGAGCAAACAGAGAAAGCTTCGGCTACCACTTCTGTCCTCCTCTAGGAACCCCAACGCCAACCAAGGGGTCTGGAGTGTAGATGGGGCGATACATAGCTGTGAATCAACTTGACCAAAAAAGTCTATTAGGTGGCCTAGGAAGCCATGAGATTGAACCAACCAGCTCCAGGTGAAAGTGAGTGAACAATGACAACATCATGGACCTGCCGCACCGCATGCGGGTATCGTCAAATCCGTTCATCTTAATCTCAAGGTTGCTGTTTTTGCGCGAGCGCCACATCATGAGATGGGATTTCCGTCTTGTCCAGCCGAGCGAGCGGCAAGTTTCAGCTTCTTCGTTTGTCTGCTGCTCATAGATTGGCCATCTCCTTCACCTTGCTTGCGTTTTTGGATCTTTGATTTATTGCCGCTCCGCCCGGTGTCGGTACCCGTGCTCGGTTCATTGTCATTGTCACCCGAGGATGCCGGATTCGTATCATTGACAGCCCTGGACGCGACTTGAAGCACGTTGATGACGCCACGGAAGCCATTCCGCTTTATTCCTTCGTTAACAACGACGCTTCGCGGAACAGATTGCAGACCTTGGAGGCCCTTGTCGCTGGCCAGCCCCCACACGCTCAACAGATTGATGACATCTGCCGGACCTCGCAGACAGAGGGCCGTCTTAGCCTCGCTGCTGATGATGATGCCACGTCCACGGGTGGCGCGAATGATGCTGGTGGCGTTGGAGATGAAGTTTGCGCGGCCGCGGTTGTCGGCGGCAAGCAGCTGGGCGTAGCAAATTTCGAAACGAACGCCACGGGCGACGGCGGCCATGCAAGATTTGGGGCGGAAGTGAAAGGGAAAGTGCGAGGTGAGATCGAGAGAGACGATGGGGATGTCGAGCGTGAGACAGGCATTTTGGAATGCCTTTTCGGTCGAGGGGCGAACTGCGAGAATATCGTACACGCTGACGAGGGACTGTAAGCGGTAGTTGGAGGCGGCTGGGTCGTCGAGGGGAAGAGTAGCACGGCGCAGCAGGGCGGGCAGTTTTCGCGAAGGCGACGACTCGAGATGTGACGGGAAGGGCGCCGTGGGATTCGCGGGGAATGGGAGCTCCAGCGTGTGGTTCAGAGCAACTGTGGAGTACCCGAGGGAAGAGGCGAGAGAGAGGGTCTGGAGGAGACGTTCGGACGTCGTGGAGGGCGACCACGCAATGTTGAGGTCGTAGATCATGGTCAGGGTGTTGCCGCCGAAGCGCCGGGCGCGGAACCAGTTCGGCCGCGGCGCGATGTTCAAGGGATGCAGCGCGGCCCGGTATTATCCCTGGCTGGTGGATGGAATGGTGCGATGCGATGACGCCGAGGGCCGTCAGTTGTGGTTGAATCCTTTTCAAATCACTCGAGGCCGTCGATTGACAACCAACTTGGTTTTTTTGTCCTTCTTTCCCAGGCCACAAGAGGCGTGGCGTGTACGTACTCCTATGGGGGTGGTACAGTACGTAACCCCACCTTTTCTTTAAAAAAACAATAAGCACTGGTTATGGTGAGGCTTGGGGTCAATGGTCGAGTTAGGGTTGAGGGGCCGGAGTTAGAGTTAACCTTGGGATATGCTGAAGCCTCCTACGCAACCCGCGCCTTCCTCAGAGAGCAGACGGAGCAGTGCCGTTCGTCGACGGAAAATTCAAGGTGGGGTCCGTGCATGCGGATGCTGGGACAAGGCTGCGGGATTAGTACCGGTACATGGATTCAGAAGTATCTTCAGATAGGCCGCTACGTACCCTCCCAGCCGGGTCCCTTGGCACCTAGCGCCGCTCGTAGCAGACACTACGTGCTCGGCACTTCACCTGTACATCATCCATCGCCGGGTGGCGTCACGCGTCATCACTCTGTCTTGGTCTCTCTTGCGCCTCCGAGCCTGCGTCGCCCGTTGAGCTTCCCAACCCTCAAACGCGTTTTCTGTCGATACTACATAGCTCGTTCTACAGCCGGGCCTGCATCTTGCATACTACTTGGTGTACCTCGTACCCTCTCCGTACCTACATCTTTCGCGAAGCGAGCTGGCCGCGAGCCATTCTTTGTCGAACTGACTCGGTCGGCCCTCTCTGCTCCAACAGGCTTGCCTGCGGTCTTTGCTTCGAGCAACCAGCCACTCTTTGCCGTCTTCGCCAACAAGTCCCAATTGTCCTGCTCGAATCGTGTGGCAAATCTGCAGACCTCATTCCGCGTCAAGTGTTTGCCGCCGCGGAGCCGATCCTGGCGACGAGCACTCCCTGCCGAGGAATTGGACGCGCAATCTTTTCTTCCTTCCAAGCCACCCTCACGAGCGTGGTGTCGCAGTTCGTCCTGTCCAGACTCATTCCACTCTCCCTGCTTCGCGCCCGAAGGGACTGCGGGAGCCGCCGGTGCCGCCGGGCAACCCATTCGCCATGTTCTTCTTTTTCATATGCGGCGAGCACACCTTCCGCAGTGACGTCCCCGGTTATGAGGGAATCGTGTGTCAATGCCACCACTGCGGAAACATGGCAGCGCGCGTCGTCAAGAGCCGTCCATTCTTCACCTTCTGCTTCGTCGTAAGTGTCCCGCGCTCGGCAGCGGCGCCCAGTCCGTGCCCATGCCGCCCAGCCCAGCCCAGCCCAGCCTACCCGTCGTACGTGGTTCGATTGGCCCCTGTTCCGCACGTCTCATCTCGCCTTTATCCGCGTCGCGAGATCGTGTCCTCGTTCGTCTCGAATCCTTCCTGTCCCAGCCCGTCTCACCTCGACCCCGATCCGCTTGAGAAGCCGCGTGTCGCTGCTAACTCGGTCTCGGCAGCCCATTATCCCATTCACCATTTCGGGATACAAGGATGTTACTTGTAACATTTGCCACTTTCAGCAGCCCTTGAAGCATCGTCCTGATGTCCTGGCCATGGCTAATCACGGCGGCGGAGGTGGAAATTAAATGAGCATAGCGGCGATGTGGCTGACAGACAAAGGGGCCGTGACACTCTCGCCGCATTTCATGGAGCCGTGTAAGGGCGTCGGAATTGGTGAATTTCTTTTTAATTTTTTTTTTAAATTTCCCATCGCTGGTTGCAGCGGTCTCACTCTGGCGTCCTGATTTGAAGGATTGAGAGAACAAACGTACGTAGTTTTGTGGCGGTACTGGCGTTCCATGGTCATCACACGAACTTGTCTTGCTGGCTATATGGGGGTTCATTAAACTAGGAGACGTGTCTGGGACCAAGTAAGCTCCCGAAGCTAACGAAGCGGCTTTTGTACTTTGTTCTTGCCTCCGTACATAGAACTGGTTGTCACCGTGTTTGTTCGCAGGGTGCTCCGTTGCCGCAGCCACTGCTCCCTAGTCAATATCCGAAACTCTGTCCATCTATCCAGAGAGGCCGTCTTCCCCAAGGGAACAGGCGCTTCCTTGCCAGAGAGGCTTAGATGTGACCACATGTCGGAGGCCCTGCCAGTTCACGGGCCTCGGTTCGCGAGCAGGGATGTGCGTATGCTTCTACTCAACTGTCAAATGTCATGTGGTGGCGGTCGTCGGCATTTCTCATGACGTCTCGTCAGCAGATCCGAGAGATACTGACAGGCTGGCTGTCCGGAGGGCTCGTTGGTTTCAGGCTGGAGAAACCGCCGTGGTATTTCTCCAAAAACTCAAGCGGCAAGTCATGACTTGTCTTGTCGGCGCCATCTGCCGGGTCATCGTGGGCATCGCAGAAATGTCTTCTCGTCCACTTCCACTTCCACTTGGACACTCGACGTCGCCGACCCGTCCTCAGGCGTCTGCAGGCGAGGAGGAAGCCGAGTCCAGCAGCCGACACGGTCTTGAGCGTGAGTCGGAGAATCGTCGCGGTCGGGGTGCCAACCATGACCGTGGTCTTGGTGAGGGGAGTGCGGAATGGGTTGGCATATCACGAGGCTCCCAAGGGGAGTCGAGTCGAGTCGAGTCGAGTCTCTGCAATTGGATTCCCGTGCGTGCGCTTGACTTTCTGGGTTTTGAGTTTTGCCTCTGCTCTTTCTAGCCAACGGACTGACCGACAAGCATGCCACGCGCCGTGCTTCCTTGCCAGCAGACCGAGTGAATTACCTCGTCTTTGCACAAGTGTACCGAGTAGCCAGCACGAGTCTCGAGCCACCCGCTGTCTCGCCCTCGCCCTCGCCCTCGCCATCACCCCAGCAGCAACGCACGCCTCGTGCAAGACACTCGTCTTCACGGCCGGGTCTGCGCTCGCCGGACGCGTCGACGGCACGCGGACATCCTTCTGCCGGGGGAAATGCCAGCTCGTCCCGGCAGACTCTCTCCCTGGGTCGCCCCCCCGGCTTTTCTCCCGAAGACCAAGCCTATCTCCGGGGCCGGCTTCCCCTGGGGCAGCACGCCTCTACTCGAACCGTCACCAATCACTTCCTTCGCTTGCCGCTTCTGTATCAGGCCCTGGCCCGAGGGTGTCGCGCGCGTCTCTCCCGTCTACCACCCGGCACCCGCGAGCTGCAGAGGCGTCGGCGAATGGCAATGCTGGCGCAGCGTCTAGCAGACAAGTACATGCGCTTCAGGCTCGTACTTCCCCCTTCGTACGTCGACGACGCCATCGCAAGGTGGCGGGGCCACGAGACGCCGCACACGAGCCGGTTCTGGGAAAAGACCCTCGACGAGGTTGAAGTCTGTTGCCCTCGGATATGTTTCCTTTTACGCCCTCTCCCTCCTCGCATGCAAACGTTGAAACGGCATACATGATGCTGACAGCTGCTCAGAAAGCCAACAGTTCTTGGTCCATAGCTCGCCTTTGGATCCTCTTTTCCATGCTCCAGTCTTCCATCGTCGCCGTACTATACAGCATGCTGCCAACGCCCGGGAGAGCTGTTCTTCTCGTCGCAAATTGTCTCGCATATGTGTGGTTCACGACCGTCATGTATGAGACGCTGCATGCGCGGTATGTCGAGGTGAAGACAGATGAGCAGGAGTTGCATGATCTGCTCGGAGGATTGCGTGTCTATTAGTTCTGGACACTCGTCTTTTGTAAATAGCGGGCCAGTGTTGTCTGTCATCTTCATCTTTTTCCATTGTCGTGCCCTTCCACAGGTCAATTTGTTTTTCTATTGCGATTGTTGGTGATGGTTTCACGTTCAGATATAGCATCAGCTCGAGGTCCATCATTTAATCAGCAGCATTCGCTAAAATAGCGCGGATATGCTTCGTTAACATTCGTTGCTGGGTATCTTGATTGACTTGTCTGGATTGGAAACAAAAAAAAATTGCTTACTTGCCGTCCACCGCTCCGTCGCGGGTTTTAGATCCTGACCTTGATCCTGACCCGCACCCGGACCCTGAAGGAGCAGCGTAATCTCCTCTGTGCCATTTCAAGCTCTCTTCCAAGGCTCGCTTCAATTCCTCATCATCTTCACTGTCGGCCTCTGCTGCTGCCGCTTTCCCCTTCCCTTTGCTCCGCTGACTACGTAACTCTGTCTCGGCCAGGCTTTGCTTCTTGACATATTCCAAGACTATGTCCTCCTCAGTTCGTTGATTGTGCTCGCGATCCATGTCCTGTTTCGATGCTTCAATAGCTCGCTGCAGCTGTTCCTCGTCATCAAACGATGGAGGACTCGGCATATTCTTTGACTCTTCTATAGCTCGTTGAAGATCGGTATCATGTTCGTCTGCGTGTGCAGTGCCGTCACCCGGCACGCCGTGTATCTCTCTAGCGAAAGCGCCCACCTCTGACAAGCCAGCTTCTTGAGGGTGCAACAAATCCTCCATATGACTTGCCAGACTCTGTTGAAGGGCTTGTTCTATGAGCGACTGATACTCCTCGTCGGTGATCTGGTACCCCTCGTCTTCGAATATGCTGAGGTCCTTCTCAGGAACTTCTTCAGAAGCCTCCGGTAACGTCTCCGGCAGTGCTCCTCGTGCACGCATCGCTCTGATGCTTTCCCGAACAGCCGTCTCAATCATCGCGTCTTCTTCAGCATTGCCTCTAGATGTTGCGCGAACAGAAGTTTGGATTGCTTGTTCAAACTCAACGTCGTCTGAGAAGCTCGGCCGTGGACTAGAAGTGCTGCTTGACGTAGGCACAGGCGCGTCGACGAAGCCTCGTTTTTGCGCCTGCAGCCTCTTTCTTTCTTCTGGTGACATGCCAAGAGTGTGAAACCAGCTTGTTTTAGGTCGAGAGAATGGTGAGTCTGACCGCGTGGACTGTTCTGATCCTGCTGGTGCCTTCTCGGATGACTTTTCCTTTCGCTTCAACATGTAGAAGTTTTTCAGGTCCCATTTCGTATTATTCCACCGAATAAGAATGTCAGACTTCTCCTCCTCGCTTGCTCTGGTCAAATCTTGCGCCCCTTGAACAATCCTGGAGGTGATGATGTAGTTCTGAACGCTCTTCGTGAACATTTTGTTAACCTCCGCATGGACGCCCTGCATCATATAGGCTGGAACACCCCATATTCCTTTTGTCATGTTAGTAAAATTGTTATCAGTTGAATTAGGTAATTAGACCTTGATAGTCTTACCAGCAGCCGGCTTAGCAATGAGACCCCCAATGCCCTTCCCAATGCCCTTGACGAATCCACCGGGTCCTTCTTTTTCAGCACCGCGAATCGGATGCGTTACCAAGCCTGCGATGCCATCGAAGAAGCCATACCCAAGCTCCTTGCCAGCAATTTTGATACCACTATTAAGATCGGTAACTTTCTCTATGGGTCGAACAGTATCATCGTTATAGAGCCTTGGGATATTCCTAAATCCCTTAGCCAATCCCAAACAGAAGTTCATCGGGCTTTTCACTCCTGTGGATACCGCACGACCAACACTTCGTCCGGCCCCAACAGTGGCATCCAAACTCATCCCCAGAGGCGACGAATCTCGACGGCAGAATGTTTGTCTTGGCTGATCACTAGATGCTCGTGTCCTAGATCTGGTCCTACAAGGTGTTCCAGAGCTTGCACTTTCAGCATCCCCTCCAGATCTAGCCACAGACATCGGTTCCAAGACTGATTCTGAGGCGGACGAAAGTTCGGTAAGCGATCTACTGAAATTAGAAGCTGGAACTCCCGATATTTCTCGGCCTTCTCTTTCGCGAGAGGCAGTACTGGACAAGTCCGTATTAGACTCGTTCTGGGATATCGCGGCGGTTGTAGCTAGTGTGAGTTTGCTAGACGAGCCTAGCATGGTTAATGTGTCTGAGCCTTGGCCATCTTTGGGGCGTCGAGACTTAAACAGCTCCCGAGGCACATCTGCGATGGCCATTCCAATGCCGCTCAGGTCGCCGATAAGCGAAGCAGCACCAGCGGAAACGGGGTCAGGTGGCTGATCTTCTGTATTGTACTCGACAGGTCGGTATCTGTGGCGAATATGAGTCTGCTGCTACATTTGATACAAATACCAAGACGGCCTGATTACTTACAGCTTCAAATCTTTGTACTCGAGAAGGTCTGCATCTACCAGAACTGACGCTGCGAGTGGCGACAAGCGCACCTTGGTCCTTCTGACTCGCCAAGCCGCAGTCCGGCTGGGTGCTATCGAGCATCGCAGAGAATTGATATCCAAGTGCTTATGGAAGCTCTTTACACCAAGATCTGTTCCTGCTTCCTCTCGAATTTTGTGTCCCAGCTCTTTCGCTCTCTCTTGGGTATCGGCCTCGAAACAGAATTTGATGGCTTCGGCCAATTTTTCTGCAGTCAGGTCTTTGTGGCGAATTGGTTCGGGCCCAGCTTTCGCCCTTGCAACCATGGCTCCCCAAAATGGCTGGTCTCCAAAAAACGGTACAACAATGGTAGGCTTTCCAGCTCTGATACCAGCGGCGGTAGTTCCAGCTCCGCCATGGTGTACAACAGCCGAAACATGCTCGAATAGCCAGTCATGTGGCACATTGCCCAGCATGAACACACCTTCAGGGAGACCAACATCGTCTGCGCCCAGGCCACCCCAGCCCTTCGATACTAATGCTCGAACGCCGGCAAGATGAATTGCGCTAAATATCGTTCGAGTCATGGCATTGGGATCATCCACGACAATGGATCCAAATCCAATATAGACCGGGGGTGGACCAGCTTCGAGAAATGCAGCCAGCTCTGGATCCGGTGTATGAGAAGATGCCAGATTTAGAAAGTAAAAGCCGGAAATATCGACGTGCCTCCCCCAATCATTCGGCTTCGGTATTAACGATGGGGACCTGTTGAATCAAGCTTCAGATATTACTCCTCGGAAGGGTCAGAGTATTAAGCATACCAGCAATACGTGTAGGGAATTTTGAGACGATTTAGCAGGCCAGGAGCCCAGATGAAGGAAAGGGATGGCAAATCGAGTGCTTTTTGGCGGAAACGGTTAATGACATCCCCGAGGCCCTGCCACGTCAACATCTCTACCAGGGTGTAGGTCATGTAATTAGTCATGACGTCGTCAGCATTGGATGACTGAATATTCGCTAGAGGATGAGGGAATGCCCTTGTTGGTGACCATGGCATGCTATCACGAGTAAGCAAAGGATTCAACGACTTGATGTTTTCAAGAAGCGCCTAACTCACGTAAACATCATATGAACCGGGATGCCAAGCTTCTCAGCGACGTGGATGTGAGCAAAACTCGGGGGGTTGGCAATTATAGCATTTGCCACGAATGGTTGATCATGCTCGTATCCCGGCATTCCAGCAACCAGGTCCAACGGCTCATTGATCTTATGGGGCTTTGGGGGAGGCCCGAAACCATCGCCTGCCTCGATACAAGATCGCCAACACCCAAGAAGCATTTCTTCGATCCCTCGACGTCGTTTGCTGACTTCTCCACTCTTGAGAGCGTCGATTCCGGGCATCAATCCAGGGTGTTTGACCATGAAAGCCATAAGCTCAGCAGGATCGCCTCCAATGTTGAAGAATTCCAAGTCATTATCCTCGATGAAGGACTTGAAGATTGCATGAGTCGCTATCCGGATTCTATGTCCGTATGACTCCTTGAGAACCTTGCCCAGAGCCACAAAAGGCTGGACATCACCTCGAGAACCAACGATCTGAATGACTATATTGAGGCTGGGTGGAGGCGGCTGGCCTGGCTCGGCACCGAGACCAGGCGGGATATATGGTGGCGGCAGAGTAGGTTCGGCTCGAGGCTCTACTGAAATTTGGCTCGCGATTGTCGGGACAAGCAAATCGGCAAGCCTTCGGTTCTTGGTGTGAAGGTGGATATTAATTCTACCATCGTCTATAGAGATGTATTTCAGTTAGCTTTTGTCCATCAGCGTCTTCGGCGTTACTACACTGCTTTGCCGTTGCAGTCTATCGATGCCCCGCACGAGTGCTTCAACCGCCAGGGTAAGGGCAATGGAAATGAGCATACCTGTAACTTGGGCACCAGCATCAAAGCCTGGCTGTGAAAACCGGACGTGGTCATGCTGTTCGCCGTACGCGGGAGGCTCTGCGTCGTTGGGCCCGTCGAGGTTTGGTATTAAGAAGCCATCAGTGACTAGAGCCGCAGCACCATCCTCGCCGTCCACAACAGGTTGCGTTGGAAGATGCGGTTGAGTCTCCTGTGGCTGGCCACTTTGCATTGCTAGCCTTTGCTTCTCGTCGGCAATCTCCATAGCGGTCTGAAGCAGTCGCCCTGGCGGCCGCTGTCGAGTTGCTGGTCACGAAGTCAACGCGCCAGCTACGACTCTGAGTGCGTAGTCGAACGAGGTTCAAGCGCAGTAAGCAAACATTGGAAAGAGGATTTCTCGTGCAACGTCCTAGGCTCATCAGCATCAGGCAGCCGACAAGTAGCACAGGCACAAGGTACTGATCAGCGTTACGATGAGGCATGTCAGGTAACATTGATTAATGGGCTTCAACCCTCCTTCACCTTGTCCACGCCGCCTGTGCCCCACTACTGAGTACCCAGCCAAGCTAAGCAGGCACCAGACGTTACATAAGTTATAACTTAGCATGCGCTGATCAACAACTGGTGGTTGAGCAACGTGTGGATGTGCGGCGGAATCCAAAATCAAAGTAGTACGCTGCTCCTTTGGCCGATGATGATGAAGACGTCTCACGATGCTAAATCACTAGATCGGCTAAACAATGCTACCTCGAAAACCCCTCTCGTGGGTCGTGGCGGCGTCAAAGCAGCGTGAGCAGTCTCGATATAAATGACCCCAACTTGGACGTCGCATATCACTCAAGAAGCACCTCACAAAACGACAGACCTGGCACGTTCCGAAAACGGACAAAGGAAAGCCTGTTGTATCATACAATATGCCTCTGGTTTACGACGCTCCGCTTGCGACTAGGAGCAATCTCAAAAAAATTACGTGCTAAATCCTCTTGTCCCCTTTTTTGGTGACTTACATCATGATACCGTCTGAAGACACGACGCCACCATCATGAGCCAATCTCAGCTTTACAATCATCCGTGAGTCGCCCCTGGTTGAAAACGTAGCGCCACATGCGCATTTCGTGATCTATTTAGCTCGAGAACCGTCGGGTTATCTTGGCAATTACTGGTAAACACCGTTAGAAATTTGCCAAGACGACAAGCAGTTGCCTGGAGGAAGAAAAAAAAGCCGGTACATACTATGCAAAGCCACAACGCTGAAAATGAATACAAGAGACAGAACAAGAACAATGACAGGGTCGACCTTCAAGCCAGGAGACTCATCAGTGTATAATCCTGCAAGCAGCATGTTAGTCACGTTCCGACACCATTTCTATACATCAACTTCCACTGCTGAGGCTGAGGGCCTCAACCTTGGGCGGATGTGTGTTCATGCGTAAAGGTTAGGGCCGCGTACTCAGCATAGTGCTACTGGAGCCACCTGCACCGGCCGATCTCGTACTTGTAGGTCGAGCATTGGCTATCTTCTCCTTTTGGTCGGCAGCGGCACGACGCCGAATGGCAGTTCGCGGGCCACCGGGAGGAGTAGGAGACGAGGGTCGGCCAACATTGGCACCGCTGGCCGTAGCCGGGGAGTTGGCCGGTGAGGAAGCACGAGGAGAGGACTATGGCATCCAACAGATGTCAGTAAAGTGACTTCATCACAACTGAATAGCGTCCAATGGCGCCCTGTCTGGGTGCACAACGCATTGCGAATACGACGAAGAGCTAATAGAGTGCCTGGAACGGCACATCCAGCCCAATGTCGCACCGGGCCATTGCAAGAGAAGCTCAATTCGTACCATTTCTGCTTAGTATGGACCAGAATTCCAAAGAGAGCGACAAGGAAACGCTGCAGGATTCCTAGATCTTGAATGGACGAAAGGGGTCGAGTTGCTGCAATGGGTGGTTGAGGCGGTAGCCGTTGCGAGGGCGAATTGCGGTTGAGGCCACATTCGCTTCAAGCCGAACGCCCACCCCAGATCGGCAAAATTATTTTCCGATTCTACTTCCAGCACAAGCACCCTCTCGAACGCACTATGAATAATGGCATTTCTACACACATAGTTTCCACAATTATTAAGCCTTTTTTTTTTCGCCATCGAAGTTCGCAAGATGATGATGAGGTTTCGCTAAGATGGCCTTCTTATCCCCAATGTCTGATCCCACAGTATCTACATCAACGCCATCAAAATAATAAAAGAATCCCGGTTCCTTGGACGAGTCTGCTGGCAAGCCTGCTTGTATATGTGTAATTCAAAACAGTGAGGTACAGGACAGCACACAAGGAAGAAAGATGACTGTTCAGAGAAAAAGATAAAGGTAGGGGGTTGGAATCTGAGTAAAGTAATGAGTTGAAGTAGATTAAAGTGTAAAAAACAGTTGAAACTGTGCCAACAGGTTTGGGCACGCATCGCGGCCAGCCGCCAAGCAGCAGCTTGCACATCGTGACTGTCCATGAAAAACAACAGGACATCATGACCATCTGTGGCGACTCTCCATCCTTGCTCCGCTTCCAATGCGTGCCTTTTAGGGCAGAAAAGACCAAGCTGTTGGGCCGCGGTCCCATAGGGTAAAAGAATAACCCGCTGTTCCCCCATGTAAAGCAAAGCTATTGCAATTTCGCATTTTTAGTTTTCCCATTCCAACTTTTTTGCTGCTCAGTTTGAGGCCCTTTTTGGAGGTGGTGGGCTGAGTCTGGTAGAAGGGACATTTCGCTCTCAAGAACAGACAGTTTCCCAGCGTTATCAAAACAAAAATCTAGCCGGTGTAGAGACCCATCTTCCCCTCCCGCTATGGCCGATTATATATGGTTAGACAGTAATACATCTACATCAGGAAACGAATGATCTGAAACCAAAACGCCAGCCGCTATGATTCCGATATTGCAAATCGCGGTGCTTTCTCGATGATGACATTTGTGATGAAAGGTCAAGTAGAATAAAACAAACAGTACAAGGAAAATTGGTATCTCAAAGAGTGACATCAAGGACTAGGCTAACGTCTGCAACGTTGGGGCCAGCCAAGTCCTCAAGAACGGGGATCAAATCTAACAATTCGTTGTCGTGAGCGTCTGAGAACCAACTGCTGATTGGGACAGCATGCTGCGGGTGAAATATGTACGAAGTCGGCGAGTTGTCAATGATTATGGTGTCTTTGAGGTCTCGGCCAATTTGTGACAAGTCTTTAACGTAGTTGCCTTGATGATTGTAGCAGCTCTCTCGGAACAATCGGTGGTGGACCACTTTGTGAATATCAAGCTGATCCAAAAGAGGGTCGCCGTACTGTCAGAAATCGTTAGTCTCATTCGACGAAAAAAAGGAATTCCATCAATGATAAACATCAGCACGTACCTTAGAGACAGACGCCGTGAAGACCACGACTTCGTAAAGCTCGCCCACTCGCTTCATGAATTCATCCACGCCGGGTCGCTTGATAACGTAAACGTTATGATAATTGCCTTCGATTTCCACAGGTATGGTGAAATCCGCTTGGTGAAGAATCTTTGGGGAGGGGAAATGTGAGTAACGGTTCGACAATTCATATTGAATGGAAGTGCTAGGGCTTACTTTGAATGAACTGTGGACAAGCGTCTCGTCCAAGTCCAGAACGAGGCACTTCCGGCCTTTGTGCTCAGGTGCGATTGAAGGCAGAAGCCAGGATTGCGGTTCAGGCGCAGAGGCTCCTGTCCCCGTTATGGGAATGTTGGAGACAGTAGAAGATCCGGGAACTGCAGGGGGTGGTGGAATCGTTCGGGGTTGGGCGTCCTCCGAATCCAACACCGGCGTCTCTTCTGGCGCCTTTTCCCCCTCATCTCGCATTTCCACATCCCCAGTGATAGTTGCGTCGGCCTTTTCTGGGGACTCCGCATCCTCCTCCGGCGAGCGAGACGGGTAATCCACAGTTACAGCAGGAGGCACAGGTTGTTTCGACTCGTTATTTGCCTGCTCTGGGATTGTTTGAGGCTCCTGCGTGCTGCTCGAGGGTTGATTTTCAATTCCAGCTGGGGTGGGGATGCTCTGATTATTTTCCTTCTCGTCCAATGACTTTCCAGGCTGCTGCTCCTGGGTAGCATGCGGTCTCGACTTTACAGTGGCTGGCCGCGGGGAAAGCTTTTCAACTTTCTGGACGTTCACGCTTTCATCTTCTTCCAGTGTGTTGGCGGCGTCAGGAACGCCACAACAGCCCAACAACGAAAATAGCCCACCATTCTTCTTCCTCCTGCGTTTCGGCTCGCTTGTGGACGGTGAGCTCGGTTGGAAACTGCCGGGATGTTGTCCACGGTCGCTATCGCCACCGGTTCGATTTGTCGACGCACTACCGTTTCTTTGCCTCCCGGGTACACTGCCTCGTGACTCTTTAGATCGGCCATCAATACTGATTCTTTGATCGGTAACAGTCGCACCACTAAGGCCAGTGGAGGCAGTCGAGGACTGGTTTCTTTGCTGCGACGAGGATCTCGAAGGCACCTTCAACAGGCCACGGCTACTTTTGGACGTCCCGCCTTCAGCAGGCGACAATTGGCTACCATCGTTTCCCATGTCGAATGCGGAGAAGCTTCTGGGCCTGAACGATGTGTTCCGTCGAGGTATCACAGCCACCGGCTTCAGCGTTGCAAGGCTTTCTTGAATATACGGAGGTCAGCGAAATTCGTACGTACAACAGAGATGGGACAATAAAGCGAGGCGGTTACATGTGTTGGTGGAAGGTGGTTGCAAAGTGCAATAATAAGCTGGGCGATTTCAATTGTCTCGAGAAACCTTGCAGCTGATTCCTTTAGCATTTCGCTCAAGGATTCCTCGCCGTCGACCTTGGCCACCAATCAACCGCCAGTGGTAAGAGATTGAGGTGTGTGTAATTGTAGTTTTGGGAGAAACTGCGCATGGGGAATCGCGCGCAAGGCACCAAGCCTACCAGGAGAACTCACTTTGGTCTCTCCTCTTCAGGCGGAGCCTGTTGACCAACCGTGAATTGCCCAACCGCTGGCAGACTGACACAAAATCGTCAGCCCTCGAAGCGGGCAATGCACAACGGGTCGGCCGACGTCTGAAGTGTCCAAGAAAGGAGCCGCTGACGATGGTCGAGGCGCAAAATTAGGGAGTCGCCCAGGTGTCGGAGTCAGGGCTGGCACCTTGCGAGAGGCTCAATATTGGGCTCAGTGCTGCTGGGGTGGGTTGAGCGGCTCGGGCGGTGCCTATATTGGTCAAAAGGGCCGCAAACGGCAACAAGTTGAGGTGACCCGAATGAGACGCGAGGAGGTGGAAAACGCGGTGATCTGTAGGGAGAATGCTGACGATGGACAAAGAAAGGCGCGGAGGCGACGTATCGGAGCTCAAGAACCGTGCAACACAAGCGAGATGACAGTCTTTGACCTCTGGGATGTGCGGCCGGGCGAGAGCAACGAGTTGCGGCGAGAGCGTCTTCAAGAGCTAGCTAGAGTGGGTGAAGTGGGCGCGAGTGGACGCAGACGGGCACGGCTAGTAGAGGCTGACCCAGCCAATCTTAGCCAAACAGAGCCCTCGAGAGCACGGGCGCGCAGGGACTGGCAGCAGCAGACATGGGTCAAGAGAGACTAGACGGAGCGACTGGAGCGAGCAAGCCAGCCTATGTCCTGGGTCGATTTCATGTCAATGATCCGAGGTCAATCAACGTGCAGCAAGCAGACAAGCAGAAAAGAGCGCAGACAGCTAGCTATTGCTCACCACGGACAATATTGGGAACCAAGAGCCTGCAAGCACACGGCTGGGGGCGCGCAGCGGAGGGGCCGCTCTGAGGTGTGAGTGGAGTTGGCAGTGAGATGAACCAAACAAGGGGGGTGGGTCGTCTTGGAGTTGCGGTTTTTTACGTATATTATACGGGAGTACAACGTACGATGGCCTGGTGGTTGGTCCATGTCGTCGTGTGGAATAGGAGGCTTGTCTAGGGCGCAAGAGAAAAACGGGACCGGGCGCGGGCAGTTTCAAGCTCTTTTCTTTTTCCTTTTTTTTTTCCGGTGCAAGTCAAGCGTTCGTCCCGCCAGGCTGGGGCTTATGGCCCATGAATGGATGATGAAAGGGTACGTCGGTACGGAACGGAACGTCTGCGTCAAACGTCGGAAAATTACTAGGTGGGCGCGACTCGGGTTCAAAGATGAATGCTACATTGACGCGGGCCACTGTCCAGGTCCCAGGGTGCATGCTTGTGTGAGGCGGTGGGCGGGGCTGGCTGTTGCAATTTGCGGTGGTGGCTGAAAAAAAAAAAAAGATGAGAGAGGAAAGCCTGTGCGAGATGGGACCTGCTCGCACGCGCTTCCAGCTGTGCAAGACCCCAGGTCCACACGGTGCATCGTGGCCTCTGGCGGACCGTGTCGAGTTACTCCCGTAAGTTCCTGAACCCGCCCATCCTGTCTCTCCCATGAGTTGACGGCGCGTAGCCGCCAAGCTCCATCATCTATGTAGATGAAGCCAGGAAGCCTGCCAACGGAGTACGGAGCACTCCCAGAACTAAGCCATGCCGCCAAATGTTTTTGGCCTGAGCTGATTCTGCCCCAATGGCTCTGTTGCAATCGATTGATGGTTCACATCTGTACGGAGTTGTTACCCGCACTAGGGCCGCCGGCCAGGCTGCGTTTCTACAGCACCCTGCACGGTCTGCAAAGTGCCCGCTATCGTTGCCGGCCTAGGGACACCATGTGACTACTTAAGTACTGAAGCACCTGAGTAGTTTGGGTCCTACCACCAGACAGACAGACCAGCCAGTTGACATGGGACAGATTAGTTTGTGCTGGTGGTGCTGTTACCGTTGATAAGTTGTTATGATTACCGTCATGTTGGTTCGTCTGCTGTTACTCGCTGTCTCTGGCTGTCGATCGTGCTTGGTTGCGAGCTGTCTGGTGTCTCAGACTTTCAAAGTTACTTGTGTGTGGACGGGGCACTTGTGATGTTGTGACGGGCACGATGACGCTTGTTCTGAAATCGCAATGAAGCCGGTGCTTCACTAGGACGGTCAGGTGTCGGGGACATTGAGGGCTGATGGCCAGCATTGATGTCACTGTTATTACCGTCACCTTGCGAGGGATGACCTTTGCGGGTGTCCGTTGATTGACGCGTGACGAACAAAGTACAGGGTACGGACGGGGTAGTAACTGCCTTCTTACCTAAGTACCTACTAAGCACTTAGCTGAGTAGGTACCTATTACTTAAGTTCCTGCTTGGGTACTCAAGTAGCTACTGGTACTGTGTCTGCATTGCGTGCAGTGTAACTCTAGATCATCCCCTCGTCTATCATTGAGGGCCTTTGGGATGCCTCCGTTGCAACGCATGCAGTCCCGCATTACTGCTTGCATTCGTCTATGCTAACAGATACCTACCTAGGTACTTACTTAATCAACGCTTCGTTCTGTACGGCTGGGACAGGACTTGAGACTACCTAACAGGCAAGTAACTTCTACTAAAGTTGGTAGGAACGTACGGAGCACTCCGTCCAGAATCACTCCAAACCCTCCACTCACATGCGTCGGCTTGCGCCTAGCTTTTTGATTGGATCTGTTGGCGCCCAGCTCCCCCGAGTCCACGACCCTGCTCATGCATCCTGCCCGTGCCTGACACGCCACCCGGCCGTCGAAGCCTCAAGTGCCTGTAGGCTGCCAGTCTGCCCCCGCGCAGCTAACTTGGAAAATATGTCCGAACTGACCCCCTCCCCAACCACAAGGTACAGTAAACCAGGTCTATAACGATAACCTTCGTGAGCAATTTTCCATCGTTATAACCTAACTACAGGGATTATATTGTTAAGATGCGACTACTCTTTTAGAAAAGAGCTCTACTTTTGTTAGTAGATAAAGCTAATAAGGCTTAATAAAGCTTAATAAGAGTTTTTAGAGAGAGGTAAGGTAGTATATAATTATAAACTTATATATATTAATAAGCAATATCTACAAGAAAAATTGCTATAAGTAAGAAGTTACTTTTATATATATAATATATAGAAAAAGTACTTTACGCCTAGGCGTGTGTGCCGAATCGCTATAGCAGGGGATCGTTATAAACCTGCTTTACTGTAGTTACGTACGGAGTACGGAGTAGCACCACTCACGGGTATCAGACTTCTCACCGGAAGTTTACGCCATCCCGCGGAAACCGGTCCGTTTGAGCCATGAGGCGTGGTGACTGTCATGCCTTGGCATGCATCTGTCCCAGACTTCACCTGGATACCGCACATGTTCACCGACGGTAAATTGATGTTGTACATGCCCTGGTTCATGCTATGGTGGAAAGGAATATGGCCGCATGGTTGGCGTAGATGGTACGGAGTGCTCCGTATAAGGTGTCTATTCTGTCGTCCGATTCACGCAATCGCCACGTCGGCCAACCCACAGGAACTTGTGAAACTAAGCGAACTGCCTCTCACAGGCCTCAAATAACTACCTACACAGGAGGTGGGTGCCTGATTGCATGGTATGGTCTGTCCGTAGTCTGAGAGTGCTTGCCCAGTAGAAAGCTGCTGGTGAGATCATGATAAGCTGATTACAACGGGAGTAGTGCTCCGAATGCCCCCAGTAAATAATGCTCGCTGGCTGCCGGCGCGTCGCCCCCACAAGTTTTCATCCTGGACCGCCTGTTGTCCACTCGCTTGATCACCTGATTGGCCACGCCCTGTCCAGCCTACAGCCTCGGTCAGATACGTCAGACGCTTACCACCAGCGTTCACATGCTGAAGTAATGCATGCATTCTCGTCTGGTCGCTCAAGTACGAAACCACACATCCGTCGATGCGCCACCATGGACAATCCACGACGCCAACCCGACACTTGACAACTCGGCAGTCTGCACTCTTCTCACCGCAACGTCGATCGACGACAACTATCTGTCGGCCTCACCTCCCTCACTTCCCCGCCTGACGGCCGTCCCGCTCACCTGGACTTCATGACTGCGCTGTAAACCAGTCCATTCTTGCGAGCATGGCCGCACAGTCCAATCTCAGACGGACGGCAGCCGAGGACGCCTTGGCTGCCTTCGTCGACAAATGGACATGTGCTGCGCGGTCTAGGTTTCGCGCAACTTCTCGAGTCACTCGAATTCTCGCCACTATTGCCCTCACTCTCACCGTAGTTCTCGGCGGCGAGGGTTGCCGACGACGATGGAAGCGGAAACACCAAGAGCGAGAACAGGGCCGCAAGTTGGTCCGGACGAATTCGTGGCTTCACAACGAAGATGGCTCCCGGACCATTTACGTGCCCTACAAAAATGGAACTTCCAAGGTCACCATCAACACTACAAAGCCCCTGACATTCGAAGCTCACCGTCGCCTGTTCCTTAACCCACCGCGGGTATCCGGCCTGGGCGACGGCACTGTTCCCTCGGCCCAGACGAAGCCCGGCCTCAACTTGGCCTTTTTGCACCAGTTCCTGAGCCTTCTGAGCATTGTGATACCGCGATGGTCAAGTAAGGAAGCAGGCCTGCTTCTAAGCCATGCCATCTTTCTGATGCTTCGAACATATCTGTCTCTTATTGTCGCACGCTTGGACGGTGAACTGGTCCGCGACTTGGTTGCTGGAAATGGAAAGGCCTTTCTCTGGGACATTGTCAAGGTGAGTCTCATCCCATCGCGTACGCTGTACGGCCCCCCTCTTGTTCCCAGTGCTCTGCTTACCACGTAACGCAATAGTGGTGCAGTCTAGGCGGGTTTGCATCATATACCAATGCCATGATCAAATTCTTGGAATCCAAGGTGTCGATCGCTTTCCGCACACGCCTCACCCGATATATCCACGACTTGTACTTGAACGAGAACCTTAATTACTATAAGCTTCACAACCTGGATGGTGGTGTCGGCCACGGGGCGGATCAGTTTGTCACGCAGGACCTAACACTGTTCTGTGCAGCCGCTGCTAACTTGTACTCCTCTCTCGGGAAGCCTTTCGTGGATTTGTGCGTCTTCAGCTTTCAGCTCTATCGCTCCCTCGGCCCGCTAGCTCTGTCAGGCTTGATGAGCAATTATTTCCTCACAGCAAGCATTCTCCGTAGACTCTCCCCGCCCTTTGGAAAACTCAAGGCAGTTGAAGGACGCAAGGAGGGCGACTTCCGAAGTCTCCACGCACGGTTGATTGCCAACGCCGAAGAAGTTGCCTTTTACGGTGGCGCCGACACCGAGAAGACTTTTTTGAACAAGGAATACAAGTCTCTCAAGAGCTGGATGGAGGGCATCTACATGCTCAAGATTCGCTATAATATCTTGGAGGATTTCATTCTCAAGTACAGCTGGAGTGCCTACGGCTATCTGCTCGCCTCACTACCCGTTTTCCTCCCGGCCTGGGGTGGAATTGGCGGTGCTGCTGAAATGGTCGACAACCCCGAGAAAGGCGGGCGGGAGCGTAACCGAATGAAGGACTTCATCACTAATAAGAGACTTATGCTGTCCCTAGCTGACGCCGGTGGCAGGATGATGTACTCTATCAAGGATTTGTCAGAGCTTGCTGGGTACACTAGCCGAGTGTACACCCTGATCTCTACTCTTCATCGCGTGCACGCGAACGCATATTACCTTCGCAGCGGACAAAACGAGCTCTACTCGTTGTCAGACGTACAAGGAACTATTCAAAAGGGGTTTGATGGCGTCCGATTCGAGCACGTGCCGGTTGTTGCCCCGGGCCTGTGGCCGCAGGGGGGAGACGAGTTGTTGGACTCATTATCGATGATTGTTCGTAATGGGGAGCATCTTCTGGTCAGTAGATGGCCCCCTTGTTTTCATTGTGTCTTTATTGCGTTTTGGCTTTTGACTTCAAAATGGAACGGTCATCACTTAGGCCCAAAGCTAATGTTCTATTTTGTAGATATCTGGTCCGAATGGTGTAGGAAAGACTGCGATTGGCCGCATTTTGGCAGGTTTGTGGCCAGTGTACCGAGGCTTGGTCAGTCGACCGAAGAACATTGGGCAAGATGGAATCATGTTCTTGCCGCAACGGCCTTACCTCAGCCCCGGAACTTTACGTGATCAGGTCATTTATCCTGACGGTCACGCTGACATGAAAGAAAAACGCAAGTCGGAAGTGGAACTCCAAAGGATCCTGGAAGAAGCGAAGCTGGGCTATCTCCCTGACCGTGAGGGCGGCTGGGACACAAGAAAGGAGTGGAAAGATGTGCTCAGCGGGGGTGAAAAGCAGAGAATGCAATTTGCTAGGCTGCTCTATCACGAGCCTCAGTACGCCATTATTGATGAGGGCACCAGCGCAGTGTCAAGCGACGTGGAAGGCCTTTTGTACGAGACGTGCAAAGAAAAGGGCATCAGTAAGCCGAAGCACCACTCGTTGTATTTGCTTAATGGGACAAGTGAAGCTGACCGTGCTTGATCCTCGCAGCCCTCATTACGATATCAACCCGAGCATCACTGAAGAAATATCACACATTCAACCTGATGTTCGGCATGGGCGACAACGGCGACGAATGGGAATTTGAGCGAATCGGCACGGAGCGTGAGAAGATGCAGGTTGAGAAGGAAGTACAGGAACTTCGCGAGCGCCTGGCAGAGGTTGATGAATTGAAGAAGCGACGCGATGAGATTGAGCTGGAGCTTGCCTCGGTGTGGACGGACAAGGGAGAAAGTCTGGCCGCACCTGAAGACACGCAGGAGGGAGAGGAAACCGAGCCAGCTAAGACCGAGTCGCAGCAGGAGCAGGAGCAGCAAGATGCCACGGAATAGGACGAAGAAGAGGAATTCGAAGAGACAGAGGAGTGACCTGAAGGCTGATTGAATGATGCCGGGGCTGCATAGACATGCATCATGGCATGCATGAGCGAGTATAGAGGTGGCTGGGGCGGGCTTAGACTGTGTATGTAAGATATATAACGGCGTGTCGTGTGCACGACGGAAGGCGGGCGAGTTCTTTTTTTTTCTCCTTTATTTTATCATGAGTATTTTTAGGAAGCCCTTCCTCGTGCGGGAGAAGAGACGTGAGGGTGGACCAAAACTAAGCAGACGCGATGTTCTGGATGATGATCAGGGAGCAATCTAGTAGAAGGCGATGCACAGATTCTCCCTCCCTTTTTTCCTTGGAGTTTTTTCGTCGCAGCCTCTTTGCCCACACAAAGCCGCCCTTTGGACTGCAGCAACTACAAAACCAAGCAGTAGCTGATTGGCATAAGGGAAAATACTACCGTTGACATTCCGATGGCCCCCCTTCCCCGCGCATTCCTGTGCACTTCTTCCCTGGTGTACTCAACGCTGCCGCGGTTTGGATGTCCGTCTTGAAGGGCGTGGCGCCGACAACTCCTCTGGTCGTGGTTGTGGTAAAGAGAGAGAGTTCTGGTCTGCGCCAACGCAGACTTGGGGAATGGGCAGTCCATAATGTCTCGTGTCGGCTAGCCTTCTTTCTCTTGAGCCCTTGCCGGCCTCTCTTCCTTCGCAGGTCCCCTTTGAGGTTTCACCACAATGTCTCTCGTCGCAATCCATCTCTTGACGAAACATTGCCTCGACTGCTCCGCATGAGCACGACGGATGGCTTGCTGCGGTCGTCACGGCCCGGCGGGCGGAGCGCGGGCGGAGCATGAATAGAATGTTGATTGATAGCTCGTGCTTGATGTCGTGGATGGAGACTTGGGATTGTGGTTTTGATGTCGCATTTTTTTTGCTATTGCTGCCCGGATATATTCTACTTTACTCGTTGATGTTCCGCCTGTCCCGTCCTCTCCGTCCTCTTACCTTGGGTTCTCTTATATGTCGTAGTTGGTGCGAGCACCATTGTCGCTGGCAACACTGAGACTCGAGAGCATTACATCGTGAGCGTCGTCACTAAGAATCGCGAGCCACCAACATGGATGTTCAAAGCCACATAATGGCCATGGCCCGTGAGCCGTCCCGCCGTTCATCAATGGCCTCGCACCTGAAGATGCCCACGCCGATCCAGCGTTCCATCGTTGCGGAATACAGCGATGCCGTCTACAACCCCGGGGCCATCCCCAAGATCCCTCTTAGAGTGCCTCAGAGGCAGTCTCGACGAAGCCTGTACAACGTGCCACCTTCCCAGTTGAGTCCGTATGTCCCTCCTTCGCCCGCCAGCAGCAGCAGCAGTAGCAGCAGCAGCACCATCACCATCACGAGCACGGGGCACTTGTCTCCTCCTCTGACGGCGGACTCGACCGTTGAAGAACTGAAGGAGGAGAGGGACACACCCCACGAGGCCGAGGAGCTGGACGAGAAGAACTGGTTTGCGCAGAGAAGACGGTCTCGACGGTTCTTGGCCATTGTGGGCGTTGTGACGCTCGTCACCATGGCGGCATTGGCAGTCGGCCTATCTCTTGGCTTGAGAAACAAGTAAGTCAAGCGACCAAGACGAGCGGACACCAAGGGACGCATCGAGCTGGTGTATAATCAGATCCCCCCCCCCGTTCAAGCATGGGAGCTGACAATACCAACTCTCTCAACCAGAGTCTCTACGCAAGGCAGTCAAGTTCAGGACGAGGGAGATGGGGATGACCCAGACCCCCGGCTCCCCGTTGGCACATTTGCTTTCCAGACCTCCCTCGGCGACGTGGACGCCGACTGCACGTCCAAAAGCACAACCTGGAGCTGCAATCCCACGACGCAGGACGGCCCAGTCGTCTTCCGCTGGACCCTGTCACGGCCCAACTCCCACAACTACACCGTCACGGCTACCGAGAGCTCCTTTGGTCCCAGCTTTGCCAACCTCAGCATGAGGGTCCGCGACTACAGGAAACCCACGGAGCGCCTCGAGTTCTCGTTTCTGATGAACAAGACCGTCACGCCGTCTGACGCTTCGTCTGCGACCAACCGCGCCGCGAGATGCGTGTACAAAAACGTTAGATTCGAGGCCGCGCTGTATACCAGGAGGCGCGGCAATGCGACCGTCGATCCTCCCGCGCACCCCGTCAATCCTCATGCCGCTTGGCCAGGAGACGTGGAGATTGTCCAGCTCTTCAGCTCGACGACCGGCGAGCCTGCCTGTCGAGATGCCTTGCGACACCCAGTTCCAGAAGTCACCGCCGGCACGGGCGATTGTCGATGTCGGTACTCCAGCGTGGATAGCTGGTAACGGCCAATTGACGTGGGAACTTGGCATTACGATTATTTTGAAGTTTTGCACTGTTGTCAATGTTGGGAATACAGTGGCGGTGTTTGGAATTTATGTCTTGGAGACTTTTTCACTTCGCGACTGTACCGGAGATTGGCAAGCACTCCGGTTGTGGCATCGGGGTTTTTTTTTAGTGACGGAGCACATGGGCGAGGTTAAAATGGGCAGATATCATTGAGACACCGGCATGAATTGAATGTTTCACGACATATTGAGCATGAGTATTGGTAATGAACACTTACAAGAGGACGCTGTGTGCGACCGCCCCATGTTCTTCTGTCCGCGTCATGATGAATATCAAATGCCCTCAACGAGGACAGTCCCTGCACCCAGTCAATTGAGAACGCTTGGGACGCTTCGGCATCGCTCAGAGCATCTCAGGCTCAAGCACTGGGTGGTTCATCCATACTCCTGAGGGTGGGCACACAAAATGGCGAGGAGTATAACAGACTGGTCGCAATATTGTATTTCGCAATGCTGCCATCAATTGACCTTGTTGTACGATTGATGCTGAAAAAAAAGAAAAAAGACAAAAACAAAAAAAACAAAAAAAAAAACAAAAAAACAACCAAAGGTGGACTTGAGGAATCCTTGAACATGTTGGAAAGTAGCAATGCCAATCCTCCAACTATGAATAAATCATCACAAAATTACCACATCATATAATCATACATCTGTTGGGACCGTGTAGCTCAGGAAAAATGGAAAGAAAAAAAAATGGGATGCACTTTGCCTACAGATTGTGTCTTCCCAACACCTACTACCTAGGTAGCTTGATCCCACATCATACAATTGGCGCCGTTATGTACGCCTTCGTAAAACAACCGGAAACGCCTCGCTGATGACCCTATCTTACTTTCCCGAAACACTTGACTTTATACTCGGACAAAGGCTGGCAGTAATAGTTAGCAGTACATCCAAATATCACATACATCATAAACGAGCATCATCTGGGACGACTTACTGGCATCAATCTGGCTGACTTGCGGCAAAGCTAATCGGATCTTGTTTCTGTATAGGGCTGGTCCCCGCAGCTGAACGGGATTTCCTTCAAAGTAGACAGTGGTCAAGTTCTCCTTGTCCCTCAACATCTTTTCTACTTCCACAAAATCCTCGATTTGGTTGTAGCTTGCCCATACTTCTTCAAGCCTAGTGAGCCCCTCCAGACCCTTGAGACTGCGGATTTGGTTGTTGGATATGTCTAGGGTTGTCAAATTGGTGTTTTCCTCGATGCCCTCTAACGACTCTAACGCGTTGTGTGCAATGTAGAGCTCCTCCAGCTGCGGGACCTCTCTAAGTGGCGATAAGTCCCTGATTCTGTTCGATTGAATACTGAGAAGACGAAGGTTTGATAATCCGCCCAGCCCAGTGAGCTCCGTGATTTTATTTTTAGCCACCCAAAGCTCCCCTAAGCTTTGAAGATTATCCAGATTTCTTAGCTCACGAATGCGGTTTGATCCAAGCTCTAGAGATGTGAGATTCTGCAACGTATCGAGTCCTTCGATTCTGCTGATCTTGTTGGCGACGAGGAAAAGTTCCTTGAGCTCAATCATGTGGCTGATGTTCTTGATGTGCTTGATCTTGTTGAAGCTCAAGTCCAGGCAGACGAGATTTGTGAGTTCATCCATGCCATGCATATGCGAAATCAGATTGTCATAGAGGTCCAGGTCTTTCAGTGTGGCTGCGAGGGGGGCCAGACCCTCGATTTCTTGTATACTATTTTGCCGAAGGCATATGCGAGCGACGTTTTTAAAACGATCCAGTCGAAGGGATGATATGGATCCGATACGGGAATGAGAGCATATGATTTCTTCGCTGTCGGAGCTCTCGCTTTCAAGTAGATCTATTAGAAAATATTAGTCTACAACTGCAAAGCTGGGGGCGGGGAGCACATATACCTTCGTCAGCTCTAATCTCTTCTCCGCGTAGGACGTTGCCGTCGTCGGAATACTCGGGATCGGAGAGTGCCTCAGGGTTCGACAGCAGCGCGGCCTTGGGGACACGGAGCTTTCCGTCCCATCCTTTGCTATTTCTCATGCCTGAAATTGCATCTCCTTCTTCGCGCGGCGCTACCCGGTCATCTTGAATGTCAATATGGTGGTGGGATTGGTCCGTCTCGTTGTCTGCAGCAGATGACATTGCGAACAGTTGCGATGGAAGTGTTTCGGTGTTTCGGTGTCGGTGGGGAGGAGGGCTTTGATAGATTGAACATGGACAAACGGCCTATGCACTGTTCCGCGGGTTTTGAAATGCTCAGGTGCAGTCCAAAGAGGAGGGAGGATGCCGATGAATGGGAAGGTGAAAAGAGTCGAAGTTTAGAAGCGCTGCCACCAGATGCTTTAATCGTGCCCGCCCCACTTTATGTGGTTCGGCTAGCAAAAGCCCTCACCACCAAAGGTGGTGCTCGACAGCAAGGCGGGCCGGACACCAAGGCGGGCCAATTTTCAACCTAATAACGCTATTAACCTCTTCGCCTATAATGTACACCCTTCTCGTCCCAAATTTCTACAGTACGACAGGGAGAGTGGCGAAAAAGGCATGTGGCGCCTGAAGCCAAGCGAGATCTTGCCCGACGAAAATGCGATTCGCGCCATGATCAAGCCTGAGGAGGTCAGTCTTCTGGATGCCATGCAGCTGGGAATCAAGGAGCTCGAGGACGCCGGCTACGATCCCCGAAATGCCAACATTGACGATGACGTCATGGACATGGATGCTGAAGAAGACGACGAGGATGAGGGCGGAAGCAAGGCGCCCAAGGGCGCCAAGAAGCCTGGCGAAAAGCAGGAAGAGACACTTGCCGACAAGATGGCACCTTGGAAAACTACAAAGGCCTTCATCGACGCCTGTGCGCAAAAGGCCATGCTCCAGCTGCACGGCGAGGGTGACCCGACTGGACACGGCCTCGGCTTCAGTTTCATCCGAACGTCCATGAAGGGAGGGTACATTGAGGCTGTTCAGGGCCCGTTGGCCACGTCGGCCGACGCCATGGAGCGTGAGAAGCGCGCTAACGGCGGCCACGCCTATAACGTCAAGAAGCAACAAGCAATGTACGAGGAGGGCATCAAGGAGATTTGGGAGAAGCAAAAGGCAACGCTGTCCGACGCCCGGGAGCACGACGACAAGGACGTGGCAGTCACGGAAGACGAGGATGATCGATTCAACGTTCACGCCGCCGCGACGCCGGCGCAATTCGACGACGGCACCAGCCAAATTAGTGGCTTCACATCGGCTAGTCGCCATGTCAAGAAAGCCATCCGCATCACGAGAGAGGTCCGCCTGCAGGACGGGTCGACGCAGACGCGAACCGAGGTCGTCCACGATCCCGTCGTCATCTCGCAGTATATGAAGCGGCGAACCGAGGCAGACTTGGAACTTAAGGAGTATGTACTCAAGACGATGCGATGCAGGCCCCGCGGGGAGGCCCCCCGGGTCTGGAAGCGGCTGCCGTCACGTGTCAGGGCGCTTCACAAGTGGGCGTGCCTGGGTCACACGCATCTCGGCCCCAAGAGACGACAAGTAAGCTTGTTGTAATAAGTAAAGAGCATGCCGACAAAAGGCGCCACAACCACGCCAAGAGGACGTTTTTTGAAGCAGCTAAAAAGGCACGTAAATGGCGTCTGGATTCTGTACTAGATCTACTAGAAATTTGGGACGAGAAGGGTGTACATTATAGGCGAAGAGGTTAATAGCGTTATTAGGTTGAAAATTGGCCCGCCTTGGTGTCCGGCCCGCCTTGCTGTCGAGCACCACCTTTGGTGGTGAGGGCTTTTGCTAGCCGAACCACATAAAGTGGGGCGGGCACGATTAGAGTGTCTTGGACCGCCGTCTACAATCGAGTAGCCCGCTTCTGGAGTGCTGCTGCTGGGTTAGGTCCACTGGAATGTACAGTGTAGTTACTTCCGGAAGGCCTATAGTGCTTGGGTACCTGTAGGCACCTAGGTCCAGGTATAAGTAAGCAGAAGCGAAGTAGTTACCGTTACTTGGCAGCCACGGAGAACGTGGGTGCTTAATTTCAAGGGGCCACAGTCTGTTGATGCCAACTGAACGCTAGCATGCATTGTTAACCCTGCGGCAGTGGTGACATCAGGCCTCGAGCAACGCGGGGTCACCCACCGGTGACCAGTCAAAGGCACAGTCGGTCGATCAATTAGTTAATGTCTTGTGCAAATCAAGGACGACAGATTGCCAGACTCCTACCATACTGGAGATTGGCATCCAGCAAATGAGTTGAGAGGCGACTGCTTCTCGTCGCAACATACGCCCTGCATTCAGGCTCGACAACCACACCGAACACAACCAACACCTTCTGCTGCGAGGGGTGTTGTGCGGGTTCGGGCAGATTCACCTGCTGGGATGTCGCGAACCTAGAACTATGTCATATGACAATGCTGTTGCCTCGCCGTCTGCCCCTCACAAAAGACGGACCAGCCTGGAGACGGATGCAAAATGGACAGAAGAGGTCCATTACACCGTCTCAGACATGGCATTTGGCATGGTTAAATGGCCAGGAGGTTGCATGCTGCTCCTTTTCTCATGCCACCCGCCATCTTCACCGGGCTCCTTGTCGCGTTGTGGTGTTGGAAATGCACCATGCTGATCATGTTGCAAAACACTCTTATTTACAATCCATATCTGCCGCCGAATGCTAGGAAAATGAAGATATCTGATTATGCCCAATACTTTCGTGGCATTCAATGGCGAGAAGAGAGAATACGGTCCCTAGATGGCACAGAGATTTCACTCTGTATCAGTAACGGGGGCGGCTCTACTGGGACTCTGGCAAAAAATGCATTAAGCGGCTGTGTCAAGACACCGGTATATATATTGTATTTTCAAGGTATGTTCTAATCATCATTCTACACCAGAAATGAGAGGGAAGCTAGGCTCTAACGAGCGATATAAGCAATGCGTCGTCTCTTCCCCCACGGTTACCCGATATCTCACGCGTTCTCGCTCGCCTTCAGCTGGAAGATGGCTTGTTCCATTACACGTTGATAGGCGTCAGCTACCGTGGATATTGGACATCGCCTGATCGGCCCTCTGAAGCAGGCATCAACAAAGATACCGAAGCAGCCTTGCGCTGGCTGTCTGATCAACACCTCCACAGATCACAGGAAGTCGAGCAACCAACGCCAGCTGTAATTGTTTGGGGCCAGAGCGTAGGGTGCGGCTTCGCAACAAATCTGGCTGCCTCGGCATCTGCGGCTCCTTCTCCGACCAATTTGCCGATTCACGCTCTTGTTCTGGAGACACCGTTTACAAATACACGCGATATGCTGGCAGCTTTATACCCGCAGAAGTGGTTGCCATACAAACACCTGTGGCCGTTCCTTAGGAACCACTTGGATAGTTGGAAGAATCTAGAGTCGATCGGAAAGAGATGCGCTGGGACACGACCACCTGCTATATACATTATCGAAGCGGGAAATGATGAATTAGTCCCCTCAGACCATGGATGGAGGCTTCAACAACAATGCGAGCGTGTGGGTCTCTCAGTGCAACGTCATGCCATTCGTTCAGCTCTTCACAATGATGTGATGGTTCGCCCAGAAGGCAGAGAGGCTGTTGCAATGTCTATTTTGTCAGCGGCGCAGAGGTCTGTAAAAACGAGGAACGAGAAACCAACCTTATAAGAGAATAACAAAAAGACAGGCATCGCAGCCGGGATAGAGGGTAATGGATAGACAGGTCTGGTGTACGGAGTACTGTGCTTCTAAACCTTACCGGACCCCTTCGGTCCTGGAGAACACGACCGTTCAAGACATCAGGCATGATCGACCCAGCCGGCACAATGATAATAAGTACAGTACCTACGTAGCTAGCGAATCTCCCAGCATGTTCCGAGCATGGCACAAGAAAAAAGTACAGTACCCATGTGCAGAGGCAGAAGTGGCGTCCGGTTCGCTCCTCCAGGTCTGGTGAAAATCCGCTTAGAGCGTGGAGATGTTGGTGCGACTGGGTCTACCAGCACGCCTCACGAGTCTTCCAAAAGGCATCAATCGATGAACGCGGGTAATTGTACTGCCTTCTACCCCCCTTTCCCTCATCCTTTCCCCGAAAAATCCTCAATATATCAGATCAGATGCGGAATGACTATCCTTCAAGAACGGTGCCTCGAGAAGACTTGCCTGTGGTGCTCCACTGTGTTCACCTCCCAACCCCTTTCCGTCTTGCTCCGTAATCCGTACCCCGGCGGAACCGGTAGTCGTTATGGCATGGATTGTCGAAGTGGCCTCCTTCAGCAAGGCATCGTGTCCAGACCACGGCCCCTGAAAGCTGGTGGCAATGTTGCTCCATCCTTGCTGTTGTTGATGACTCCCAGCCAGCCCTGATCTGTGTCTGACTCGAATGCAAAAGCGCTTGGGCCATGGCTTGCCCAACACACTCCCCAACTAACTAGTAGTACTTAGTTATTGCACCCCTACCCCTACACCGACCAGAGCTAATAAACTCACGTGATACCGCGCAAACTACGCGAACGAGGAGTCACGCTTGCTGCCACGGGTAGGACATGAGGCCATCACCAACGCACCACAGACTAGAGGGCTTCCTTGCAACGCGGACCACATCCGGGGACCAAGCCTGCTCGATAGTCCGTCTCGGCCATGTCATAGTTGTATGGGGTCCGCCGATGCCTGTCTGGCTGCACGGCCCGTTCTCCTAAAGACATAAAAGCCTGGCATTCTCCCCGTTCCAAGCGACCACAATTTCTGTGACGTGTCGTGGGCGCCTCAGGTAAGTTTTCTTTTGGCGGCTTCGCTGACACCATCAGTCATCAAAAATCCTCACCAGTCTCGCCGCGGGTTTCCACGTCTTTGCAGCCCACCTTGGCCTTCACTTTACTGTTCTGTGACTTTCTCCCCTTGGTAGTGTTCGTACTGAACGGTCGTCAACTGGTCCGTTCCGCGACATCTGGGAAACACCACCAGAATGTTTAGCATCAGCAGCAAACGCTTTGAATACTCAAACAAGAGTTTCTCTAAAAGTCATCAAGTATCAAAGTCAAGCTCGTCGTTCAGCCGTGACAGTGGTGTCAGCAAAAAACGTCATGAATCTCGTCATCGAAGGCCGGCGACGGCTTCCACAGCCACGACCAGTGATGGCACGGTCATGGGCGGGTATGCAGCTCTTTCTCCCTCGTTTTCTTCTTTTATTGCCCTCTTATTTTCTTTTTTCTTTTTTCCTCGTTATAAAATAAGAAAAGCTGACCGGCGGACACAGGAATGTATCGTGTGCGATCGTGACGCTGGTCGTTGGATCCGACCAACGACTATTCGCCGCCCATGAGGATGTTCTTGGTGCCAGTCTCTTCTTCAGTAATGCTCTCCGAAATACATACATGGATCCTACTGCCAAAAAAATTGCCCTTCCTGATGAAGAGCCAGATATTTTCAGCTCCGTATTAGAATACCTGTACAAGGGAGACTACTTTCCCCGACTTATGCATAGCAAACGCCGCAACTCCTGGGAACTCGAGCCTTCTGATGCAGAACGAGCAGTTGAAAGCACCTTGCATCATCGCGGCTTTGACGGTGACTTACTCAAAGACACCGTCATTTATTGTGCAGCTGAGAAATACGGATTAGAGGAGCTCAAGAAGCTCGCTCTCCGGAAGCAAGGCTTGCGTAAGTTTTGTTCCATATCTGTCCTGTTCATACGCCTTTTCCCAGGTTATACCTGACCAGCAATGCATAGAATACGGCATCCAGTGCAGCACCATCTTGGCATCTGCGCGATATGCTTATGCTAACACACCCGATACCGATTCCAAACTGCGAGCTCATTATCTGGCTCTCATTATTCGCTCTCGTAGCACTTTTAAGCGTAGCGGGACTATGCAACTCGAAATGTACAATGGAGGCACCCAGCTCTTTTTTGACCTCTTTGTTGCCTTGTGCAATCATGTTGATGATATCTCATCTGCACAGTAAGACGAAAATCCTCCTTGACCGCTTGTCAAGAGCTGAGCTAACACAGGCTCTTCTCAGAGGCACACCGAGATCTGGCCGCCACATCCAATATTAAAAGGCTCAAAGATCCGGGGTCACGGTATTACGCTCCCAAGGTGACGCGACACGATTCCAACTTATCCAATTTTCTTATATAAGGAGCCAATCTTAAAGTCACCAAAAAAAGACATGCTGTTCTTTAATCTGCGGCTTTACAATTAGGCATCAGCGTCTTCTACTTTCTCGTCTCTATTACCATTTTGCAAGTTTTGACATGCCCCTACACAGTTTGTCAGGCATCATTTTCATTACTTTTCTTTCATGTTCTTCACCTTTGTGGCAACCCATGCACAATTATTCTTTGTTTGCGGTTTGGCGAAATATTCCTCGGGCATACGAGGCTGTTTAGAGTTTTCACTTGGGAACACGAAAAGATAATATCCTGCTGTATTGCCATGTTTAAAAGGGCGATTTTTTCTGGGGGTTCTTATATAGCTATAACTTCATTGCATCGGCTTTGTGTGTACCATCACCTCCCGATGCTTGATGTGTGCCCTAACCAGCAGGTAGAAGTTGAAAATATATTCATTTTCTCACTAATAACAACTACATGAGTTCACGGATTTACTTGCTTGGAGCATACGGATGGGCATGGTAGGAATTTGCTTGTAATTAGACGCTGGATCAGCCTACGTGAAGCCCTGCACAGTGACAGCCTCGTACTTCCAATGCTATCAAAATTTTGGTGTGGCGGCAATGACTCACATCAGGAGGACAACATTATGGCTGTTTAGGAGGTCGTGGGGGTAGATCCTCCCGTGCTACACGACCTGCCTTGATTGACACTCCGGCATGAAATCATCGTCTTATCAAACAAATCGCTGATCAATCCCGCGCCTCGTGACGAATGAAATGATTTGTGCCATGTTGCTGAAGGCGTTTCGCATCAATCACTTGTTGGAAGCCCTACTCTCCATCTTGAGGCATTGATTCAAGTCAGCCACCTGCGTGCCGCTGCCTCTTGTCCAAACTCTCGCGCTGGATCACAGAGGCCGATGCGAATTGCACCTCACCAAGATTTTGCTCAGAATTCTCGTCACCGAGGCCGCCAACTAGCTTTGAAATTCTCAACATAGCCATGTACCTCAAATCACACACCTGTTCCGGGGAAGGCGCCCTTCTTTGACAAAACCACGATTCCTCTTTCTCGAGCAATGTATCCTTTCATCAGATCCTGTCACAAACGCAAATTAACAATTCACTCTTGTACATGATCTGATCATCAGGACCACACGAAATTTCATTTCTGCCTGAGACCATCGGGGTGAGGCACCAGGTGCTGTTTTATGGAGGGGTAGATGGTTGTCTGTAAGGCACAGACCGAGTGACTCTTGAGAGGGAGAATTTTGGGGGTGGTTGGTAGAATATGCAGTTAGTCTTTAGGATGGGCTTACCTTGTAGATCATGTTCGCCAACAAGCACTCGACCTCATCTGTATCGACAAGCTCCCCGCCACTACCCATGCAAATCCCGACTCGAAATTCGGAGACTGGTATTCGCGTCCTGCGAACAGGGGTTGTTTCGCCCTCTTTGAGCTCGTCAAACCCGCCAGCGATGAAGACCTTGCGTAGGAGGTTGCGCAGAGCAATGTCACGGCCGCGTTCTAGTGTCAAATAAATGCGCTTTTTGACAAATTCATCCTCGCCTTTTTGCAGGGCTAGATCGAAATTGTGTAAATCCCCTCGTTTGATACACTCGGCAAGTGGTAAGAAAAGTTCCTGCAACCGAGGAAACGGTTGCAGCAGCGTCTTGGTAGGAAGAACGTGACTAGTCAACAGTCGGCAGGGGATGAGATATGTCAAGATGCGCCTGTATCTATTAGTCGTTATATTCGTGGCTTTTTATTCTTGACATACTCTGCGTTGCTTTTGGCATCCTTGTGGCATAGTTGCCATGCTTCAATAAGGTGTTTCTCGGCCTGTTCCGGATCATGTTAAAGATCTGCTCAACGGAATTGAGCGTATAAAGTACCTGAACATAATTCTCCTCGAGAAAGAACAGAACACCTTCATAGTATTTAAAAGTGACTCTCTGAGTCCTTGGAAATGCTTCCAATGGTGGCATGTCTCCCTTGTCTTTATAGACAGCCAACGTTTTCAGAATCGTTCTTGATAATGACGCGCTGTTGAGCTTGAAATAGGTCTTGAACAACAGATTGATAACAAAGTATATCCCCCATTTTCGAGATTCTTCTATCGGTGCTCTACATCGTTATGCGTGATCAGAGTCATATCAAGCACCTGGTGGCAGGTGCAGCTCACCTATCATTTAGACATAGAGTAAATATACGCTTCAAATGCTGTTCACAGTCTCTCAGCTGACCCTGCTTCTCTAGTTCCGGGTCAAAGTCATCCTGCATCAGCGCTGCAGTTCCGGAGTTTTCGGTAGAAGAGCGACTTCTCTCATCGTCGGACTTGATAGCAAACAGCCTCAGATACTTCCCAACGACGTACAGGGTGGGAATTGTCCATGCTTCAAAGCCAGAGTTGTTGTATCCCCGAATTAGCATGGAAGTAAGTTCTTTCCACGCCTCGTAGACTTTTGTCCAAGATGACTGGGGAATAGGACTTTAGCCCACATACATTTGCCTGGAGACAGTACGACAGCAACTCACCTTGCCGCTCTCCCCAGCAAGAATCTCACCTATAGCGTTCCAGTATGCGACATATACTTCAACCCATCCATTGATCTCGTCATTATCTATAGTCTTTCGAGCAGACGTCTGGGACTTGATGAAATGCTTAATGTCTCCCTTGGCGCTATGGGTATTGGTGCTCTGCCATATGCGTCTCAGCCGTTGCGGTTCATGAGGAGGCGGCACCGGTGAGATCGTCTGTGCTAGCAGGTACCCATTTCGCAGAGCGTGCGCTTTGGAAAAGTCTTCGAATAATTCATTCATGCTGACGCAAAACTAGTTTGAGTGAATAGGGACTTGGTAATTTTTCCATGAAAGCAGCGACTGAGAAACGTTGGCTCCGATGTCCCTCAATCCTCGCATGAGCCGACCAGATGCGCCAGCCGTTCCAGACAAACTTCAGGCAGCTTGCGCCTGGGTTAAACCTCATTCGGTCCGTGCTTGTACGGTGTACCTCAACTCCACCAGAAACGGCCGTCGCCTTTTTCGCTTAACAGGTACTATCACGTGAACGCATTCTTGACCCCTGTGGCCACTGGGTCTCATTTAGCCAATCGTTGGCGAAGCCTAACCTGCCTTGCTGTGTGCCCTCCCCACCAACCGCGCACAAAAAAATCCGCTCCATCTTCTTCCACTTTGACTATCACCAAATTCCGCCAGTTGTCGAAGACATTGACCACCGTTACTGTGAGTCAATCAATATTATTCAAACCGCATCATATAAACTTACTAACATATAATACAGATGGGTAAGCAGTTCCCCTGCATTCTTTTCACCTACATCCTGGGATTGGGTCCGAGGAAGTTGGACAACATCGAGGCATCGTCGATCCCGGCATATTCACCACCAACGAGAGAATACTTGACGTATTGTGTGTAAAGGGTGGAGGGCTTCGGGCGAGGTCGATACTTTTGCCATCGGTCCGGATTGCGCAGCGTAGAATTATTTGATTCAGCTCTGGCGTCTCGGCAAATTTCCTCTCCGACTCGATTTCGCTCTAAACCTGGCCACTCCATTCGGACTGATTGTCTCGCTCCATCAAAATGGATGACGAATCTCGCGAGCTTATGAGATATGAACAACCGCATGGAAACAACGGAACTAACTAGCTTTTTTTCCTGTCCATAGGTCGTCTTCAAGAATACGAGGTCATTGGGCGCCACCTGCCCACGGAGGCCAACCCGACCCCGGATATGTACCGTATGACCATTTTCGCACCCAACGAGACGGTTGCCAAGTCCCGATTCTGGTACTTCTTGCGCGGTCTCCGAAAGGTCAAGAAGGCTACTGGCGAGATTGTCAGCGTCAAGGCCGTGAGGATACCCCTACCCGATCACCCACACCGAGTCGTACAGGCTTTGTATTTGTCGCAACATGGAGGCTCACAATTTGGCACATAGATCCACGAGAAGCACCCACAGAAGGTCAAGAACTTTGGCATCTGGCTGCGCTACGACTCTCGCTCCGGTACACACAATATGTACAAGGAGTATCGTGAGATGTCCCGCACTGATGCCGTCGAGGCCCTGTACTCTGACATGGCTGCCCGCCACCGTGCTCGTTTCAGGTCGATCCACGTACGTACACCATGCTGTTGCAATTGGTTTTCCACGGGATCTTTGGTTTGAATCAGCAGCTGACTCGTGTCGACAGGTTCTCCGTGTTGTTGAGATTGAGAAGACCGATGATGTCAAACGCCCCTACATCAAGCAGCTCCTCCAGAAGGGTCTGAGCTTTCCTCTGCCTCATCGTATTACCAAGACCAGCAACTCGAAGGTGTTCAGTGCAAAGCGACCTTCCACCTTTGCCTAGAGGAATTCTGGTTCCGGGGGATGGTTGGGTCAAGGTTCTGCGGGTGTTACAACGGTCAAGGAAATATCAACTGCATTTGCCTGGTAATGGCAGGCAACGAATAAAGCCAAAAAGAAGAAACACTCTTCAATGCTACGTCATGGGGATGGAGAGTGACGCGAATTCAACGCCGTACCAGTAGCTGGAGTCTGAAAAGGAATTCACGTTTACCTTAAGCATACCCCTGTGTTTTCGTGACTCTGAATCGTGAGCGAGTCAAGGTCTGGTCTACTTGAGTAAGTTGGAGTTGATTGGAATATGCAATTAAGTGGTTGTACATGGGAACTACGAGGCAGCCGCGGCTTGTCCGACTTGCTTTGCTGTGGAAGCCTTCTTTCCGTAGTCACCAACGCCCCGGACCAAAAGAAGAAACAAAAGACCAGACTGGCCCGTGATTCCTGGACAAACTTTCTGCCGTTGCCTGCCGTTGTGTCAAATCCACTTAAATTGATGAAGACTCCTGCTAAACTGCTTACCCACCAAGTACTTACCTAGATAGACGGATCACGGCTTAAATCGGCGGCATAGGGTACAATGCACGGTATCCACATGGGAAGCAAACCTCGGTGACGCCCTCAGGTGACTCATGCTAGATTTGAGATTTTACCATAATGTTCTCAGGAGCATCGAATATCTTTGTGATATACGCACGAAAGGCTGATTTTTCATCCACAGTACCTCGCCGAATGGGACGTCCTTCACACTCCTACTTGATGTCTCAGTTAAGTCGCTCTAAAGGAGAGGCATGGGGCGAGGCAGAACAAGTCGACATGGTGAATCCTTCCCCTCTGGAATGGGTCATGACCAGGACAACGCTCCCAGCTTCGCCTCTTCCACCGTTAAATACTCGTCCGGAGATTCGGACCGAGCGACTCGTCCTGCGTCCCACGTTGGAAAGCGATTTGGAGGAATGGCATGCTCTGCGTCTTCAACCAGAGGTCATGAAATGGACTGGACAGGGAAAGCCAGATCCGGACATCAATTGGTCCAAGGAGACGTTGACATGGAGGCTGTCGCCAGAGGGCGATGCCAAGTACGAATACGTTGTTTGCCTGGCCGACACGAGACAGATGATCGGAACGGCAGGTAGTCATATGCTAGTGGGAGAGCTTGGATGGCCTGTGATAGGGTACTTGCTTCGGAAGGAGTTTTGGGGCAAGGGTTACGCTACAGAACTCGTGCATGCGTTCTTGAAGGCCTGGTGGGCGCTTCCGCGAGACGAGGTCGACGTCAAGGTAGAGAAGAGCACGGCTGTGGAGGAGGACGATGGCAAAGTGAGGGAGTGTATTGTTGCCGTGACGGCTGACAGCAACAAGCCAAGCCAGAGGGTTCTCGCCAAGGCAAATATGCGGTTCGTCAAGGCTTGGGATGTAGTTGGTGAGGATGATGAATCGGTATCTAAGACTCTGTACGGCTACGTGGCTCAGCGCCCGGTGCGGTAACAGGAATCCGGAAACGACGACGAGAAAGCCTACCTTGATACGCAGATTTTATTCAAACACGGAGCGTTTTTTTCCTCTTGTGATGGTCATTGTCGCGCAGTGTAGAGGGGATCAGGATAGCGTCCCGAGAGCTTGGCACGGGAAGAAACACATATCGATCTACTGAGAGTTTAGTGGTGTTTGCCCTTCACAACGGTTGCTGTCTTACATTATCGGACGTCGCCGCGCGAAGATTCAACTGCCTAGGTAGTCGAGGGATAAGAATCCTTCCTTGAGCCCCGCAAGAAATGGCTTGCGAGATTGCCGTGCTAGTTGGTAGGTTATTACGTATGGGTGATGAGGTGTCTTGCATGAGACCAAACGTTGCTTGCACCTCTTAAAAACAGCAAATAAGTATTGTTGCTGCAAAACCTCCTCTCGTCTCCATTCCGGCCACCTATCGAGCCAATAGGTCACCTCACCCATACACCCAATTCTCTTGCAAATGTACATCTCGAGCGCGCCCCTGGTTGCCGCTGCCGTCGCAAGCGGCATTGTTGGTTCTGCCTGGGCAGCTGGTCAGTCAACAAAGTTGGCCTCATATTGGCAACAGACACTTTCAAGCCCATCAACTAACGATCTTGCTACACCAACAAGGTGCTGTCGCTTCACTCTCGCTCAAGGTCATACCTGCACTCCAGACATCACCCCAGTCCACTGCTCCGATATGGGCGGACTTGTACAGACGTGGAGCAGCCCTTTTCCCACAAGTCGCGGTTGGACTTGCTCTTGCATATGGATACGCTGCCTATGATGTGCAGAGTCACGGCGGACAATGGATTGGGTTTGCAGCTGCGGCTAGCAGTGTCTTGGCCATCGTGCCCTTCACCTTGACTGTCATGATGACGACTAATGTTTCGTTGCAGAAGGCAGCCAAAGATGGGATACCGGGCAGTGATCCCCAGGTCAAGCACCTGTTGAACACTTGAGCGTGGATGAACCTTGCCCGAAGTCTATTCCCACTTTCTAGTGTTGTGATCGGTGCTATTTCATTTGCTAATAACAATCCCTAGTTGTCTCTGACTGGTGATGTTATAGTAAGGTGAGAAGTCTAAGACGGAAAAGGGAAGGGGATGAAACACCGTTGCTTGGTCGCCAGACAACAAGATGCAAATGACTTTGCTCCAGGAAATAACACATATGTACAATATCAACACTTACATGGAAATCGGGCCCTGTTCTATGATGCGAATTATCCAGCTGTCTGGTAAACGAAGTTCTACTAAAGCCTTCAAGTAAGATCAAGTGTGTGATGAGGTGTGACAGGATATTATTGACTCACCCCTAACTGGTCAGCTGGCTTGTACTAGAGTCTTTTATCAAAGTGTCTGAAAATATCTTCAAATCGTACACCTTCCCTCCCGAGGATAGCTAACACCTCTATCACTAGACGAGCATTTCGAAAACAGGCTCATTTCGAGGCACTACTAAGTGGGTCAATTGGTCAATCCAACTCTTCAACACAATCATCAGACAACTCCTCAAATCTACCCTCATGAACAGCCTTTTCAACGGGGTTTTGAATATTGACGATGCCGGTCTTTTTCAGTCTAGAGCTATGTCAGTCTCGAGTTACTTAGGCATGAATGACATCCAGATCGATACACTAACCGTTCAAAGAGAACGAAGAGACGTTCTGCCTCGCGCTCTTTTTCCTCATCGGTCATATCTGGCGCATCAACAATCTTCTCCCTATCCAGGAACTGCCCGGTAATAGGGTTGACAAGTTTTTGCGCCCCAAAGCTATCACCTTTATTGAAGGTTGCTGTGGCGGATGCAGGAACAGGCACATTGTTCTGAAATAGAAAACCTGATGCAAAGCCATACCCCACGTTTTCCACAAATTTCGACGCGTCCTTGTCCGATAGGTCGAATAGAAGATGAGAAATAGCGTCCCGTAAGGCTGGAGCAGTAGCATTCGTTGAATTTTTCAACAAGTGTGATGACAGTGAGTCGGAGCGGCCAAGCACACCTTGCCGATCCTGTGCAGTTGGCAGAAGGCCGTCGCGTAGCTTTTGCCGAACTGGCTGAGGAGCCTTTTCGTATACTTTAGCAAGTAGGCTGACCACCGGTGTGACAACGGTTTCGAGGTCACTACCGCTATAAGCTCTTATGCCCTGATCGAGCAAGTCCACAAGCCTTGATGTTAACTTGTGTGGCTCATTGCTGGGATACAGCGCCGATTGACTTAGGTCAGTATGAAGATCGAGGTTAAGAAGCGCGTTGATGAGAGGACCAAAGGGAGCATCCAAGGGTTTGGTTTCGGATATATCTTGTTTCCCAAGTAGCGCCACGATATGGGACACTGCAGGAGCAAACGAAGCAACGTGGGTCTTGGAAAAGTGTGTTACGTTGAACATGAGTTTCAACGTCTCTTCAAGTGCCATGTCCTCCATCGGGTTCAGTTTTCCCTTCTGCTTATCTGACAGGATTTTAACGTGACGTTCCAGGTTGTTGACGAGATGGTACGCTAGCTCGTGATTTTCAATCAAATCTGGCAAATCAATACTGGTACCGTAGGTGGAAAGAAACAACACTCTGGAAAGAAGGAACTCGTCATCCCAATTGCCTGTGTTGAGCCTATCACAAGCCTGAGCAGCATATCCTTGATCCACAAAAATCTGGCGTGTCTCGGGCTTTAAAAGCATAGCATTGGCTATGACTCGCAGGGCCGCTCGTGAAGTGTCATCCGGGGTGTTCTGAAAGGAATATCTCAAAAGCATGGTCATTCCCTTGGGTTATGTTAGAGTAAGATATCATCGAAATGAGTGCTGAGAAGAACACCACATACATCTTTGGTGAAGATGGGATCTGCGTAGTTGGGATCACGTCCATATATTTTTAGCTCTTCTAAAGCATCATTGCGTTCTTTGGCAAAATGTTAGACTTGAATACCATCAAAGTCGTCTGGGTAGTTGAGGCCACCTTTGGGTAACAATGAGATCTTCTCGAGGCCATCGCTTAGCTTATTGACCAGATCTGCTACGGCCTGAAGCTTTTCTAAGGGCGAGCAACTGTTAGCTTGAACTGCGTTGCCGACAACTTCTGATGACAGCGCGCGGCGTGACTCACCTGGCCCAGTGGCAGCTCCCATCGTTGTTGCAGACATCTTGAGCTCAGAAAGGGCGTCAACTGACATTTTTTCAAACAACAAAAGACGATGGACAAGAAGTGATATAATGCTGCCTGGAGAATCCAAGAGTCCCGAATACAACACGGCGTTATGGTTTTAGCGATCCAGGTTCTCACCGCGGGATGGAGCGCCTGATACAGCAATTCAATCGCCGCACAAGCGGAGGGAGGACCAGCACGAAAGCCTAGTTCGCTGACTTAGTAGATCATGAGGCTTGAGGCATGCCGTTGATTTTCCTCCGACCCAACTGACCTAGTGTAGCTGTGGCAGGCGGCGAGCAAGCCAGGACGACGATGGCGGGGACTTGGCCTTCAACCAGGAAGATGAGCCGACGCCTCCAACGGAAATAAAATCACCTCGTTTTGATGCCAATCTTTGAAACTCAGAAGCCTGGAGATTTGGAGGACGTGCTTTTCGGAGCATCAGTTGATCCACCGGGGGAATGCTAAAGGAGCACCTGCAGCTTGCACCCCTCCCTGCATCCTGCGTTGGCTTACGGAGTAGTTCATTACTAATTAGCGCCCGCGGTGCCTTGCACGCGTTTTCGTGAAGCGTGGTCGCGTTCATCGAAAAGTTGGGGCGTCTGTGGCTACCCAGCCTCCATGGGACCTGGGACCTGGGCAACCGAATTTCTGCTGTACCCAACTCGGCTGAGTTTACGACTCATCTCGCCCTTCAACTTTTCACCTCGACCCTTAATTTCGCGCCTCCCGTCTCGCCTGCGTCCCGTTTGGTCGCCCGTCTAAACGGTCCTCGACGTGTACCTGGACGGGGCCCCGACTTGCTGCAAGCCTGAATACTCGTCGTTTGTTCAGTGGCAACGATTCCTCACAACTGTCTACCGCGACCTCTTGCATGGCACTTGTGTTAGCTTGCCGGCCAACTCTTTGCTCTCTAGATCGCCTGGGTGGCAGCCATGGCATCTTCAGTAGCCTCGGCCTCTCCCATAAATATCCTGATTGCACTTCCAGCTCGGCCTCCAACTCCTCCTCGTGAAGCTAGTCCCGAAGTCGACGTCTCTCTCAAGTCAGTCGTCTTGGGGCGAGCCTCAGCCTTTGACCCAACATCGAGTCTTCATACTCCGCCAAACGCCCATTCCCTCGCCTCACCTATCGCCACAGGATCCAACCACAGCTCCAGTCGTGCTCGAAAGAAGGTGGAGTGGTCCTCTCACACAGACTATCGGGAAGCACCCCAATATCCTGAAGGCGCGAAGGCCTTCAAGTTTTCGCCATTTTCAGCTTCGTCGTCAGCAACATGCTCCAAACCTGTCAAGAGCATCCTCAAGCCTTCTCCGTCTCCAAATCCACTGGCTTCCTCCACGAGCGAGTTCCATGGTTCTTCTCCGCTTAATATAATTGAAATGCTGGACTCGACTATCAAGCAGCTGGCCGGCCCTGACCGGGACTCCAAGCTCGATGCATATATGATGCTCTCCAGAGCCCTCAAGGCCTCCAACAACCTCCCGGATCGCGTCGCTTTGCAGGACAAAATGAGCCTGTTTATGCAATTTGTTCAGCGTGATATGACAGCAAAGTCGGATCATGGAAACCTGGACACTTCTTTGATCAATCATTCTCTTACATTACTCGCCACCTTTCTTCACTTCCCGGCCATCGCGTCTACTCTCACCGCTGACTTCAGCATTTTTGTCATCGATCACGCCATCCGTTCCTTTGAAGACGACGCGATGCCCAAGGATGTGGCGCGGCATCTTATGCAAGTTGTGGCATTCCAGAACTTTTCTGCTAAAGTCATGACCTCGGAGAGAGTTGGTCGTCTTGTGACAGCGTTGCACATGATTGAACACCACTTGAAAGGGAAGAGCATCGTTATGAGCCGCCTACACATATACAAGCGACTGATCAAACAGTCTAGAAACCACATGGCTGTCCACCTTGATTGGATCAAGGATATGTTCACCGACATGCTCAGTTTTGTCAAAGACATTCGCTCACAAGCCATCAGCTTGGGAATGGAAGCCGGTTTCGAGTTGCGGTCCGAAAAGCAATTGCTGCGAAAAGCGACTGAACTGTTTCAAGTAGCCAACGATGGCGAAACATACATCGACTTCTATATAAAGAGACTGCAGGCAATGATCAAGGAAAAGAACTCTTGCCACTTCGTTCCCCAGATCTGGAGCGTCGTCACTCTGTTTCTACGTTGTCCCCTGGACAGATGGCATCACTATGGACCATGGTTGACCCTAGTACAATCTGCTTTCAACATGACGGACAACGCCACGAAACAAGAAGCAAACTTTGCCTGGAACAGATACATCTATCTCTCGCTTTCAGACAGCAGAGTCAGTCCCAAGTGCATCGCGACATTATGTCAACCTCTCTTGAGCCAACTTCGCAGAAAATCGAGCTTGAAGCAGCAAGATGACGCTATGAAACTGCGCCGGGTTGTCATTGGCGGTATATGCAATCTATACTACTACGCATTTACCCCTGGTGGTGACAAATATGATATAGATGTCATGTGGGATGTCACCGTGCAACCAATCATCGGCCAACTGATTTGTCTGGATGGGAAACCTGACGTTACAGGAGATGGCATTATGCAAGCAGCCAGGCTACTGGTTGGTCTCTTGGATGTTGTCACACCGCGTATCTGGAGGCAAGACCGCATCGTGGATCTGCCTCCGGTCAAACCGGACGAACTCCCTGCCATCGATTCGAAGTGGGTTCGAAGGAATTGTAGCAAGGTGTTCAAACTGGTTGGACCTATCATTGGAAAGAAATTTGTCGATCTTGCGAATAAAGAAAGCTTGATCTACCGACTGTGGCAGGCAATTGTGGGATCTGTTACAGCTGCCTCTGCAAAAGATATCAAGGTTTCCGAGGATACGGCCAAGTTTGTCGGCTGCGCGTTTGGTTTCCTCTCTTCAATTTTTGCGAAACAGGACGCTGAACCCGAATCTGCTTCACACAACTCAAAATTCCTCTCCAGCGTCTCCAATTTTGTACATCTTCTCATCGATGGACTAGGACTTCTCCCATTTACTGAGAAGAAACTTTCCATGACGGTACTAAATACCTTTGAGCCGGTTTCTACTCCGTCGCAGCGGATGGACAGATCAGAGAAACCCAGAGGGGTCATACGTATGCCCCTGCATCACTTGTTCGTTATGCTTGCTGCTGTCCCCGCTGGCTGCAGCGATGATGACGCTTTGGCCAGGTTCCTCCAGTCAATTTTTGAGCCTTTCTTGAAAGGTAGAACTGCTAGAGGACGTCTTGATTTGACAAAAGAGCTCTTGCAGCTGTTGCCTCGCAACGCTCTGTCGCCATACGGGCCCTGGTTGCTGGCTGCAGATTGTGCCAAAGCATATATTGACAACCGTTCGCCCCTTATCGCTGGAACTGTTCCGACTGCGGACAAAATGAACGGTCCAGAGTTGCGGGAAATTGTGTCCCTCATAGAGCGTGGTCTCACTTCTCACCCAAATCTACCTCCTCAGCTATGGACTCCATTGTTTGATTCTGTTGCCACCCACGTCTCAAACGATTTCGGTGACGCTGGCTGCTCTCTAGTCGTCATAGAGCCTTTGGCTAAAGCGATATTCGATATGACGGGTGCAGCAGCTGAAGGCCCATCCACTCTGATCTGCCAAGCTGTTATCTCACTCTTCAAACATGCGAAACTGCCGCGAGACAGACAAGCCGTGGAAGCTGCCCGGTCAAGGCTCTGGGGAGCGCCTCCAACTCTGCCTAAGATGACGTTTTTCGCACCATTCGATCATCTCTACAAACTTGGAAATCGCTTTTTGGTAGACTCATATGATGAACACTTGGACGCCGAATGGAGTGTGCGTGCTATGCCGTTGCTCGAGGCGGTGGATATGTTCTTGGAAAAGAACTTGTCCCTCTTTGGAGTAGAGGTGCTGGGCAAACTACAGACTGGACTCGGCTTGTGGCTTCAAGACGAAAAAGCTCACCTTCAACAGGAGCATGGTTCTTTGTTAACATGTGTGAGTTCGAATTCGAAGATTCCCAAACTGTCCATTTTCCATTGACATTCTTTTTCAAAGGTTTTTACGATCTGGGACCATGTTTGCTGCCATCTCGCTGCTCAAAAACTGCTAAAAAGACAAGATTTGGACGTTATCGAACAAGTCCTCACGGCTGCCTTTAAGAGTACGCATGCAACCATCGTGAATAGAACAGGCGTTATGTGGAATACCACCATGATGAAGGATGATGAAAATATTGAGTGCTCAGACCGCCTCATGGCCGCCATTTCTTCTGTGCGATCCAAGATTGATATTGTTGTGCCAGGTGTCAGCGGAGATACTTCCCGCGGAATACAGGCTCCCAAAGGAGGCCCGCCAATCGGTGACGGTTTGGACGTTGTATCGCCATCGTCGTCTCATCCTGATGCCAGCATTGCAACGTCAACCACTAGGTCATCTACTTCCAGAATGCCAATGACTAAGAGGCGACGTCTAGAAATGACGCCTGAGCTCCATCATACAAAGCTCACAAAACGAATGAGCACTCCGCGCCGCCGGCATGACGACTCTCAAATCCAGTTCAAGCCAATTGCGTCGTCACCTTTGCATGATGAGTCTCAGCACCTAACTGAACGCCAGAAGGAAGTCCGAGAAAGACAGCGTCAAAATGCACTTTTATACACAGATGCCCAACCCAGTCTCTCTCCACCGTCAGCCGGCAATCCGGGAGGGCCAAGTACACAAAGGAATGCGCCTGCGGGTGGTAAGCTAGCACAGGAGAGCACTCCGAAACATGGTAAATCGTTCGAAGACCTCATCAGCTCGACACCGACCCCCAGGCGTGGCCAGGTGTTTCAAATGGACGACTTCAATGACCCTCCATCCTCGCCGCCTGCCCCTCGACCGTGCCCTCTTCTATCTGAAATACAATCTCGGTCGAGGGCAGGAAGTGCCATGGAGAGTTGGGAGTTTTCCTCGCCGCCCGGTTCTCCTGTTGAGAATCTACAGATCGAAGACGCAGAGCTGCGGCCCACAGGTTCTGCAGACGTAGAAGGCCCAAGAAAATTGCGTCGCTCCTCGAAACGAAAAAGACGTACGGAAGCCGAGGCTTGCCAGTCTACCGACCAAACAGATCCTAACAAGCGTGAAGACAAGGATGTATCGAGCTTCAAGAAAGCTGAAGATCAGTCATCCAAGCGTTCCTCGAGAGCACCTTCCACACCCGGAAAAGGTATGGTTACACGAGCAAAAACAGCCCAAGCCAATCCTAAGCTCGAGGTGGACTTATCTACGGGATCCAAATCTCTGTCGTGCCGCCGCTCCTCACGGCGTGTGGAGGGCGGTAACAAGATGACGGCGTCAAAAGTAGATGGAACGTCAAAACCTGGAGCAGTTTCGGATCTTCGGGTTGCGGCTCACAAGGGCGGAAATACCTTGAAACCCGTTGATGGTTCACAATCGCCTGATCACAATCAGGGGGGCTTAAAGATTCTACTTAGGTCTCATAAGTCCATTCTAGTTCACTCAGATTCTACTTGTTCATCACTCGAAAAGCCGGAAACTGCGACTATTGAAACGCCAATTCCAGTGATACTATCTACGGAGGAGCCTTCGGAGAAGACAGAAGCAACACCATCTCGGAGGAAGAGAAAGAGGACTGGAAGACATTCTGACAAGGGCCACAAAAGGCGGCGATCTGTTGGCAATGAAATGGAAGAAGTGCCAGTCGGGCAACAGAAACAGTCCGAACTACCTCCACCGCAGACTTGTGACTGCATGGATAAGCCCGCTGAAGGCATTCAGACCAGAAGCGGCCTTCGCAGGCAACATTCACCTCGTCATGAGTCAAGACATATTCGAAAAGATGCCAAGCGTGGACCCAAGAACCCAAGGGAGAATGTGGATGGCGGTGATACTGATGAGGAAGTACAATCTCAATTGGCAAAAGAATCTAGTGCGGCGTCACAGCAGAGTCACCCAGATGGAGTTCGCCAAGTTGTAGCGGGCGAGGAGATGGCAGAGGGGAGAGCCGATGAAGATGCGATGGAGCTCGAAACAAATTCCAAGTTTGGTCAAACCATGAAAGATTGGGTTGACACAAAGACGAGTGCAGAAACACCACTTGGAGAAGACACCTCCCCGACGATTATGGAAACTTTGCGGAGTGGGTTGGATAAACTACGCAGCGCATCCCTGAGCCGAGAGAAGGTCTATGAAGTAGAAGACATTTTGATGGACATGAAGCGTGAACTTTTTGAAGCCGAGAGGAGAGGGAGAGCCTCTGATGGACCAGGAAGAGAAAATCGACAGGTCAGTAAGACCACGAAAGGAGCATAATGTTTGCTACAAGGAACAGCCTTTACAGCGTGCATTGGAGCATTAGTGGCCGTTGTACGAGACGTTTTTTTTTTGGCCCTTTTTTTCCCTGTTTTTTTGTACATGGCTGTACATAGACTTTGAGCATGGACCTTGGTGTTGGAAAGGATATTTTTTGTGTATTGGGCAATGCCTTATGAATGAGGGATAACATGGTGTTCGATACCAGACGACGCACAGCATATGCTAGATCACAAGTCGAAGACAAAGACAAGTTCGTAGCACGGGTGCAAAGGACAATGACAACGTAAGCTGGACTTGGCTCGGGGCAGGTCGTTGCAAACGGAGAGCGCATACTAATGGTATTATGATATAATGAACCCTACCGCCCCCAGTCCAACTTGGGAAAATTTAGAAGTCACAATGGTGATGATCTGAGATTGGTCGGCGGTACTCGGAGGTGCTCCTGGTCAAGCTAAAGTACGGAACTCCCAATTTCGGTATCCCGAAAGTGGACCATGATGACTTTTAGCAGCCGTTTAGGAGAAGGCGTGGGGCATGTTGGGCCCCTTCGCATTTGCACGAACCATGCCAAGCACAGGATTGAACATCATCATGAGCCTCTCCATTAGTTTCGGTTCCCCGTTCGGACATGGCGACAATCCAGCGTCGGTCAAGAAACGGCCGAGGGCTCACCTAAAAGTGAAGCAAGGCGCAGAGGACCGGTTGCGGCCACGGGAGGATGAAATGTATGCGGAACGGTGGGATATGCTTTGGATGGTGCAATGCAAAACTGTAGACGTAGCAGTTAACCGAGCTGGGTGCGTAACGTACCTGGAGAAGTATGTAGTTTGTTGCTAGCTGCGAGGGAAAATGCGCCAAAACACGTTGCAGGTTTGAGTTTGTCGACAATGTGAATGGATAACCACTAGTTCCACGAACATGGGGTCAGAGACCTTGATAACCGGTTGTTGGAGACTTTGGGGAGACGTTTCGTCCTCTTCACATTCCTGCGACGGGAGACAGCGACACGGACTCGTGTCTACTTGAAGAGGGCCACAGCGAAGTACACTGAATCCGAAACGCTCATCTGCGACGTGATATCCACAGAAAAACAAAGGCTCGATCGAGATGGTCACACAGGCCATCAGAACGTGCGTCTTGTCAACTCCAAGGCGACAAGTTGAGGGCTTGGATGGCCTTTATTACCTTGAGTACTTAAGTACTTGGTAAGTACCTAGGTACTTGAGGCTTGGCATTGCTGACAGCGTTGGACGCGGACGGCATGGCAATGCGCAATGCCAAGTACCTGAATGTTTCCCCTCCCATCGTCAACTCCACATGCGACAGATTCTGCGCCCCCAATTTCCGTTCCATCTGGCCCCGGAGAAACTCTCTTCTCTACAGGATTCTCAGCCGGCGGCCCGGCGTACTGCGCATGAGACAACATGGCCCGCTGTTCGGTGGTTGTGGCACCAGTGTCATGGCGTCTATTGCTCGGGGCGCTCACCACCCCATATGACCCACTTTTTATGCGGCAAGCCCTGCTGCCATGCCCTATAGTACATTCTTAGTACAAAGGTATGGCAGCTTTACTTAACTCTAAAAAGCTTCATTGAAAATCGACGGATTTTTTAATAACGCTGCAGCCGTACGAATTTTTCAACAGGCAGCAGCTTTTTCCTTCAACAACATCGCAATGGCTGACGAAGGCCCTTACAACCCCTTAAATCCGCCCTTAAATTTGCCGCCCCCGCCAGGGTATAGCAGCTTTAATGACCTCTATAATGCCGTACAAAATGGCACTAAGCATTTGCAGAGATCGCACACAAGCAGAGATTGAAACTGCCGCAAGGAATTAATGCTCTCAGCAGCAGCTGCTAGCGCTATTACAACAATTAAATTGCAATATAAATAATAGAGAAAGAAGACTAATTAGAAGATAGAGCTCCCTTAAGATTAAGGAATTTATTTCTTTAATGCTATTGCTGCTATTGCAGCTAATAGATATAACTAGATGTTAAGAACTAGCCTTACAGGCTACTGCGTATAAGCGTTACTAGTATTAACTATAAACTTAAGGAGAGAAAAGAGGGAAAGAAGAAGCTCTCTATCTCTTCTTTTTCTTTTATTATATATATATAGGTTTAATGTATATTTAAAGTATACTTAATAAGGCATTAATATAGTGCTTTATACCTACTTAAGCTTAAAGCTTAAGTCTATTATATACTCTTCTTCTAGTAGGTTTATCTATATTACTACTATATAGTAGAAATAAATATATAGTATAAATCCCCCTAGTAACTATATATTTCTACTCTATATTTTTTATATATAGTGTTAGCGGCAGATACTGCCTACTAGAAAAAACACCTACAAAAACAAAGGAAACAACTGCAGCACACAAATTGCCTACAAGGAACGTTTGCATGCATTTTACATGCAAGGATTTAATATGCTTTACGCCTACATTTCTTTGCATATATAATTAAGGTTAAGAGAGGAATGCTAGCTAGAATTTAACAAAAACACTAATAAGCTATAAAGGCTAATCTACTCTATAGCAGGAAAGCAGCTACAAGAGTTATTTTTAGCCTCTAAGG